ATAGGCTATCCTTATTAAGGGGTCTGGTCCGTTAAAGCAGAGCTTATAGTTAAAGGGTCGAGACTAGGAAAGCTTATCTATTACTTTCTTAGAGAATACCCTGGCTATATTATATAGCTATATAGGGAGAGATATCCAGAGCTCTTAAAGTTCTTTGGGATTAAAAAATAGTATATTACCGAGGGTATTAGATTTATCCGTATCTAGGGAGTATATTAGGTTACTGGTTTGAATATAGTACCCGGTAGGCTATAGTATTAGTTGTCTAATTACTATGGATAGTAGTAGATATCTCTTTGGTTTATAATCCTGTTTCTCAAGTATATAGTTAATCTTATTAATAGTAACCGATCCGATCAAGTTACTGGGATCTTTGGTACTTAATTAGAAGGTAGCTACTCCGACGAAATAGCGGGAATAGTCTAGTAGCTCGACTATTTTGAGAGTATTAAGGTCTAGCTTTTCCTTTCTTGCCTGGTATTTGGCTTTTCTTATAAGAAGGTCTTATAAAGAAATAAGAAGTATATTCTTTTATTTCTCGGGTCTAGTTTTACTAGTTTCTTTTAGGATCCTAGTTAGAATATCTTTAGAGTAATTGTCTTTTTAATATTTCTTATTAAAATATTGGATTTTCTAAGTAAGGTCCGGCTAATTTATCTTATGGTTCTCTAGCTAATAGAGTTAATTCCATTAATAATCCGGTAAGATATTATATTTTATTAGCTATTTCCTTTCCAGGATTATATTATAAGAACCGAGATTAGTAATAAGCAGGTATTATTAAGTTTGGAAGTACTAATTAATAGCTAGATTTATAGTAGCTAGATATTAAATAGCTTTACTAGGTTATTTATTAAAACCTTATAAGGGAATAGGGGTTTTGAGTTTATATAAAGGCATTTATAGTACTTTTATTAAGGGGCAAATATGCTTTTAGTTAATTAGAATATATATATTTACTCTAGTATTTACTAAATATTAGAAGGTTATGGTTTTGCCTTTCTAGTATATTTAATAATTAATAAGAAACTAGTTCCTGCTAATTAGCTAAGTAAGATCTATGGGTTCTTGGTAAAGTTCTTATTCTAGGAGGTTTACTTCTATATCTAGAGCTAGACTTTTCCTGACTTATTAATATTATACTTCTTATTAAATAGTAGGTAGGAGTTAGTATTTTTGTTATTTATCCCTAAATTATTAGCTCTCTCTAAATAATCCTCTTTAATAAGTATAATTTTATTAAAGTCAGGATAGGTACTTTTTATATATCCAGGCTTCCTATAGCTATAATAATAAAGGCCCTCTGGCCGGTCTAGTCTTTTCTTAAATTCTCGGCAAACTGCCTCCTTTAGCTATAAGAATACCGGCCGCTAAGGTTAATCCGTTAGATATAGAATTACTATAGCTCCTTAGATCCCGGTAGGCTTTCTAGCCCGAGGTAGTATTCGGTAGCAAGTGGTTTCTACTAGTTATTTCTCCTGGAATTATTAATTTTTAATTAAAAGAAGCCTATTCTCTTATTCTATATACTACTCGGCAAGGTTCCTGGAAGTATTAAACTTCTTATTACCTAAGCTCTTGAGTAGCTCGAGATTTATTTTATTTATTAAGTTATTATATTAGTTATCTGGCGACTTCTCTAGTTTTATTATTAAATAAGTAAACTTTACCTAGAATACCGGAAATAGCTTATTTCTTTATCTCAGGTACCGGTATATCTCTTTTGCTTCCTGGTACTCTATCTCTTTGCTTTTATTATAAGCTTATTAGAGGATCTTAAAGATCTATTTAGTAGTTAAGATCTGTCTGACTAATCCAGGTTCTAGTTAATTACGGATAAAGTTATAGGCATTTCCAGTAACTAGTTATACTATATAAGTAATTTTCAGTGGTTTACTATTAAATTTAGAGGAGTTCTATATTAGTTTATTTCTTATATTAAATATCTAGTTATTAATCTGGTAATTATTCTTATCCGTAAATAGGGCAGGATCCTTAATTCTAATAAGCCATAGTTAATTACTATAAACAGAAAGCGGAAGGGAGCCTTGGTATTAGCCCCTAAACGGTTCTCCTAACGGGGATCTATAGTATTCCTGAATATCTATTTATTTAAATCTTTACTTTATTACTTCTTCTTATATTAGTCTTTCCCTTATATGAAGTTAACCGGTAATTACCTCTAGCTTATTAACTTTCTTAGTAAGTTAGTTAATATATAAGTAGAATTTCTAGTAGTATTCTACTTATTTATTAGCCGTAAGGCGGTATTCGTTAATAAGGTTATCCCGTATAAGTAATCTCTACTGGGCCTTATTTGTTTTTGGAGTATTTATACTAATTTTGAATTCCAAGTCGGCTAGCCGCTCCTTAATATCTTCTTCCGGGATAGTATTATAATGGTTTTCCCGGTAGTATGGGTTTGTAATATTAAAGTCCGGCTCCTCTATTTCGTTATACTAGGGCCTCTTGTCTAATATACTCATAGTAGTAGTACTTGGCCCCGGGCCGTCTATAGTAGCTTTAGAAGGGGTATTAGCTATAGAGGTAAGTACTAAGTAAGTTCTTCTTATTTAATATCGGCAAACTATAACTAATTATCGTCTTATCTAGTTTTAAGTTAGTAGACTAAAACCAACTATTATCTTTTCTTGTTTTAAATCGGTAGACTATTACCGATTCTTCCTATACCAGGAGAGGAGGCCGGTTCTTTTGCTCTCGTTAGTATCGAGGGAATATTATCTACTCTAGTTAAGGGTCAGGCTCCGAGATTAACCGGATTATAGAGAATAATATCTTTCTTCTTTTATATTGGCAGAGGACTAATTACTGGAAGGGGAATATCATCTGCTCTAGTTAAGGGTTAGGCTCCGAGATTAACTAGGTTATAGAGGATATTATACTTCTAGTTAAGCTCTCTAGTTCTTTATAGTTCGAGAAGGTTATTAAATATTAAAAGCGGTATTCTGTTTTTGCTTTCTAAGGACAAATACAGGTCCTTTATTAATAGTATTATATTGCTTCTATAGGCCGAGTCGAATAAGCTTAGTATTATATAATGGCGGAATTAATATAATAGTCGAAAGCTTAAAGTTTAAAGAATCTTATATATTGGAAAATACTAAGCTATAGAACAAAATAGAGAAGATATCTCGACCTTTAGTATTATTCCGTTTAAGTAATCCTGGCTTAGCTTTATTTTATACCTGTTTCTAATATCCTGTCCTTGGCAGATTATACCCTTATACTAACTATTATAATCTCGAATTATTTATAATTAATAAAGTAAATTAGCTAATTATATAGGTTAAGTATAGTTTAATTATTATTAGTATATCTTAGCTTTTATAAGTTAATAAGAAAAAGAATATTTATATCTTTATTTTTATAACTATAATACCTAAAATTATAATTTTTTTAATATTTAAATATATTTAATCTAGGGCTATTAAATACTAATATTTCTATTTTTAGATATTATTTATTATAAATTTATTCGGATTTAAATAATTATATTAAATATATATTTTTATATCCTAAAAATAAATAATAAAAATATAGCTATACTAGCTTTAATCTTAGCCTTAATCTTAATCTTAACTTCTTTCCGAAAATAACTTTAATTCCAATATATAATACTATTATTAAAGCTTTTCTTTATTAAAGATATATTAAATATAGCTTTAGATAATAACTCTAGTAAAAACAAAAGTAATAGAAAAGATAATAAAGCTATAAATAAGTAGAAAGATAATATTTATAATATATTTTCTAATAATCTAGATTTAGTTTATAATATCCTTTCCTATTAATATATTTAATTAATAAACCTCTCTATTTCTTAATCTTTTCCTTATATATGACTTCCTTTTCCTCCTCTTCTATAATAATACTTTGATTTCCTTATATTACCTAATAATATTACTAAAGTAATAAAGCAAATTAATAATAAGGCTAAAGTTAGAGAGATAGAACTATATTAGGGTAGGAAGCTAAAGAAATTAGAGAAAAATAAGGCAAATCTAGAGGCAAGCTTAGTATATATTTATAGAACCAAATTCTTTTAAGCTTATATTACTTATAGTAATAAGAAGAGACTAAGGGGCCCTTTTAAATACTATATAGTTATAAAAGGCGAATTTAATAGTACTTATATAAATTATAGATATAATAATAATAGTAAAGTCTATACTTTCTATTAACTTAATACTAATCCTATTAAGTCTGGAAAGCCTCGCTCTATATTTGCAAAACCCTTTATACTAAAGCCTCGACTGCCTATAAGATATAGAAAGCAAGTATAAAGATAGATATAAGGTTAGAAGGTAATAGGGAAGGAGATTATAGTAAAGAAGGGTAAGGATATTAGAAGAGAAGGGAATAAAGAAAATATAGATAATTCGAGTAATATAGGTAATACGGAGGATATAGAGAGTAAGGGAGATAGAGATATACCTCATAATCCATGGGATTTGCCTTACGGACCATACAAGCTAAGGGGGGGTTAGGAGTAGTCGAGAATAAGGCGTATATACTATACTTTTTTTTTTTTAGTGAGGTGTGGTGGGGGGGGGTGTGGGCGCGAAAATCAGAAAATCAGAAAATCACTTTTCGCTTCTCGGATTTGTCCGCTAGCCCGCTAATGGCCTCAGTACAAGATGGCGAAAAATGCTTTCCTGGCAAAATGAAAACCACGAGCTTCGATCAAGGAGATCACGAAAACAATTACGCGCAAATGAAGGAGTTCAAATAAGCATAACTAAACAAGTTGGATAAAGGGAATTTCCAGAGCTTGAAATAGAAGGCCATTGATTCGCGAGTTGAGACCGTTTGGCTGTTCATCTAATGGGTTTAGCCAGGCTGATTGACTCCCGTACTATCGCGATTCATCTGATCCTGCACCCCGACTCGGCAATTTACTAGAAAAGTCATGTACTCCGCACTTGCGATGAAACATCTTGCAAACGGAGATAAAGTAAAATTAACTGAGTGTATCGTGTATTTGAGCCAAATGTGGAAACTTGGTCAACAAACTTGGTAGGACATGGGGTGAAAGAAGCAGAACAACGGTTAGCTCCTGAGATGAGCCGTTATAAAACATCCATTCATGTCCTGAATCTATGCCGCGACCCTATATACCACGCAAATGGGACCGCCACCAGGTGGGCCTTGGCCTTCAGCTCCACCGGAAACGTAGAGCCGCGTTTCCCCAACCAAGCCCGAGAGCAAACCTCCCACTGCCGCACGAGCATGTCTGGTACTGTGGATATCGCTGTCTGTATTCATTGTGTGTCTGTTCCCGCGGATATTACCAGTCGGGTCGGATTCCGCTTTTGCGAATACCTGCAGCACATGGCCGCCCTCGCGATCGACCTGCTCCAGCAATTTGGTTATTGCCTTTGCATCAATTGCATCATCCATGTAACCTGAAACAGCTCTCAGTCCACCGGAAGAAGTATCTGATGCTATTATAAGAATGTGACAGTCTTCCAGTTCGCCCCCGGAGCTACAACTAGCTTTGGCGCTCCATGTGGATTGGCTCCTTATTGCCTCATCGAGGTGACATTCTTTTACTTCATCCAAAGCAATAGCTATGCCAAGAGCAGAGGAATATCTAGACTTGGCCATGGATTCGTAAGTATCGGTTGTGACTGGAGTCTTCCCTGCAGCTTTGATAATTTCCACCTTTTCTGAGGTGAGGAGAGGACACTTGATTAATACGAGGCGGACTTGGTCTCTCGCGATGCCGGACTCCTTCAGAATCGACCTAGTTGATGAAGAAACCTCGAGAGCATGGACCGAAGTTCCGATCTCGTGAGGTTGAAGGGTCCTTGTACGTCCTACTGCTGCCCGAAGCCCAGTAGTTGATGAATCACGGACCACGAATGTTACGTGGGGGCTCAGAACGCCTTCTGTACCCCCCGAGAAGACAGTTACGGCAGATCGTGGAATCAGGGGTTCCCACACGTGAGCGCTGAGTGTTCGGGAGAAGTCGTTTACGCACCCATTCCCTAAATGGTCAGCCATTCCAGATCCATAACACCGAGTATCTAGTTACGTACCCTCTGATTTCCCAATGACAGCCAGAACATCACCTGGTTCGTAACCAGCTGCTTTCAACTCTTTCAAGGGAGACGTGTCGGAAGGAGAAGATACACCGTACTTGAGTATGTTGATGCTGGACATGGCCAGAAGAAATTGAGGCTGTTGTCACGTTGACCGCCGGTTCTTAAAGCAGACGATAAACAACAATTGGCCCAAAGACTTTAGATGACGTGTAGGAACGATTGGCAGAGGAAACTTCCTCTAAATAGTTGACCAAATCAGGAGCTTATCTCGCCGCCGGCCTCGGGCCGTCGCGCTCAACTTGATGTGTTGTGTTGTAATCTTACTTGTCTGGGCCGTTTCTCTTCATCCACCTCTCCAGCCTAGACGAGGAGGCTCAACAGCGCCACGCGCGAGGTTTCCAAATGTCGACAATCGTCATTAACAGCGAGAATGATATTTAATGTCAAAGAATAAAAATGAGGTTTAGTGGGCCACACAAACCTCAAACACGGTCAAGTCCCGCTAGCGCGGAAAGCGCGTCCCAGATTTACGACGGACAGGAACACCAAAAAATCGAGAATTGATGTGTGTTAGTTAATTGACATCCTCTCCTCTCCTCTTATCTTGCGTCACTACGCCCAGGCAAACACACGGAATTGCGATACCGAAAGTAAACTTTCGAAAATAATTAGAATGCCACGAGTTTTTAGCGTCACGATTCGTTAAATGCGCGCACACGAAGGCGCGCGGCGTCGAAAATCGTCCAGCGGCCAGCGCCAAGGAATACCAAAATCGCTACGTTTAGAAAATCACACCAAATCTCAACGGAACGCCCGAAACTCTTTAAAAGTCCTTTGCGTAATAGAAAAGAAGCAAATCTAACTTCCGCGAAATTTTCACGATAATTAAATATAAGGGGGAATTGTGAGAATTTATGATTGGGAGGCACGGGAGGGTCAAAATTGCGCCCGTCCTCGCTTAGGGAATTTGGACGAATTTCGATGCTGCTCGCCTTCGTATACGAGACATACTCCGTAAGGGACTATGGAGATTATTTTCGCGGTGGCCTTGTTATAGCCTTAATTTTAAAGCCACGTGCCAATTGGCTGCATTCTATTAAATTGGTGCTGTTGGTAGTCCATTGGCAAGTGGCATTCCAAGTTGGTGCGGATCGTACCAAAATCGCTTCGCTAATTGCCACTTGACAGCGAACAGCCAACAGCACCACGCACGTGTCAACAGCACGTGCGCCTAGGCGAAAAATCGTTGCCCCGGGTTGCCTCGCGTGATGTATGGGCTATAAGCAGTGTGACGTTAGTTGATGTAAGAATCGTGGTTGTTTTCATGTATTTCATAGATAAGGTAGAATTGATATTTTTGAGGTCGAAATCCAGCTTCCTGATTGGCTAAAATCAAGCGAGAACCAGGGCCAAGGTCGACCCGGCCGCAGGGGAGGGGAACGGACGGTCCCCCCACCAGCACCCCCTCACCACCTCGCAACAAATCAATCATTCCATACCATTTGCCTGTCTAAATTCTTTACTTCCCATGGTGCTAGTATCGTACCCACGCTCCTCAAGATAGCTCCTGAACCTCGCATCCTCCGCCTCAATCGTGTCCTGTGTAATCGTCGGCAAGAACAAGAAACTGATAATCGCAGAGAAAATGCAAAGCGCCGAACTGAGATAGAAAGGGTATTGTCCCTGTTTAATCACATCACCTCCAGCATCAGCGATCAGGAAGGGGAAAATATATGTCCCGACGAAGGCACCGATCTTCCCTGTAGCCGCTGCGATCCCATAGTATTGACCTCGGACGGCCGTTGCAGAGGTTTTAGAGGCGATCAGACCGATGTTGTCTCCTGGGCCAACTTCGCCTAGGGCGAGGAAGATACTTACATACGTTAGCAATTATGAATGGGCAAGGGAAATGGGGAAGAATACCCATAAACAACAACGAATCCAGCAACGTGCTTAGCGGTATCAAGGTACGAGTAAATGCCCGTCATGATAAAGCCTACAATACCCTGTGCTAAGACCCCAGCAATCAGGCAGTTTTTCGGTCCAATCCAATCACTTAAGAAAGCGCCGATGAAGGCACCCGGGATGTAGAAGACGTTGATGAGCGTGCTCCAGCCGAAGGATACCCAAAGGGGGTACGTATCGCCGATGATGAAAAACAGCCATGAGGACGAATAAATCGAAAAACTATAACTGAGGAAATCATAAATAAACCAGATGGTCGAGATAATCAGAAGTCGTTTCCAGTAAAAACGTATGATCAGACCATAAGGGTACTTGCTCATCTTCTGTCTATTGTACTCCTCTGGTTCCTTGAGCTGGGAGCGGAACGCGAGCAAGATGATCGGTGGAATAACAGCAATACCAAGGCAGATGCGCCATGCTACTCTCAAGTGCCTTTCGGAGGTGATCAAGACGACAATCATAGGAACCAGCGTCCCGATCGCGAAACCCATGTCGATCATGAAGTTTGTGGCGAACACAAACCAGCGGTTTCGGTGCCCTGGCTTGAGTTCTGCAGTTCCTTCTGAGGCGGCGACACTTCCCGCTGGGTATTCTCCTCCTATTCCAATACCGACAAGAAATCGGTATGCGGTCAGTGCTGCGAGCATGCCTCCTAGGGAACCTCCTGCGCCATATGCTCCTGCAGAGAGGGCGGAGAAGACAATCATGATGATGGTGGAGATTATGAGGGAGAGCTTGCGGGACCAGTAGTCGCTGAGAAAACCGAAAACAAGTTGGCCAACGACGGTACCGACGAATGCAATCGAAGCGATGTTCTTGCGTTGAGGAGAGTTGGTGAAAGCTTTGCCGTAGATAGCTGCGAGAATGGTGTTCACGGAACCGATGACCTGCATTGAAGGTTAGGACGGGTTTCATAGCTTTTGAAAGGCATAGTGCATACACTTTGGAGGTATCCATCAGAGAACAGTCCAGCGCCGCAAGCAATGACAGGCCAACTGCGTTGCCATCTCGTCTTTGGAAGCGCCTCGAGGGGGACTTCAGAAGCGTGGATGCCAGAGTCCGGCGGCATGTAGGTGTTGTCCTTCTCCATGATGAAGACCTGGAAACGGTGGAACTGGACTACAGTTTCATGGAAGCACTGAGGAATGATATCACAAAGAGGAAAGGATATACATATGGGCCGAGGAAGCTTTATATTATGTAGCATGTAGTAACCTTCCCAATGTGGAGGTGCAGGAGCGAAGGTGGGGTGAACTACCCTATCAGGATCTAGGACCCGGACCAATGAACTAAAAGGCTCCCCTCTCGTGCTCTCGCTTTCTAAAGTCTAATTGAACTCTATTGAAAGTTTGCCGGGTCAAGGGCCATCCCAAGCTAGAAGCTCCGCATATACAGGGGGGCTTTCGGTCCAGAGAGAGGCACTTGAGGTCTAGGACGAATGAAGAAGAGGGGATCCGCAACATGCCACAATGCAAAAACTCATACGTAGACGGCAACGTTGCGAACCCGGGATCGAGATAACGATAGAGCGTCGATCGCAGCGGGCACGCCGAGCCGAAGCGGGCCATCGATCACATGCATCACTGCAGTGAGTGATCAAACGCGGATAAGTCCCTCTTGAAATGGTTGCATCATCGAGTCATGAGTATGCTTCAGGTCTGCGGCTTGCGTACCTTAGATACTGTAGTAGAAATTGCGCTCCAAAGCACAGTTTTGGGCGCTGGGCGCGGAAATGGGTTGTGGACCTGAAGTGTGGATCCTAGTTCAGAAGCTTGTTTTGCGCCGTCGTAGCCGGATCAGAAAATGTTAATTATCTATTTTGGCCCCGCGATGTCGGATAAACAGTAGGTGTTTTGCGGTCTTCATATGATCTGATAGAAAGCTCGTATGAGCTCATATTAGATTTCAAAGATATGATCACTTCAGAAGATAATTTGGATGAGGAAAGAAGATGACGTTCGGACTCACCGAGCGGCCGCTGATGCTTGCATTGCATTGCGGCTGCAGTAGCTCCCTCTCGCTTCAAAGCTTGTGCTCGAACCCTGGAAGCTTCGCCTGCGTAGCCTATGATTGAAAGGTCGATATGCATGAAGTCACTCGTCTTGAGATTCAGAATCCGTTGGTATGGTCAAGCTAGATGCTCTAGAAGCCCACGTGTGTCCTTGGTTGGAACTCAAGTTTGTGGGTTTAAGGAAGGGTCATCCTCACAGATCGATTTTGAGTACATTAGATGGCAATGTGAATTGTCAGTTGCATGGGAGGGGAAGTCCTGCCCTATCATTTCAAGTTGGACCCTCCCTCCGCAATGTTTGATTCCGCCGGTGTGGCAGAGCTAAATCTTCCAGATTACCACGTGTGTTTCCTGGTTGGAGCTGGCTGGACCTGCTTGATAGGGGAGGCTTAAGCCTGCGCGTCGGCCTCGTCCCGAATGTAGGGTATACGACCAGACTTCTGGACCCATCATCCCACAAAGCGTGAAGGAAGTAATTTAGTTCACGGCAATAAATCTACTCGCAATTACTGTCAAAGATTTCCGTATGTAGCACGGGTATTATATTAGTGCCATACTCGTCCACAAGCCCTACTCTGAACCCAATTGAGAAGTGTTAGAGCCGGATTAAACAGGCGTTGTGGGTTCACCAGCCAAACGCCCACACCACTTAACAACTCAAACTTAGATTTGACCACAACACAGCTTGGGGAAATAAACTCTATATTCGGACTCCCCAGAGTATTCTCTATAATCTATAAAGTTCTGGGGACTTTCCAAATACTTCTGAGAAAAATGTCAATTTTTTGGGGTTCTGAAAGGGGTAAAAGTGTGTGGCTGGCGGTTGAGTCGTGTGGGCGTTTGGTTGGTGAACCCTTCTGTGGCTGAGAGGACGCGGCACTCTTTGAAGAGTGGGCACCAATTCTCTATGATTGGATTAATAAGCTAGTTTTAAAGCAGGATCATTGGATTTATTCTCATGAATTGCCATGGGTGGTCTACTCCCAATTAAAATACGATTTTGCGATGCAATTAATAAGTGAAGTGTGTATACCCTGTGCGCATAGACTACTGTCGATCGGCTCGGTCTGGCCCTAATCGACACCCCAATCGACACCTGTGAGGGTGTAGATAATTGGGAGAGAGGATGATGATCAATTGATGGTGTGTGAGGAATGGAAAGTACAGCTAGTGCACCTCGCTAAGGAAGGCACATCCACGGGCGTCGTTTTACTTTTACCCCGTTTCAGGGTTGTAGGCTTCTGGATCCTTTTCTGCCGCTCCACTACTAGCGAGGCTGGCAGTCAGTGACAGAACCGCCAAGAACTTTGTTTGTTTCGTTTCATCCAAACTTTATCAGCAGACATAACATCATACTGATGCCACCTTGCACACCAGGCTTTTTCTACGCATCTGCGATGCACTGCAGATAGCTTATATCTCTGGAATGAACTCCTCGATAACGAGACATCCCAATTCCTGCCACGGTAAGTAATTCCCAAAATGAGCATGATGCAGCTATCACCTCTCTGAAACGCGGACTTCCCTCACCACTCCGGCGACACACCTCCTTGAAGGAAAATGAGTGTGCCAAAGCGCCTACCCTGTGTAAGGGACGATCTCACAATCTTCGCTGTCTTTTCGTTTATTTCCTTCTCGACCCTCTTGTCAGTTCATCCAATCTCTACGGTGTAGATTTTCCTTCGTTCGTCGGGTCTGTGACCCCCTGATTGAGTCTGAGACTCCTTTTATTTTTATTTTACTGTTTGGTTTGAAGCGTTAAGGGCTCGAGGGTACACGCAGCAACAATGGCGACAACACCTTCTATCACCGAGCTTATGAGCCAGATGCAGCAAAACCTCGACTCGATAAATTACCACCTTGCACGAATCGAAGACACGAAAGTGCATGACGACGAGATCGAACGCCTGGAAGTTGAGCGGCAGAAACGCGCAGACGCCTTATCCCTCCAAATCGCACAAGACTTCAAAGAATTAGAAAACAAGAAGAGGGAATTGGGAAGGCCGGCGGAGGAGAAGAGGAGGAGAGAAGCAGTGGAGAGGGCCGATAGACGCAAGAGGGAGGAGAGGGAACTCATGCTACAAAGGAGGAAGGAGGATGCGGAGATTGTGGCCAGAAGGATGAGGGAGGATGCCGTGAGGAAGGCACGAATGGAACATGAGGATGAGGAGTTAGAAATTAAGACCCTAGAGGAGGAAGAGCAGATCAAGACGTTGCTCGCAGGTGAGGAGGAGAGGGGGAAAAAAGAGGCTGCAGAGAAGGAGAACAGCTTATACGAGGATTACGAAGCGAAAATGATACAACTAGAAGACGAGATGGAGAAGAAGGTTGTGGAGAGCACGAAGATCTTGGCTGAGCTGGATGAGAAGCGGAAGGTATGTCTACCCATGATTTTTCCGCCAGACACTATCGAAGTAACATTTTACAACAGGTTATCAGCGCACAAATCGATGCCACCATGAAGAGGTCCACACGCCGAACACCCAGCTTCCGAAGAGGATCTAAACGATACTCCATAACAGGTCTAGCAACAGATGTCGCAGTAATGCTGGGAGGGAAGCCCGGCCTCGAACACAGATCAACACAATTCTCACTCGCACAAATAAATGAACAGAATGGACCCTCACATACCGAAATTCCGCGAGACATCCCAACACCAGCACGTTCTGATGCCACTCCCAGCTCCAGAATGTCATACGCTGGCAGCATCCGCTCTCTGGAATCGAAATCAGAAGACGCGGACGATATCCGAGCACGAGAGGAAATGGACAGGATTAATGCGGAGATCATGGCTGAGATGGAAGCCGAGCGTGCAGGGACACCAGCAAAGCAGACTCAAGCACCGAGATCACTGCATCGAACCTCCTCGATGTCGACTTCGAATGCAAGCATACGGTCCTCAGTCCCGCCGTCTAGTGCGAGTATACGCAGTTCGAAACTAGAAGATCCAGAAGATGTGAGGGCTAGAGAGGAAATGGCACTGATCAATGCTGAGATCGTGGCTGCTGCGGCGGCGGGGCAACAGGAGCAGAGGTTGTCGACACAAGTTTATACACCGCCATCTCGCCCTGTTAACTCACATCAAAGACGTCCGACGTGGTTTGATCAAGCCAAGCTTGCTGTCGTCCATGGTGCTCACGGTGTTTTGAAATTCAGGAAAGAGGGAGCGGATATGGAGATTGTTGAATCGCCGAAAGAGACTGAACACCCACGGGCACAGGAGTCTGCTCGTGGTGCAGAACCGTTTCTTTATGACGGGCCAAAACACGCACGTTTACCCACCTGGGTCGATCAAGCAACCCTGCCAACTGTCTCTGGCTCTCACGGTATCTTGAAATTCAAGAAGGACGGAGCGGACGTGGAGGTCGTGGAAGTAAGGAGAAGTGTAGGCGAACCAACAAACCCACAAGAGTCCATACGGGAAGGGGCACCTTTCGTCTACGACGGACCCAAACATGCCCGTCTACCTACCTGGACTGACCAAGCCACTCTCCCAGTCATCTCTGGCTCTCACGGGGTGCTGAAATTTGGCGACAAGGGTGCCAGTATGGCTGGGGTTGAACCGCGACCAGAATCGCAGAGGTTTTCTCGACATGAGCATTTGCCAACTTGGGCGGACCAATCAAAGCTCGATCTCGTCTCGGGATTATGGGGAATACTATCTTTCAGTTCGGGAGGAGCAGATATGCTCGTCGTCGAAGCTTCAGAACATACTCTGCACAACCACATATTCACATGGGCCGATCAGTCAACACTCCCTGTCGTAAAGGGGACCCATTGCATGCTGAACTTCAATGACACCGGCGCAGACATGGAGGTGATCCAACCGACCATTCTCCCCGAAGCAGCTTGGTTCGGAAAACGAAACTCTCTTACTTCCCAACCCAAAAACAAAAGCAGAGCTGGAGTCGCCAGCCCATATATTACACCCAATATGCCAGGGAATGCCAAAGCCACCGAACAGGACATCAAGCAAAAACGGATTAGCATTCCGAATGGTCTCCGTAGCGCCACGATGAATCACGGTCGTGATAACACAAGATCAACGCCTGAATATACTGCAGAGAAAATTCTGGTTGCGGAGGTTGGCGGCGAGAAATATGACCTTAACCGTCCTGCGTTGAAGGAGATTGTGCAAGCTGTTGATGTTCCTATGAACAGAGACTCGTACTGGAACGCCGATCAAGGGAAATTGGCAGTTGTGAGGGGAAGTCATGGATACCTCGTGTTTGGCCCAATAGGAGGAGTGATGGTTGTCGTGAGCAAGGATGCGTACTGGGTCGATCAGCGTACGCTTTCCATCGTCAGAGGTGACCATGGTTTCTTATCCTTTGGAAGTTCTGAGACTGTTATGAAAGTACGGAGAAGGGACCCGTATTGGGCTGATCAGAGGACACTGGCTTTGGTGAGGGGATCTCACGGAAGACTCGCCTTCTCATCACGCGGAACAGCTTCTCTGGAAGTCATCAGACCAGATCCATATTGGAGTACAGACCAAGAGACAGTGCCTTTGGTCCGAGGATTCCATGGAAAAATGGATTTTGGCCCAGACGGAGCTTCTCTAAAAGTGGTTAGACCAGACCCGTATTGGGCTGATCAGAAAACGTTGTCTTTGGTGGAAGGATCACACGGAAGACTCACTTTCTCACCAAGTGGAGTCTCTTCACTGAAGATCGTTCGGCCCGATCCATACTGGAGTGTAGACCAGAGAACGCTATCTACGGTGACAGGATCTCACGGAGGATTGATCTTTGGCCCATATGGCGCTTCTTTGAAAGTCATCAGACCAGACCCATACTGGGTAGGTCAACGAGGCCTCGCCATAGTCAAAGGATCTCACGGTAGATTGGCTTTTACTGCCAACGGCACGTCACTTGAAATTGTCAGGCCAGACCCATACTGGGTTGATCAATCGACTTTGTCTTTGACTCAGGGCTCTCATGGAAGATTGGCATTCGGTCTCGATGGTGCTGCCTTGAAAGTAGTCCGACCGGATCCTTACTGGGCGGATCAAAGCACGCTTCCCCTCGTCGAAGGCTCCCATGGAAGACTCTTGTTCGGCTTAAGTGGAGCTTCTCTCAAAGTCATCAGACCAAATCCCTACTGGAGTGCAGACCAAAGGTCACTGGACACCATAGTGGGTTCACATGCAACACTCAAGTTCACTGTCGCTGGTGCGAGAATGGGGGTTCCATTGTCGAATCGGACATACTGGAATGCGAATCAAGCTAAATTGGCGGCCGTGAGGGGTGCCCATGGAACCTTAAAGTTCGATGGTGGAAGAGTAGCCGTCCACGTTGTCGGCCAAAAGCGTCCATATTGGGAGGCTGATCAGGCGGGCTTGAAGATTGTGAGAGGATCTCATGGGAGTTTGCGATTTGATGATGGGGCGGTGTCCGTCCGCGTTGTCAGTCAAAAACGTCCATATTGGGAAGCTGATCAGAGGAGTCTGAAAGTGGTTCGAGGATCTCATGGAATTCTACATTTTACGGCTGAAGGAGCGATGATTGACGTCGTCAAGCCGAGGAGCCTCTATTGGGTAGCCGACCAGAGGAGTCTGAAGATCGTTTGGGGATCCCATGCCAGGCTGCATTTCATGGGTGGAGAAGCAAACTTTGATGCTGTCAGACCACCAAGTCTCTATTGGAATGCGAATCAGGCATGCCTCAGGATAATTCAAGGATGCCATGGAAATCTAAGCTTTACAGGCGAGGAATCAAGCATCCATGCCGCTCAACCAAAAACTTCCTACTGGATGGCCAACCAAGCAAACCTCCTAGTAATTCAAGGATCCCACGGAATCATAACTTTCAATAACGCCGGGGCTTCTGTCGAAGCCAAAACCCGACCAACACCATATTGGACCTCAAATCAGGCGAAGCTGGATGAAATTCGAGGTTCTCATGGAATTCTAAAGCTCACAACTGAGGGCGCAGCCATACAATTACATTCCCATGCTGAGAATAAGCCCACACCCCGCGATCCTTTCGCAACACGGGCGGCGTACTGGGCTGATCAAGCCAAGCTGGAAAAGATAGAAGGAACCCACGCCAGGTTATCTTTCAACAATTCAATCTCCTCCAGCGTTCCCCACACAGCCCCAAAAGACAACTGGAACAGCCCACCGAACCTCGAAACGGGGGACTTCTTTCCCGACTCCGACAGCGAACTTGAAGAAGACCGACCCATTCTCTCCAAACGCACCTCCTTCGGCCCCGGCACGTTCGCCTCAATCCTCAACAGAGTCAAAGACCGCGTACCCATTGTCACAAACCTCGTCGGAAACGGCAGCTACTCCTCCTTCTCCCACAACGAAGAGTCACCAATCACACCAACCGACACTTCTCCATCCACTCTTGATAACCAGCAACCAATCGACGAACCCATTATCCACGACTCACCAGAATCATCACACCCCCATCACCAAAGCGCACACTTCGAAGATAATCCTGTCTCGGCGATTTATGGGGAGGAAGAGAGGGAGGTTAAGTTGAGCCCGCTGCCAACGCAGGTGGAGTTTCAGTTCGATCCGGTCTATGGACAACCGATTCCGCTAGCTCCAAGGGCGAAAAGTCCATTACTTAATAGAGCGCCGATAAGCACCAAGCCGTTTGAGAGTGTGAGGGGCTTAGCAAGTAACAATCCTTTTCGGAGTGCGATTCCGGTGAGGAAGGCGAGTGTGACAGCTCGGGGTGACAGGAATGATCGGATGATTGAGAGGAGGAGGGCGTTGTTTGAGGGCGGGGCGAAGTGAAACGTTACAGCATTCAGAGATGGCGGGAGTGTTGGACGCGATCGTGGATGATAATGATAGGTGTCTGGTATATATTAGAAGCACCCACTAGATCAATTACCCACAATTGGGCAAAGTTTTGATACGGAGCCTCCTATGTGCTTGAGAACAGCAGAGGTGGATGTTTGTCGTCCCAAGTGTGGAGCAGGGTCAGGTTCAGCCAGCCCCTGAGACTCGCCTGAAGATCCGAGGGACAATAATATGGGCAGGTCACCAATTCTCCAACGCTTCGACTTGGGCCGAAAAAACGACTAGTCATGCACAAAAGTCAACTATTAGGAATTTTTCATGATATGATATATACATTTTCATTACATTACTTTCACCATGCCACTCCCCTGGCCACATTCATGCCAGAGATATCCCACTCATCATGCTTGGTATTGAGTTCGTTTGCTCTTGACGAGTCTTTTATCCAGCCTGGTACAGAAACGGCCCAGCAGCAACATGTGGGTTGACATTGCTGAGGTTGAACGCCGTGTACGAGGTATTCGTGTCAGTGAGAGCAATAAACATCGTGCCGTTGATAGCTGGATCTCCCTCCTGTTTCACAATTAGCACACATCCACCAATCCGATCCCCATAAATCAATACTCACATAAGTTGAAACGTCAGGCTGAATCGTCTGCCCGTAGTTCATCCCATTCCTCGCAGTAATATTGGTGAGCGGCGAGTACGTGATATTCAACTGGCTGACCCAGAGGACAAACTCCGGAGGCCCAGCACTGGTTGCTGTGATATAACTGTTATTCGGTCCAACAGCCTTACCTGGGTTCTCCCAGCTCAAGAAGACTTCTCGTCCAGGGTATGAAAGCGGAACTGATCTGTTCTGGCTGACTGATGCAGAACAATCAAAGCCGGTAACATTATACCCAACACAAGTCTCGTTCGCGGGTGGATCACTACTCGGAGCTGCAGGTCCAAATCCCGTCGTCTCATTGAACCCCGTCTGCGTCGCATTTCTCCTCGCGCTATTCGGTTGATTCAACACATGCAACGCGGGGAAGTTCTGCCAGACCAATCTCTTGCTGTTCGCCGGGCACTCTGAAATATACGGCGCTAGAAGGGTCCAAGCCCACGACTGAGGAATCCCAGTCTCGAACCAAACGGGCATGGGGAACAGGCCTGCGAATTGTCGGAAGATCATCTGTTGGCGGGCTTCGGTGGCGATGGATTGGTCGAGGAGTTGCGCGCACTCGCGGGAGTCGAGGTGCGCTTGGAAACCCCAGACGCCAGACTCGCCAAAGCGGGTTAGCTTTTGGGTGAAGTCGAAGGCTTCGTGGACGGTGGTGAAGGGGTAATTGTATGTGCCTGGTCATCCAAGTTAGGGCGTGCAAGAGAAGGGGGGGCCGAAAACTGGGCGCTTACATTGTGGGGTAGCACCGCTTGGTCCACCGAGCAAATTGGAGAGCAGGGTTGCGTGTCCAGACTCTTGATCAGCCATGAACTCGATGAGAAATCTGTCACTTGGAGTCAAGCCTGCAGCCGTGAACTCCTCCTCAGAGAATGTAGCGAGAATATTATGGAAAAGATCCAACTCGATCCACTCCTGGTACAAGCCTAGGAGGATGGACTGGTAGTCGAAGTCGGACTGAACACGGTAAACGGGCTCAGTGCCGTTGGTGCCCAGACCACCGGCTGGCTGGTAGGGGATGGGCTGCTGGTTGTTCAACGTGCCGTTGGGGTTGTATACCAGTGCGGTAGGATTTGGTGGAAGCATTGGGATCGCTGTACCAGCTGGGGAGTTGCTGATTGCGCCGGTAGTAGTGGGAGGAGGCCCGGAGTATGGTCCATGAGAAGTAACGCCAGTGACTTGGCTGCTCACAATCGGTGGGACGGCATTCGTTGCGCCGGGAATTTCAGATGCTGGAATTCCTGCATGTGAAGCGACTGAAGAGATAGCAGCGCTGTTGACGGAAGGCTGTTGAGGGTAGGAATAAGGAAGAGGATACCCTGTGGAGGAGGCAGTAGGGCTTGAGGTTGTAGTGGCTGCTTGCGGAACAGCAGAAGCTGCGGCGATGAAACCAACAGCGACACCTGCTTTGAAAAACATCTTTTGAACTGTGCTGACGCGGGACACAGAGAAAATCAGAGCTCAGGAATACGGGAAGCTCATCTTATACAGCATGGTATTCATTGCCACAACCAGAGACTTGGGAAGCATGACGTTTACAGATTGGTGAACTTGCTGTTGTAACTGCGGAGACGTGAGGTAATGCCGATAACCGTCAGGAATGCGAAAGAGCTCTTCATTGGAGCATTTAAGGAACTGTGGGGATTTGAAAGTCAGAGAAACTCTCCCCCAGTGACATTGTAGTCCTTCTTTGAAAGCGCTAGCTAGTACCGGAGGGGAGAACCCAGGATTTAGGCTTCAGAGTCGGTAGCCCAGCAATAAAAGTAGAAAAACTGCCGATACTCTTTCTTTGCTTGCATGCCACTTCTTAGCACGCCCCAGAAGGCAATCGACCTTTCGTGTTGCCGCTGAACTTGTGACACTAGAAATACTCAGACCAAAATCTAGTCTGGACAGCATCTGCAAACTTCTGCCATGCCTCCGGACCGAAGAGATTCCCCTTAGAGTATGCAAGATTGCAAACACCGAAAGTCATGACTTCAACATAAAATTCCATCCGAAAACGTCATAGTCAAGGTACACACTAGTGCCGCCGTTGAGCCTCGCCGGACCTTCTGCTAGCCCCTCGTACCCCAGATATTGCGTATCTCACTAATCCTCCTCCCCACCAATTGAAACCCTTGCAAATCGGAATGATAATCAACATGCAATGCAGTGCCACTCGACGGTGTTGCACATTCTTCCATACGAGTGGCCCGTGGAGGTCTTGGGGTCGAACCTAGAGATGTGGTCCCGGCTGGCTCGGGGAGAGTTGAGTGCCTCAAGGTGATGGGATTGTTGCTTTGTCGATCTCATCCAGACCCGTAAGTTTTTGACGCCCGTCTTTGGATGACGTTTAAAATCAAGCGGCTGTTTCCGAATCAGAACTTTTCAATGTCCACCCGGATGTCCACGTGGATGTCAGCTCGTCCGGGTGTGTGCTCGATCGAGTTGATCCTCGAACCCCACTCTCCAGGATCAGGGTCAGACCTCACACCAGCAATCTCAAGGAAAGATAATCTCATCTTTCGACTAGGCAGGGGCCGTTACCGTGAACCTTAGTGCCTTCGATTCAGAATGCCATGTTTTTAAGATGGAAATGGAGTTGACAAATCGAGTGCGAAGTTTCAATTCAATGACGTTCTCGAAATAGGCGCTGGTCCGAGCCACCCTGGCAACACGCTCCCCCGCCACTCACAAGGAAAACGTGACAGTGCATAGAGTCAAAACCGAGCAAGAAGTAGTTGGTCCTCTTGGTAGTATCTAAGATTGCTTTTGCGAAGACTCATCTACATTTGGCCAAGTTTTGAGATGCTTTGCGAAAAGGAATAAATCACGTGCAGCAGGCGACACTTCACCCCTAGATGTTCAAAAAGTCCATTACGAAGTCCGGATGTTCGGCTCAGAGAAGCCTTTAGAATATCAGTGACCTTTTTGTGGCAATGCATGCAATAGTCATGACCGCGCAGTCGAACACAACTCCCATCTCTGGCAGTTTAGTCAAAGTGCTTTCTCTGATTTTCAAGGCAATGTGATATTCTCAAACAATAAATAAAGCTGCTGCCTAAACATGAAATACTTACGCCTCTTCAAGTTAAGTGGCGGTGTCTTCTTGTGCCAAGATTAGCGAGTTTTGCCAATGTACGGAGATTTCGTTTATTTATGCCGGAATAACGAGGCGACAGCCCATAAGACGTACTGTGAGATCCACGATAACCCGAATGGATCTACCACGCCGACATGCGTCGTGGAGTACTAGTGTGAGGGGATAATGGACCAGATCATATCAGGGAGTCGAAGGGCGGCAGTTGAGCGAATAGGAAGTGTGGCTATTCTTTAGTGTATCTGTAATATAAGATGGTTGCTTGTCGAAGCTGTTACTAGACGAACTAAGGCGACTAAATACCCGCTGCTAAAACAACCGTAGAACTTCTCATTCAAGAAAACCTGCTGATAACTTGTGTGGAGCTGCACAAGTTGAGAAAATAGCCTATTAATTCTAGACTTGCGATATATGACGTAGAACCTGTGGAGGGGGAGTTTTGCAGTTGATATTGAAAGATCGAGTTTCTGACTACTAAGACGGATAGATACCAAAAAAGAATAAGCATCAAACTTACATGTATGCAGCAAGCTAATTTCTGGGAATAGAAGACTCAACTTGGTAGTGAGGGTGTCAATGTCTGGAGATGCCCCCCTTTTTGATGAGGCTGGCTTTAGGCGAGCTTCAGGGGGCTCGCTAAACTTGGTCATGATGTGCAAGCCCACAGTTAATATTACGAGAAATTGTGCAATTAAGAGGCGAATAGAATTTGTATAAGTAGTGTAACGAAATACATAATTTGCAGCGCCCGCAAGTTTCAACGCGCCCCTGTTTCATTCATGACAGTTGAAATGCTGCACATGGCAACTGAACTGACGAGCCTCTCTTTGCCTGGCTCTTTTAGAAAGACACCTCACAGTCCCAATCCTTCATAACCGCCGCCCAATGCAATCGGCCCTTGACCGAGAACTCTGGATCCTTATTATCAACAGTGTCTGCCACACCTTGCATTCTTTGCTGCCGATAAGCATCTCGTCTCTTCCACACCTCTTGGGTTATTTCCCAGCACTTGGAGACATTGGTAACTCTCATATGTGCTAACATGGCAACCCATCGTTCTTTGGCCCAGTCCCTCTCTTCCTTGTTGTTTGCTTCGCAGCCTGCTACAAACAGTGGATATATTTGCGTGAAGGTTACCGAACAACTCGGTGGAGAACGCGAGAGGTGCTTAACTGTGGTCCGGGCCAGGCACTGACTGCTGGCCATACCAAAGATGTCTGGCATAACTTGATGAAGGAATAGAAGAATAGCGTATCGGTATGCCTCCGCAGTATGTACCACATATTGCTTGTCCAAGGCAGAGAGGTGTACTGTAGTCGTAGATAAATAGCTCGTGTCGTGGGAGTATCGCCCGACTTTGCGTTTCAAGGCTTCGGCTTTTGTGATAATGTCTGAAGTTGTTACCGTTGCCATCCTGACTTCGTAGCAAAGGTCTGCTGCAGCGTAAATCAACTCGACAAAGGTCAAAGAATAGGAGATCCAAGGATCCAGAAGGACAGAGCATGGATGTGTTTCCCAATTCGGCGGAAATGGTCGCATAAATCCCCTAAATTTTAAGCAGGTTCTAGGATTTTCTTCTGAGATCGTTGACTGCACCAGATCTGAGAGTGCATCCATATAAAACAAAGTTGACACTAGAAACAGGGAAGAATAGGAGTCAGCAGACGAAGGTTTCGGTGCAATATTCCGGCGCTGCGAACCAATTTTCAGAACGATTGCAAACGCTCCCTTGAGATGTGTTTTCCCCTCGCGAAAACTATCATTCCACCTTGCCCAGGATGCCAGGAGTAGGACTGTTGCAAGAGCGGATATTTCGAACCCTGGGCGGCTCAGCTCGTTACTCAATATGCGAAGGCTATGAATTATTGAGGCCGCTCCATGATTATGAAGTTGGACGTCGGCTATAAGTGTGGATACATGCAGAGCCGTGATGGCAGATATGGCATGGGGTAGGCTTTCTGAGCTCCGCATACGTGGTAGTATCAAAGTCTGCCACATGTTGTTTTCGCCACTCGTGATTGACAGCATGGGACAAATTTGTTCTCGAAAGCGCGAGAAAAGGACTTCAGGGCTATCTGGTCGGTCTTGAATGGTTCCGGGAAGCGCCCCGGGAAAGACGTCGCCATAGTGGTTTAGACCACCTTGTCTGAGTCCGAACATATGAAACGGAGTGGAGGAGTCCGAGGAAGCCGTTGTGGTTGTGGCAGAGTTGAGGAGGTGAGACAAGGAGAGCTCAGCTGATTGGTACGAAGTACCATCCAGGCTTGAGCGACTAAGTTGGTTATGAAATACAGCGAGTTTGCGTACAGGGCTGCAATTGCAGAGTAAATCTTGCCAGAAAAACCTGGGAGTGATTAGTGCAGTCATGATTCAAGGGGTCACGGTCAACAACCTGGTGCAAGGAGAGCACTTTGGGAGAGTTTTATCACATTTCATCTTGCGGCTCTTGCAATTTCCACAGGGCCTTGTGGCAAAAATTTTCACGGATGAAGAAACTGTTTGAAGACAGGTATTGGATGGTGAGTCAGGACCTGGTGTGAAAACACTGAAAGCAGGAGATGGCGCTATTCAAGGTATTAGCCACTGTCCAATCACCATAAAAAGGTAAGTATACCGTCGCTTGGACTCGGCATGGACAGCAGATCTTCTTCAGTGACATTGTTCCGTTTAAGATATCGATTGATATTCCTTTCAGCCACCGGTTTCTTGTCGACACGAAACCCACTGTCTTTGTCATCCTCTCTCTTCCGCTTTACTCGTACGCGTGCGATTTGAACCATAACATCTCCTTTCACATTCTTGATGTCGAATCGCCATTTCGTTAGCCGACTCTTGAGCTGTTTTTCCCTATCTGAAGTCTTAGCCATGTCCGCCGCTTTGAATACAAACTCTGAGAAAGGAAGAACTTACGTAGGAGTGAAGCCATATTCGTGCTCCAAAGCATGCGTGACCTCTTGAAGAGTCTTCTGTTCCAGGACATAGAGGCGTTCAATTTTCGGCTTCATGTCTTCCCATTCGTCAGACGTGTATCGGGGCGCATACTCGCGAGGCCCATGAGACGTAGGAGCTGGGAGTCTGAATGTTGACTCCATGACGAAGTCCGGAATGGGTCAGAAATCAGGCTGAATTATCTTTGAGTGTTCATTCCAGAATGGACGGGCGATACTTGATTCAAATACGCGACTGCTTGGACCGGTGGTGCAAACTTCAAGACATGTGGCTGCAGAATGGCGGAGGCTGATGTATCCCCCACCCCCACATCATTGGGCCACAAGTCAGGCATGGCCTTGTGGCGTTCCCAATCCGGGGATTTTGGAACTTCTGGCTTTGGCTTGGGGGCGAAGCCTTGATTGGCTCAACACCTGACAGGCAGAACCCATCCCATCACGAGACTGGTGCCAACGCCACGTTCTCGCCTTCCCGGAGCTGAAGCCAAAAGTTCCTTTTATCCAGTATTTCCCGATCCTCACATCCCTCAGGACTCAAACGTCAAAGTTTGGCGGTCGGAGGGATGTCTCGGGCGGGATACTCGCCCACCAATGCTACTGCACCGGCCGTCCCGTCTTGTAATCCTTCGATGGCCAAAGTTCGATTCGGATGGGGCAGGAGCAGGCATCAGGGCTTGGGACCGGGGTGATAGACGCACCATCCCCAGGTATGGTGATCACTTTTAGATCCCACACAGATCTCAAAGTCTCATCTTGCGAAAATTCCATTCGAGAATAGGTAAAGCTTTGATAGCCAAAAGTTCGATTGCGCCTCCAACAAGGCGCGAGCAGGCACAGACGTAAGATCCAAAAGTTCCTTTCGAGGATAGATAAACTCGCTGCCATTTCCTGTCTCCCATGAGCGTCTCCGTTTCTCGTGCACCCGAAAAGCTGTCGAGGCTCTCCTTCGCACTCCGGTCAATCCTCTTGACAAACCTAAGCCTGCATGTTCAAACGATCAATGCTCTCCACCGACTCTACCATAGCCCTCGCAGTCGGCCTCGGTGGCCTGCTCGTCTCCACCATCGGTACAATCGTCGGGTACATGAGCTACAAATCCATGAAAGCAGGGCATGTTGAAAGTTAAAATTTCTCTTGACAAGTAACTTGAAATCTGTGCTGAATTTTTAACAGATGAGAGGGTCTTACCACGACACTTCTCGGCTGGCGGATATATTGGAGGTGTGTCGAGAGTACCCTCTATGCCACCCAAGGCACACCTCTCTTGGCCACGAGACTCGTTCACTGAGTTGGGATATCAGGAAGGGTATCGAGATCGCCGGGTTTGAAGGCGTCATATATGGTCGAATGTCAAACCGAGACCTGGGCGTGACTGTAAACACTGTTATGCATGAATGGATGTATCAGCGTAGTTACCCATACATCGTTATTAAAACGCTTTGGATCCATTCTATTAGAAGACAACATAGATGAAGAGGGAATTCGAGGTGTCTATGTTTGTGCTCTTTCGATGCTATATGAGAGATAGATTGATAACATACTTTGTGAAAAAGAATTTCCTCTGCATTAACTCCCAGCCTGGCTGGATCAGCCCTCCATCGAGACTGAAGTCTGGGTATGCGTTCGTCTGAGAATTTGTCCGCATAGATATCCACCTCCGCATGGCCAGCGTCGTCTCCTTTTTTATCCATGCACAAGTCTACCAAATACAAAACCAAATTGGAAATTCTCCTCAACAAAACGAGCTCACCTGGGGCCACTTTGCCTTCGGTCTGGTCATAGGAATACAACCAGGAGAGGAGGGAAAAAAACAAAAACACCACCTGGCATGAAACCTCGGTGCCTTTGCTACACTTGTAGATATAAGCCTTGCGAAGTTGCGATGATGAGACGAAAATAATCGGACCATTTCAACTGAATATCTCACAACCTCATCTCATCCCACGCAAATCAAGCATTGAACAAAGCCAAACTCCATTCTCCTAACCGTGTCCTCTGATGCATGCAAGTCTCATGAAACTCATCTAAATACCCAACACAGTCTTCCCCCTCTCATAAACATAAAAGCTCACCGCAACCATTGGCACGACCTTCACATACCCAATCGTCAGTCCCACCCAGAACCCTTGAACCCCCCGCTCCCTGAAAATCATCTTGGCTGTCTCGCCAACATGTAAGCGATGCCCATCTCCGACCGCGCCTCCGACTTGCATTCTCCTTCTAATTACCTCGAGTGGGTATGCACTTGTCTGTGATACCAGACCTGCGATACCGCCAGAGAAGAGCTCGGCCCAGGAACGTAGAGGTGCTGGTTTGTTTGGTGGGGAATTGGAGGGTCTGGGGAGAGTGGTATAAGGAGCGAGTGCAGGGTGCCGCAAGATATCTCCCGCTGTGTCGTGAGTAAGGAAGGACATTCCTGCATACGGCAACATGCCCATAATCGTCGCCGAGAAGCCTCTATAGAAATTCGCCAGTCCCGCTCTCGGCACCACCGTCCTAACAGCCTCTGTCGTCACTGCAAAAACGGCTGGTCCGGAAACTGGTCTTTGAGGTGGGGGAGTTTCGTTGTATATTCTTTTGCAGATTGCGGAGAGGGAGGAGCGAGAGTCGCGTTTTGTTTCAAATGCGAGACGCACACGGATTACTTCCAAAGGATAAGTGAAGAAGACGCTGGTCACTCCTGCCAAACTCCCGCTAAGTAATCTTCGAATTGGAGTTTCTTGTGCAGGGGAGTGGATAATGACGGAGCGGATCTGCTCATACGCAAGGAATTTGATGGCAGCGTAAGGAAAGATTCGAAGCAGGGTTGCGGAATGCCCGCGGAAGAGTCCTCGTGTGCCGTCTTCACGGTAGATGTCTTTCATCGCCGTGATGACCCCAAACCAGCTGCCGGTGTATTTTGCGAATTGGGGATTCGAGGCTTGGAAGAGGATTTTGACGCGGTCGAGGGGGGCGACCATTGTTTTGGCCTATTTCATATACCATCAGCACACGCTCATGACATTGGAATGAAGAGGGAAATGTACAGCACTCCCTGCCAGTCCTCCAGCAAGCCCAGTCCGCCATATGTAGTCGAAGCTCTGCTTGTGCGGCTTCTTCGTCTTCGGTGCTATCGTGTCGTCATCTGTGGGACAGATAGCCAACTGCTTCTTCCGCGCCTCGTCCATCTCTCGTGGTTTGTCGGCGAGCAGCGCGGGAGGGGAGGCATCTTTCAAGAAGGCCGAGGGCATTCCTTGCCGCCCAGAGGCTTCGGTGTGTATTATCTTCTTGCTGGAAGTGGGATTGTCATTCCGCCGTGATATAGGGAGTAGGAAGGAGGAAGGTGGTCAGGAATAAGAGAAGTGTTGTCTTTGAGAGTAGTTGAATTGAAGTGGTTGTGCCATCAAAATGCGGTTTCTTGAGTTGCCGCGGACGTCATCTTAGCGCATGCCGGTCTCGGCAATCTTCAACGGTTTTTTGACCCGCTGTTTTCCGAGGTGCAGGAGGTGGAGTTTTCTTTATCCCCTCGTTGTCTTCGTATTATCCAAATTGTTATGACTTCGATATTTCCACCCTTTGGGAACTACCAGTCGCAAACCCATATAGTTATGGCTATTTCTCTTGGAATTTGTCGAGCTCGCACGTGACCAGAACTATATGTACTTTTCTGCGTCCGAGTGTCTTCTCTTCTCTCTCAATCTTTTCATCAAATATACCATTTTACGTTGCTTCTTGTTTTCATGGCATCATGTATATTATACCAAAATCTGGACTCAACTGTCATACTTATCGACATTCCCCGCTCAATTGAAGAAGCTCAAGGAGATTCTTCACAGAGATTGCTTTCATCGAAGCCGATCGAGCATCCGTTTCCATCCGTTGAGCCGAAGTCTGAAAAGGCACGAAAAAATCTTGGAGAACTTGCTTTGGAAGAGTTGATCTTGCAGAAACATATACAGCTTTCATTGGATCAGTTGAGCAATGAATGGAGTGGAGAGTGGTGTCTACCACGGTGTGTGAAGTCTGTCTCCGAGGGTTGTGGAAAACTGAAGGTGAAACTTGGCACGAAGCGGAAGAGAGGAGAGGAACAGCGCGAAGTTGCAAAAAGCCCTGAGACGGAAGAGAGTACAGATCAAGATCCGAATGCCAACCCCAAAGATGGGACTTTCTTCAGGAACTCTACGCTGAAACCAACAATAATACCCGTGGGGAAAGATGCTGTACAGGTACCCTCCAACTCAACAGCATTATGCGGAGACATCACATCCACAACCGAGATCTTCATCTCCCAGGCCCCAAAATTCGACCTTATAATCCTCGACCCACCATGGCCAAACCGCTCAGCACGAAGAAAGAAGTCATACGGAGTCTCATACGGTAACCACGAGATCCGATCCTTGTTGTTATCACTTCCCCTCACAAACAACCTTACAGACGACGCTCTCGTAGGGGTCTGGGTAACCAACAAACCGACCTTTCGCGAGATGGTACTTGGTGAAAGAGGCCTATTCGAGGAATGGGGTGTACAGTTGGTAGAAGAGTGGATGTGGCTTAAGGTTACTTCAACAGGGGAGCCGATATCCGAGTTGAGTTCGATGTGGAGGAAACCATACGAGATTTTGCTTGTAGGAAGGAGGACTATTTCCAGAAATGGGGATGTGAAAAGGAGAGTCTTGGTCGGAGTTCCGGATCTGCATTCCCAGAAGCCAAATCTGAAGAGTATTTTCGAACAGGTGATGAAGAAAGAGAAGTATGAGGCATTGGAGGTCTTTGCCAGGAACCTAACGGTCGGGTGGTGGGGCTGGGGGGACGAAGTGCTGAAGTTCCAGAGTGAGGAGTACTGGATAGAGGGAGAGCATTTAACCCAGGATATCCCATAATATTGATAAATACATGTTGTACACCCATCCGTCTACACCTACCATGTTTTCATCAAAGTTCCCTTCATGGCCCGGTCTTAGGCAATTCGACATCCGTCTCAACCTCCACCTCCTCCCCATTAATATCCCACTCGTTCTCCTTCGGCGTCGACCTCCAGCTTTCTTTACCCTGTAACAGCGCCTTTGCTTGTTCCGCCATACTAGCCCTTTCTCCCGTTGGTTTTTCCCTGAAATCAGGTCTGAACATTTCTTCGTGCTGCGTTCGATCCTTATTCGCTGCATCGAAAGTGCTTTTATCCCACCTATCCCCTTGTTAGCCTCCGCATCCTCACCACCTAAAATATCATCAGAACATACGAATCAAACTCCTTCGGCTCCTCTGGCCACACAAACGGCCTCTCCATCTCCACCATCATCTTCTTAATACTCTTCGGCCGGAACCACTTCCTAGGCTTCGGCCGCTTCGAGCCCGGCTTGTCCTGCGTGATTTTCTTCATCTGGATGTAGGAGCGTACGCCATGCACGCGAATACCGTAGGCGTGGAAGAGGTAGTCGCGGAGGTCAAGCTTGTTTAGGGAGAGTGGGACGAGGAAGGTGGCGAAGTTGGGGGGCGAGCTGGGCGTGCGGAGGAGGGTGAGGACGAAGTTTGGTCTGGGGATAGTTAATGGTGAAATGGAGGTGGAGAGGGTGGTTTGGATGGGAACGGGGGAGGAAGGGGATGCGTACAAGAAAACCTGCTTCTTGCCGAAGATTGGCGGTCTGATGGCTCGTTGGGTTGCCATTATGCCAATTGACACGAGGACAATCCTGTGAATGAAAAGTGAAGCTGTTGATAGCTCAGCTCGCACTCATGCCTTGAAGGTGCACCCGCGATAAATTTCGACCCCAAGTGGGTCCAGCCCCCGACCAATGAGACCCCTGCACACCTGCGTGGCAGGAGCAGCCTTGTGCAAGGCTGCGACTCCCAAACGTCACCTCGGTTCCTTACAAGTTTCCTTACAAATACTCGCAACCCACCCCACTTGCCCCGCTGCTGTTGAACAACCTTCTCAAACACAACAAACTCTTCTTCCCCCTTTCAAAACAAGATAGATCCAGACCAATTGACTTCGCTTCTTGAAAAGCAATCTCGAAAAAGATACTACGAGTAATTGATGCACGATGGCTTCTAATCCGCCAGCCCAATGCTGCACTGTTGGTGTCAAGCACGAGTAAGTGCCCCTCCTTGCCTCTCCTGGTGCCCCTCCTCCACTTTTGTCTTTACAATTGCACCGCTGCTTCAAAAATGGGATTGCTTGACAAGGAAAACAGAGGTGAACCAACCGGCAAATCCATTAAAATCGGGAGCATCGAAGCCTACGTCGCGGAGCCCACCGGTAAGAACATCCACAAAGGCACCGCAATCCTCTATCTCCCCGACGTAATCGGCATCTGGCAGAACTCGCAATTGATGGCCGACCAACTCGCTGTCAACGGATACTACACCATCATCCCAGATCTGTTTAACGGCGATGCATTGAAGCTCAATCGACCGGCTGGTTTCAATCTGATGGAGTGGTTGGCCAAGGGAACGGGCGGGAATAATCCACATACGTACGAGTATGTGGATCCGATTGTCGAGAAGAGCATTGCTTGGTTGAAGGAGCAGGGGTTCAAGAAGATTGGGAGTGTTGGGTATTGCTTTGTACGTCAATCCACTTTCCTTCCCTTTCTTACCTTCGTCCAACAAGTGGCCAATGTGTTGAATAGGGAGCCAAATACACTATTCGTTTCATGCCAAAGGGAAAGGGCATCGATGTCGGTTACGTTGCTCACCCTTCTTTCGTGGAGGAATCCGAGCTCGCTGCCATCTCTGGACCTCTCTCGATTGCTGCCGCAGAGACAGATCAGATCTTTCCGGCCGAAAAACGCCACAAGTCCGAAACGATCCTCATTGAGACTAAGCAGCCGTACCAGATTAACTTGTATAGTGGTGTGAGCCATGGTTTCAGTATTAGGTGTGATACGAGCAAGAAGATCGAGAAGTTTAGCAAGGAGCAGGCGTTTTTGCAAGCTGTGACCTGGTTTGACGAGCATTTGGTTTGACTACATGATGGCAGGATTGGAGAGAAACTGTGAAGATTTAGCTTGTTTGCATGGATGGAATCGGAAGGTAGCTTGAGCTTGACTCGCTCACTGATGACTTGACTTGAGATGAGGAAATCCTGTGGCATGAATGTGAAACATTCTTCGCTCCTTTCATCGCACAATCAACTGTGAAATGTGACCGTGTTGGCTCTGGAGCGATTTCACAGGATGAGGATACAAATCCAACACGCGCTGGCAAGTACCAATGCACCATCTAACCTCCTCCCCAGCTCCCTGAATCCCGATGAAATCGAACTTAAAACATACCCCATCCACCTCCGATCGTAACAGTCTGCCCCGACACCAACACAGCCATGACGCTTTAACTTGAGAAAATGAGAACAAATCCAACCTCCGAAGTAGAAAACATCGAACGGCAAGAAGTTTGGATGATGGGAATGGGACTGGCGCTCTAGGGACTTTATTTGAGAGTGCTTGGTTATGGTGTGAGACCTCGTCTCAGCGAAGAGGGTCAATGAATGGCACTGGTGCTGCTCTTTTGAGGCACCCCAGCTTTGATGTATGGCACACTTGAAGCTTGATCGCATTCTGAGATGATTTTCGAGTTTCGAGTTTCGAGTGTGAGATGGGTTTCTGTCATCAAGAAAGATGTCATTTGTGACTGGAAGTAGTGCTTGTTTCGGCGATAAGAAATCCTTATCGTTGGCTCATGTCAAATTAACCGGTCGAGGTCCTGATCTTGAGGACAGAGGATTCATTCATTGTCTAGACCCCATTCGCGTCCTGCCTCACACGATTTGCTCACTGCGAGGAGACCGTATTCCCTGTCGGTGCTTGGATGGCCTCCCCTTCATGAACGACCAACTCTGAATCTCGACGAATGAAGCTGCGTCCCCCATCCCCTCCTCGTGACGGGGCTTCGTCTTCAAGCTCAATGCCCGCTTCCCCTCAAGCGCCCAACGATGTCATCAGGGTCAGTGTCCGCAGATCACCAAACAATATTGGACCCTGTGGATAAGGCTGACCACTCTGCAGATCCTCCAAAGACCTCTCCAAAGCAATCTCCTCCCACGCTGCGAAGCTCAGAGTCCCCCTCCCAGACGATATCCAGCGAGTGATTAATGCCTACCTCGACAAGCACCCCGATCCAGATGAACCTGAGTCCCATAGACTGCAAGATGAGCTTCTTTCCGTCTACCAGTCTTGCATACGAGACGTGCCGTCGCGGCTTGCTCCCTTCCTCGCCATCCTCCTCCCTCTGAAGCCGAACATAAGCGGATCTGGCAGATTGCTCTCATGGTGGGACAAGCTTTCAGTTCCGGTACTGAACAACATTGGGGCCGAGAAGGGGCTGGCCGTCGTGGCAAAGGATCTTCTGCTTGCAATCTTGGTTTATGATGAAGATGAGGACGATGCAAAGACACTAGAGGCTAAGGCTACGAGTAATACTCTGGCGGAGACGTTGTTCGCTACATGGCTTGCGCAGAGTAAGGCTACTTTGGATCAGTTCGACGACCATGCCAAATTTGTAGTGGAGCAGATTAAATTCATTCTCATTGCGTTTGGGAAGAGAAGACCAAAGGTGAGGGGTAATTACATCGAGTGAATGCTGGTGTTGACATTACCCTAGGACTTCTTGACTACGTTGGACACGTTCTTCGTGAAGAAGGATAGCAGAATATTGACCTTGTCTCTGCTCTGCGAGTTCATTCAGCAGCAGCCTCCACATCTACATCAGCTCCTACAAACGCCTCTCTTCAATAACCTCCTCAAATGTCTACAACGAGACACTTCAACAAGGGTTATATCGCTGGCTATGACGGCTTTGGTTATGTTCCTCCCTCACATGCCAAGTGCTGCAGCGCAGCATCTCCCTGCCCTTTTCAACATTTATAGCAGAATGCTGTTCTGGTATCGAGAACGCAAAGCTGCCGAACCTCGACCTCGTGCTGATGATGACGAGAAGAGTGAAAAAGAGATTTCTCTACCGGAGCAAGATGAATCTTGGGACAAGCTCTCCTATTTACTCGAATCTGAAGACGAGCAAGTGCCAGAGTTGCTACACTATTTCACGTTTTTATACGGCCTCTATCCTATCAACTTCATGAGCTATATCCGCAAACCTCAGAGATATCTCCGGCATGCCAACTTTCCTGGAGCAGATGATCTGGATATTGAACCTACCGAGATTCGACAGAGATCTGAGCCTTTCAGAAGACTGCATCTGCTGCACCCAAACTTCTTCCTGCTCACGATTGAGTCAGAACTCACCGACAATAATCGATGGCAGAAGAGTGAAGCAGCGGATGTGGTTGCGGAATGCATGGCTCTTTTCGTCCCCGGTGAGGATGCTCAGGGACTTGTTCATAGATCCAAGGCACTGGCAAAGAAAGTTGCAGTGGATTCGGATGTTCCTGAGCAGCCCCTATTGGATGAAGAAACCGTGACGCCGTATCAATCTCGCCATACCAGCTGGAGAAACACAACGTCCACTGCAGTCGCTTCACCTACTGAAATCCGCCATTCAAGCTTACACCGCAAATATTCACAGACTTCTCAGTCAATGCCATCCATCGCTGATTCTCCATCCCTTCAACCATCTGATCGCCATGATAGTCCCACAATACTACCGACGATGACCGCTTCTCCAAGCAATAATCAGCTCTCGGATATGCTTAACACTCAAAAATCAATCAGGGGCAGTCTCTATCAATCTCTAACCAACGAATCAGTTGCCTCGCTCGCATTATCCAACTCCCCGCATGACCCCCATCACGTAGCGGCCTATCTCGATTCGCTTGGTCCCCAACGCTCTCCCTCACTGAGACCAACCACCAACGACCCGAATCTCAAAGTTGCCTACCTCCATCGCGAGATCCAACTTCTTCGGAACGACCTAAACTTCGAGCGCTACCTCAAACAACAGCATCTCTCGCACATCGGCCAGCTGCGCCGCAATCAAATCAAAGAAGCGCGCGTGGAAGCTGAGACGCAGAATCTGCTCAACGCGAACCGTGGTCTGAGGAGTAAGTTAGACGAAGCAAAACGGGCAAACCTACAGATGAAGAAGGAGAGTGAGAAAAGCAAGGCACATTCTAGGAAGTGGGAAGCCGACCTCTCTGCCAAACTTCGTGTGCTCCGCGAGGAACAAAAGAAGTGGCTGCTGGAGAAGGCAGATCTGAAGAAGGATCTTGAGATTGCGGTCGATAAAGCAGAGAAGCTCAAACAGCTCGTCGTGACGTCCGAGAGCAGGGAGTTGGCAGCGAGACAAAAGACAATGTCCGTAGAAGCTTCCCTCGACGAGTTGGAACGCCTCCGGAATGAAGTCGAGAACCTCACGCTCCGTATCCGCAAATACGAAGCCCGTGACCTCGACGTATTGCGTCAAGAAGACGCTGCAGCAGAAGCATTCAAGCGGGTCACCCTCCTTGAGATGGAGCTCCGAGCCCGTGATCAACAGCTCGCTCGCTCTAAGCAAGCTTTCGAGCAAGAGCTCCACGAGCGAGAGGAGAAAGCCAAAGAGGACAAGGAGGAAGCCTACGTGCAAAAAACTACGCTCTCGCAAGAAATGCTGGATTCCGTGCTCGAGAGCAGCAGGAAGAAGATCGCAGAGCTGAAGCGGCAGCATGAGCGACTGTTGCGTAGATACAGCAATTTGCAGTGCGCGTATACGGATGTTAGGGAGAGGTTAGAGCAGAAAGAGTACACGATTCCTGATGAGCCGTTGTTGTGTGGTAGTGGCTTTGGACAAGGGGTAGAAGGGAGGATAAGTCCTAGTCCGCCGAGCCCACAGGAGCCGAGGACTATGACCATGCAGGAACCGAGACCGCCGCAGCGGCCGGAGCAGAGGTATCGCAGAAGAGCAGCACACAAAACTTCCGATCCAGAGACCTACGTGTACGAAGCTCCTACTACCAGCCCGCCGAACATTCCCTTGCCACCCAGGCCTGTAAGAATAGACACGAGCTCTACCTCTGGGGCCGTAAGAATAGACACGAACTCTACATCTGAGGCCGTGAGAATAGATACAAGCTCTACCTCTGGAGCCGTAAGTCCTGAAGGCGGTTCGCGCAGTCCTGTAAGTCCGGTCGAAGGCATTGCGAGGGTTGGAACTGGTGGAATGGGCGGTGGTGCATTGGCGAGTTTGGGTGCCGGATATGGAGGACACTTCCATGCGCCGCTGCCATTTAATCCGGGTCCGAGTGCGAGTATCGGGAATTTGGAGGGAGGGGAGGAGGGGGGAAAGAAGAAGATTGTGCCGGGGAGTGAGGTGAGGATTTATGGTCGTGGTGAGCTCCATTCTTCCTCTTTAAATTATTTGAATTTGTATCAGGAGCGAGGCTAATCCAAACAGGTGGTCCACAAAATATCGGCAAACTCCCAAAGGAGAAAAGGGACAGTAAAGGGAAGGAGAAAGAGGCTCCATCCCCTCAGAGTCCAGTTGCGGATCCGAAGAAAGAAAAGAAGAGTGGGGGGTTGAGGGGGATTAGGGGATTTGTCTGAGTAATACTTACGTATGTTTGTACATCATTGTTCCTATAATCTCCAATACAATACAGCAAGATATTGGAACAAATTCCCAAAGTCAAAGGGCACTAGTCTAGCAATTCATTCATCTCCTACCGTGAAATAAGCCGATTCCAACTGTTGCTCACCTTGATCCTCAGTAACCTCTATCATTTCACAATACTCGCCAACGTCCGAGACGTCAAAGATCCCATGAAGATCGGCTTGAACAACATCATCCTCATCAACTGTATCCACAGTCCTTAGCCAATAAACTTTCCACCGATTACCCCTCTCCAACGTCGCGTTCTCCAACTTCCGGCTCGAAAGCCACGAGAATTCCTGCTCCCCTACTGCAAAAAGGCTACTCGCTAACTCAATCCCACCTGATGACTGTCCCCTCCCCCAACATCCAGTAAACCCGCGCCAGGAGTCACGACTGGTGCGGTGATCCCCCCGCGATGATGCGAGAGGCGACGAGGTGATCGCTCAAGGTAGCATCAAACAGGGCCTCCATCCCAACAACCATAAACACCCTCCGGTCCCTAATAATAGCTCTCTCCAGCCATCTCCAATACCTCAACCAAGACCAGATTCAAGGTTTCTCCTTATGCCAATGGAGGGTGTTGTCAGGGATATGCCGCTCCATTCAGTAGGGGACGAGAACAAGAGCATTTAAAATCTAACGACTTGCGTCTCCATACACACAACTACTCTGAGCTCAACTACCAGCACAGAAGTCCTGGATCCACTTCCCAATCATGACATTGTACAGTTTGCCTGTCATGGATTTCAGACGCGCTCAACCCGTCTAAGTCACACCTGAATCTCAAGGATACGTGTCTAGCCGTTGAGCCGATCGAAGGCGGCCTCGGCCCAGTTTGCATCTTTCTGCCTGCCCCACCGCCTACTTCAGGGATCCGCATCTAGGTGATGAAGGTATCCACATTGCAAGCCATTTTCAGCTGGCTGGCTTTACACATGTTATTGGAATGCTATGGGAGACCGAAGATGAGACTTGTCAGTTTCTCACCAAGAAGTTCTATGAGCAACTGTTCGCGGGAGAACGCGAGTGGAGTGGAACTGGGGATGTCAACAAAGCACTTTATCACGCTGTTTCACTGCTATCTGCGGGTAGACAGTTGCTACTACTCTTGGCCCCATTTTTTTGTTTTGGGAGGCAGGATAATAGAGTATAATGAGAACTAGGTATTGCGAAGGCAAAATCGATCGAAGGGGGCTGCAGTGAGAAACCAATTTTGCGGAAGGAGGAAGCGAAGCCACAAAACACAATTACGCCAACGCGGAATTTGGAGTGAAAATGAGAAAGCTGTCGTAAGGCGGTTAGAAGGGCGATGCTTGTCTAAAAGCATATTGATATTGCGCAAGGTTGTCAGGGGCAATCTCGCTTGTTTTATCCACAACGCAAACACTTCAATATATGGACCTTTTCTGACCCAAGATATTTCATGTAATAAAAGATATCTTGGTATGTAGTAGCGTTTGGTTGTAAATATGAATAGCTATTTTGACACATAAAGTAAACGTTTAGTATTGTGAAGTGTTTGATCGGGTGGAGAGATATAACGGTAGCTGCGTGTCTCGGGGTTTAATGTGCTATTTTGGCCATTTCTCGATATAAATACAAGAGCGGATCTGGTTTCGAGTTGAACTTGCCGATTAGCCTATGTGAGATGATTGGGCGCGTTTGACAATCATTGCCTTGGACAGCCAAACAAGTTTTGTGGATGATACAAGTGTATCTTCAGTCTCAAGGACCTCGAGAACTCTCACGACCTCTTCTCGATCTCTCTTGGCCCCCTATCACCTAGTTTATCTTGCAACTTTCCTTCAAGCTGGTCGACCGTGCCATTGAAGATGACGGAGCCTTCCAGTTCGGGAGAAACTACAGGGTGTGCTGCGACTACTTCAGTTGTGGCTTTTGCGTGGGGGTTAGGCTTTGCGATGTGTCCATATAATATCCAGGCTTAGTCTTGCTTTGCTTATCAGTGACATCAAGTTTCCTTGCCAGGTGGGTGAATAGCCTTGCACGTTTTCTAGTGTATCATTCTAGTGGATACTCCCCGACGTTCTCGGAGAGAACTCTCCTCGAATTCAAATCGACCCAATCATAAACCCACCCGGAGTTAATTCAGCAGAGCTCTAGGGCTTTTTTATGCGAGTAAAAAGCCATGCATTGTAAACCTATGAGGTGTGTGCATCTGATAAGGAACCCGTGGAGTAGCAGGTTTGACAAATGGGAGGTTTGTTCCCCGAGTTGCCAGTTTCGCTCAATTGGGCGAAGTGCTGCTGCGGCCTTGACATCACGCAACCAGCCCTTCATCCCATTGTTTGTTTTTCGGGCATGGTTAACCAATGCCCGCTCTTTAGGGCTGGGAATCTGGGATAAGCAATGTCATACCACACTTGGTTGCAACGCAGATGGGGATGCAATACATTGAATGTTCCTGGAGGAAGCCTCACACCAAATCGTGGCACTCGATGGACGCGTGATTGGGCTACCACAACTTTGCTTTCCTTTCCGACTCGTGCGTGGGTGGAGCGGGGCATATGGATTCCCGAGGCTCCATCTCACAGCGGGCGAGCTAGCATTTTGCGAGCCTTCCTTTGGCAGAGCCCCGTACTGGGCGAGTAGGCCTCAAATAGTCCTGCATGTGTTGATTGCTTGAGTCTGCAACTGCTCCTCACTCCATGTCCCTGGTTCTTCTTCAAGCCATAATGTATTCTTTTTGGCTTTGGTGTACCTCTTTAATTGCTGCGGCGTGCATCCTATACGCTTGTAAGCGCTTTAACTCCAAAGCTTCATTGCCTAATTATCGATCCAAGTCACTTCGGAGAAGCGAGGGACTAAACAAAAATAAAACAAAGGCTAGACAGCATGGATCAGAACAAGCCGCCTCCGAACTGAACATGCTCAAGGAGCTGTACTTCAAACTGCATAACCTGGAACACTTCTACGACAGTATATTGCCTACTGTCGCACCGAAATTGTGGGCTATGATGTCGGAAGCTATAGACCACGAAGTACAACGAAAAGGTGGTGGAATCTTGGATATCGAAACCTACTCGCGACAGAGGCTCGAGCAATTTCTGCAAGTGGAATATGATGCCTGCATGTGTAGGTGGGAGAAGTACAATTTGAGACGGCAGGCTGGAGGCAACCGCAAGTTGTTCGTGGACCGCAAAGATGCCTCCAATTCTATTAGACGTCTCGCACCTTTAAAGCTTGTCGACGGAGCGTGGCTGGCGCATATCGGTAAAATCTCTACTCCCCTTGCTCTGCGATCAGTAACGCAGAATGCATGGCAGATACTTTCGGAAGAACTTGGAGATGGTGATCTCCGCAAGAACCATGTCCGCATCTACAGCGAGCTCGTTCACGAAACTAGCGGGGTATTCCTCGAGCCTCACTCACCGCTCTTTATCGACCAGTGTATTTCCGACATCCACGTGTGGAAAGCCGCGGTAGCTCAGCAGCTTCTCTCTATATTACCCGATAAATTCCTGCCGGAGATCCTAGGGTTCAACTTACACTTCGAGAGCGTTGCCTTCGAAACGCTCATCACCTCCCGCGAGCTTGAGGAGCTTGGCTATAGCCCGTTATACTTCTTATTACATGTATCAATTGACAATCCTCATTCGGGGCACTCAGCTATTGCACTGGAGACCGTGGCTAGGTATCTTGAATTTATTCAACGAGAATCGGGTACGAAAGAACTCCAACTTGCTTGGAACCGAGTGCGAGCCGGCTACCTGCTTTCCCAGCACCTGAACACAGAAGTAAGTGAGACCCGACGGTTCCTGGCAACAGGTTTGAATCCGTGCGAAGAAGCGGTAATCCAGGTCGTAACTGGTAAAGCCCGAGCAGCGCAGAAGATACATTGCGGGAGCCGTGTCAGGGTCGGCGGCCACTCTATCAACCACTGGCTGGACGAAGAACGTCTTCGTGAGCGTACGTGGCAGAGCCGATTTCTTCAGGCACTTAACAACACCGGTAGTCTAGTGCGGAAGGGTCGTAGCGCGGATAGCAAACTGGTCAAAGAGATCAGTTGGGGCGGTAAAATGTTCGGTTCCTTCACGGACCTCGAAGTTATAGTAATAAAGCAGTGGATAGACGCACTGCCTTGGAAGCACGGCGAGAGTTACTGGAGTTTCACGGGGTTATGCGCTGACGAAGTGGCATATGATCCGAGGACGGACAACCAATGCTGGATCAATGCGTTCTACCGCAAGACGCCGCTTATTGAGCAAAGTCTGCGTGAGTCCAACGACAGCATATTCCCCTTCAACACAAATATCGACAGCATGATGGCTAAGCAAAGCCCGAACCTGAGCAAAATGCTCCCACTCTGGTTCGCGGGTCTCGGCCTTTTGGAGAACTTTGTCACTATACCTTCCAAAGTGGCAAACACCCGCAGCTGCGCTATACTCCGGGTGCTCAGGGCTCAACACGGATTTGGCAATGAGACTGGAGGCGTTGCCGGCTTAGACGAAGCCTTACGTACCGATCGGGTGGATTTGGTAGACATTGGTCTAGACTGGGTGGATAAAGCGGGACTGCAAAAACCAGAGCTCGTTGATGCAGTACTGCGGGATCCTGACGCTGCATTTGCACGCGAGATGGTCACTTTAGCTGTGCGGCCTGAGGGATATGCTGATGTATTAGTGGGTCTCAGTTGCGCCTTTGCGGAGTTGCATCTAGCGATGGTCCCGGTAGTATCGCCATCGCTTCAAGATGCTTTACAGCAGATAGCAATGAGAGAACAACGCGGCTTGGAGGGGTGGCTAGTCGATCTGCGAGGAAACAGTGCTGACTCCTCTATGGTATGCAAAGCCTATAGTGTAGGAAGGCGAGTGATTGCGTCTTGTTTTGATTGATGTATCCTTCGGTCTGGTAGAAATCTTTTTCCATGTGCCTTTTTAATATCCAACAAACTTTGTAATTACTGTGATTCTTTATCGAGAACTAGATTTCTGTCGAGAGCTCAGAATAATACATGTGAAACGATATGAATGAAGCTGCTACTTAGCTAAAAGGCATGACACAGGTTTGAGTGAAGTCTTGGGTAGGGCTAAGGCTACGTAGACTCTAGCACGGCAGCGTAGTATCAAGTACAGGCGAGCGAGCCCTGAATACTGAAAGCGGAGGTAAGACGAGGCAGACTTATGTGACACAAGATATTACTGCCCATTTTGGCTAAGCCCAGGAGCTAGATTATTACTAAAACCCACAGACTTTCCAAGGCTTCCCCGTTCATGTGACGTAAACTCCTTCCTGCTGTTAAACACAACCACGCTCGATGTCATGCTCTAGGCACATTACAGATCTGAATGGTTAAACCAGTCTTTCTTCTTCACAGGATCATACAATGGCAGACCTTAAATTGCTTCCTTATCCTCCGGATCTTGCTGCCGATCAACAAGAACAACTTATCAATACTGTGACTGATTGGTTGATCGCACACGGGTTTTTTGCCCCCCGCAAATCAGGGACCGACAAGACCCAACCTACAATTCGCGTTCCTTCCTCCCTATCTCTCATCCCTGTTACTCTTTTCCCCAGCTTGTTCCCGCGCACTTGCTTCCACGACGCCATAGAAATTCAGCCAGAGTTCAACAAGCTATATGCGGCTGTCGCTGCGGACGAAGACTGGCTTTCTGCTGTTATTCAAGATGAGTACGACATTTTCCGAGCTTAGAACCGTGTTTTGATGGAGCAGTACTCACCCTTTCCATATTCTAGGTTCGCAGACAGCGACGAGTTCATCAAGAAGCTTTGGAGTGTTCATCTCGCTGTGAAGAGCGAGGGCTATGTCCAGGCACGACCCCCTCCAGGACCGGTACGTATGAGTGCACAAACTGATGGATCGGGGAAGGATACAACTATCACTCTGGCTCGGTCCGACTATCTTCTGTCTACAGACCAGCTAGAGAATAGTCGCCCATTGACTATCAAACAAGTGGAGTTCAATGGAATCAGTTCATTTGGAGGCAGTGCTCATAGTATAGCGGAACTTCATAGGTAATACTGAATTGTCATTCCCTGCCCCCGGAATCTGTGGCTAACTCAGGATTTAGTCACTTGTACAATATTGGAATGTCACAACCCAGTCAAGGTCTCAATGCTGATCAGTCATCTTTCCCGCCAAATCCTTCACTTAAAGGGCTTTGCGCTGGTCTGCTCGCAGCACACACAATTTATGGGGACCCGAAGAGCGGCTGTGCCACTAAAATTGGCATTTTGCTCATCGCTCAACCTGTTGAGTGGAATATCTACGAACACCGACGGATCCAGTATTTTCTGTGGTCTCAAGATCCGGCGGTCCCAATCTATAGTCTGCCTTTGTCATCTGTACTGGATAAGACTACGGTCACGGACTCTCGTCACCTTCTGTACACGCCAAATCCGGAAGCAGAGACCATTGAGATCTCCGTTGTTTTCTTCCGCGGTGGCCACGATGCAGAGGACTACACCTCTGCTATAGAGTGGGAGGCACGTCGACATCTTGAACGGTCCTTTGCCATCAAATGCCCGTCGATCCTCACCCAAATTGCTTGCACCAAGAAAGTCCAGCAACTCTTAGCAAAAGACTCGAACCTTAAGCGTTTTGTTTCCGACGCCTCTTCGCTCCGCCTGAAGGAGACTTTTATGGAAATGTATCCACTTGGTGCGCAGACAGCTGATGGACAGAAGGGCCGCCAACTTGCCCTCGACCCCAAATCGGCCTGTGGATATGTCTTAAAACCACAGCGGGAGTGTGGCGGCCATAACATCTACGGTGAAGCCATTCCGGCCTACCTCAATACGCTGCCAGAATCCCAGTGGAGGTCCTATATTCTCATGCGGCTGATCAAGCCGCCTTGTCTGAGGAACGTTATTCTAAGGAACGGTGAGCCCGCAACTGAGAGCATCATTAATGAACTCGGAGTTTACGGTACTTGCATATGGCGGGCTACCCGGCAAGCAAACAATTTGGACATCATGTACAATGGAAACGCAGGTTGGTTGGTCAGAACGAAGAATCGAGCTCATGCGGAAGGAGGCATTGGTGCTGGCTTTGGTAGTTTTGATAGTCTCTTCTTGGTTGATGATTGAGGTCTTTATGGTTTTTATCAGAGTAGCGTTGAATATTTGCATTTCATGAAAACATGATTCCAGAGGAGCCGCACATGTGGCTTGTCTCCCCCAGCACTTTAGAACTAATCAAGTGCCTCGCATGGCCACCCCTACTTATAATGCATTTGCCGGCAAGGCTTGAGACCAACCCCCACGATTAGACACATTTCTGCTAAATATGGCCAATCTTGTTTCGTCCTCCGTCACCGTGGCTGGTGGCACCCATCCTTGACCAAGTTGAGCTGAAGCTGATACAGAGAGGTGATTGCTCATAATTTGACAGCCTGGAATTGATCACCTTTGTTAGTATGGCACCTGATAGGAGCCTTCCCGGTGTCGTCTTAAAATACCGAATCCTGTGGGTGGAGGCAGGAACAAACTGAACTTCTTATAAATTCCACAGAGGATTGCCAGGATAGCACACGGCTTGTCCAAATAATCAGGGCATCTATTTTCACTTCTACAACCTGTTACCTCTGTTCCACAATGTCGGCAACACTCTCCCTCGAAGAAAGATTGAACCTTGTCACCAGAGGGCAGAAATTGGTCAATCCTGGAGATATTGACTCCTTAGAGTCACTCCTGGCAACCACAAAGCGACCCAAGATTGCATGGGGTGGGTTATCCATTTCTGAAAAAGATATTGCATCTAAATTCTCCCAAGAAACAACTCCAACCGGAAAGCGTAATCATCGCTGCCACCTTGAGAACGTAGGATGAGCTCGCTGAGGCCCATATAGCTCACGTGGGGTACTTTGTTCCCTTGGCCAAGCTTGCAGATTTCGTAAAGGCAGATCTTGAGGTATGGTTTTTCTTCTAATTTTCTAGGTAGATGTTTTCTTCTTCTGCTAATCCAATTGGGGCATCGAGGTGACTCTCTTCTACCTCGATGTCTATGGATTTCTAGTCAATTACATCTATCCCATGGAAGTTGTTGAGAATCGCAGGAAATACTACCATCATTTAATGACGGCCGTGCTGCGATCCCTAGGGGTTGACCTGTCGAAGATTCGCTTCGTGGCCGAGTCGTCTTTTGCCTATCGCAAGGAATACTTCGTTGACGTTCTGAGGACTTGCGCGCTTATGACGCAGCAAGATGCAAAGGACACCTGCGAAGAGACCGCGGAGACAAAAATGCTCAGTCCTCTTCTGTGCTGTGTATATCAGTCTCTATCTGAGCAGTACTTGGACATTGACATTCAGTTTGGAGGCGAAGATCAGGTGTGTAAGATTTGTTCCCAACAAACCTGCTATACTCAACTCTGTTTACCTTTAGCGTGGACTATTCATCCACTCAATCAAATACCTGCCTTTGCTTGGTTACAGGAAGCGCGAGCATCTCATGAATGCCATGGTCACGGGATTGCAAGGCGGGAAAATGTCCTCTTCGCACGCAGCAGAAACAAAGATTGAGTTTCTTGACGACCCCGAGACCGTTCAGAAGAAGATAAACCGGATGCCATGCGAGCCTGGGGATGTCCAAAGCACTGTAGTACTGCTCCTGCGAGACGTACTCCTCCCAATTAGTCAACAGAGAGTCGAATCGCTACAAGACTCCGGCACCTCGTGGGAATTGGATGGCAATAACAAACCCAGGCCTTTTATTACGGAAGATGCTCCGCAAGGAACTATTTTCAGTATACCTGCAGGATCTTGGGGCGATTCTCGGCATTACACATCCTTTGCTGACATTCAAAACGGCTTCGGGGAAGGGGAGATTAGTCCTGCGGCTCTGAAACTGGCTGTCACCAATGCTTTCAATAATCTACTGGGCAAAATTCGAGCAATCTACTCTGAAAGCAAGGAGTGGCAATTGGTTGACAAGCTAGCTTACCCAGATTAGACATTGTCCTTCTGCCTCGTCTCAATGGGAGGCACCTTTAGTAGGAGAAGGAGATTTTGAAGCATCTCTTTGTCTTTTGACATAGCTGGCCAACTTTGGTTTTATTTCAATAATCTATTTCTTTTTGAGCGTGATAGCCCTGCTTCAGAGATTAAATGTTCACAATTGCCTATAAATGCGAAATAATTGGCAATAAAGTCTACACAACCAGCATAAATCCCATGTAGAATATCGATCTTAAGGGGAGTTAGCTCTTTAAACATACAGCTGGTGGCGTATAATACGGCTGTTTAATTACAGAGCTCGACCACTTATTTGACACTGATTTCCTGTCCAAGTACACCGAGTAGCCTCCCCACGCCATTTTGATCCGTAATGCGTAGACCCCCACCGGCGCCTTGGGTGGATTTTCAATTAGCTAAAACGATCGCGTCAAAGGGCGATTCATCAGAGCCTCCCCCACTTCCCTGCCTCTGAAGGGGGCATCCACAAATGATGAGGGGTAGCAGATTAGAGTATCCAATAACACATCTAGCCCGTGGCTGCAGCAGTGAAGAACGCTTTACCACGACTGGAGTGCGGCTTGCATGTACGGGCACGAGGTAGAAATTGTCAAAAGAGATGACTTGGATTGAGGCCTCATCGCTGATCACTGATGCATCACTCTACAATTTTACTTTTCACAAACTCTCCTCACAGACCTAGGGGAACTCGTTCCAGGCACTTTCTCTTTTGCCCAGTTATCTAATCCACTATGTCCACGATGGTATCAACAGTGACACTGGAGAACGGGCTGCAGGTCCCCGTTGCGGAGCTGACCACCATTGACCTGGCTTTGCTCGAGGCGGGCAGCTCTACCGAGATCGAGAAGATGGCGAAGGAGGCTAGGGATATCGGCTTCTTCTTTCTTGATCTGAAGAACAGTCCATCTGCGCAGAGAATTCTTGACAGTCTGCCCCTACTTTACGCTCGAAGTGAGGTTTATTTCGATCAGGACAAACAGGTGAAGCAGATGGACGCGAGATACGATCAGAGCCCTTCTCAGGACCGAGGGTATGTAGACACAAGCGGACCACATCCTCGAGAAAACTCGAAGGGTTAAATTTAAATTACAGGTATAAGTCCAGTGAGTGCGATGAAACCTTTGAGGTAAGGCTTCTTTCCATATCAAGGTTCTGTACGGTTGAACGGATTGATGGTTGACTATGAGCCCTCCTCCAAGATGGCATTTGACGAGCTTGTCGTCAATGGAGGAAGCCTAAAACTTCCTGGTGTTTTGCAGGACATCCAAGCTTCGCTCGCCCAATTCTCTAATCTCTGTCACGCGGCATGTTTGACCATGCTCAATGGCCTATCAGAATCACTGCATGCGCAAGGTGCGGAGGGACTCGAGATGCATCACCGCCACGGACATCCCAGCGACAGCGGACTAAAACTCATCTACGAACCAAGCCTGGCGCGGGTAGCGGACGTGAAAGAGAATCGCCATACGGATAGCGGCACGCTGACGATGCTCTTCTACGAGGAATGGGGTCTTCATGTCAACTTAAAGGGCTCTGACGAGTGGGCCTTTGCTTCAGTCACTCGGGGCTCCGTCCTGGTCAACGTTGCGAACTCGCTGCAGCGGCTATCCGGTGGAACTTTCCACTCGCCGATTCACCGCGTGACGCAGCCGGGTGACGGATTCTCCAAACGCTACTATCTGTCTTACTTCTTGCGCCCCGAGGATGAGCTGAAAGCCGAGTGGGCAAGGACGTCCTAAATCGGCTTGGCCTATACGTTCTGGTTAGTCTTTCAAGGCTGTTGGGGGGTTGCTGGCTGCTCAGTCGCTATTTTCACGAGTTCGATTAATACATGCTGAAAATCAATACTTACCTGTAGACTTTTCTAGCCACGTATGAAACCTTACTCTATCTGTGAAGTTATTGAGTTGCATGGTTCTTATCAAGAGGTTGCCTTGAGAAATAGCGCTTGCCAACATGCCAAACTATCTGCACATGCACAAACCAGCTGATCGCTCTCTCATTTCCTCTGTGAAAAGCCTCACTTCAATAAGCAAGTTGGGAACTCAAGAACACCGTCAGTGGCTCTTTGAAACGAGCAGTACTCTTAAGACTCCTGTATTTGCTTTTTCCTCGCCAGCTGCTATAATTTCATGCCATGGAGCCAGTTCATCATTTCTATGCCATTCTATGAGGTTGCAGCTGCAACAGCCTTTTCTTTTCCATTCGAATTCTCCTCACTCACCCATTGGTTCAAGTACTCCGGAGCCTTGGGGACCTTGTTCGCTTGTGTCGGAACAGGCTCGCCCCACTGCAGCCACGAAGGCACGACGCCAGTCCAGACCTTAGCTGTCAGGGCATCGTCCTTCAAGTCCTTCCGATCCTCAATCGGCTCGCCGGTCCGAACCTTCGAACTAGCGGAGTGAATGCGGACGCGGAGGATGGACGTGCTGGTCATCTCGGTCTGGGTAGGTGGAACTCGAGAGTTCTCCCACCGTCCGCGGATAATGTTCTCCGTAATGGTCTCCATTGCCCACATCTTCTCCGCCGCGTCGGTGACGACGGTGGCATATCCGAACACGACAGCGGAGCGGTAGTTGCAGCTGTTGTGGAATGGGGTGAGCGACAGGACGAGCCCATCCAAGATCGAAGCCGAAATGGTGACGGGAAGTCCACGAGCGGCGTGCTCATCAGACTTCGGCAGCTTCATGAGACGCGCGGAAACGTAACCATGGATGTAGATATCGGGATCGGTGGTCTCGTCTGCGGATGACTTTCCACCTGGGAAGGAAGCCGTACAGCCCAGCATGGGCAGGACAATGGGGAAGGGATCATCTTCAGGCTCGGCCGGGTTGAAGGCGACGTGGAGGATCGGTGTTGCATCGACAATGCCATGGATCAATGCACGATCGTAGAACGCTTTTTCTGGCCGTCAGCTTCATAACGCAATTGGGATGTGGAGAGTCGTGCTTACCCCGGTTTCGCACTCGATTGACAGCATTCAAGGGTGTCTTCTCGTAGGTTGCACTCTCCATGTTGGACAAGGGGAGTCGACTGGCGCCGAATTCAGAGGAGTGGTTGAGGTTGAAGCTGAGGAGGCAGAGCAGGTAGAGGAGGTATCAGATCCAATTCGGGGAGACTAGGGAGGAGGCCTGATGTGGGGAGATTTGGACGTGAGGCGGGGTGCGCGAAGTATTTGATTGTGTTGTGTTGTGTTGTGTTGTGTTGCGTTTTTGCCTGCTAGTCATTCACCTCGCAGCAGCGAAGTCGGGGGTCGGCTCCTCTTCCCGTTTGCGTGTGGCCGCGTCGGGCCGAAATCGTTGTTTGAGTGACAGTACGTACCGCAACGCCCTTACCATAACCATCCCTATTGTGCCTGTGCCTGTGCTCGTGCTCGTACGACGTCAGGAGGGGGGCATATCTGATTGGCGAGTCACGCCAGCCCCGCCGGCCCCGCCAACCCCGCCCCGCCCACATGTGAGGCTCTTCTGTTAGGGGCGGCCCCGCCAACAAGCTCACCGCTCCCACCGCGGAATCCGATCCGGCGACCAGCCGCTCGGCATCCTGGCGAGGCGTGCAAGAGCGCGGCCTGCGATAGGCTCTCGCGGATGTGTCTTCCTTAGCGAGGCGCGCTAGCTAAACTTATCACTCCGTGCACACCATCAATTGATCATCATCATCTCGCCTAATTGTCTACTCTCCTTACTCCGTATCCACCGCACTCCTTATCATTATTCGTCTTATCGGCACCGTCTGACACGCCCGCCACCAGCCGAGGGGCAAGATTTATCGCACAACGTGATCCGAAGTTCTTCACCGTCAGCCGCTTATGTGCTTCACGGGGCCTTCATCCGATTTATGCAATGGGTGCCGACTGCAGCATGTAGGGCATTTCACGCGTCGAATATATCGAATACCTCGAAACTGCCAGTGGCGACGAGGCTTGGGATCTCCTGGCACGACACGGCTCTCTTGTGAGTGAGCCCAGACCGCTCAGTTGGCCGGCCATGGACTCTGTCACGACACCGCTTCTCGCCGCCGACGAGGAGGCTCCAGCGCCGAGTGATGGCAAAGCAGAGGAAGACACAAGGAGGCACCTTGGCCTCTTCGACGGCGTGGCCCTGGTCCTTGGGCTCCAGATCGGGTCTGGAATCTTTTCCTCCCCCTCGCTCGTGCTTCGGAATACTGGGTCTGAGCCTGTAGCGCTCGCGGTCTGGTGCATTGCTGGTGGTCTGGCCTGGGCTTGTGCGGTTTGCTATACCGAGCTGGGCACCCGCCTGCCCTTTAATGGAGGACCTCAAGAATACCTGTCCTATTGCTTCAGCGACGTCTATGGCTTCCTCGCCTCCTGGGCCTGTATTTTTACACTCAAGCCTTGTTCCGCAGCCATCCTGGCCTTGGTTGTCGCCGACTATGTTTGCGATGCATTGAGCCTCGCCAGGGGACCGTTTGATTACGTCCCGAAATTAATTGCTGTTTCCATGATTACTCTTGTGACAGTGGTCAACTGCACGGGAAATAAACTAAGCAATATCGTTACAAAGAGCTTACTGGCATGTAAGATTTTTGGCGTTGCTTCTATCATAATCCTCGGATTCGCAGTTCTGATCGGCCGGCGTCTTTCACCGTCGGTCGTCTTGACGGAGCTCAAGTCTCCCCCACGACCAGGCTTGAGCAATTATACTGATGCCACATTATTAGCAATGTGGGCATATTCTGGATGGGAGGCGGTTTGTCTAGCCTCTATAGAAACTTGTCAGCAAGGGGCTAACAATGATCTTAGCTGGCATTTGTCGGGGGAGAACTTAAGAACCCCAGCCGCAATACGGCTGTCGTCATTAATATATCTATGACTGTTGTGATAGTACTCTTTGTTCTTGCTAACATTGCCTATTTCTCTGCGTTGTTATTCGCAGAAATTATCCGCTCCTCTACTATCGGCTTGGTAGGATTTAACTCCAATCTACGTGTTCAGATTTCTACAATCACTCACGTTCGCTATAGACCTTCAGCCAACACTTTTTCGGGCGTGCCGGTGGCGCGCTGTACACCCTAGTCATCTGCCTTTCTTGTATAGGTACTCTCAACGTCAAGTTCTTCACCGCGAGTCGTTTGACCCAAGCGGCTGCCGAACGGCAGTTCTTGCCACCTGTTATTAGAACCATCAAACGTGTAAGCGCTGACCACGGTGACGAGCCATTGGAAGCAAACCCGTTGCGACGCATGCTTGAGGTCTTACGGCATCCAACACAGTTCGGAGATGGATTAATACCACTGTGAGAACCAAAGTCCCCCCTTTTTTTTTTAATCTTAAGAGCTTGACTAATTCCAAAAAACAAACAAACAAGATCTGCTATTATATTCAACGCTCTCCTTGCGGATGCCTACATCCTGGTTGGTGATTTTGGCTCGCTGATTATATTTATTGGTAATTCTCCGGGAAAACATGGATTGTGGTGAAAATTTACTAACTTCAAGTGTGCGTTATCTAGGAATCGTGGAGTATTCAATAGCGTGCATTACCATCGCCGGACTATTTACTCTTCGCCTGCGTCCGAGGCCACCAGAAGCGGACTCTGGAGGTGGGACATTCCGGGTCCCGTGGATAATTATTTTCGTTGCTTTGGCTGCCACCGCGCTTATTGTCTTCGTCTCGGTTGTCAGACATCCTTTTGCTGGCCTTGGGTTCGTATTCTTTTGCGGAGTGAGCACGGTTATATACACACGCATCATTCGAGTTTGAATTGAAGAGAGACAAAGAATTTAACTAGATAGGAAGCAACTCGGCCCCAGTTGACATTATGTTTTGCATTATACTTCATAACGTTTTTCTTTCAAGCATTATTGAAGCAGGGTTAAGTACTAATTGGTTATGAAGCGTACACCGAGAGAGGAGGAGAAATGGATTGCTAGACAAAGGACTCGAAAGGAGGACTGTAGTTAGAGCACGTAGAAAGCTAGGACATATTTTACATAATTACTCATACTTACACATGTGGAAGGCTGGCGCGATTATGAATAAGGCAATGAGTTGCAGGTGAAGAATGATGACACACCGGAAGCGCTGTTGCAGAGAGAGAGCCTCAGATGTATGAAGTATAAATAGAAGATACGGATTTCAAGTTCGGTCTCTGACCTTGGATCTGAGAATCGGACCTCTCTTAGGTGCGAATACAGAATTCGTATCCGCATTATAGAAGGTAACTTCGATATGGTGGACACTTTGGCTGCTGTTTTGGCAGTTGTTGTCCATGGAATCACTCCGTATAAACCCCACAGCGACAAACTACTGACTATCCGCGTCTCTATGAGCCCTATATCAAATTTTCCAATCCCTTCTAATCGCTGTTATTGCACTCTCTATCATGGACCTGAATAATTCGCTTCTTGGAGAAGGAATCTCAATACTGCCATCAATCTGAATCTCGTCACTCTAGAAAATCTCAAATGTCCTCTCTAAGAGTACCAATAATTGCTGTTCATCGTCGCTGTATGAGGAAAACATGTTTGATTACATCCAAGATGGGTGTGTTGTTATTCCGTTGGTACTCCCAGCAACAAGCCGAAGAAGCTGCGAAGCAGAGACTGGCCGTGCTTTTCGTGCCCAGGTTTGACGGCTGGGCTATGAAACCAATTGATGAAACCAATTGATTTCAAGAAGCTGAAGCTGGTACTCCCAGGAGTGAAAAGTCCAGAATTGAGGCGAGATCTCTTGTAGGTTCTCCGGTAGTGGGAACAACTGCTTCTTAAGCTGATTCGCTGTTAATCTAAATCCTCATGATTTTAATGCCTTTGCTCTTAGAGATTTCCTGCTGTATTACTAAATAACTATACAATAACTGAGATCATTTCCACTGTATTGAAATGTCGTTGATGCTGTTGACTTTCGACTCGCTACCCCTTGTTGCGATGTTTTGGAGGTTGACGACTTGATTTTTCAGCTTACGCGGGGTAAGCACTCTATATATACATCTGGTATATAAACTACAGTGTACTAGCGTACACTCAGTTCCAACACGCCCCTTACGCTATACACTGTGACCGTATAACGCCCCCAGAGGGTGTCTTTTGCCTGCTTAGCGCCCCTACGCTAATATACCCTCAAGTCTCTGCCCTTATACCCCCCAACCCCTAGCCCCAAGCTAGCCAAACACGCCCTTGTCTCTTGCCCTCCCTCAGCGAGGTTCCAAGGGAAACTGTCTTCCCGGGCCGGTGCTGCTTCCGCTCGTACTATCGCAGGTTATGAGGATAGGCTTTCGTGGCGACCGACCGACCGACCGACTGTGGTTCGCAATCGTCGCCCCTGAGTCGTACAATATAGCTCTCTCTCCTGCAAGAGCTATAAGGGAAGCCGTCAGTTGCAATACGCGCAGCGGTGAGCATTTGCTGCTCGCGCATTCCGGGCCCATGACCTGTTGCAATGTTTTGGAGGTTCTCCCTGATTAGGGGAATCAGGGTCCCCTGAATCAGTGTCCCCTGAATCGGAATCCAAAGCCCCTGTATCCACCACTATGGTATCCCCATAGTCCCCTAGAACGCTCCACCGGGGGTCAGGTGACGGGGAAATAGGGGCTGGAGAGTCACGTGTACCCCCTGAATGCCCTGTAATTACAGGAGCTTCAGGTGCTACAGGCTGTTCCATTATAGCTTCCATTGGGTCAAACGGGACTGTTTCCTCCCCAATAAGCTCCTCGTTCTAGTTCCATTCCAATCGCTCGTTTTCATGGAAAACAGGTGCAGTGGATACTATAATTTTCCCCTGTTCAGGCTCATATTGTGATGGGGATTTGATTGTTATATGGATTTCGGACCATATATAGGCGTTGGATGCGTGGGTGGAGGTAAAGAGGGTAGGAAGCTAAATAAGTAGAAGTAATAATCTTAAGACTCTCAGTACCAGTAATGAAATAATACGAATGGTCAAAAATAAGGGCTCCGAAGGTTGATGTATTGGGAAGGCTAATCGTACGTATGGATGGAAGTCTTATGTAACCCCCTAAACTAGCGCCAGCATGCCTGGGAAGCAGGGCACGTGACGGTAGTCACGGGACAAGAGAGAAAAAACCCCACCACAATATAGCTTGTACTGCCTTGACGTAGGCATATAGCCTATAAGACAGGCCTTAATAGCCACATCGTCCATTTTCAAGCGAGTTTCCTTAGGGACGTGTGCGTACGCTACGCACCCGTATGCCCTAAGGTGCCCAATATTAGGGCGTTTCCCACTATAGGCTTCTTCTGGAGTCTTTCCATTAGGCCCTACAGGTGTCCGATTCCGTAAATAACAGGCTGTAATTACAGCTTCTCCCCAGAACTGTACAGGGAGCTTGGCGTCCAATAACATGGCCCTAGCCACTGATATTAAGCTCCGGTTCAGGCGTTCAGAAACCCCATTCTGCTCAGGGGTATAAATAGTGGTATACTCAAACTGTATACCATAGTTGTCCAGTAATAAAGCCCCTAAGGACTTATATTCCGAGGCATTATCGCAGCGTACAGCCTTGATTTTATGCCTTGATTCCAGCTCTACTAGGGCCTTAAACTGCAAAAACACAGTTCTCAGCTGCTTCCTAGTTTTGGTGAGGTATACCCACGATTTACGGGTATAATCGTCCGTAAATATAAGCATATAGGTGTCCCCTTCTAGTATGGGTACACTATAGGGGCCCCAAAAATCGCTGTGGATCCGTTCCAGTAGAGTTGTAGCCCTCTCAGGGGCCTTCCGGTTCACTACCCGTACTGTTTTAGCCTTGATACAGGGCTCGCAGGGTTCCTGAAGAGCCCCAATAGGCTCTTTAAGCCCTGTAGAAACAGTGTGTTCCAGCTTTAGGCTCATGGGGCTCAAATGGCCGAAGCGGCGATGCCGGAGGCTAACTTGGTTTTCCGGTGCAGTGGTTGCTTTTAGCCCAATATCAGTGCCTTGTGGGATACTGTCCAGGGCGTACGCTCTCCCTAAGCGGCTAGCAACCCCTATTACTGCTCCCTGAAACTCAATTAAGAGCTTCTTTCCAGTGGAACCAGTAGTAGTACGTATAGTAATGCCCTTATCCTGGAGCTGCAGTACCGAAATTAAGCTCCCAGCGAGCTTAGGTACGTAAAGCACTCCAGTGAGCTTTACAGTTCGTACAGAGGCCCCCAGGGCCACCTGCAAAAGCACAGTACCCTCTGCAATAGCCGGAATCCGGGCCCTATTTGCCGTAGTTACTAGTATAGGAGTGTCTAGCACCCTATACTTAGTAAAAGCCTCCCGTAAATAAGTCATGTAACGGGAGCTTCCAGAATCAATTACCTATAGCAGGTCGTTTCTGCTATAAGTAGGCTCTTCCAGAGCCATTCAACTGGTTTCAGCGCTACTAGCGTTCGCTATAGGCTTCTCAGGCCCTGGAGAGAGTCCTCTGCCTTCTCCAGGGGTTACTAAGGGCCCTGTACTAGGGCTCTTTTCCTGCTTTTCTTGCTTCTCTACCTTCTTGCTCTTGCAATCAGATTTCCTATGGCCTTGTTTACCACATTTGAAGCACTTCCCCTGAAATTTAGGGCTCTTTTCCCCTGTTTTAGCTAGTAAAACAGATTCCTTCAGGGCTTCTTTTGGTCCCATTCTCCGTTCGTGCTCACTGAAGCGAGCTACTATTGCACTATAATTAGTAGTAGTATCACTAATCTCTAGCTGCAATATCAGGGGAGCGAAGCGCTCATCCAGTGCCCTAATAGCCCCAAAAAGGATCGATATTTTGAGGGTTTCAGAGGGCTTTTCCGTAGGATCGATGATTCCGATTTCGTACTATAAAGTACTCAATTCCGTGGCTACCACAGCAACAGTGGCATCCCGTTCCGGTGGCTTATAGCTAGTAAAAGCCTGAATTTTAGTACTAAGCTACTATATGCCCAGGGGGGCATATAAAGCTTTCAGTGCCTCCCATTGCTCCCTGGCCGTTCCAAGGAGTAATATATGCTGTAAGGCTCCCTGAGCACATAAACTCATGATTATAGTGCTCGCCTTAGCGTCCTTCACCTCCGTACGATCACTGGAAGGCCCTAAGCCCTTAGGATCGCTCCCATCTCCAGAGCTTTGAGCCGCTGAACCCCCTGTAGAACCCGGTTCTACAGTAGTAGTTTCCACCCCTAGACTAACCACGTTCCATAGGCTTTGACCAATCAAAAGCCTACGTACCTGAACGCTCCAGGGCCTATAATTGGGCCCTGTAAGCCTGGCGATCCGGGGCTTTTCCACACTAAAGTCGTCTTCCATAGTGTTCTCTAAAGGATATTTCCGGTAGGTGCAAGTGAGCCGATTCAGTAATTTATAGTGCGTAGATATAGGGCGTAGAGGTAGCTTCCGGTGCTCATAACCTGTTGCGATGTTTTGGAGGTTGACGACTTGATTTTTCAGCTCACGCGGGATAAGCACTCTATCCGTTCCGCTGCGGCCAGCTTTAATAGTCGGACTTGACGTCGCGCTAAAGGGGCCCTTCCCTTTAGTCGGGGAAAGCAAGTTGTCCCGGGAAAGCAAGATGTCCCGCACCAAATAAAATCCTTAATAACTTGAAACATTAACCTTTTTAAATAATTCTAAGTAATAGAATTAAAAATATAAGCCTTATAAACTAGATACGATTCTCTAAATTTTAAAAAAAGATATGGGTAGAGAGTTATTAAGGTTTTAATAATAAAATCGCGAGAAATACAAAAATTGTAAGAATTATTTGTTCGCGACCATTTCGCGAGTATTAGATCTATGACTTTTGCTTAATTATAAATTTTTATTCTTTCACTTAAAACTTTAGCCCTTAATTATGCGATAGGTAACTATAAGATCGCGAATAAAACGTATTAATTAGATTTTCTATAGCTAGTTCCTAATATTGTTTTTTAGAAGGCAAAAAAGGCTGGTACGGGACATCTTGCTTTCCCGGGACAACTTGCTTTCCCCGACTAAAGGGAAGGGCCCCTTTAGCGCGACGTCAAGTCCGACTATTACATCTTACGTGATCACAAATTGTAGCGAACTAGAGGCCATAAATCAAAGATTTGGACAATATGATTCGCTGATCCAGGTCGCTTAAATGTGCACGGACCATGTAAAGCTGGCCGCAGCGGAACGGATATATACACCCAGTATATAAACTACAGTGTACCAGCGTACACTCAATTCTAACACCCCTTAAGTGGGTCTGTGGCCACGTGATCTCGAAATTGAACCTCGGCTTCAGCCTCGCCAGCCGCGACATCCAAAAATTTCGACTTCAACACTTCACAACGGCTCTCTTTGACAACTTCCCCCCCCCCCCCCCAAACCGCCAACATGGAGTTCATGGCCGCCCTCCGCTCGACCTTCGACGATGCCAAACCTTCCCTCTTCGAACTCCTCTCCGAAGCCCAACTCGCCGGCCTCCTCCCACCCTCCCTGCGTTACCTCCTCTCCGTCGCAACCCACCGACATCCGCGCTACCTCCTACGCGTCCTCAACTCCTTCGATGAACTCTACGCCCTCCTCATGCTCCTCGTAGAACGGCACTATCTCAAAACCCACAGCGGCGGCTTCACAGAAAACTTCTACGGCCTCAAACGCGAAAAAGCATTATCCGTTGGCGAGATCCCACGCGCAAGCATCGCAGCGCCGTCCCACGTCCGCGAAGCCCTCACACTCACATCGACCGACGTATGGAAGAATTTAGCGGTGATGGTAGGCCTGCCATACCTAAAGCGCAAGCTGGACGAGAGTTACGATATCAATGCGCCGCGGGCGCTGCTGGGAGCGAATTACACGCGCATGCCGACGAACCCGACCCTCAAGCAGAGATTCATGCACTATTATCGCTGGTTCCTAAGGAATGTGTACCCGAGTGTTAACGCGGCATATTATTTCTCGATGCTGGCGTTTAATGTGGCGTATTTGTTTGATAATAGCAAGTATCATTCGCCGTTCATGTGGTTGATTGGAACGAGGATGAGGAGGTTGGGAGAGGCGGATTATAGGGCTATTGCTGCATTGGGGGAGACGAAGGGAGGGGCTGCTGGGAGTAACTTGGGAGTTACAAGCATAATGAATCCGAGGGTCTTTGGAAGCAGGGTGTTGGGGAGTTTGAAGATCTTGCTACCGACAAGTATATTTGCGTTGAAGTTTTTAGAGTGGTGGCATGCGTCGGACTTTGCAAGGCAATTATCGAGGAAAGCTGCAGAGGGGATTGAATTGCCACCGCCAATTATATCAGGACTCTCGACCTTGACGATCAAGTTCGGTCCTGTGGCACAAAAGAAGGGAACATTATCCACAGAAGAGAAGCCGAAGGAAGAGAGTACAGAAATTGAAAACCCGCCAATAGCAGCGCTATCACTGCTCCCCATATTTACAGTTCCTCCGCCGCAGGATTCGGACTTATGTCCCATTTGCCAGCAAGAGATTACAACGGCAACAGCTTGCCAAACCGGATTCGTTTTCTGCTATACATGTATACATAGGTGGTTAGAAGGGAACCATGATAAACAAGAGGAATTCATGAAAGATAAGGAGGGGAAGTGGGAAAGTGGGAAAGGTCGCTGTGCCGTAACTGGGAGGAGGGTGTTAGGTGGCACGGAGGGGCTAAGGAGGGTTATGGTATAACCAAAATATATCACTAATGATGAAATAACGAAATATGTGCCAAATTTAGAGGATAGGGGAAAGTGCCATGGAAAGTCCCCTTGTCCAGGGCGTGTTGAAACAGAAGAACCGTCCCATGCTACGCCACTGAAGAGGCGAGCACTTGTAAGATTTCTCTTCACTCTCGTTGAGCCGATAAATTTCCTCATAAATTTAGGTCTAACATTGTATCTTACCATACATTCGATAAACATTTAAGACCCCTCAAACACCTGATGGCCATCCTCGTCTCCCGTTCTCGACCACCAACTATTTCCAGTCGACCATGAACCCAATGACGAACACTCAATTCCCCAAGGCCAACAGCTCGCCCTTTGATTTCACAGCCAATGCCCCGAATAGCGCAGAAACTTCCGCGATGGCCGCACCGAAGGATGCCCACCCGTTTGTTTTTGCAGACGGCACCACTCGAGTCATCGTAACGTACAAGAATGACCACGTCGTTGGCAAGGTCTCGCCTCACGCAATGGCACTTGCTAGCCCTGTTTGGAAGAAGTTCATCTTCCCTCCCTTCCCTCAGAGATCGATGAAGGACACCGCCGAGCCAAAGGGCGGCAAGATAGTAGTTGAGCCGGTGGAGGAGCTTGATTTCGCTGAAGATCCTGCGGAGGCACTGTTGATACTTCTCAATATTACACACTTCCGGTTTACGGGCATTCCAACGAACCTCCCCTTGAACATCTTGTCGGGGATTGCCATCCTCTGCGATCAATATGATTGCGTTCACCTGGTCAAGCCTTGGTTGTCTCAATGGTTGGCAAATGAGAATTCGGAGTGGAAATCAACAGATCCAACACCGACAAGATTAGTTTTCGGAGCACGACCAGCACCACCAGCACCACCAGCACCACCTCGAGAGAAATGGCTCTTTATAGCTTGGGTCTTCGGTCGAGAGCAAGTCTTGAAGGATTTGGCTTCCTTACTCGTCCGCGAGATTTCAACCTATAGCAAGGGAACTTGTGCAGCGCTGGCTGGTAATCATGGTCCAATGCCTCCTGGAATCATTGGTTTGTTGATATCTCTTTTTGAATAATCGTTCCCTTTGTTCCTAAGCTAATACTTTCAACAGAGAGTATCCTCGTGTGTCGGCGGGTCACGATCGCCAGACTCCTTGCAATTACTGCTAAATGTGTCAGTCCCTTCACCGACGACCCTAATGATATCCTCTGTCTGTATATGAACGGCACCTGCGACGCAACTACGTATGGATCTCTCCTCCGCGGCCTCGACATTGCCAAAGTCAACCCGAAGATGAACGCGGAGGAATATCACAACTCGGTCAAGACCCTAAGCCAGGGGCTAAGCAATTTGGTTATTCACGTTCATCCTCCGAATTACGGATCTTACGTTGCACAAGATCACAGTAACTGCTTCACCACCGATATCAAGAAAGAGGTCGAGGCAGTCATAGCAGGTATTGGAGATCCCGTTCTCGAAGACCATTACTTCCATATGAGAGTGCAGCAAGCAAAGTTGAGAGGGATGCTCTAGAATCTACCAGATCTCAGGAGGATATTGGCGACGTGGTTGGCATGTAATTTTACTCATTTGGAATTGGAATTCAGGCTGCACTTCGGTGAAGAGATAATCAGGAAAGTTGATAGCAAAAACCTTCCATCGAGTAATTCTGGGTCTAAGGTGAAGCGAATTCTGACGGGAGCTACAACTTTCCACTAGGTTTGGTCAGAATAATTTCAAAGCTCAACTTTTCCTTCAACCTTTCTAGCTCGCAACACTACCTCCACCACTCATGCCCGAAGAACTTCGGGACCGCATCCCCATCTCCACTACCGAGTCATTGTTCTCAATTCAATTCAAACAATACTAACTCGTTGTACTCGCTTCAACTCGAAAATAGGTCCATTGTCTCCAATCCTACTCAGACAGCGTCGATTCATTGTTCCCAATCTAACTCCAACAAAATCAGCCTATTTCCTACTACCCGAAGAATGGCAGCGAAAGCTCCAACTTCACAATCCCTCTTCACTTTCGATCCCAGTGATGTTCGCCTCAAAGTCAAGTACAAAGGCGAGTCCATAACCGCTCATGTCTCATCATCCGCCATGTCATTTGCGAGCCCCTTCTGGAAGAAGTTCGTCTTTCAACCATGGAAGCCCGTTGCAGCCAAAAATTGGGCCACTGACTCGGACTCCACACCTGATGCCAAAAAGTGCAAGATCGCCGATCAAGACGACAGGAACAAAACAAAAAGCGGCTTGCCTGTGGAGGAGCTCGATTTTACCGGCGACAACGAAAAAGCGCTTCTAATCCTGCTTCGAATTGCTCACCTTCGCTTCCAAGATAACCCATCCACCCTGCCGTACCAGACACTCCTCCAGATTGCCGTGCTCTGTGACCAATACCAGTGCATCAATTTAGTTCGACCTTTGCTGCCTCAGTGGCTCGCCGATGAAGAAACATGGTCTCTTAGATCCCGTCAGGAGAACTGGCTGTTCATTGTATGGGTCTTCGGCAGAGAGAAAGTCTTCAAAGAATTGGCTACCAGGATGGTGCAAAGAGTTTCTGTAAGCCCACTCACGAAAGTGGTATACGTAACTTCCTTGCACCAGCGTGGCAAGTACAAGGTCCCTGACCCTAGGCCCGACGGAATTATAAGTAAGTGTCAGCCTTATGAGTCTAAAAGGAGCTGTAACACCAAAAATGCTAATTGGTCATTTCTGTAGACCGCATGCTGGAATTCCGCAAGGAAGTCGTAAATCAGCTACTCGAAATTGCGCATGCCAAGTTCGACAAATGTCTTCAGTCAAAGGAGAGCCTCTGCCGCTTAGACGCTCATAATGCTCGTCCCGGAAATTGCGGTGCCATGGTACTTGGCTCTTTCATTCGGGCCTTACAAAGACTGGGCGTGTTACCGGAAGTTGCAGCAAATAGAATGAAAATTAACATTCTTAATATTAGTATCGAGGAGTTAGCTCACAAGCTCAGCACCTTGGCCATCAAAAGTCCACATTCTCTATACTCCGTTTCTCCAATTAAGGAACAAATTGCAGAAAAGCTCCGATCAATGCCGGACCCGGTTCTCGACTCTCACCGTCAACATATGAAAGTACAAAGTGGAATGGGGCAATGAAGTTAGGTTAGCCGTTAAGAGCCGCCCTTGGATATTTTAGTAATGGTGGAGATATGGAGGGAAAGAGAGTGATACAGAAATTTGGATCGGGCTCTGCTATACAAAGAGACTTCAAGCAGTGCTTCGGCAATAGGCAATAGGGGAGCAGGTCAACCAATTCCTACAAGCTGCGCAAATCATTTTCAAATGATCGTAATTGGGACAAGTCCTCTTGTTTTGTGCTTCCTCCCTCGATGTTCCGAGTAACTTTAAAACATTGCGTGGAATCGCTCTGCTTTGAACAAATCATATGATTTACAATCAATTTGAAATAGTTAGAAGGTGTCCGGAAATGGTACTTGGACTGCCAATGTCGGAGTTAAAGGTCTGTAAACTATTTGGAACACTGGGTCGGACTCATCACCTTTAGAACGATATTCACTTTAAGCAAATCTCCCGTTAAATCTCCCGACCATAAATTTACTTTCGCCCGTCAGTTTTACATTCCCTCCTCCTTCCACCAAGCCCTTGTACCAACAATCCCACAACATCACAAAGCAACGACAACGGAATTGTAGCTCCACTCCGGGAGCATCGCTAGACGCAAATTTACATTCGCAACAGCGTCATTCTAACGGCACTCCAAATACACATTTGACGAAGACGAACGATCAGCCTAGACGCCAAGTTAACATGGTTGAACCAAATACCTCTGGTCCTTTGAAGACGGACGACTTTACTTTTGACTGCGGTGACGTAGACATCAAGGTGAAACTGAGCAGTGAAGATACGATTACCGTTGGAAAAGTATCCTCGAGCGCAATGGCAATGGCCAGTCCCGTCTGGAAGAAGTTCGTCTATCCTCCATTCTCGAGAATTCAGGGCTGGCACTCTACCGGTGGTGTCACTATCAAGGAACTGGACTTCACGGAAGATTACCCCTTGGCACTACTGATTCTGCTTCGAGTCGCCCATTTACGCTTTAGGGCCGTTCCAGTTTCGCCTTCGTAAGTCGAATTCAATATTCTACTGCCTTTAGGACAATGGACAAAGCTAATAACAATAATATTATCAGGTTTGAGCTGTTGGTGCAACTTGCAACTCTTTGTGATGAATACGATTGCGTCGACCTGGTTAAACCGTGGTATCATACTTGGTTTGCGAACTGGGAGTCTAAGCCACTTGAGTATGGACAGGAGAAAGAGAGTTTATTGATTGCATGGACTTTTGGCATGGAGAAGTCCGTAGAATCTTTGACCAAGAATTTGGTGAGGGAACTCTCCATCAACGAGGATGGAAAGGCAAACTTTGGGATCATCGAAGGAGACATACTCCCAATTCCGCAAAGTCTCATTGGTAAGTTACCTCCACTTGATTGGTCTTGCTGGAGCTAGTCTTCCGAGTCACGACAACTGACCAACTTATTACTTTAGAGAACATTCTCAAAGTTCGCTTGGCCACGATTGACCTGCTCCTTGATATTCCCTACAGTCGCATGGAGCTGTACGAGACGAAGAGTAGTGGGTTTTGCAAAAGAAACAAGGAGCACTGTGAGATATTGTGCTACGGTTCCCTTCTTAAAGGCCTCCAGAATACTGGAATTTGGCCGCGGCCGAAGGCTCAAGACGTTCACATCAGTGTTAACCAACTTTCCTCGGCACTCAACGGCTGCAAGATATATACCCTCAACAACCACACCGACTGCTTCTGTACCTCCAAAATACGAAAGTACGTAGGTAGTGTCATCTCGAGCCTTGAAAGCCCGCTTCTCGATTCGCATCGTCAACAGCTGAGAGCAAGAAGCCAGGAGGGAAAGGAGCACGAGTCTTCAGCATTAGACACAATTCTTGAATCACCTCGGGCAACAACACAGTGGAAGCAATCAATCCTGGGACGAATGCTTCACGGAAAGATGTTTTCCAGCGGAGGAAAAAAATGAGAAAGGGGACGAAGCGCAAAATTTGCGATTGTCAGACTGGCAATGGCCATCTTGGAGACCGAATTCAATGCATTTTGTGTGAGAGAAACGTTCAGAAGTAGTGTGTGCTAGACATGTGAAAGTTGCCACTTGGACTGGAAGGAGTCGGGGAACGGCGAGCGAGAATTCAGACCTTCTTCCCTCCTATGTTGATGGCTTTTATTTTCGTTATCAGGTCCTGAAGGTATATAGAGGGGGTTAATTTCGCGAGCCTCCACGGCAGTCTTCGGAGGACTTGCAGTCATCACCCCAATACACATCATGTCGCTTTATCCAACCAGACTCACTCGGCTTCTGGCTGCATCGCTTTTTGCTACCTCCATTGCATTAATCCTCGCGTGGCTCATGGATGCTGCTGAAAGGAAGACATAATCGCTAGTACCGCCGCGTACGCCGCTGTGCTTGTTGTGTTTGTTGGTACGGCCACTACAGCTATTTAGGCAGCCTCTCAAGGAGACGGGAGGGAAGTTTGAGGATCGAAAAGGGTGGCCTTTGGATTTAGGAGGAAGAAGACTCTGTTCGGCTCTTGATCCCGAGTAATAGGTGAGGGATATTTGCCATCAAGGCTTCACCTTCGAATAACACAAATAATAGATCAATTTCGGCGTTGGCCAAAAGTGCACTCCCCTGTTCCGTGATATTCTTCCTCGCCCGAGATACTTTCTCGAGCGACTTTCGTAGTTTATTTGAGATTCCCAGTCCTCCTTCTCGTATATGGTCAAAGTCTATTTTCAATACCGCTTTCACCCTTGTACGGAGATCATGGGCAGTTCGCATGGAAGGTACAGTGAGGGGACATTGAAATTAGCCCGTTTACTAAAACCCCACCAAAATCAGCTATTTTTCACCCTTTTCACCAAGCGATAACTTTACAACCACACCCGGTGCAAACTTAGTACTTATTTTCGGTAGAGAATCAAAGCCTGGGAACCCCCCTTTTAAATATAATTTAATACATTTAAATCGCGCATTAAGTTATATAGCTTTAAAAATTTAGTGATTTGATTTTCCTAAATTTTCGCTTAATTTTGGTGTAAAATTACGAAAATCAAAGAAGTCTCTTATAATCTAATAAACCATTTCACGAGAACGACCTAAATTAAAAAGCTGAATTGAGTAATTTAAAGGGCTAGTTCGATTTAAGAGATCTGCTAATTACGATTCTTAATTAGAAGGTGGGGTTATAGTTTTCTTTTGAAGTGGTTCAGTGAGTTTTGGCTGTAAAAGAGCGTTCGGGCTAATTTCAATGTCCTAGTACTGTATACGAGAAGCGAGACGTCCCGAGATTTTTCAGCCTCGAATGCTTGAGAAATCAAGTCCGTATGACCGCAGCCCCCAGCAAGCATAAAACTTGCGCAGATTATTTGCACCGAGTCTTACAGTCTCACTAGAGTCCGACATTCTCGAACACCCGCAAATATTTCCTCAAAAACTAGCTTAATTCAGATAATTTGTAATCGTTATCCTTCGGCGTTTCGGGTCTCCGATGTCAGCAACTACTGACGTGCTCAGAGGAACCACACTAAAACTTTGCCGCACAGTAAGAGCATGATCGCCATGCTGACAGGCTTGTCACAAGTCCTCACTTGTGTTGATCTTGGCATTGCGTATCCTACTGATGGTCTGACGTCAAGATACGAGTGACCAGGGCGTGTATCTGTCACGTGACGTTACAGACAGCAACGGAAGAAAAGGCAGCGATAGGAAGCAGTATCTGGGCTTGGAAATACAAGCAGAGCCAGCCGCTGGGCAAGAATGCTCAATATAAGATTGTGGTCGTGGTAAGCCCGTACCACTGTGCTCTGCCCCTTTTTTACACTTCATCTTCGCCCCCATCTTGAAAGCATGATAGGCTCACGTTTGGCGGCCTGGCAGTTTTTGTCGAAGTTTCTAAGTGCTGACAACCTCGCTTTGCAGACCAATGAAAGGCATAGCTCGCAACGTTACACAAAGGGGAGGCCGGTGATCACTGAGACGGGAGGGGAAGAATTAAAGTTAGAACTCGGTGCTTTGCTGCGTTCTCGGGACCAATGCGGGTTAATTGCGGAAATCAGGGCTACCAGTTTCCTGGGATTTTTCTTGCACAACTCCTGCACAAGGAGGATAAAACCGACCAGTGCAGGTCAAGGGCATCCATGAAGGGCCTTACCCGGTCGATCTGAAACCTACCTGGAGTGCTGTAGGTGGGCTGTACGAGCAGAGCACGTGATGGCTAAGCACTAACAACCTCATCATATTGAAAGTAAGCTTCTTATTCGCTTGTCGTATAGGGTTTATTGTGGATACAGCCAATTTCCATGGTCATATTGCCATTATTTGCCATCAGCCTCACGCAACCCTTCGGCCAGCTGTTGAGTCTGCCTTTCGCTCCCAGGACCCCCTCATCCACCGTCGACCATTTTTGACAGCTTGCCAGCCTGCGATCCAAGCGCAATATCTAAGTCGATGCCAAGGTGCGAGGAGTCCGAACGGCTGGCCCTTCGCTGGCTTACTTATACGAGAATTGGGGGTTGATTGGCATGCATAACGGGCCCCTGTCCAGTAAGCGCTGACGCTGATCCGGGGATCGACGGATTTGGAACACCCTGCTTGCCCTACTCGCGCATTTCCTATCAAAGGGACCTTTGTGCCACCGATGCGTCCCACTCCCACTCCCACCACTGCCACAGAGCAGCTGAGGTGAGAGGGCGGCCCTTGTCAGCGTGTATCACAGATCAAACCCGATGCGACTCATCGCCGCTGATTCGTGATCTCGACGGCCGGGCCAGGGGCCCAGTAGACGAGATCTCTCCTCTGATTATTGTTCCGAGTCAGCACAGCTTGCCATGCCATGCCACATTGCCAGCCATGCCAGCGAGATGGCGCCGGCCTGCTCGCGGCTCAATCTTTATAAGGCTGCCCGTTGTCCACTTTTGCTATTCTGGTTTGACTTCGCTGATGTTACGTCTATCGAGAGTTCACGAGCGCCCTGATGGCAGAGAAAGTGGCAGACCTTTCAAAACTTGACACCGAGGTCAAGGTCAAGAAGACGAGGGCCAGCAAGCCAAAGGTCAAAACCGGCTGCCAGACATGCAAGTTCGTATTCGCATTTACTTCATTCTTATTCGTTGTTCTGCTGGATGATGCAGCCTTGTTTGGCGAGGCGGAAGTTCAAGGTTGAGGAGGATATAGCTAAGCTCGTTCAACAACTAGAATACGGCGCGTCAAATGCGATGAGACTAAGCCCAGCTGTCTGCGTTGCGTGAGATTCGGTCACCAATGTGACGGCTACTCGAACAAATCTCCTTCCAAACCCGGTTTGTCATCGAAAAGTTCCCGGACTCTAGTCCCCAAATCCCCCACCCAAAGCCCCCTCTCGCCGGCCACATCGCACTTGAACGCCTTTAGTCCAATATCATCTTGCACTACAACAAAATTATACCCCTCACCACCGCGAAATTTATTTCAAAACCAGCATGAGTCCGAAGCCTTCCAAACATTTTGCACGCGGACGTCATATCAACTATCATCTGCCTTCTCCTCAGATCTATGGACCCGTCTCATGGTCCAAGCATGCGAGACCGATCCATCGATCAGACATGCAGTTATAGCAATAGGGGCATTGAATCTCACAGCTCCTTTGCCCGGGCCGGATAGTTCAGTCGGGACACTGAAACACAACTTTGCGTTCCGGCAATACAGTAAAGCACTTTGTCTGCTGCGGCGAGATGTCGCGGGAGGAATGTGTGATTTGCGCACCACGCTGATTGCGTGTTTGCTATTCTACTGCTTTGAGTCGTTCCACGGCTACCACGAGCTTGCGATTTCGCAAGTTTATTCAGGCCTTAAATTGATCCGCGAATGGACAACCTCTTACTACAAGCCAGATGACAGCGGAAGGCGGCGAACGAGAATAGGAAGTGAGGATCCCTATACAGTTGAAGAGGACATCCTGCGCGCGTTTAGCAATCTGGAAATCCAGGTCATGACATACGCCGATGGACGAAGTAGGGAAGCGCACGAGCACTACCGGCATATTGGGCAAGAGACAATCGACGACATGCCTCCAATTTTCGGGAGTCTGCAAGAATCAAGAGCGGTGTTGGAATTGGTGATTCGAAGAAGCATGCACTGGCTCCGCAGCACCATGCGTTTGCAAAACTTCTCAACGCCCTCCGGCAGCCCGAACGGATCCCCCACTTGGGGCGAAGCCTCGGATTCTCACCCATTCTCCCTTTTCTTTGATGTGGACCCTACTTTTGAGGAGCGACTGGAGACGATGAAAGAATACGAGCGGTGGGACGACGCTTTTAGACCCCTGCTAAACCGCTCGAGGAGTCGGTCTGCACCCGAGGAGGACTTTTTACTTGCTTCTACACTCCGGTTACACTGGTTGTCCGGATATTTATCAATCGCTTCTAATAACAGTTACTCGAGCCTTGTCAACAACGGTCGTTTCACAACCGAGCTGGAAGAGCTGGTTGGCATTTCTAGAATTCTGCTCGGCAGGGGGGAGGAGCTGGGTAATGGGGGGTTCGTCTTCGACATGCAGATTATTGTTCCGCTGATGACTGTCGGCTGGATTTATCGCCACCGAGCATTACGGAGCGAAGCGATCGAGCTGCTTCTACGGAGTCCGAGAAAAGAGGGCGTTTGGGATGGGATTGTGGTTGGGAAAATTATGGCTTGGCTGGCCCGCATTGAAGAGGAAGGTCTGGATGACGAGGCCAGTGAGGACGAGGATTACGTGCCAGAGTGGGCGGCGGCACGGTGCATCAAGATGAGTTTCGACACTGAACGCCGCGAAGCCAGCGTCTCTTGTTTGCAGCCAGTACGGGGATCTCCAAGTGGAGAGGAGGTTCGGAGGGAGGCGATTATACCATGGTGAAAGTTGAGTTTAGTTTAAATGAAAAAGTGAGGGTTTGGATCCTCCCGGTTTGATCGCCCGTTCCAAATGTTTATTGGTCACATCCTCAACCAGACACAAATACGAACCCACGAACTTTGCCCGAACTCATCCTTGGAAGACGAAAATGGAGGGTTCAGAGCACCGTCATGTTGGTGTTGGCAATCAAACACACAAGTCTGACACCTTGAGGCCGCAAACATTCGCAGGACAATCTATTTACATTACCCCGCATAATACGACAATTTGGATCGTCTGGGTATTCTCCGCTGCGGGGACAATTCTCGTGCCTGGCGTACTCAAATGATGGGAGGCCAAGAGCTCAGCTACTTTTCAGGAGTTTTCCAGCCAAAGAAGCTGCTTCAATTGTTGACTTGTAAAACATTCGTCCAATAGACACGCATTGCTCTCCGATGAAGTAAAAAAGGGGGCAGTCGCCGACCTGACGTCCATTTCTACCTGATTAGGCCATTTTTGCGAACAAGAAGCTTGTGCCTACTTCCGGAGGAATCTTGTTATTTGGAGACCGCAGGGTTGATACGCACGTCCTCTTCCCCCAAATAAAACGTAGCGCAGCCAGGATACGGGATACGTTGTACGTCAGAACGGCCGTGCCAGCCTTGTCACGCCACGTTTTATTTTGGGGGAGAGAGTAACTTTCCTGCTTACATGTGGATACCTACACCCATATTACTCATTACCTCACTCCCCCCACCAAGGCACCCAAAACCTTCGTATATTGACCAGTGAGGCGAGAGTATCGATCGGGCTTTCCGAGTTTTGCTCCTGACTGGTAAATGCGGGGGGCCCAGGCTAAATCGCGGGGAGGGTGCTGGTTGGAGTCGTTCGCATGCTCGTCAGCAGTAAGGGCCCCCCTGGGAGCGAGAAGGCCTCTCAGGGGCATGGAGTCCGATAAGCGAGCCTTGCCATGGCTCAGCATTCCAGGAACTTGGGACAGCAGCCGGATGATTCGGATGCTGGGCCAGTCACAACAACAGCGCGAACCCAGGGGAACAGAGACTGAATGAAGTCTTTCTTTGTTGGTGCTTGGTTATCACGCAAAGATATGCTGTTTAGTTACGCAGCCCTGTGGCTTCTCGCGGTTACTCGTTCACGCTCTAATCCACACGCGTTTAAAAGAATAAAATACAACTCAACTTTTTTCAACTGACCCCGAGGGGAATGTGACTTTTCCGTGCCGTTCACTATCCAATCGGTAGTTGGCCTCCATACCGGGCGAATTGGGGGTCTCGGGAAAATCATGGAAACCTGTACTGTACGGAGTACTCTCCCCGCCTAAATAAAATGTCGCGTGACAAGGCTGGCACGGCCTTTCTGATATACCGCATCCTGGCAGCAATAAGTTTTATTTAGGGGAGGGGGGAGGGGGATTTGATTTGATTTGATAGTTATTTACGTCCGTGGGCGTGAGCCGACCTCCCGTGGGGTATGGGGACGTGCTAAGCATATAGGAATTATAAATAGAGTACTACTTGCAATAGGTGTCAAAACCACAAGGGGAAAAAGACCCCCTATTACAAGCAATCCCGGGTCCCTAATCCCGCGGTGTTACAGTGCCCCTATAGACCTTTGAAAGCATTTCAAGTTGTGTAGTGCTGTTGCCAGCTCTCATTGTAGGACTCTCCACGGCCAGTTGGGAGTCAGCCCTACGCTCGACACCAATTCCAATAGATTCCCGCCCGTCTACTCCCCTCCCGACTTGTACCCTCCCCAAGAAGATATAACGTAGTAGTACTCGCAGCCGGTATCCTCGGGTTGCATCTGCAAGGTGTCCTCCACTCGTTTGACCCGATCGATTAAGGACGAAGGACCTGTCGCAAGAGGCTATCGCGGGAGCCCGATCGTCCAACTTGAGCGTCTACCTTCCCTCCTCCCCCGAGTACTCAAATGCTATATCCCTTGTGCCCTCATAGTCGTCGTTTGGAAAGTAGCCAGTCGTAAAAGCGTAAAAAGGTTCGAGCTACGGGTAGAAGGCCACGTTGCAGTGGCTATTCAACCTCGTAGTTGTGTCGACACAAGGAGGACAACGTGTATAGCTTCGCGAGCTATAGCACCTCAACTAGTCACCTCGGTGACTGCGTCCACTCTTCAGCTCAGTCGAATACTTGTTGAAAGTGTCGACAGTTCGTAGCCAGCGCCCCGTACAGGCAGAGAGGTCCGTCTTCGCTGGCCAGGGGGGGAGGGGGAGAGAGTACAACGTATCTAGGGAAAATAATGTAGCGAGAGAGCCACAGACAAGGGCTAAAAGCCAATTAAAAGTTCGTATTGTTTGCTTTCTGGTCCGTGCCAGCGCGGAACACCCCTGCCTCGCTACATTATTTTCCCTAGAACAGACGGGAAAGGAATCCGTGCTGGCCTCGCTCGCCTCCCTTGGCCCTAATTTCTGACAATTCTCCGGAGCGACGCAGCCATTCAGAGACGAGACAAGGGTGCCACGAGCTCTTGACCCCTGGTTTTGGCCTCGGACGCTTTGAAACCGGCGCAAAACCTCATGATTCGTTGAACCAACTTCGAGATGCAGAAACTCAAAATGCTGCATGTCATGGTAGAGCACACGCGATGCATGCACATTAATAGACTCGAATTGTGTAACTCGGGGTAAAGTGTGCGTTGGCCTATTAAAATGGAGAAGAAACGGGCCGTTCCAAGAGCGGATGCAATCGTCCGCAAACTCAGAAATGGCCCAATTTGGGTATCGATTCGAGGACGGGGCTCTTTCTTGGCATCTCACACATCGCCTGCCCACGAAAGATAATAAGAATCAAGTTTCGACCCATTTTTTGTTCATGATTATTCTGCGGTGAATCAGGGAACTAACTTCCTGAACCAGCAAGTGCTGAAATGAAGCCCGACGCGCCCGCCGTTGTGGGCATTTATCAGCACCGCGGCGACCATCCTCCGTCTCACTGTATCTTTCAAGGATCGTTCCAGAAAACGTGGCATAATGTTTCAGATTGGGAGGCTCGGTATGAATTAGACTTTGGCTGGAAGCTGCAGGAACCAGTCCAAGGTTGGTGATTGAAAGTCGTATTATCGTATTTCGGTACCTTGCTGGATACTTGTAAGCACAAGCGAAGTGTGACCGGTCATGTAACAGTGCATACTAAACACGTTCTGAAGTTTGGTAGCGATGCCATCTTTTGATATGCAATCAAGACCCGCATAATCTCCGAGGTCGAAGGAGTCGAATACGTGATTGTGAACAGTCGGTGTTTAAGATTGTAGGTTGAGACAATAACAAACTTAGGAGGTGGTTGTTAAGCGAAGATTCAGGTGACGGACTCGCTAAATATAGGGGTAAGTCTGCACGTGTCACACGCTCACACCAAAGAGCGAAGATATTCGCCAGAGAATGCAGCATTCAACTCTAGCTATCAAGTATCTATGCGCATCGTGGATATCTCTTCTACCAGTACCATGAACTCCAAATCCCAGCCCGCTCAATATGCTCCACCATTAACTCCCACCATAAAGCAAAGTGATCCATCCAGCAAACGCCCGGTCGTCCGCTCACAAATCGCACGAAGTGAAACGATCAAATGGCCGTACCATGCAACTCCTCCTTCGCAATCTCAATCTCATCCTCATCCTCAGGACGGCACTCACACTCGTACTTCTCTCTAAACTCCTGCAACGGAAGACCACTCAGCAAGTGCTGAGCATTCTTCGCAGCCGCCACCTTCGCATATCGCGAGCTCTCAGCCTCAGCCTCAGCCACGACTTGACCGTGGATCAAGACAATCGCAACGACCGACGGCTTGCTGCCGTCCACCTTCTTGACCTCACGAGTCATAACACTCCAATCCGCACAGCCCATGTTGATCTGCAGGAACTTGGTCAGGAAGGTTGTGGGATGCTTGTTGGCGAAGGTGTCATAGATGCTCATGTCTTTGAAGTACCACTTGATGTGCATGTCGAAGAATTTATCAACTTCAGAGTAGTCGTATTCCGAGTCAACAAAAATGGCAGCGATATAGGCTTCGATGATATCAGGAAGACACTTTGGAGGCTGACGAACGGAAGTCCAGTAATCAGCAGAGCACTCGGATCGTGATTTGCCAGCGCGGACGGCGTCGTCCTCGGCTTGCTTTAGGGCTTCGTTGATATCAGTAACATAATCAGTGATCTGCTTTTGGATCCCGAGGTTAAAGAGGAGCAGGTGGGAGTGGAAGCCAAGGTGGACACACAGAGCTCCAAGGAATTGATTGGAAACCATTGCCATCTTGTGCTCGGTCAACCACTGTGGGTCCTTGCTGGGGAAGCTATGGAACAGGAAGTTGACGCAAGCCATGTCAAGCAAAGAATCTCCCAAGAACTCAAGACGCTGGTAGCTGGGCACGTGTTCATACGAGAATGGGTATGATGGGTGCGTGAAGGCAGACCGAGCAAGGCGAGGATACCGGAAGTGGTAAGGGTGTACCTTCTCCAGCTGGGAAGCGAGGTCCTTCTGCATCTCCGTAGAGGTAGCCAACTGGTATTTCGGCTTCTTGTAAAGCTTGTAATAATCCGCGAATGCAGTTACCTGATGGTTCTCACTGGAGACGAGCTCCGTAACAGCCCGGCAAGCCCTGTCCATATCTCCAGTCTCATGACATGTCAGAAGCGCAGCACCAATCAAAGCCTCACAGACATCAGCAATTGATTTATCACCAAGCTTGTGCGAATTGGGAGCTGTTGCAGTCTTGCCCTTTGTCAAAGCGAGTCCTTCGGGATACCAGGCTCGGCGATTGAAGCTTTGAGACCGAATGTACTCGTAAAGCTTGAGCTTGATGGCGTTGTTCTTCAAGTTCTTGTTGCAAATCAGCATCATGCGATCAACATGGTAGCTGTATTCGTCATTGTCTGGGTGGATACCAAACAGCGAAATAGAAGTGGCCATCTTCAAGAAACAGTCACCAAGGAACTCAAGTCGCTCGTAGTTCGTGCCCATGCCTCGTTGGAAATTGATTTGCTCGTCGCCATGATCTTCGGTATTGTCGGAGTCCTTGGTCACGGCTTCCAAAGCCAACTCAGGCCGAATCTCAAGATGCAGCAACTCACAAGCTTCCAAGGCGATGAGATACGACTCCATACGGTGGATAATGGCTGGGAAGCAGTACGCCATGGCAACAACAGGTGTGGGGAGCTTGGCTATGTGTTAGTAGGTGATTTGAAACGGAGTACTGTCACTTACAGGAGAAATCTTGAGAGGCTCAAGAATAACAAAGCATTTCTTTGGAGTCTCCTCTTCAGGACCGTCAAAATCATCGAGAAGGTTTCGACGAAGTGGGATGAACTCAGCCTCAACGACACGTTGCTCAGCATCAAAGGTCCTCCTAGATCTAGCCTTTGCCCACAAGCTACAACTATACTCCATGATGTTGTCATTGTTCTTCCGAGTTCCCTTGCGCGGAGCAGAATTCGGCGGAACAGCATGAAGAGGTTTGTGCTCTTGAGTGACTCCAACGGTCCACAGCTTTCGGGATCCATCAAACGGGTCAACGACGAACTTGTCCCTGAAAAACTCGTCCGGCTCGGTTTGCCATGACTTGTTATCCCAAGGATTGTCCGACCACTTCGTGTGATGATCCTGGATGGATTGCAGAATATGCCATGCAATAACCTGGTCCGGATGCGTATGGTTGATATCGACCTTGGCACCAAGTTCAATCGGAACCAAGAAATAAGGCATCTTGGACAGATCTGACTCGTATCCCTTACTGAAAACATCGTCAAAGATGCAAAGAGTAAAGGTGTTGATGAGTTGACGGAACTCAGAATTGACCCGCCACTCTCGTGCTAGGGGTGTGGTCAACACTTGGGAGTGTCGACCCGCCCCAAAGTGGAGATAAAACGACGGCAGCTGCGGCAAGGGTGATTTGGTTAACAATCCCATGGGCTGGCATGGTCGATCTAAAGCCTCCGGCGTCTCCAAGGCCATAATGGTCAGATACAACACTTCAGGAACACCACCAACAGACCACAGTGAAGGCTTTGTCTTCATATCATAAGACTCTCGCTTCTTCGAATCAACGGCAAGGAGAGCATTTCGCATTACAGGAAGTTGTTTCGTGAAGATGGGTAGCAAATATTCGTCTAAATACTTGAATTCCACAAGCTTCAAGCAGGTTTCAAAAGCAGCGGAGCATTTTGCAACCTGCTTGGTATTGGCCGGACGGCCAACAGCTCCCCGCAAGGGCGATGACTCTGGAAGGATAGCCTCACACAGGAACTGCTTGTTCTGGACAGTGACAACATATTCGGGTTGAATATTGGTGTCCTGACTGTGAGGCAAAGAATCGACGAAATTCGCGAGCACTGCCAGACTCATCTTGTAGGTCAGCTTGGCACCAGTGACTGGATGCTTGAAGACGCGATGAGTTCTCTCCTTGGCCAAGAAATGATCCATGTCGAAGCTGTTGCCCGTGAGAAGTCTGTCCTCGGGGAGAGCATTGCAGAAGCGCTTCAAGATGTTCTCGTTTAGACGGACTTCACGGATGATCTGATGATGCTCCTGGTTGCCATCTTCGCACATGTGGATGTACCTGGAGTTTGTATGTCGTGCTCGGCCTCTTGATTGGATGTACTGAATCAGAGTAGTGTAGAGGTCAAATCGAATGACTAAATTGCAGTCGGGAATATCCAGTCCTTCCTCGGCTACCGACGTCGCAAACAGACAATTGAGCTTGCCTTTGCGGAAGTTCATCATGGTCAGTACTTGCTGGCGGAAGGAGACGTTCAGGTCACCGGCATCTCCGCTTCGGGTTCCGACCTATTTATGTGAGCGTGGTTCTAAGAACAACAAAGATAACACGGAACTTACCAAGGCTCCTGCAAACAAATACGGGGTGCCAATGTGTGGATGAGTGAACAGATTGGCCAGGAGACGTGCAGTATATCGCTGTCTTACGAAGACAATGCACTTATCATCTGTCGGACGCTCGAATCGTTCCTTCAGGTATGTAATAAGAGTGGTGACCTTCGAGGACAGATTAGTGGATGTATGAGTCTGTGGATCATAGTTGGGCGGCTCGAAGGTGTGTGTTTGCACAATTTGTCGCGACTCTCGAAGCTGCTCCTTGTGCATTTCCAAGACTGCAAGTGGCTCTTGAACTTTCTTCGCATGGTATTTGCGTTCAGTCGTTGCTTGCAGCTTCTTCGTCTCTTCTTCGCTCAGGACGAACGGCCAAATATGATCAGAGCACCATGACCCCAGCTCTCTGGTTGCTTCGTATGCGTACAGAAGTGGCTTGTTGAGAACCGAATTTGACTTGAATCTGGCATACATCTCCTTGTACAAAAGTGTCTCAAACTTGGGACCGAGGGCTGCATATTTGGCGAGTTGCTCTTGTTTGGATGTGACGGTGTACTGCAGCAAGCTAGAGTCGGCAGCAGTGGCGATCTGGCAATGGAGAATAGCTTCCAGTTCCGCAGCAGCCTTCTTGACATCGACACGAGCATCTACTGGAGATGCAGTCATACCGAAGATCTTGGGAAGGATGACGTGTATTTCCTGCTGAGCATAGAAGTCTTTGATGATTCGAGCATACGCATGATCTTTCTTCGCATGGTGTGCTTCGTCGAAGATGAGAAGGTTGATCTGTTCCATGGAAATGAATGAGTGGTGAAGACATTGTCGAAGGACTTCTGCAGTGCAAACAATGACCATATTGTCTGCAAAATGTTTCTCCCAGAGCTTCTTGCTCCACAAATCACAACCCATATCGCCACAGAACATGTTCATTGGTTGATCGAGATTTGCCTTGAGGACAGCATGTTGTTGGAAGACCAGCTGGACCGAGTCGACCAAGAAGAATGAGATTCGCTTCGGCTTGCCCATGGCTCTATCCTCCAACTCCTGAGTAAATATATGTCGAAGGAGGAGGACAGCAATCAAAGTCTTGCCGGAGCCTAAGCTTGTTAGCACCTGAAACCAAATTAGGTTAGTAGGCACGTACCAGTATCGAGAACGGCTATGATATTCTTCTCCTTTGCCTTCTCAAACAATTCCACCTGATATTCTCGCGGGCTTGAGATGATCTCGCGGTTCTCGGATTGATTGACCAGCCATCGAGCGGATTGTTGTGCTTCATCTTCAGGGCGGACCCTGTTGCCTTCCTTCAATTGCTTTTGGGTTCGGACGTGCATGTAACTGTCAGCAACGGCGTTGTGTCGTCGCTTTCGTTCTGTGATTTTGCGCGGCTTTGCTGTAGGTCGTGCTTCTTCCTCGTCCGAGGATTCATTGGGCTCATCTTCGTCACCATCATCAGGGCCGAGGGGAGCGTTTGCACCTAAGTAGATGGGAGCTTCCGGAAGACTAAAGAGAGTTGACTCTGACCTGGTGCTCGCGTAGGAGGTCAGGCGACGTTTTAGAGAGAATGGAGAGTCGGCGGGGCCGGAATCAGAAGGTCTCTTCAGATCAGCAATGACTTGGTCAGTGTTTCTCGTGGCGAGAGTCGTAGCTTGAGGACTTGAATGAGCTGGTGCAGCCATCTTGTTGATGTATTGTTGCTTGTCAGCTTGGAGGATTGGAATGGGAGATGGCGTGGATGGAGGTGGCACAGCTTCGTTTGTGACTGTCGTCTCCATCAGGAGCTTCTCTTGGAGAGTTGGAGATGCCATAGAAGACGCGTCTCCTTCCTCCACGGGAGGGTCGTCTACCATTGGTGGGGGCATGACCGTTGGTGGAAAGTTGAAGACAATGGAAGAGGTTAGGTCAAGGGCTGAAGTTGACATGGAGTTGATTTCCTCCCACTCGGAATCGTTTGTACTGGGGGAGTGAGCAAGCGTATTCGTAGCCTTGTCAGCCTCGCTTTCGTGATCCGCAGCCTTGTCCAGCTCCAGCATCACCTTGAGCGTGGTCGGGGTCAGCTCAATGGTACATGATGCCTCTCGACCGCTGGGACTGCCATCAGTCAGTGCGCTGTCCATATCAGAAAGTTGTACCAAAGGATCCTCAATCAGCTGACTGAGGTCCTGCAGGTAGCCAGCGTACGGCATTGTGCGAGAAGGGTAGGGGAATGTGAAAATGGAGTACTTAGGAGGTTCGAAGATGATTTCGAAAGAATTTCGAAAAGACCTTGAAGGCCTTTCGAGCTCGCGTAGCTAGCGCATCGGTGTAGTCAAATTTGAGGCCGAAGAGAAGTTGCGATGAGTGAAGTGAAGGTCGCGAGAGTGAATTTTGTTCAGACGCGAGGCGAACAAAGCAGTCGCGTTTTCTCATGCCTTTCCTTCTCCCCCACCAACACAACTTCAACACCCCACCAACAACCACCAAAAAAGTCTATATCTCTCCCCAAAAATGGCAGAACAAAGCATCAAGTCGCTCTTCAGCTCCGCAGAGCGTCAAAGAAAGGATATCGAGGCTGTATGGGACAGCAACACCGCCACCTACCAACAAAACCTCGCCGCTGCCATCTCCACCTACGAAGACTGCCTCAAGCTTGCAGACCGTCTCTCGCTCTTCAGTCCTAATGAAACTCTTGAGGATCTTACCTCAGGAGACCTGCAGTATGTATCTCTAGCTATTCCAAAGCATTGTGCTAATCTCGGGAGGTACCTGCTCATCAATTACCGCCTCGCCGACCTCATCATCCGCCTCAGCTCCAAAAACCGCAAAAACACCCTGCAAGAAGCTCGCGAAGCATACGAACGATACCTAACCCTCCTAGACCACTACGAAATTCTCTCAACACCAGACAAGAAGCTCTACAATGATTACACCGAAGCCCCCACCAAGTTCTCCACAATCTCGACCAAAGACCCCAATGCGCGACGAGACGCGAAGATAGCAAATTTCAAGCAGGAAAAAGAGTTAAAGAAGAAGCTAGAGGTATGTGTATACCCTTGAGAAGGTATTCGAGGCATCTGCTGACAGGTGGAAGTTCCTGTCGCAAAATCCAGCATACCTGCAGAATGACGATGATGCGGTCCGCGAGCTTCAACTGGCAAATGTTGCCCTCTGCACACATAATACATTCCAATCGCTCGAATCTATGAACCGGGAGCTTGGAGTTCTGGCTATGGCTCCTCCGTCTGCACCAACAGGCCCAGAACAGCTCGAGAGAGATTTCAGGGAACGGATGGGATTGCGTGACAAGGATGAATATTCGGAGCGTCTGGATAGTCGAGATGCATTATCGAGCGCCACGAACAAGGGCCCAATATTGAGTTCGAGTGGGAAGCCATTGCGGCCGTTTACGCTGTTGGACAGCAGAAAGACGTTGCAGGAGGGTGTATTTAGACCAGGGCATAATCTACCGACTATGACGATTGATGAGTACTTGGAGGAGGAGCGGGCCAGAGGGGGCATTATTGAGGGTGGTGGGGAGACGAGTGGGTTAAGTCCAGAGCCAGACGAGGATAATTTTGAGAAAGCGGATGTGGAGACGCTGAAGGCAAGGGAATGGGATGAGTACGTGGAGGCAAATCCGAAGTAAGTTTACGCCCCTTTTTGTAAGAAAACCGCAGTACTAACTGGCAGCAGGGGCTCTGGAAATACATTGAACAGAGGATAGAAAATTAAATTCATATTATGAAGTTTTAAATCATAGTTGATTTTCCTCATTGCATAATGCTGCGAATTGGCCCATTTTGTATACTGACCAGTAAAGTCGCTGGAATTTATTCCCCCGAACTTGCATGCACTTCCAAGATCTCATTTCCTCCCAAATGCACTGTCGTTCTCCGTTCCCTCCCGAATATCCCTTTTGCCATCCCGTTCTGCCTTTGCTCCCTTCTCCCCCATACGTACCCATCTTCCAAAGGAAGTAAGCTCCCCATCCATTGCAGTCAATCACCCACTAAACCCCCCAAAACATTCCCAGAGGAAGTCTCCTTGCCCACCCCTCCTCAAACACCACCCACATCATACCTCCGATACCGCAAGGAACCCCTTCGTACAACCCGCCTCTGCACTCCTCTCAATTCCTCCCCGCTCTCGTCTGCTTTCTCCATGCACACGCATCTCCTCCCACCTCTCCTCCAACCCCCTCTCCTCAACCACCCACTCCTTCCGCCAACACTCCTCCCACGGCTTACTCTCAGCCCACTTCCCACCCTCCTTCAAAACATCCAACCACAGCCCCTGACACTCACCAAACAGCTTCGTCCACTCTTTAAGCTCGTCCGAGCCTTCGGAGTACCGGGTGAAGGGGTTAGAGGCCGCGATGCAGGCTGCTGTGAACTTTCTGAGGATCATCGGGCCTTCCATTGCACCGCTGCCCATTGTTCCATTCCCACCCGGGTGATTGAGGGGCTTGTAAGAAGAAACGGCGGAGTGGATGAATCGCACCTGCTCCACGCTCGGCCACTTACGATCCACTTTCCGGCGCTGCTGTGTCATGATATAGTTCATGAATCCTGGTGAGCCGAGTTGGGATGCAGAGAGGTATAAGATTGGGAAGGTGTGTGTTGGATGCAGTTGTAGGTCGCTGATTGACGGGCTGATGGTGCGGGTGTAGATGAAGCTGAGGAAGACCGTGAAGTGGATGCTGTTGAGGTCGGGTACATTGATCTCCGTGAACGAGGGAAGAGGAGAGGTGATCTTGGTTGGTGGAAGGGTGCTCGTTGTTCCGCTTGTTGGTAGAAGAATGGGGAGCACAGGCTGCGGGGTGGCTTTCTTCAGCATGTTTAGGAAGCCGTCGTCGTATCCTTCATAGGGATTCGGGACCTCAGAAAGAGTGCTGTTGTCGCGGCTCTTGTCTCCGCTTCTCCTTTGATCTCCCTCCTCCACCATTTGTCCATCTTCGTGGGTCATGAGGCCCAATTCCCACTCCTCGTTGTGTTGTACGCCCAAATTCTTTGTCGTGAGGGTTGACGAGCGGACGATTCCAGAAATCATCGCCATCTCTTGTCCCTGCTCAGGCAACGCGATGTCCTCGCTTTTGACTTTCATACCCTCGTCTTCTTTAACCTCAACCTTAACCCCCTCCTTCAGCATCTCGCGGAAGAAACTCGAATGAAGTATGAGAAGTTCTCGATGAACGATGAACCTTTGCTTCAGACTACCTCCTTCACCACCAACATGAACAACCACCATTCCTTGCGAAGAAACGATGATTCTGTACCCATACCTCATCAGCTCCAACGTCCCCGAAGTCACAAGAGCAATTAGAAAAGGGAAAAACTCACGCAGTCCTAAAATCCTCCCAAATCCTCTTCCCCTCCTTCTCACACTCCGAAAGTGACTGATGACCCTCAGTACAATCACATCCTTGCTCCTCTTTCTCCCTCTCAATCTTCGATTTCTTTGCGCGCCATGGACGGCCGCCTTTCATTTTCTCGGTTGAGGCCCGCTTTCCCGGCATCCTGACTTCACTTTCGTGCTCGGTTTTGACTTTACCTTCAAGCTTAACGTATTGTGAATCTTCGATCCCGGATTCCCGCTTGGTCGTGCGCTTGAAGGGAAGTTCAGGCTCGCTGTCGTCGGAGGTAGAAGACTCTTCGGAGGAGGAGGACGAAGGATGTTCAGTGAGAGGGACAAAAGTACCAGTGTAGAGCCTCGAGTCTGGGTCACTTTCACAGGCTTGCTGTGATTCGTGCGTTGTATGGGGACAAGGGCAGAGACTCCAGAATTTCTTGCGGGTGCTTGTGCGTCTTTGCTTTTGCTGTTGTTTGGATGGTGAGAGTGGAGGTGATGGTTTGGATGATGAGGCACTGCTGACGCTGGGTTGTTCAAGGAAAGGTGATGTAGAGTGTTCAGGTGAGGGTGATGGAGATCGAGTGCCGGGCTGGCCTGCTGGTGAGCTCTCGGCTGATTGTTCGTTGCCCATGGAGTAAAATGGAGGATGTGAGAGCAAGATGGGGTGGGGGAAAGAAGAAGAAAGGAAGTGAGAGGAGGTGGAGGGATGTGGCTGGGATTGAGTTAAAGAGAATGGGAGGGAAAGGTGGAAAAGGTAGAAGAGCTACCCTTGCTAGAGAATGGAAACGATTCTCATTTAAGGGGAGATCGATGTGGAATGGAGGTCGATGTCGTCTGGGTTTCACTTTTGAGTCGAACGTGTGAGATTGTTTGGATGTTGAGAGAGGAAGATTCTGAGACTAATGAGCGAGCATCAGAATTGCATCGAAAGATCACAGTGTTGAATCTTGTGTGAAAGCTCAAGGGCGTATCTGGGCACAAATTGACCCCCAAGTTGTAGGCTCAAATCAGATGAATCCAGGGGAGGCCGAGTTGACCGCCCTGGTCTAATTATTGGAAAGCAGATACTTTTGAATTAAGAAGAGTGTATTTGATTACATTATACCTCCACCTCCCTACATGACTTGTGACGATTCACGTGATCTAGAGGTAAGGAGACGAAGATAGCGAGCCTTTTACAAATTGGGATATTCAGCAAGGTTAGGAGGGGGACTCCAAATAAATTTAAGGGCTATACCAGAGTTAAAGAGCCCGAAAAGTCAGGCATATACGTGTGTGTTGCTCAGTCTCAGTGTACTTCACCCATGTCTACGAATTCTGTTTCGTCAGTAGATTGAGGGGAATCACTTACACAAGTTCGTTTTCGGCCGATTTTTGAGCATCTTATGTGCATGGGTAGGCGGGGCTATATATTCGTGACGCCCAATCATTAGAACACTGTAAACAAAGTTAGCGGACATTCCCATCAACGAACCAAAGATTCTAGCGCTCTGTGAAGTTCGTATTAGGCTGCTTAGTAGCCAGGTGACGAAAACAATGCACCACTGGTCCCGACCCAAACTCCAGACATCGAATGCTTTTGAAAGTGTTCCTTTTGGCCAAGAAAAGACTGGTGTCCGAAGAGTCTACTCCCAGCCAAAAGGCTACTCCAAGCTTAACGTACTCGGGTTTGGAGCCGGCGACACGCTCGTGTGCGCACTCTGGGCATGCGAGAATACCCATCGGTTGACATTTCGGGCATGGCCACCACAGCAACAACAAGTCCAGAACTATTTTTGGAGGTGCTGTTTGGCCCGCTTCGTGGTAATCGCAGGGATGGCCTCTGAAGTGATCTTTGCGAGCGAAACCATTGATCGTGCACACATGCGGTAGTCGCAAGGGAACGCTCGTTCGAGATCGGCTGGACTGTTGAATAGAGGAATTTCGTGGGCACCAATATGAGGTTTACACGGCTGCACTGGTCCTTCAGGCTGGAGGGGTTTCGGGGGGCCACCAAGGCTCGTTCATTGGGTCGTAGCTTGCCGGTGCTGGCTGAAAAATATCGTTCCAATTCGGATCTGCTGTCGAATTTCGAAGAAATGAATGAAAATCATAAGTACCTTCGAAACTGTTTTCCGTATCTGGCAATGTTGGACTTTCTGGGACTCCAGGTTGAGTTGCGGGAGACTTGTCAAGAGCCTGTTCTGGGGGTTGTTGGCTTGTCGACTCAGGACGAGTGCAATTACACTTCTCGTTATGAGCGTTGTTTTAGTTTGCCTCTGCGGATAGATGGGCTTACCTCGATTTTCTTCCTCCTGTGTTGTTCACAAGCACCCCGTTTTCGAACTTCGGCTACCTTCTTCCGCTTGAGGTGAGTAAACGTCGACCTTTTCCTCTTGAACTCGGCGGGGTTTCCGGTTGTGATTCTCCAGGCGGTAGGTGCTTTTCGGTGGTTGGCTGCGGATGCCTGGGGCGAGTACATGCCAGAAAGTTGTCCAATTGTTGGAGAAATGTTGTGTTCTGATTCCAGGTGGTTCAGGAGGGCTCTGCGAAGTTGACTTTCCAGGCCAAGTTCCAAAGGGTACTTCAAAGCTAGAGCATTTGCGAGTTCGAGAGAGCCAATTGGCGGATTGAATTGGAAACTTAGGTCTTGTCGCCGTATGATGGTGTAGCTGGGTATATGACCCATGTTGCCTTGCGGTGTTTCGGTCATGAGGAAAGTTCAGGAGGGTTCAAATGTACCAGTGTGGCAATGAAGTTGAGATGTAATTGATAATTGAACAAGTCGATCAAGTTGCAAAGTCAAAATTTTGACCGTCTGCAGTTGGGCGATCCCAGGAATTTATCTATCTACCCTCGTTCGTGCCGCGCATGTTCTCTGAGGATGTGCCAGCTTGGCGGGGCGAAATGTTTGTGCGCACTAAATGTGTTGTTCAACTGTGCATGAATGCCAAAGTTTCCTCAAATGGTCACCGAGGTCCAATGAGGCTGCTTCGGTGAGTTTACCGAGTAAAAATCTCGAAAGGAGGGAAGGCTGAGGCGGTTAGGTGGACGTCGTGAAGCGGCATTCTTGCATATCACCAGCAGCACGATACACACTTGCGAGGCTCATCCGCTGTACAAGCCAACTGTGGCCAATTACGAAGTTTCAAAGGGACGCTGGTGAGGGGGAAAACAAATCTGGGAGGGCTGCACGCCTTGGAGCATCCCCTCCATGACCCACTGAATACGAGATCTGCGGCCGCAAGGCCTCAAACCGCTGGGCGCCAATTTGTGCTTGCAAGCACAAATCAAAGTTCGGGTTTTTGGCTGAGATGATGTCGATGAATGAAGGGTGGTGAAGGAAACGGGGGACAGGATAATGAAGAATACCAAGAACTTCGTCATTCCCGAAGCTGAAGCCACCGGACGGGAGTGCTGGAGCGTCAGCATTCTCATTATTTCTCAACGGGAGCTATCCCTTAGCTGCCTGGAGGATATATTCCCCTGAAGATGGGGGTTTATTGTTTGGCGGGTTACGGACGATCCGACAAAGAAGCAAATGTCCACTCTACCCGCCTGCAAGGGCACAAGCACGTGACTTCCCCTTGTTTCTTCCATACCTTACCATTCGATGATTTGCTTTGGAAAAGAGAACTTGAAAACAAAACATAGCGACTGTCCTATATCTTCTGCGCGGAACTCCCGTTGTGTCGTCTTTCAAGACCCAGAAGTTTCGTCTTCAAAGGGGTTCAGGGGCGTTCAGGTGGCGATAACTGAACCGTAGCGGATTGCGTGGCGCCGAAAATAACCACACCCAATTCAATTCGGCAGCCCATGTCCATGTTAAAATCTGCGGATCATATCAGATCAAGATCACTCAACCTCCACGCAAGCCTCAATCAACCGCGCACCGCAAAACACGCACGTCGAGGGATCATCAGCTTATTTACGCAGCACTGCAGGACGTCCATTTTGCCTTCGTCCCTGCTCACCCATCTAAGTGCTTACCCTGCTCAGGTCCTCTGGACCGCTTACGCTCGTTAGGAGATCCCCGGCGCCGTCATCAACTCTAATCCCAACGCGACAATCCACCCACCGAACGTGATAATCGAAAGCCATTGGAACAAGAAAGAAGGGAATTGGCGGCAACAAGATTTGGAGTGGATTCCTGAAAAGGGGCTGGGAGATTGATGCCTGGGAAGAACGTCGAGGAGAAGTCACGGATCCGGTGATTCAACACAAAGATGGCGACCGATTTTCGATTACGGCTGTGGAGTTGTCTCCTCCTCCTGACGACTTTTTCATTTACTGAAGCCTTCTACATACCAGGTACGCTGAGGAGTTACGATTGGATTGGTGTGAGGGGTGGCTAACATCAGCAGGCTGGTCGATCAAAAGCTACAAAGATAACGAAGCAATTCCCCTCTTCGTCAATAAAGTATACTCCGACAACACACAATTACAATATGCATACTACGACCTTCCATTCGTATGCCCTCCATCTGGTACCCGCCACGCCGGTTCATCCCTGCTCAGCGGTCAGAGCATCCCCCTCAACCTCGGCGAAGTGCTTAGGGGTGACCGAATCATGCAATCAGACATTGAATTGGTGATGGGACAAGACCAAGAATGTAACATCCTCTGCACGCGGAATATCAGCCGATCGGACCTGAGGCGTGCACGGGAGATGGTCAAGGAAGGATATGTTGCGGAGTGGATCGTGGACAACCTTCCAGGAGCCACGAGCTTCGTGACAGTGGACAAAACCAGAAAATATTACGCAGCAGGGTTCAAGATGGGATATAAAGATATCTCGAACACAGGAAAGTACAGGTACTATATCAACAACCACCTCACCATTGTCATCCGATATCGAAAGGCTCCGGGCAGAGATGGGAATCGGGGCGGAAAGGTAGTGGTAGGATTTGAGGTGTATACGAAGAGCATTGGACCGCAGAAGAGGGATGGAGATGGGTGTCCGGCAGATATAAACGATGCTGATACGCCCATGGAACTCTACCTTCCCCCGAACGCCACCACCGATTTCTCCCTACAATATCCTCATTCGTCCTACTACCCGCCAGAAAGCGAGCAAGATGTTGACGATGGAGCTACACTCGACATCCCATACTCGTACTCTGTATATTGGCGGGAAGATGACAAGATTGAGTGGTCCCATAGATGGGACCTCTATTTCGTGAATCAGGAGGAAGGCTCCAGGATCCACTGGCTAGCAATCATCAATTCTCTGATTATTTCCGGACTGTTGAGCGCCATCGTGGCTATGATATTGGCAAGGACAATCCGAACGGATATCAAGACATACAAAGATGCTTCAGCAGAGGAGGGAAAGCTCAAAGCGAAGCGGAGATCCAGACCCGGAAGCGGAGCAAGAACGCCAAAGACTGGGGAGAAAATGGGGACAGGCTTACTGGAACAAGTTGGAGATACGGAGAATGACGCAGATGTGTCTTCAGATGAAGAAGCTCTCGAAGATGTGACTGGATGGAAACTTCTGCACGGGGATGTTTTCCGAGCTCCAGCATACGGATATATCTTGGCGCCTCTTGTTGGTTCTGGGATGCAATTGATATTCATGGCATTCGGTCTGCTCTTCCTCAGCAGCTTCGGCGTCCTGAATCCCTCATTCCGTGGTGGATTCGTCTCAGTCGGTATTGGACTTTTCGTCTTTGCAGGTCTCTTCTCTGGCTACTTTTCCGGACGAGTGTACAAAACATTTGGTGGACTGAACTGGAGGAGGAACACCCTCATCACCGGACTGCTCTTCCCGGGCCTTCTTTTCTGCCTGATCTTCATTCTCAATCTCTTTGTCTGGGCCCAAGCTTCATCCACTGCTCTCCCATTCGGAACTCTCATCGGCCTCATCATGCTCTGGCTCTGCATTCAACTTCCACTCGTCTATGCCGGAACATGGTTAGGCTACGTCAAAACAGGCGCCTGGGAACACCCGACCAAAACCACAACCATCCCCCGCCAAATCCCGGCCCCAGCTTGGTATATCCGCTCCCCCCAATCCATCGTCCTGGCAGGCCTGATACCCTTCGCCGTAATCTTCATCGAGCTCCTTTTCGTCTTCCAATCCATGTGGCAAGACAAGTCAGGCTACTACTACGTCTTCGGCTTCCTGTCCGTCGTCTCGGTAATTCTGATGCTCACCATTGCCGAAGTCACCATCGTGACAATCTACATCAAACTCTGCTCTGAAGACTATAACTGGTGGTGGCACTCTTTTGCAGTTGGCGGATCAAGCGCCATCTGGGTCTTTGTCTACTGCATCTGGTATTACTTCATGCGGCTGCATATCGAGGGCTTCGTGAGCGGACTGTTGTTTTTCAGTTATAGTTTTATGGCGTGTGTGGTGTATGGGTTGCTGTGCGGGACGGTTGGGTTCTTGACTGCGTATGCGTTTGTCAGAAGGATTTATGGGTGAGTCTTGTGCTTCTCTGATTTCCTCAGGACAGAGCATCAAACTGACATCAACCACAGGGCTATAAAAGCTGATTAGAATGACTGGATAATCGGTATTAATTTGACTTGTTTTCTAATGCATGGGTGGAGCAATGGTGGGTTTAGAGGCGCTGGTTGGAAATACCAAGCAAACAGCACGAAGCACAATGTGCTCGCCGCATAATTGAGATGATTGAATCCCTGACTATTCTTTACCGTTTGAGAGAAACCCCTGGATCATGGACAACCTCACACAGGCCTAAATTTCTGACGATCGAGATACCAGGCAAGGAAAGTTTCTATCCGGAGGCAGTCCGCCGCTTCCTCCTCCAAGATTCCGAACTCCCAGGTTATCTTGTTGTCGTTCTGTTACTGTCTAAGCAAGTTTGCGAAAGATCAGGCAAGACGCACTGTTGCGTGCCTGTGACATGGCGCGGATCAACTTTGACTACGTTTGAAAAATGCCTCCAATCCAGGGAACGAAGCTTGTTAGAGGCGGAGGGCTTATCAAGTGATAAGCTGACAAGCGATGCGGCAGCTGCACGGCTTTCAGAGCAGCCTGTGGTTCGCTTAGTTCTGCGCTGACGGTTACTTCAGCTGTCAGCCACGACGCCCATCACTGCCACCATGCATGCACCCAACCCCATTGAATACTCCCAAAATTCCCAAAGCTCTCTCTCTCCCCTTCCTTCCCCATACCCCTCAACCATCGTCCCAAATACCGTATTTCGCCATCATGCATCTAACACTCACAAACACGATCCGGGGCCTGTTCACATTTGGCTCTGCTAAGAAGCCGGAGTCAACAGACCATTCCTACGAGTACATCCGCGGCCCAATCGAAGAACGAGGTCCCTGTCCAGGCCTCAACGCCCTCGCAAACCAAGGCTACCTGTATGCCCCCTCCCTCCACCTCAAAACCTTCTCAAGAAGCTCACACCAACCTGCCACAGTCCCCGCGATGGCAAAAACCTGACCCTCGCCAAAGTAGACTCTGCCCTAAAGACAGCCCTGCATTTCAGCAGCCCCCTCGCCGCGTCCCTGTCAAATAGTCTGAAGCCTCTCTTGCGAAAAGATGGGACGTTCGATTTAGTCGATATGCGCCGCCACAACGTCCTCGAGCACGACCGCTCCATCACGCGCCTCGACTACGGCGCCCCTTCCAACCCTTCACACGACAACTTCTCTTTCCAGCCCACCATGTTCACCTCCTTCCTCGCTGATGCAGGGCCTGGCGAGGAACCCGTCACAATCAAGAGTCTTGCTAAGACGTATGCGAGGAGGAAGAAGGAGAGCAAGAAAGAAGGGGGAAAGTTAGGTTTGGGGTTGTGGTTTGTAAATGTTTTGCAGACGGTCAGTTTATTGAATACGGCGGGCAAGGGGGGGAGGTTGGAAAGGGGGCTGCTGCGGACTTTCTATGAGGAAGAGAGGTTCGAGGTACGTATTTTGGAGGATGAGACGGAGAGGAGCTTGCTTGGGCTGGTGGGGAAGGGGGTTGTGTTGCTGTGGCATGTTGTTTTTTGAAGTGAGGAGAGAGGTGAGATTTCGCTTGTTGTGTGTGGCACTCAGAGGAAAGTTGGCACTTAATGAACGTCATGTGAACGAAATTGGAAGGGAAGCACTCCTGGTTAATCATCTTATGGGTTTACATAATTAATTGTGGAGTTGTCCTGTGTTGTACGTTTTGAGCTTTTGATTCAAGCTTGCTCAGATGGCATCAAGTATTTCCTCGAGACTGGAGAGAAGCATGCTTTAATTGGCCTACTGTATAGGAAGTAAGTTCACCATGTCTTGAGCTTCAGGGGCCTGCACCGGGAAGGACCTCTGAAGATACAGTGGCAAAGCCACTAAAACGGAAGCGACCCGCAAACCTTCTTTCAACATCTGCAGGAGAGGGACCACGGCAACACCTATTTTAACAACACTCCAATACACTCCATTTTCTAGCCATACTATGAGCTTCTTTATAGGATGGCTTTCCTCCATTTTCTTCCTAACATGATACGCTTCTTTTAGAATGAACTTCCACCATTCCCTCCTCTTTATTGGACCTATAGTATTCTAGGCATTCTCATGCGCTATTTAGCCACCGGCTCAACTGCCTACTGGACATCTATTATGAGAGCTACGTGGTGCTGCAGAGGCAACCATGGCTCTGGCAGCCTATGATTTGATACTTGTACGCCCCTTAGGGCAGCACCACCTTCACCTGCACGCGACCCTTTAGATGCATGATCTCCGCCCCCTCATTCTGCTGCTGAGCCCCGGTGAGGCTACAAGATCACGACGAAACCTAATGGGAAATATAGGAACCATCGCTGTATCCACATGAGCAGCGAATCCAACAGCCTCTCAGCGATCACATCAAGTGCTGCGCTTGACGGCAATGGCAGACCGATACGGGTACTCTGAATCGGCATATCGGCCTCGCGCTCCGTATAATCCTTACGCCATCGATCCCAGGTCTCTGCGAGCATCGCCAAATGATATGAATGATGTTCGCCGTCGTGAGCCTCCACTGCGAGAACGGCCCACGACCACGATAGAAGAATACGCCCCAACAGCTCCTCGTCCACCAGCAGATATCAGATATCCATCGGGACCACCTCCCGCTGTGAGAGGTTTTGACCATCTTTTGACATCACCAAAATTGTCTTCTACCAGGATCCCTCGGGCTCCCGATCCTCCAACCTTAGACCTTGCGGACGTATATGTCGACCACAAGTCACCTGCGGAAAGGGAAAAGAGACGTTCTGTCGACTTCAGACGAGCTGATGGGCGCAGGCGCAAGAGGGAAACCCTCTATCCCCAGCGACATGAAAGAGATAGGCATGATAATGAAACACGGGACCAGCGGAGAGAAGGAGAACCGCAACATCACGATGTCTCAGCCCCTGGTGGCTCCTCTGCCAGTGATTCGGATTCCCGTCAAAAGATAGCATCAAGGAGGAAATCCACTCAACGTCGACCGGCTACCTCTGGTAACCTTGGATTGAAAGATGTGCAAAATTTGAGAAACTTGAAAGAAGAACTAGCTGGAAAGCCCAGCGATCTACCTAGACTTCCTCCCAGACCACCATCTGCACTCACGACTCTGGCTGAGGTATCTCCGGCATTTCCGCCCTCTTCAACATTGCCAGAAGTCGATGATCCCGAGAGCACACCTTTCCTGAGAACATCCTTGAGGTCTGCCGAAGAACAGGATCAGCAAGAACAGCCATCAAAATCACTCGTTCGGTTCAGTGCTGAACTCGATAGAACAGTTACACCGTCGACACCCCCGCAGATAATGTTTCAACATGAAGTTCATAAGACGGCTCCTGAAGACCCCCGAAGTGATGTAAAGTCTCTTGTTGATGAATTGCGAGACAAGACCACTCTTCTACAGAGCATCATCTCTCCCGGTAGTTCAAGGAGAGGACCCAGTCCATCTAACAAGGCCCACAGACTATCCACGGGCCCTGCAACGGGAGATCCATCCATAATCATCTACCGTCTCTCATGCAGAGATCTTTTGACACAAGAAGAGCTACTCCGATATTCAACAACGCCCTTCGAAGGCTTCATCGAGAGTCATGGAGATACTCGCACAGAATATGCCCCAATGGATGTCATGCTTTACATCCAAGGAAACAAATTGAAAGACAGAAAGAGCCAACACAGGTCTACATTCGGAACCAACCGAGATCCCGATCCAGACCCCTTTGTTGTAGGAGAAGATTTCTTTGCCCGCGTTATCGAGCCAACATACATACGAATCCTCTCTCCGCAAATCCAAAACGTACTCCGAAAATTGGTACTCTACTACCCAGGCCATGATTTGCAAGGAAAAGAACTTTTGTTCAAAGAACCCTATCGAATATTAGTGCACTACCATACCGATCTCCAAAAAGTCGCCGAGGCATACAACAGCGAAGATAAGACCGTTGTCCTTGGTAACAACGCGAACGAACCTCTCACTACCGTCACCTGCGATGAAACTACCCACAATCACCTTAGCATCTTGCTTAACTCTCCAACCTACAAAGACCACTACGATTGTGTCATTGAACCTGAACTTCGAAACTATGCGAATGGATACGCATCCTACGACATGCTCTGGCTACTATTCAAGCCAGGCGATACAGTTCTTGCTCGGGTTAGAAAGGATCTCGCTGGGTTCATTGTGCTGGCTGCAGATCATACTCAGGATCCTTGCGGTGTCTCACCCTTAGACAGGTGGACGATCCAGGTCTGGAACTTGGCATACACGGGACAATGTCTAACCCGCCAAGCCCACGAGTTCACAATTGACAGGTACGACGGCTTGCGTAAAATCGACGGGCTCAACATATTCCCTAAACGATTTCTAAAATATTATGATGACAAAGTGGAGGAGGAGCTCATTGCTCGTGGTGCTGAATACTTCAAGATCGTTTGTGGATTACCTGCTCATCGAAGGTATTCTGGTTCTGTGATTGCGAATCATCTTGTTCAGGTAAGATGAAAACAGAACGTAAAACACTCTAACGCTAATGATTTATTCAAGTACAATGGAGAGATCATGGTTGACCCAAGCGGCTATCTAACGTATGCGCCCAAACGAGGTTCCAGTCGAGATACGCCAGCTCGCTCAGCCATGCAGCAACGGGCATGGCAACCGATTGAGAAGAGCCAGATTACCGAAGATGAGGAAGCAGACCATTACACTCACTTTGCCAAACCTTTGGACCTAGACGGTGGCCCACGGTGGTCAAAGTTCAACAATATGGCATGCGACGAGAATAACATGCCAACACCAGACCAACTCCTCTTGTTTAGTTCACACGTCCTTGGGTTTGCGCTGCGGAGGAAAGAGTGGAGTAAGTTACTTGGAGCAAAGTGAACTTTGAAGTTGACGTTTCTAGTGATTTTCGAGATGAAATATGTGCATCCGGTAGACGAAGACAAGCAAGCAATGAAGCGAGTGGTTTTAGAACAAAGCGAACGGGAAATACTAATGGGCATGGTTGGAGATGACTCGATCGATTCACGGAACGCTGAATTCATCGAGGAAAATGGGCGTGGCCGGGTGATACTCCTATATGGTATGTAAACACTTCCCATGCAGCCAACTCCTTGATAACTAACACCGCCAGGGCATCCTGGGACGGGGAAGACTTTCACTGTTGGTACGTTCTTCGCCTTCGCCTAGAGAAGAATCCTCAGGACTGACAAAATAGAATGTGTGGCAAAACACACCAATCGACCATTGCTTTCTTTGACAGTTGCAGATTTGGGAACGGAAGAAACTACCATGGAAGCGAAATTAGCCAAGTGGCTAGACAGAGCCACATCATGGAACGGTATCGTCTTCATCGACGAAGCAGACATCTACCTCGAACGCCGAGAAAAGGAGGACTTGTCTCGGAATTCATTAGTAACAGGTAAAGCCTCTATCCTCCATAGTAATCTTCAACTAACATAATTCAGCCTTTCTTCGAACAATGGAATATCACTCTGGCACGATGTTCTTGGTACCGCTCTTATCCTCCCCCTGCCTTAAGTCTTCTACTGACAAGGTGTTATCTAGACAACAAATCGCCCAGGGGCAATCGACCCCGCCTTCACATCCCGAATCCACCTCTTCCTCGGCTACAAAGATCTCAACCCCTCTTCGCGTCCTCAAGTCTGGGATGGATTCTTCAATAAACTCGAGCGCGAGCAACGGAAACTTCGGCCGGGAGTGCGGCGTCTGTATATCCCGTCTTCCACGCAAAATTTTGCGAAGAATGATCCGATGATGTTGGAATTGAATTTGAATGGGAGGGAGATTAGGAACAGTGAGCCATTGATGCAGAGGGAGAAGAACGAGTATTAATAGGAGAAATAGTATTACAAAGTGCGATCAATTTGGCACGATATCATGCCAGAGTGGATGGGGATGCTGAGATGATCGACATCACGGCCGACTTGCTGAAGAAGGTGGTGGAGAATAGGACGCAGTATAAGAATGCTATCAAGGCTGTTGATGGGTTGTCAGAGAGTTCTAGAGCGCATGACTAGGGCTGGATCGTGGAGTAAAGGGAGCTTATAGCGTTAAGAACTCGATTAGGTAGGTATAGTGGCGAAATACAGACCATGGTACGCAGACAAAGATGTAAAGCAGACCAGAAAGGTTTAAGCAAACTGAGACTTAGTACTGATATCTTATATTAATTGTTACCCTTTTGTCTATTATTTGTAGTATGACTAGACAGAGGTCTCTGGGGTGGAAAATGCAAATCTAACTTCACCTAAAGCCATGCTTATCGTATCACTCCACTATAATGTGTTTGCGTCATTACAGTTTGTCTAGGAAGGACGTTGCGTTGCCTTTAAATGAAAGTTTCGACATTCAAATCTCGTCCATGACTTCTACTTTGCAACAATCTCAATATGTAATGCCCAAGCCCATGTATTTGAATCATCTACCCTAAAACTCAGTTTGGAGACCCCGAGATCCAGGGCTTCTTGCCAGTCCAGTGCCGCCTTAATTACCCCCCTGTTTTGTATTATTGCTTCCGCCAAGCTTTTCCCTTTTTGTAAGATGGATGCACGGCATTTGAGCTTTTTAGGAACCAGCTGGCGGAACAATTGCGTGGGGCTGTACCGGTACTCGAGCCATACAGCATAATTTGGCCAGCTCCCCCGGTTCTCGTCATTTTCTATAGAGAACAGAATATTTTGGTGCTGAAATTCGGAGTGGTTTTGTGGATCCCATATATAGCTGCCGTTAATAATTCCGGTCCAAGTTGATGGATAGAATTCCTGGATTTTGTGTGCATATTTGTGTCTGCCTGGTTGTCTGAAGTCTTGCCCGATAGATTCAATGCTCAGTCCTGACAGAAAGACTTTCGGCGGGCGATCGATCGACCTGTGTAGATATATATGTGCCAAAGTATGTGAGAAAAGGTTCGATGAAACCAGAACAGGAGTCGCCCCTCGATGCCTGAAAAAAAGCATGTCATTGTCCTTTGATCTGACCAGAGACAGCGCAAGACTCATGCCATCTCCTTTCCTGTCATGCGGCGCACAATTCAGACGAGCAAAGACCAACCCACGATCGAGCGGTGAGATCCAAACATCGGCTTCGATATAAAGCCCTTTATTGGTGAGGGTATAATGTGAAGGTCTTACCCCTGCTGGGATATCAGGCTTTAGGTCCATACAGGATGCAAATTCGGCAGGTGAGGATGCAAATAATTGATATCTAAATGCAGATTTGTCTTGTGGCGATAGACATGGACTCGAGTCGAAGCCCCACGCAAAGATGGACTCCTCATCTGAAGCTTTCAGAATCTCTTCCTGGAGCCGCACAAAGGCTCGGACGCCTTCGCCATAGAGCAGAGGCATATTGACTCCAAACAAACCAAGAAGAGAGTAAGCCACATCCTCCGCTCTCGTCGTAGTTCTGTAAGCTGCCCAGCTCATTCTCTGGGCGACACTGAAATCACCAAGTGAGCTCCGACCTTCAAGTAACTGGGAGTTTATCCGGATCACCCTGCTCAGAAGTTTTCTGAAATGTTCATCCTCCTTGAGGCACTCTTTCGACCAATGAGTTTCCACGATTCATCATAAAATGCCACCTTCCCTGGCGCTATCAACTCTTGGAGCGTCCACCCGCGAGTGAACCACCGACTTTTAGAAAACGCTGAGTCTTCTTTCTCTATTTCAATTCCATGAGGAACATCCGAGAGGTATGCGTAGCATATCTCGGATGCGCCGTACCAGGCATACATAGAATTGATAGCTTCCGAAAGCTCTACGCTACTACTCTTGTCGATACAACAGGTGTCTGCCCACACATACATCAAACAGTCTTTCAACGCCTGTTCACAGCAGCCGTCAATCTTCCGAGAGGGAATATATCCACTTTGCTCCATTTGTTTAAACGTCAACTCGATTGAACCCCATGTGTGTGATAAGATGGCGTAGGGTGGCGTTTCGTCAAAGAACTCCTGGAATTGTTTGGTTCGTGCATTGAGAAGCCGCATCTTGATTTGGGTTGAAGGAGTGCTCGCAGCGATTTGTTTCGAGAACGAAGGAGAGATGTCGTTGAGAGATGGTATGAGACCATTTTGTCTCACATTTTGAAGCACTTGAGCTCACCGAAATGTAGTTCTACAATTGGATCGTCTAAGAGACCTTACAGCAGCGATCCAGCTGAGCTGCCAGCTGCAGCCACAACCCACAACACTTGAACAGCACAGCCCCATTAGCCCGACATTCAACTACAGTAAACTCATTATTCTTGTCATTTTTCACATCCTCTTTCCACATTCCTCGAACCGACTTCTCGCCCGACGAAAGCAATGTCATTTGGCTGGAGTGCCGGCGACATTACAACTGCCGTTCTACGGAAGTACGGAAAGCCGGCTGGTCATTGAATCGCGAAAGTGGCGTCGTGGAGCTGAAAAGCTTGGCCCTTCCAGATGTTGCTTTTGCGCCACCCCTCAGCGCCTTCAGCCACAATTGACCGAATTGGTAGGTTGACGTCGAAAGTATTTGATGATTCGTCGATGCTGATATGGGATCGGCATAATCTACTGTATTGAAGCACAATGTTCTGGACGGGAGCTCTCGTGTTTCAGAGAGGCTATATAATCTAATCTAATCTAATCATTTGACACACTGTCTACTGACGCAAAAGCTGGGATTGGCATGGGAGTCGCTGCATTGGTCGTGATCGGCCTGCTTGCGGAGTGGTTCTTGTTGGGCCGGAGCAAGAATTGCGGTCCCGTACAAGAGCCTTGAGGAGTGGGTACGAATTGGATATATAGAAACGCAAAAACGAAGCCAGGTAATTTCTACATTCGCTTCCAAAGACATTTCAAGAAGACTTGTATTCAAAATTCTTTAAGTAGCAGCCCTCTATTCATTGTGGACATGCCTATTCTACAAATAAAATACACAGAAGCTATATCCATACCCACTCAAAATCTCATTATTCAAGTTCTCATCAACTTCGTTAATTGTGCGGAAATGGAAATGGTGGTAGCTAAGCTATGGTGAACGAAAGCCTTTTCAGGACCGATACTCTAAGGCAAACGAGATCCTCAAGAACATTACAATTCATTTTCACTTACACGACTACTAGATTTCATAGCCTCAGCATCAAGATCACTCATCTGCATCAATTTCGTCTCATCGTGCTCCCCCCACTGCACAGTATAGGTCTGCGAATACGTGATCCCGTCCCCACTGCTCCCATCATGTTGGCTAGAATTGAGTGATTTGCCTGGTCGGTTGGCTGAAATGTTGCCTCCCGTGTGGCTATGACCATTATTGACATAGTATCTATTGTTCGAATGCTGAGTGGTGCCGAGAAGCTTGGGGAACAGTCGAACGAGGAGAACACGAAGACTGGGCATACAGGCGCAGATAATACCGACATTGATTTCGACTGTCGACCACCGAGAGACGGCCAAGTTGTCCCACGTTGGGTTGTTCGTCTTCGCGAAATGGAGAAGGGACTGGAGGCGTAGAATACTGACGACTGTGACGCTGTATACATGTTATTTTGGATCGCGTCAAGATATGAGAGGAGAACTTACAATGTCCCAACAACGAACATCATACCAACTCCAATCTTTTTTTTCCAGTGTAGCTGGAGGGCAACTAGTTGAGACATCGGAAGACCAAGCATCCAGGCATCGAGGAGGATACTAATCGCGGCATTGGTCCAGCCAAGACTATTTACGTTCAAACAGGTCCCCTGGTGTTCCCCGTCCCAACTCTTCCAATAGTAACTAATAGGCCGGCATTGAAATATAGCGAGAAATACAAAGATTGTCCCAAAGCAGACGTCGAAAATGATAGTAGCCCAGAGGAGACGTCGGATCTTCGGTCCTGGGAAGATCCGCAAGTAAAAGAAAAGGAGTGAGAGTTTTAGTAATGCAACCTGGGCGAAATAGAGTATCTCCATGGCGTAAAAAACATGTACAAAGTCTGTGATTTGTTTAGGTGTAATAGTCCAAATATCTCTGCCTAGTCCGTTGGAAATAATGCCGTGGACAGTTAAGATGCTACTCGGTATGCCCGCTCCTAGTGTAAGAGCAATGAAGTAATCATCTAGCCCAAGTTCTGAGTTGATGAGGAATTTGGAGACAAGTCTTAAAGCCACAATTGCGCCAGATATTGTACCAAAGCTTACAGACAGGGCGTAATACGACTTGCTTTTATTTCGAATTGGAGCATTACAGGTCGTCTCGGTAACGTTTTTAGTGACTAATAAATAACAAGAGTTTAGATACATTTTCAAAACAAGGCCGATTTGGAGATTTACCAAGGGATTCTTTGATAGTGCAAGATTTTGCAACGCAAGACGCTACATCGGTTTGCAATGATTCGTTGAGGCATATACATGTTTGATTTGTCGCCGCGCATATTGAGTTCTGAAGTGCTCCTTCAAGACATAGTAGCTGCGGTATTGCGTCAGTTGCTGGACCTTTGCTCAAGCGGGCGGGGGGTTACGCACTGCACAGGTGGGTAGTTCGGCAATTGCTGAAGATAGAGAGCCCTCTGTCACGGAAGCCAGGAGCAAGAACAGGAGACCTGAAAGCACTTTCATAATTTCTCCTCTGACTTGCACAACAAATTGTTATCGAAAGGTTTTGATAGTCCCAAGCGTCGGAATATCGATTGTAGGGAAGGATTAAAGTTTATAAATCTAGGATAAGCCACGATGAAACATGGGAGTGGCGTGCCGTTCGTTCCATGTAATGGGTGGCGAGGGCAGCACAGACAAGTTTCCAACGCTCTTGACCGTGCCGAAGACTTTATCTGAATACCGAAATAGGAAATCCCGCGCCGGTACAAGGATTTAGAATTCCACTTTATATTCTCGAATACGCCGAACCCTGTTCCCATGTGTCACTTGCGGGCCATGCGCAGGGACAACCGCTCTGGGCATATCTTACGAAGATCGGGTGCGGTCCTTTTCTCCCACTCAGTGTGGTAACTACCTTCCTGCGGCATTTGACGGACTAGTCGTCGGCAACATCCCGAGTCGGCCAGCGACGCGAGGCCGACGATTAGAGCAAAATCGCTGTCAATAGCATCGGCATTATCACTTGATCTGGGCTCAGGACCGATCTGCATTTCCAAGGATCGAATCGTGAGAATTCATGCAGCGCAGGCGATGAAAATGAGATGCAACCTTAATCTAATAGGCAGACTACTGGTATCACGAAGGCCAACGCATTTTGCTAAGCGAGACCTGGTAAAGCTCCTGGTTGCATTGGATAAATCGCAATAAATCCTTTATAGACTTTTATGATTTGAAAAACATAAGAAAAACATAAATTAGCTTCTTGGAAGGTCTCCTCGCGTTGGTCCCTCCTTGAAACTTCAACTTCCTTCAGGGGTCTGCTCCGCTCCGAAACCACCGGACCAGACCCCTCAGGCGTGAACCCTAACTGGATTTGCGCCACCACCGGCCACCACCGCCACTAACAGAGAGCGAATGCACCACAGAGCCATTCCCTTCTCTATTAAGCACCACGAGACAGAGTATCGACCTTTTCTCTAGTCTGAGACATTAATTACTTTCTGTTCTGTATCTATCTTCGAATTTGCCTACTTCGAACAATACTAAGGATGTGTTGCGCAACGGGCTTAAGGCACCCAATTTCGATCCTTGGTGGAGTCTCTGATTCGGATCGGAGATGATCTGGACTGCTGCGAAGTGGGGTTGTTCAAGGAGTTGCCGATGAGGCAATGCAGTGCCGTATAAATTTATTGCGCGATGGTGGCGCTCACGGACCCCCTGTGGCTAGAATGGGGTTCTTTACGATCATAGCGCATCTCCATTCAACTTTGCTCCGACCCCTTTTCACTGATCCATCCCTCGAGTCCCGAGGCACGACCATCTATATCGGGCCGCAAAGAACCAATAGCTCCCCCCTGATGATCGAGACCTGCCTGTCGACGCAGGAACACCGGGGACGGTATATCAGACGAAATATCAACATGGTAAACCGCGACAAGAACAAAAGAAGACATTCAAAAGCCAACTCCCCAGGGTTTTTCGTGTGTTGGCCATTCACCCATCTCGGCATTGGTTCCCCTCTATCATTTAATTACCGTCCTGTGGATTCTACTCCTAGAACTGCTTATTGAATGTGATAGTGAGGCGATTTCTACGATAGATATACTACAGGTTTGCCTTCCTGAAGCAGTATGGGGCGGCGGTGACAGCAGCCCCGCCACTACCCCCTAGTCAAAATAAACGGTGGCCCGGGAAGCCGTGGGGATTTGGAAATTGACTTCACGTGTGCCCTTTGCTCTTTTTACTTTCCGAAGAAGATAAAATGTTTCCGGGCTGCCTCGTTCCCTTCGCTCATCTCTCAATCCTCTCTTTCCGAAGACACAGAAGCCAAGATGAAGTTCTCCACCATCGCCGCCTTAGTCGCCCAGTCATCCATGGCCCTGGCTTCTAAAAGCTGCCATTGTTTCCCAGGCGATTCTTGTTGGCCATCAACTAAAGCCTGGAGTAACCTCAACAGCACAGTCGGAGGCCGACTTATTTCCACAGTCCCCATCGGGACGCCTTGTCATGACCCAACTTTCAACGCTGCCGAGTGTGCGAACTTACAAAGCGAATGGACCCTCCCGCAGACGCAGTAAGTTCCGTCCACGATCTCCCATTTGACGACTGGTAGTTCTAAACTTCAGGGTAGTTTAGACTCGTCCTCATCGGTAATGGCGCCGTACTTTGCAAATCAGAGCTGTGACCCGTTCACTGCCGAGTCGAAGCCTTGCCTTCTTGGGAATTACGTCCGGTATGCAATCAACATGTCGACAGTTGATGATGTGATTGCTGGTATCAAGTTTGCGGAGAGCAATAACATCCGTTTCGTGATACGTAACACAGGCCATGAGTAAGTTACGCAAATTTTCTTGAGTATAAGAAATTTACTAAGTCGATAGTTTCCTCGGGAGGTCTACCGGTGCCGGGGCTCTTTCTGTCTGGACCCATTATCTCAAAGATATTGAGTTCCAAGAATGGTCAGACCGCCATTACCAAGGATCGGCAGTGAAGATCGGAGCCGGCATTGAAGGGTATGAAATCTTGGAGGCGGCTTCAGCAAAAGGCCTGGTGGTAGTCGGAGGTGAATGTCCCACCGTCGGTATTGCTGGCGGTTACACTCAAGGTGGTGGACACTCTGCTTTGAGCACTGAATTCGGTCTCGCAGCGGACCAGACCCTCCAGTTCGAGGTTGTCACTGCTTCCGGAGTTTTAGTTACTGCCTCCCGAACTGAGAATTCAGATCTCTACTGGGCTTTGAGCGGTGGTGGGGGTGGAAACTATGGCGTTGTTGTCTCTATGACAGTCAAGACATACCCGGACACTATGGTCAGCGGAGCGGGTCTGCAGTTTGCTGCCGCCTATACGACAACAGATATATTTTACAAGGCTGTCGCAGAGTTCCATACTCTTCTACCTGCTATGGTCGACAATGGGACTATGGTCGTGTACTACTTCACCGACGCATACTTCATCATCAATCCCTTGACGGCTTACAACAAAACCTCTGCAGAAGTCAAGGCCATCCTCAGCCCATTCATTGCTGTCCTGAATAGCCTCAGCATTCCATTTGAGGTGGCTTATACCGAATTTGCGACTTACGAAGAGCATTACGCTACCTACATGGGACCGCTTCCGTATGGCAACATTGGCGCCGAGGAATACCAGTTTGGCAGTCGACTAGTCCCGCGCTCTGTGGTGCAAGACAACAACGATGGACTTCAAGCTGTCTTGCGCAACATTACCGAGAACGGTGTCCTTCTGGTAGGCATAGCTACAGATGTCTCAGCACCAGTGAAATCAGGCAACGTGTCAAATGCCGTACTACCCGCCTGGCGCGATGCCTTAATACACACATATTTGACGACCGCATGGGACTCCACGGCGCCCTGGTCCGATATGATTCACGAGCAGGATTTGATGACCGATGAGTTTGTGCCACAACTGGAGGCTGTTACCCCTGGCAGTGGGGCATACATGAACGAGGCCGATTTTCGCCAGCCAAACTTCCAAGACGTGTTCTTCGGCGCTAACTATCCAGCCCTGTTGGCTATCAAGCTGAAGTGGGATCCCAACTCTTTCTTTTATGCTACAAAGGGCGTTGGTAGTGAGGTTTGGAACGTGGCTAATGACGGGCGAATGTGCCGAGTTTAAGGGAATTTAATAGCCAAGTGATAAATAAAAATAAATTTTAATAGCATTTCTAATTTTGGATGACATATCACAGCACTTTTTGGAGGATCTGCAATAATGCATGGAGGCAACCATTCCATTTCCTGGAGAGGGTACTCTAGCAAATAGTCATGGGTGAAAGGTTGTTTGTAAAGGAGCCCAGTCTTGCCACTTCGTTGGGAAGCTTGCTGACCACCCGTGATCAACAACACAATACTTGACGTTACTGTACGGAGTACTCAGCTTCTCGGCGTTAGTTCATGAGCATTCGTAATCCCACTTTTTAAGACTGTCTCATCTGGTCTTTGGTCCTTTATTCTATTCCAACATCCGTATCTCATCCAGGTCTCATCCGTCAGTCGCTTGTTGTAACTATGATATTTTATAAAGGCCAATTAAACCCAGTTTTTTAATTAATTTTAATACGGATTGGATAGATTGAGTTAAAATGGATTAAATACGTATATTTATTAGTATTAGAGTATGTCTTATAATAGAGCGATTAAAGTTCTGAAGTATTATGAATGCAATAAGCGACGTGACTAGTGACAGCTAGATGGGATAAACATTAAGATAAATAGTTACCTGGTAATTATTCTCATATGCCCTAGTCCCGTGAGACCCCGCAGTAATCTATAGTACTCTATGAGCCTAGATTCATCTTGATTTGGCTCGTTTCATACCCTGTAACTCAGAATACTAGGGCACTGAAATATATTATTCTAGTTCCACACCAACAACAGAAGTAGTGCCAAGAACTTCTTGAGAAGCGGACAAACCAAATAATTAGAATTAACAGGCAAAATAGCGCAATTAATCTCAAATATTTCAGGAGGAAGAAACATTTATTCCTTCCGGAATATTCTTTCCGAATTCGAGGTGTGACCCCGCGATGTCCGGAACAATTGTGCCCGGATTTACGGATATTAAGTTAATGATCATCTGGAAAATCTGCGATATTGGGTCTTCTACAAATGATTGTCAAGCTCCCTATGTTCTTTTAAGCTCGAGGCTTTGTTTCTTTCCTCGCTCTCGCGATGAAGTTCGCCATTTTTACTTTCTGTTCCGGCTTCCTGGCCGTGTTAACGCACGGAGAACAATTTACCAACCCAGTTTTGTGGGAGGATCTCGCTGACAACGACGTCTTCCGCGTCGACGATGTTTATTACTACACTGCTTCGACTATGCACTACTCGCCTGGTGCCCCAATTCTACAATCTTACGACCTCGTCAACTGGGAATACATAGGCCATGCTGTGCCTAACCTCCCCTGGGGGAACAAGTACAATTTGCAAGGTGGGAATGCTTATGTAAAGGGCATCTTTGCATCTACTATGAGATACAGAGCAAGCAACAAGCAATTCTACTGGATTGGCTGTATTGAGTATAGTCGTACTTATGTTTACACCTCTACCTCTGCTACGAACACGTGGACCCCTCGCTCAGAAATCAACACTTGTTACTACGATTGCGGACTCCTTATCGATGATGACGATACTATGTATGTGGCTTATGGGAATACTCAAATTTCGGTTGCACAACTCTCAGCGGATGGCCTCGGTCAAGTGAAGACTCAGGTCGTCTACAATACACCTAGCAGTATCGGTACGCTAGAAGGATCCCGAATGTATAAGATCAAAGGAGTGTATTACATATTCTCCACTAAACCTGCCAACGGGCAATATGTGTTACAATCTTCTAGCGGGCCATTTGGCCCATATACCATCAAAGAACTACTTTTGAATCTAGGGTCTCCTATTCCGGGCGGGGGGGTTCCTCACCAAGGCAGTTTGGTCGAGACACAAAATGGGACATGGTATTACATGGCATTTGTGGACAGCTATCCTGGCGGAAGAATGCCCGTTCTCGCACCGATAACATGGGGCTCCGACGGGTTCCCGGTCATCACCCTGGTGAGCGGAGCGTGGGGATCGTCTTACAACTACCCTCTGGCGCCTCGAGTTCTGGAGTCGTACACTGGTACCGATTCTTTCCAAGGGACCTCACTCGGCCCACAATGGGAATGGAATCACAATTCCGATACTACCAAATTCTCTGTCAACAACGGTCTCATTTTGAACGCAGCAACAGTAACATCTGACCTGTATTCCGCGTGCAACACCCTCACACACAGAATTATTGGGCCCACGTCGTCAGGGACGATAATACTGGATTACTCTAAGATGAAAGACGGTGATCGCGCTGGGCTTGTGCTTCTACGAGACACAAGTGCTTGGATCGGGGTTGTGAACAATAGGGGCACATTCAGGGTATCCATGTGGTCCGGACTGACCATGACCTCAACATGGGGCACAGCCAGCACAGGAGCTGAAGTTAAAGGTGTTACGATTTCAGGTGGAAAAGTATGGCTGCGCATCTATGCTGATATTCATGTTGGGACCGGAAAGCAGGGAACTTTCTACTATAGCACAGACGGCTCGACCTTCACAGCACTTGGAAGCTTGACTCTCAATAGCGCCTGGAATTTCTTTCTGGGATACCGATATGGTATTTTCAATTTTGCTACCAAGGCTCTTGGTGGCTCGGTGGCAGTCATTTCTTTCACGATGGATTCTCCGGGATCTACAACGACTGGAGGCACAATCACTCAGTCATAGAGTGTTTTCCTTACTAGTTGTTTGTAAACAAAACAATCTTTCCTGTATGTCAGATGATAGCTACTTAGGGGTCATCAGCGGAATTGGTAGTACAGTGAGTTTGAATTGACTGAAGCGCTCGCTTTGGTTAGTCGCAATGCAGATACTCTCATTTTGTTTTACCGCGATGTCAATAGGGTTTTCTTTATGTGAGCAGGTGAGCCGAGGGAGATCAGTGCGTGAGCAAGGAGGCAACCTGATCAACACTTGAGATGCGACGTTATTTAAGATTCGGCGCAGGTTACCTTGAGGTTGAGAAAGAAACTCGTTGTGAGATGAAATGAGACCAGTTTTGTCTCGTATGCATGCTCCTTGAGCACACCGAAAGATAGTTCAACTATTGGACCGTCTAGGAGGCATTACAGCAGCGATCTAGCTGGGCACCAAGCTGCGGCCACACCCACAAAGCTTCAACGGCACAGCATCTTCACTATGCCCGGCTCATCTTTTCTGCTCCCCTTTAACCCCACTCTGTGTAAGTTTGTGTAAACCTCATTACAGCTCAATTAAAAACATGTCCTTCGGCTGGAGCGCTGGCGATATCATAGCCGCCGTCAACCTCCTCGAAATCACCAAGGCTCTGAATTCCGTAACAGGCAGTTCTTCAGATCGCAAACGAGCCTCTTCATTCATAACGCCTATAACCTGTTCGCTTTAAACCATGCACTCAAATGCAGTTGAAGAAGAAGAAAGGGTTTCCATCTCTACCCTCGAAGAAAAGAAAGCCAGCACTTTAATGCCAATAGTTGAAGCTTTGAAGCCACCAGTAAAAGAATTCGCGGACAAGGTGCTGAAATATTCCAGTGTTGAACGGATATGGGAAGAGGAAACGAGATTGGATGAAACGGCAGTATGAGAAGTTGAAGTGGCATTTTGTGGAGAGGGAGGACTTACTGAGTTGGGGACGACCATCGAGGCGCATTTTGCAGCTCTAGGAGCATTATATCGGAAGTTGATATTGTGAGTGCCGAAACCTGCATTTCAGTGACTGTCACTGGTGGATTAAGGCTGACTTTGAAACTAGTAATGTGCTCGAATTCCACGGGTCAAAATCCGTAGAAAGGGACGTGGACATTCTTCGCGCCGTGAATGCAAACTCGGACGGAGTTGGAGAGATATATCGTCTATTGACGCACATGCGAGAGTTACAGGAGAGCTACGCGGGAAATCTGTTGGCGTTGGACCCGATCCTGGTGGATAAAGAATCTGAAATGAAAGGTGCGAAGCCAAACGAAGTTATGCAGTCTTACATTGCGAAAGCCATGTTGCTGGTCCAGCCTGGCATTCAAGAGACCGTGACGGATGAGTTTGCTGCAAAAGCCAACAGGATGAAAGTTGATGGTTCTGTTATCCGCAAGCTCAGAACTTAGTTATCTGTTCCAAATCCGAGACTCTGGCTATTCGGACCCAAGTCAACAACCTCGAGCGCAATTGTTTTCGGTACAGCAAGGAAAAGGCAGCTACCCGTTGTGGCATCTCCGTGTCGACCCAAGAGTTATGCTGGCAGCAGGAACACACAAGAGGGTATTTTAGTGGGACTAGTGTACTTTTTTTTATACCAACTGCTGGGACAAGTACCACCAAGGAGCGATACTTGATGGCTGGACAAGTGAGGAGAAATTCAATGTGTTGAATTGGACTTTCAACTCTGGCACAGAGTGCATAGTGCCTATTCGAGTGCTCTGCAAGGAAGTTTCTGGGTGTTGTTGCATCATTGGTGGTTTTCGGAATTTTAGACGTTCTGAGGATCGCAAGATCAAGTCCTGCTTGGATGATGTTTTCGCGGTGTTTCAAGATGACGAGGCTACGAGTCTTTTGATCAACTCGTCTGGGCCGAATCCTTTCCAAACAGGCCTTGAAAAGAGTGTCTTGGATCGGCTTGACATTTCAAAAATTGGTGGAAACAGAGCAATTCGTTCCCTCAGCTGAGTTGATGAGCTTGCCTTGGTAAAGAGTAAAATTACAAGAGATCAGCGAAAGTTTGTTTTAACAGGACGTCCATATTCTGCACCGGAACCACAGATTTTGTGCCAAGATTGAGGTTAAAGAGGGTGAGCTCAGTCGATACTTGTTTTGATTACTGTGAAACGGGGGGGGGTCGCCACAAAGCCATCGGTAATGCTCAACTGGAGGCGTCCAATATTGTGGCTGAAATGAACCCAAAGAAATCGAACATTATTCAATCCGCCTCAAAGATAAGGAGAGAAAGGAAATTGATCTGTAAGCCTGTTCTTCTTTGGTACACTTTCAGGCGTGAGTGCTAGCCTTATATCGAAAAGTTTACCCGACACGGGTCAACCCCATGAACCGTGCCCCATTTTAGAACGGCAATGATAAGAATATCTTCCAAACACGGGTGCATAGAATTTGAGGCTGGAAGCCTCTTTCATGGCTTGAGTGCAGCTTTGGATGAAGAAAGATTAATCGCCACCCACCAACCCGCCCACCACGCCAAACTCCATGTACTGCTCTTCCTTCATTTACGAGGAATCGTACAGACTTACTAGAAGATTGGCAATTGTTAGGGACAATTCCAGTCTGGATTGCTCAAATTCATAATGAGTTCGTCTCTTAGCGTTGCTCCTGCAGTTGTTTGGCACTGACTCCCACAGCAGCGAAGGAGTGTGATGAGGAGTCTCGGGAGAAACCCACGAAAAAGCCGTTCATTAACCCAGCAATACAGAAGATTTGGTTTATTTTGTTATATTTTAGTAGGTCTTCTTCTGCGGTCTAATAAACCTCACCAGATGCTCAAAAGTAAATAGCTGCAGCTGCAACAACCTTCGCTACTGTCCTCGGATGTTCGTCTGATGCTACTCAAGGGTTGTCCTTATTCAGAACCGATTCTGCTGCAATAATAGATTACCTCGCCACAGCAACTGCATCGGACGAAACTCAATTTCAGCACCCAGATCTGCCGGATGTTTGGTCTTGGGGGTTTTCCGGTATGCTTCGCCATGTTCTCTCCCATATTTCGTAACGGTCGCTGACTGTTTCTCCTTGCAGGTGTCTGCGAACACTACACCGACCATTATCACGTAAGATTCAACGAAGGGAGATGCTACCATGCCTTCCCTCCATTGTTTTCCATCCAAGATCTCGTGGAAAAAGCACTCAGCAACTCAACATTCGTCGACACGCGTGACACAATCAACACTTGGAACATCGCTCTCGCAGCAAAGCCTTCCAATTCCTCGTTCTCCGCTCTAGCAGATTCAGCATCTCGACGAACAAAATCTATATCCCTCTTTCGAGGCGCCGCAGCAGCGGTTGCGCTCTCCCTTATAATAAGCCTCGCGAACGTCTTTGCCTTTTTTGCGCTAGCCGTCTTCTGTCCCTTGATGGAAGACAAAACCGAGCTCAAATACCGGACTACGATCTTTAGTATCGCAGTTTTTGACTCCTTGCTATTTGCTGGCGCAATTGTGATGTTCTCCTCCGCGATGTTAATCGGGCCTGCTGCTCTAGCTTCATTGGACGACGCCTCGACGCGATTGTTTGCGAATCGGGTTGCGAACCAAGTTGCGAACCATGTTGAGATAGGAATTGTTGTTGCGCTGGTTGCACTGCTCTGTCGGATCATGAGTGTGCCGATCATTGCACTGTTTTTTTCTTAGCATAGTATTCAGTGAGATTCTGCTCATAGTTCTCGTGGGGTATGTGATATGGAAGTTTACGGTTAAGATAACGGAGAACCATCAACCTGTGGGGTGTTGAGATCAGACGAGGGGATGAAGGGATTCTATTTCTTGAAGAGTTTGATCGAGTGGGGGAGTCCTCAACGAATACATGTACAAATAGAACTGTGAGAAGGCTAAGTGCCACCCCGAGATACCAATACGAGCGATTGATTAATCGGGCCTAAGCGAGGCGCCCGATTCGCTAATAAAAAAGCTTAATTTTAAAATAATATATAACTTTCTAATAAAGAGTCAATGCAAAGGTTTAATTAAATAAAAAAGGTTAATATATATAAGAGACTTAAATAAATCTTTCTTGGATTAAATTTTATTAAAGATAAAGATTTATATAATTTTATATTTTATAAAACTATTTTATAATTAAAATTATTTAGAATTATAATAAATGGTTCTAGCTAATATTACTTAATTAATATAGATAATTAAACTATCTCTAAAACACCCTATTAATAAGTGTTTAATAATTTATAATTACAATAATATTTTAATATCTTAAAAAGTTCGCTTGTATTCGACTTCGCATTTATGAACCGGAGTTCGATTAAGTAGGCAATTAAGCAATCGGGGCCCGCAGTTGGACCCCGATTGATCAATCGCTCATATTGACAAACCGGGGTAAACAGGTGGATCCGATTCTTGTCTGGTTTCGACAGGCGGCTCGCCTGATGGACACCGAAGCTTGCGCATGCAGGATGCTACACTAGTTTTTCAAGAATAGCCCAGAGTAGTGACTGGGTAATCTGGAGAATGAGGTTTGCTCGGAGCATGCGGTATTCCCGGCACAATTGCTGTCAACCCCTGAACCCCTATTTTAGGCGAGCTTGGAAGTTCCCGAATGCATTGTAAGCCAGCATTAGAACACGACTTCAGACGGTATAGAATGTGCCTCTACATATCGCTATCAAAAGACTGAAACTTCAAATTTTCTCTAGAAAGACCCACTTCCGTCCTCCAAGTCCTGGAGCCGATTGTGAGCAAGCCAGGGCGTGATTTAAGAACGGCCTCAGCTTGACCCAGGCGTCCTGCGAACGCGGGCCCAAGTACGGCCGAGGATAGAACCTACATTAGCCCTCAATGGGATTTCAGTGGGTCCCCTAAGACCTGGCTACAATTTCCTCTAAAACCTGCCCTGAATTTCAGCTCAAGTGGAGTCAAGGAAAACGAAACATAAATCGTGAGCTGAAGAATTGCCGAGGAATTAGTATAATTCGAAAACAGTGACAAGATTGAAGTGCAAGCGCGGAGAAGAGAATTGCATAGCATTGAGACGATTGCGAGCTTTACTTCTTGTTGGCGGTGGGTAATTACTACTCTCCGCTCACTCATATGCATCGCGAAGCAAACCGCACGTCCATTAAGAATATTAAAATTCAAGACTTTCCACCGAATGCACATCCAGCCAGTGCCTTCTCAGCGAGCAAAGCTTAAATAACTGTCTATATTCCTGCAGGTGATCTTGCCCTCTCGGTATAAACAGCTCAAATTTGTCTATCAATAACTCATAAACACGGATATCAGACTTTTCTTTTATACTCCTAACCCCGATCTCTTTTCTCTCCTTTGAACAATCCAATTGAAAAGTCCCGTGGAGGAGTGACATGAAATCTACGCCCCCCCCAACCGCTCCTCCTCCGCTCCTCCTCCGCTCCTCCACCGCTTATCTTTTTTTTCGCAAGACCCGACACATTTATGACGCCATAACCAAAGCCAGCAAAGCCATTCGGCAGTAAAGCCCATATCTCATCTATCGACAAACAGTTAGCAAAGCCCACTCAAATTTTCAATACAAGGGAGGGATGAGGGAGAAAGGGAAAAATGGAAGGAAAGGGACCAGACATACCTGTCTAAAATACGCCGCCCTCTGATCGAAATCCACCTCCTCGCCAATCTCTCTATTTCTCGGCAAAGGATGCATAACAATCATGCTCGCCTTCGCGCTCCTCAACGTCCTATTATCCACCACAAAGCTATCCTTCAACCTCTCATACTCCTCCAGATCATCGAATCTTTCCTTCTGCACGCGCGTGCAATACAGGACATCGGAGTGTGCGATCACTTCAGGGGTCAGTTCCGTGGTCTCGATGAGCAGTTGGCCCGGCTTGGCTTTGATGAGCTCCAGGATCTCGCGGGGAAGGGAGAGAGCCCGAGGAGACACGAGCTGTATTTGGACGTCGTAGTGCTGGAGCAGTTTGACTAGTGAATGGACTGTTCTTCCATATCGAAGGTCACCGGTAAAAGTGATCGTTAATCCCGTAACGGTGCCGAGTTCCTCACGGATGGTGAAGAGATCAAGGAATGCTTGAGTAGGATGTTCCTTGCTGCCGTTTCCGCCGTTTATAATCGGCACAGGAGAGAACTTGGCCGCGGTCTCAGCAGAGCTTTCGTCTGGGTGGCGGAGCACGATAGCGTCGCCGTAGCAGCCGAGAGTGCGGATCGAGTCGGCGAGGGACTCGCCTTTCACTGTGCTCGAGTGGGAAGTAGTGATGGCGACTGTTCGACCACCGAGACGTTGCATGGCGGCGTCGAACGAGGCAGATGTTCGAGTTGAGGGCTCGTAGAACATGGTGCAGAGGAGGCGGCCTTTGAGGATTGAGAGGACGCCTTCGCGTTGTACACCAAGACGCATCTCTTGCGCGACTGTGAAGAGGAGATGCAGGTCCTGGCGGGTGAATTGGTTAACGGAGAGGACATGTTGGTTCTTGAAAGGGGATTGACCGAGGAGGGATTGCAGTGATGGAGAGATTGTTGGCTGAGGATACAAAGGTGGTCCAAACTCCTCGGAGAGGGCAGATGTTCGTTGCGGGGATTGAGCTTGTCCAGAGGTGCCATCGAGGAACCTTGATCGGTTTGCAGGACGCATTGCCGGAGCGGCTAGCATGGAATATCTTCGCCCATGAGCGCTCTCTGGTCTTGGAATCAAGGCCGGAGAGCTAGGCATGGCTTTGACAACCGGAGACATAGGCGAGACGGTATGCGAATCAATCAAATGAGAGGACATGTCCTTCCCATCAACACCGTCATAGCATGGCTCGCCATCCAAGCAAGCAGTCTTCTCCTGGAAGACCACGCGCTGAACAGCTCCACGCATAATCTTTCCTGCAAAGGGAGACCAGACAGGCGTTGCCGCAATTGTGTATGGGCGATCGATCTCTACCTCAGCAGAGGCACCCATTTGATCGTGAAGCTCAAAGATCTCCTTGGGATTGTCGTGAAGGCGTGCTTTGATATCGTCAATAGTGAGCTTGCCATCAGCCACTGCAGTGAACAGCAGTGGGAGTGTGTCGGCAATGCCAATAGCCGCATTTGGAGCTTGCTTCGCGGCGTGTGCCAACTGGTATGGCAAGCTACCCACAGAGAAGACGTCGATAATGCTCATATGCTCCCAAAGGGCTTTCTGATCTTCGGCGGTGGGCAGGACCTTGGCTTGAGGGTAATCATCTTGGCTCAAGAACAATGCATAGACTGCAACATCACAAGTGACCCTAAGCCCCTTCTGTTTTGAGAGGGCAATCAACTTGATGTCGTCCTTAGTTGTGACACTGGTAACATGAATCTTCCTGCTGTGGAGGCTGGCCAGGAGCAAAATTGAAGCAAGATCCGTCATCTTGGCGTCGGTGACAATTGGCTTGAAGTCTGGCCATGCCTCAAAATGTGCAGTCACAGCAGCGACTTTGCTAATATTGTCTGACAGGTGATTGAATGGGATAAAAAGCGATCCGACTTCTCCCGTGACTTGGCTGATTTGGTCAGCATTGGACGAAGTCGCTGCAACGGAGAAGTTGTAGTCACAGCTTGCTCCACGCTTGCTGTTTAATTGGGCAGCCTTCAGAGCCCGGGCATCTGTCACGGAGCCTTCAAGACCAAGTGGCATGATGCGGATCATGCTGAAGCCAGCAGATATCGATGCTCTTGTAACAGTCTGGAAATCATGACTGCCACGTGTGGCAATACCTGGCACAAAGGCTGCAATGTTGACGAGGCCAGGGAGCACCACAGTCCGGTGGCTCGTCTGGGCATCAATGTTGCTGATCTCCAAATCAAAATGTCTAGCAATTGCCTCGATCAGGATCTTGGCATTCTTGACGTTAGTCACCAAGGGAGTTTGGTAGTCGACAGCCATTCTTCTGGTCTGATAACCCTTGCTCATATAGTTGGCTGGACGTCTGTAACGATTGCTGGAAGGAAGATTGATGTAGAGATCAATCATGTTGTTAGCCAAATGCTGAGTCAAAGAGAACTCCGATTTCTGGTCGTCGTCACCCTCCCCAAGAATCTCTAGGTACTGGACGGGGACATCGTGCTCCTGCAAGAAATCCGCAGTACCAGCAGTGGCAAAGAGCTTGTAGCCCATGCGTTGCAGCTTAAGGACTGAGGGCAACATTTCTTTCTTATCCTTGTACGAACCAATCGACAACAAAATGTTCCGATTAGGCAACTTGAAGCCGGTCGAAATCAAGGCTTTGATGTAAGCCTCGTACTTATCGACGCCGAAGCAAGCAACTTCACCGGTTGAAGCCATCTCAACACCAAGAACGGGGTCGGCTCCAGATAGTCGGGAGAAACTGAACTGCGGCACTTTCACACCGACACAGTTCGGCGGAAGCTCGGTGGGAGGATACTCGGTGAACGGAATCCCCATGATCGCCTTGGTAGCCATTTCGATGAGATCAATACCCATCACCTTCGAGACAAAAGGGAAAGATCTCGAAGCGCGGACGTTGCATTCAATGACCTTGATATCATTGTCTTTGGCGATGAATTGAATGTTGAAAGGGCCCGTCACATTCAATGCATCACCGATCTTCCGAGTAGCCTCCTCAATCCGCTGAATTGTAGTGGGTTCGAGATCTTGAGGTGGCAGGATTAACGTAGCATCTCCAGAATGAACACCAGCATTCTCAACATGTTCGGAGATGAAGTGCCCAACCATCTTCCCATCTTTTGCGACAGCGTCCATCTCAATTTCCTTGGCGTTCTCAATGTATTTTGTAATGACGACTGGGTGCTCGCGAGAAACCTCGGCTGCCTGTGCAAGATACGCCTCAAGATCGGCTTCGGAGTAAACTGTGTTCATCGCTGCTCCCGAGAGAACATACGACGGCCGCACCAAGACGGGGTATGACACTTTCTTGCAGAAGACCTTTGCTTCATCAAAGCTGGTCAATTCCTTCCATGTGGGCTGATCAACCCCGATTCTATCCAGCATACGTGAGAATTTGTAACGATTCTCGGCTGTATCAATCATTTCAGGAGATGTTCCCAAGACCTTGACGTTGAGACGATGCAGAGGAAGAGCAATGTTGTTCGGAGTTTGACCACCCATGGCGATGAGCACACCACTCGAGTTTTCCATCTGGTAGATATCAAGGACAGTTTCCAAGTTGATATTCTCAAAGTAAAGACGATCGGCTTCGTCGTAATCGGTGCTGACAGTCTCCGGGTTGTAGTTGACCATAACCGTCTTGAAGCCAGATTCGCGAAGAGTTCGGATTGCTCGAACGGAGCACCAGTCGAACTCGACGGAACTCCCGATTCTGTACTATAAGTTCTCGAAGTCAGTATTTCCTAAAGAGGTGGAATGTACAAGTCATGACAATGTCTCAAAAGTACTTCTGGGACACTCGAAATAGAAGTTAGAACTCCGAGAATGGGAGGACTTACGACGCCCGATCCCAAGACCATAATCTAAAGAATGCGTTAGCGATAGTAACGGGATGCTGAGAGTAAAGAGATAAGGTCCAGGGGTCCGAAAGGTCGTTGAAATCGGAGCTGTCGATTTCAACGGTTACAGCAACAACCAGTGAGATTGCTGAGGCAGCGAGTCCATCCGGAAGGCAGGCGCATCCTGTCGGGAAAGAAAAACATTGACTCACGCCGTGATCATTAAAAGAAACATCATTCTCTGAGCCATTGTATGTCAGGTACTAGGTAACGGGGAAGTCAGCAATTGCTCGATTAAGGTCGTTCCGGGAGAATTGAGAGGTTGTCTCGGGAGAAGATCATGAGACAGTCAAAGCTGGGAGAAGGCTTCTCACAAGATAGTTCGTAAAGGCTGGAAACTCAGCAGCGACAGTATCAATCTGCTTCACAACCGGTACAATCCCAGCTTCGACTCTCATTCTCCTGACTGCCAGCTCGTTCGAGCTCCAGAATTTGGCAAGCTGGCGATCGCAGAAGCCAAGCTGCTTGGCTTGGCGGAGCATACTTGTGGTGATGGTGCCTGCATTGAATGTGGTCATCAACTTGCCAAAGTCGCTGAGCCCCTTGAGCTTGCTCAGGAACCATTTGTCAATCTTGGTCATCTCCCAAATCTTATCGACGGAGTAACCAGAGTGCATGGCGTTTGCAATGGCGAAGAGACGTTGATCAGAAGGAGTCTGTAACTCGTCGTCAATAGACATGAGCGCTTTTGTATCGTTGAAGCCAAGATTATGGAAGTCAATTGCTCGAATCGCTTTCTGGATGGCTTCTTCAAACGTTCTTCCAATGCTCATGACTTCACCAACACTCTTCATTGATGATCCGAGCTGGGTAGAGACACGGGTGAACTTTTTCAAGTCCCATCTGGGCATCTTCACAACAACGTAATCAAGTGAGGGCTCGAAGCAGGCGCAAGTGACCTTGGTGACGGAGTTGGAAATCTTGTTCAGAGGAATGCCCAGACCAAGCTTAGCAGCGATGAAAGCTAACGGGTAGCCGGTCGCTTTCGAAGCCAGTGCTGAAGATCTGGATAATCGAGCATTGACTTCGATAATGCAGTACTCTCTGGAGAACGGATTCAGTGCATACTGAATATTGCATTCTCCGACGACTCCCAGATGCCGGATCACGTTGACTGCAGTCGTTCGAAGCATATTGTAATCTTCGTCTGACAGGGTCTGTGATGGCGCAACAACGATCGAGTCTCCAGTGTGGATTCCCAGGGGATCGAAGTTCTCCATGTTGCAAACAGTGATGCAATTGTCTCGAGCATCTCGAACAACCTCGTACTCAATTTCTTTCCAGCCTTTCATACTTCGTTCAATCAGAACTTGCGGGCTTGCAGCAAATGCCTTGTTGCAAAGGGCGAGCAATTCCCGCTCGTTATCTGCAAACCCGCTGCCAAGCCCACCCAAGGCGTATGCAGCTCGAACAATGACTGGGAATCCAATTCCTTTCACGACTCGCATCGCCTCCTCCACGGTGCTTGCTGACGCAGACTTCGCACATTTCTCACCGATCGATTCCATGCTTCGTGCAAACAGTTCTCGGTCTTCGGTCGTGATGATTGTGTCAATTGGAGTTCCCAGAACTTTCACTCCAAGCTCTTCAAATTCATCCTTCAACTGGATGCCAACCTGTAAAGCGGTCTGACCTCCAAACGTAACGTATATCGCATCAGGTCGCTCATGGACAATGACCTTTCGCACAAAGTCCGAAGTAACGGGCAGGAAATAAACCTTATCAGCCAATCCCTTCGAAGTCTGAATAGTTGCAATGTTGGGATTGATCAAGACGGTGTAAATTCCTTCCTCTTTCAGTGCTTTTATCGCTTGACTTCCAGAGTAATCAAATTCTCCTGCTTGACCAATACTCAAACCCCCACTCCCCAAGACGAGAACTTTCTTGACATCAACCTTTGGATGTAGTCTGTCGTTCTCCTCAGCATCTCCTCCAGGGAAATGAACAGGTGCCGAAAGAAGCTGCCGATCCTTGATGGCACCAACAATTGTTTGGATGAATATGTCAAATAAGAATTCTGTGTCTCGGGGTCCTGGGGTGCTCTCTGGGTGGAATTGAACACTAAAGTATGGTTTGCTCAAGTGTCGAATACCTTCGTTACTGCCGTCGTTGGCATTGACAAATAGTTCCGTCCACTCGGCGGGTAGAGTAGCTGCATCCACAGCGAAACCGTGATTTTGGGATGTAATGTGACATTTTCCAGTCAGCATATTCGTGCAAGGAATGTTGTGTCCACGGTTACCGAACTTCATCTTAAGAGTGCTTGCACCAGCAGCTCGAGCCAGCAATTGATGTCCCAAACAAATGCCAAAAATCGGTGTTCTGTTCTCTGCCATGGCGGATGAAATATGCTTCACGGTCTTCTCCATCATGGCAGGATCACCAGGGCCATTGGAGATGAAGAGGCCATCGTAGTCCTTACCAGCAAGGGCTGGGAAATCGTAGTCCCACGGACAGACCATGACCTCCACGCCTCTTCTGAGTAGACACCGTAATTGATTGTACTTCAAACCAACATCCAAGCACAACACACGTAAGGGTCTTCCAGAGGGGTGTTTCAGGGTGTTTGAAGGACTTGGGGAATACAACTTCGGTTTTCGTATCGAAACTAGGTGAAGATGTCAGCCCTTTATCGTGGGCTGGGATTGAGCAAGGACTCACCATCTGCCACGAGGTTTTGTGTATTTGGATTGACCCAACCGATCGTCTCAAAAGCAGATCTCCAGTTTTCCGAGGACGCTACTGCCGAGGTACCGTTGGGAAGACCGTTTGTGTATCCATTCGAGAGACTTAAATTTTGCACCAGCATTCGTCCCAGCATGCTTCCTTCCTGTCTGATCCTCTTTGTCAGGGCTCGAGTGTCTACTCCATATATTGCTGGAACTCCTTGTTCCTTCAGCCATGTGCCCAGTGATGATGTAGCGAGAAAGTGAGAGTAGTCTTCGCCGGAGTAGGATGCGGTAATGAGACCGGCAATGTGTATTTGGGAGGCTTCGAAATGTGCAGGCAGATCCTTGAGGAGGTCGTCCATTGTCTCTCGGGAGGGCACGCCATAGTTCCCCACGAGGGGAAAGGTGATGACCAGAATTTGTCCCCGGTATGAGGGGTCGGTAATGGACTCGGGGTATCCGACCATGCCAGTCTGGAAGACCAATTCTCCTGCCACGCTCTTCTTCGCACCGAAGCTATAGCCCTGGTAGACAGCGCCATCTTGGAGCTCGAGGGCGATCAGCCCCTCGTCTTGGGCTCCTGCATCGAGGATTTGGGCTGTGACGGGAGGGAAAATTTCCGCCATTATTTTCCCCCTCCAGGTTCTTGATCCAATGATCAGAGTCGCTGCAGTGTATTCAAAAGACAATGTACAGGTTGCTTGCGTAGCTTCGGGAGGGTTCCGAGGGATTCTGTAGTCCGTAGCTGGATGATCGACTGCCAAATGAATTCTCAGTATACCAGCTCTCGCGGAAGAGTCAGGATAGTGATTGGCGCTGGCAGGAAAGTGATTGCGGAAGATTTAACGCGAGATGGAGGCTAGCCTAAATGACTGAATATATGCTGTCCCAAGAGTATGTGGGACATTGAGACTGAGAGAGCGAGCGAGCGTGGTGGGACGAAATAGAAAGAAGAGGGTTCGTCAAAGTCAAAAATCAAAATTTCGACATTGAGAGGATGGAGGGGCTAAAGCCTGCGCTAGCCGACCTGGGAGAGTGCTGCATCGTTCTGCCGCCAATTACACATGGCACGCGCGAAGGCGGTCAACGCACAATTTTATGCCGGTCCCAGGAACAGGGATTTCATTGAACCAATTTTTTCTGGGAACGTTTTCGAGCATGTCAACGTCAATGCTAATATTGGCATTAGTGATCGGGGCTTTTAGCAAGGCAAGGCATGTCTCGACACTTTTTCAGTGCAATTGCACCGTACTGTATAGCCATGGAGACCTCGAAACTGCCGACCTTTTTTATTCTTCAGAGGCAGATCCATCGCTTAGCCTTGCCTCTAAAATCGGGAAAATGTAAACGACCCCTCCCCCCACCTCGGGGGATCGATTGGGTGTATCAGTTAGGGGCTATGGTGTTAACGACTTGTGATTGGCTACTTAGGCTCTATAAAAACCTTAAGTTAGATTTTCTAATATAAGTATAAGCTAGTATATTATAAGGCCTATTATAATCACGTGCTTCTTGGCCTATTACTCACCAGGCAAATTAGTATGTGAAGAATTAAGTATTTAACAACGCCTGATCTCGGAATGCTGGGACCGGTTGATTTGGAGCAAGTCATCCAGGCGGAGGTCCATCGAGTGCCGGGCAGCAGCCGGATCTCCAAGGTTGAAATCGTCCAGCTCCACAACCTCACTTCCAGGTAGGTAATAGTGCAAACTGCAGTTTGAAACTGCAGTCCAGCCTTCAAATTTGAAACTGCTGATTAGATTCGGCAAACTAAACTGGCAAGAAAAGGCTCAAACTGCAGTTAGACTGCAGTTTGGCCACGGTTTAGTGCAGTTTAGTGCAGTTTACATACAAATTTTACAGTTTGCAAAAGGGGTTTTAAACTGCGCTTTAGATACCCTGCACTAATCTATACTGAGATACGCCGAGGCTAGACTAGACCGCTAAACTGCAGTTTAGACTGGACTGAGATCAAACTATTACCTACACTGCTCACTTCCATCTCCCCTCGGCTGTTTTTGAGCCGTCCGAATTCCTTCTGCCCCCTGTTCTCCCGCATCATTTGTATATCCTCCCTTCTCAGCGCCTCTTCCCACGTCGCGAGAATCTAAAATTCCTTAATCTTCTTCACCAGGTCCCTCATGATTACGACCTCGCAACCGAAGTCTACCTGGCTTGGGGTTCAACATTCTCTTCATCAAGTTTTCGACAGGGATATCTTCTCCTGCTAGTACCTCGAGCGTCGACGGCTTGTTATCCTCCCCCGTAGTGCTGGGCACCAGAAAGATTGTTGGCGGTAGGCTCAACAACACGAAGGGAGAAAGCTGTATCATTGATTAGTGGACGTAATAAATCATTATATGATTCAATGATAAAGATGGAAATTAGAAAGAGGGGCCGGCACTGATGAGTTGAAGAGAGAGAAGAGAGTGAAAGAAACTGATCATACCACATCAAGAGATCGCCGAGCTAGATTTGTACATACTTTACGCAATAAAAAGCTGTTATAATAACTATGAGGACATGGGGTCAGCGTAAGCTTCCTGCAGCCATTGACTATTATTATTCCCTGAATCCTTTGTCTGAACCACCGTGCTATCGTAATCATCCCCCATAACAAGTCTCTCAATCCGCTGCTGCAAGTATGCACTCTGTTCCCGTGCCGATGTCGGATTCCCGAGCCCGAACTGAGTGTGAGCGAAAGGCCAAGCAAGACGGACGAAAAATCGGCCTAATCTATTCTCTCGTAGTTTCGACAATGGCCCGAGAGTCCGCGCATACATTTTGATGATCGCCATGCCCTGCTCTTTAGTCAAAGTTTTCCGGAAATCGGCAACATGTTCGCCATGAAGGATACAATCCGCCATGTAGATGCTCAATGTGAGCATCGGGAGATTGAGTAGCCCGCTCACGTGCTCAATAGTTTGAAGCCAGTCTTGGTAAGCGGTTTCATGAGGACGGAGGTAGTCGTCGTAAAATGGCGGGAAGACGATTTCAATAGATCTTAGTAGTGGAAGTGCTTGGGGAGGAATAACATCCGTTAGGAAAATAGATATCCCAAGACGGGCGGGGGTGCTTTCAGCAGGAGATGTGCATCCTCCTGGGGGGACAATAATAAACCGATTTTGGGCGAAAAAGACCGCCTGAGCATCTTCTCGCAATTGCTTGCATATGAGAAATAGAGAGGTAGGTGGAGACCAGCAGCGGCATTTTGATGAGAATGCAGCGTGGTAGCGGCGGCAAAAGCAACCCACGTGCCAAGGTTCGGCTTTGTTGAACTAGCTAGCTTGACTAGCATCCATTCCTTCCACTCCAGGTTCAACCACTAATTCAGTTCGTCCGATTATTGGGTATTACTTACGTACGAACATACCAATCGTTTATTAGTATCGCCATTCGATTACGTTCCTTAAACGTACGTTCAGGAATCAGATTGGTAAATCGTTCCCACTACTAAGTAAGTGCGGGGTAAATCACATGGTGGGGTGGAAATCAGGAATATAGCTAGGGAACCCATTCCCTCTGTTTTTATGGAATCACTCTCCTGTATCTAGTCAAAACTAGTCATTCTACAGATTATTAATCTCTAATATATCGATTTTCCACCAATAAATCGATCCCAGTTCAATAGGTTATGAGCCCGGATAGCGCCCACTAAGTGCTTTCACATGATCCTCAGATCACGTGACCTCACTTAGTATGAACCTGTCTATTTCCGATTTCATCAAAATCGTTAATTCTATTGAATTACACCTACCGCATTGGCCTTGCATTAGCAGAATTCACTAAAAATACAGCCATTTTTGGGCAAAAGTTCTCTGCAAAATCCGCTATACCAGATAGCAAAAAATTAGTATATATCACCTATAAAGAGACAAAAATCGAACCTCTCTCAGATAGTAATATCTACTCCTGGATAGACAATACCATAAATATCTTTATTATCGAAGATCTATGGCAGTATATTAATCCAGATTAAGCTCCTACTCTCGTGGAATCGGCCCAAAAGGACGATAAAACGACTGCTCGTTAAGTAGTAATTGCTCGTACGGTACTAAATCTACTTATTACCTATAATACCTGGTAATAATTCAAGGAAATCAAGCTTATATACCAGATCTGGATCCAGATTCAAGCTAAAGCGAACTAGCTAAAAGCTCAGAAAGAAGCTCTATACCTTTAATAGTTGGAAACTATTACGTTTAATTCCAATAAGGGAATGGATAACTTTATTAATTATATTAGCTGTAAAGTAGCTAAAATTAAAGGTATAAACGGGTTAATTTCGGACATTTCTATATCCGGATATCTGATTTATAGCCTTCCAAAGGAATATAACCTTTATAAACCCCTCTTGAATTCTATTAGAGCTAATATTAATAAACTAAAGCTGGAATTACTTAAAGCGGACGCTTTTACTAAAGAGAACAAATTTAGAAATAAAACCCCTAATTCTACTTCTGATTCTATTCCAAAAGTACTAGCTGCTTAAGGAAATTAATTGGGAAATTAGCCCAAAAATAAGGACAAAAAACCGAAGTATTTCAAGGATCCAAATACCTACTATATGTTCTATAAGTATAAAGGATATAATATTAAGGACTATATAAGCTATAAATTAGCTCAGGAATTCTATAATTCTAAAGGAAAAGATACTAATTCTACTAGTAAGAAGGCGTTTTCTAATCCTAAAGTACCTATATATCCCAAAGTATATACTACTATAAAGTTAATAATTAGTACTTTTCTTAATAGATAGTTATATAATAATAATTTCATGAATATCTGGTATATTAATTCAGGTACTATAGACTATTTTACGGGGAGTAAAAGCTCTTTTATTATATATAAAGAGATTAATCTATTTCTAATTATTCTTGGTAACGAATTAATAATTCTTATTAAGGGTAAAGGAACTATTCTTTTAGTTACCTAACTAGAGCTAAAAATATAGCTTAATAATATACTTTATAGCCCCTAATTCCGGAATACCTCCTTATTATTAATTTCCAAAATTATATAAGCTAGAGGTAATATTATATTTTCCCAAGGAAATATCCGAATTATTAATAAAGAAATAACTATTATAACTAGTACCTTTAGTTCCTTTATAGGGCTATATTAGCTTAACTAATTTGATTTAGGGCGTGCCCTAAAAGTATTAAAATCGGAAGCTTTAGCCTTCCTGGAAACGTAGTATTAGTAATATGGATATCTAAATACGAAGTATATCCTGAAATTAGTAAACTATATTTATAGACTTTAATTTAAGAACCAAAACCCATTTGATTGTAATTTATATAATATGAGCAAGATTACTAGGGCTAGTATAACTGAGCTATACCCTGAAAAACTATTTCCGGAAAAGTATATTATAATTGACTTATAGGGGCTATTAAGGGTTCTATTCCTTAGTAAGAACTCCTATATACTTTCTATTACTTATAAGAATACTAAATATTATATGGCAGTATATAATTCGGATAGAAAGGGCTATTTTATAGATCTTTAGTATTAAGTAATCTTTTCTAAAACCCAAACTAGGAATAAAGTCAAGTGCCTATACTTTAATAATACTCCAGAATTTGTATTAGGATAAGTCAAGAACTGGTACAAATTAAAGGACATTTGTCTAGAACTAATAACTACTTATATACCTGAATAGAATAGTATTTCTGAATATAGTATATATATAATTATTAAAGTAAAGTATATAGAGCTAGAATAATTAGGCTTACCGTACGAGTTTTAGGAAGAAGTAGCTATATATGGGATTTATGCCTATAATTAATATTATTTATCCAAAATTGGTATGATTTTATATAAAGCGTTTTATAGGGTTAAACCGAACGTTTCTAACCTATGAATATTCGGTTCCTTAATATATGTCTATATATTTAAGGAAATAGTCTTATAATACAAGTATATAGCCAAGGCCTTTAGAGGCATTTTTACTAGCTATAGTAGTTCCGGATATCGTATTTGGAACTCATATAAGTAGATATTCGTTATTTCTAATTATTATACTATTAAAGAATATATTAAGGGAGTATATTTCTTGAATCTAGTATCCTAGCTATATAGAAGACTAGTTAGTACTACTAAAGATTATAATAATACTTCTAGTAATAATATATATAATCCCGATATAATTTATAAAGATACTATTATTATTAATACTAGAAATTAATAGCTTAATATTCTATTAGAAGATAATTAAGAAAATTACTCTAATATTAAAGGAAATACTGCTTAAAGCGTATTATATAACCAAATTAAGGGTATTTCTAGTTTAAGCAAAGCTCCTGAGCCCCTATTTGGGAATAATAACCAAGAACTAGAATTATCTATAAGTGGTTCTAATTCAGGTTCTATAATTTAGGAGGCGCCTATACTTCCCGAAATGGTTCTAGTTAGGGGTAAATTAATTCCTAAATATCCGAAATCGACTAGAATTACCGGGAAATAGTCTAATTCTCGTACTTTACTAGTTATTAACCAGAATACCGAAGCTTCCAAAATTCTAATATTAATTAATAAAGCTTTTACTGGCCCTAATACCCATCTTTGGAAACCTTCTATTAGGAAGAAGCTATAATCCTATATATATAATTATATATGGGATCTAGTAATTAGAAAATACTAAAAAACTATCGGATATTACTAGTTATTTAAAATTAAGGCTAACGGGTACTATAAATCAAGGCTAGTAGTATAAGGCTATATCCAATAATATAGTATAGATTACTTTGAAACCTTTGCTCTAGTAGCTAGGCTTTCTACTATATATATTATATTAGCCTTAGCGGCTAAATATGGGCTTTATATTTAGTAAATAGACGTCCAAATAGCCTTTCTCTATAGGGAATTGGAAGAGAAGTACTATATAAAATAATTTCCTGGTTTTATTAAAGATACTAACCTGATTTGCTGCCTATAAAAGAGTATTTACGGGTTAAAATAAGCCCCTAGGGTTTGGAATTAGGTAATTAATAGTTTTTTCCGTATTATTGGTTTCCTGAGATTGCTTTATAATCCAGCCCTATATATATTCCAAGAATATAATATTAATTAGCTACCTCTTCTAATTACTATTTATATAGACGATATAATTATTATTAGTAAAAATATGGCTCAAATTAATAAAATTAAGAAGTAACTCTATTAGAAATTTAATATAACCGATTTGGGAGAAATTAAAACGTTTCTAGATATAGAAATCATATATTTTTAGGACAGTTCTATATTCCTGTACCAAAATCGATATCTTACAGATATGCTCTAAAGGTATTAAATAGAAGGTTTTACTTCTATTTCTATACTAATAGCTCAAGCTATAGTTCCAGAAGGGAAAGATATTAATATTATAGAATATTAGAGTTATATAGGATTACTTATATGGCTATTCCTAGTATTAAGACCCGATTTTTACTATACTGCTGGGTATTTGGGACATTCTAATTCCTGTCCTAAAGCCTCCTATAGCTCTATATAGAAGTATATAATGCGATATATTAAGGGATTACTTAATATGGGTATTCTATATAATACTTTATCTGAAGAAGGACTTATTAGGTATTCAGATACCAATTATAGAGGCGATTTACAGGACTGCAAATTAACCTCCGGTATGGTTTTTACCCTATTTGGTAAAGTAATTAGCTGGGCCAGTACTAAATAGAAAACTATAGTAACTGCTACTATGGAAGTGGAGTATATTGCCCTTACTCCGGTAGTTAAAGAAGCCCTATAGCTAAAGTAACTATTTAAAGAAATATCGATTCCTATGGGACTAATCGAGCTAAAAACGGATGCTTAGGGAGCTCTTGATTTAGCTATAAACGTACGATTTTCTTAGAAAACCAAGCATATTAATATTAGATATTATTTTATTAGGGGCCATATTAATACCAAGGATATTGAGCTCAAGTATGTTCCTATACAGGAAATAACGGCCGATATTCTCACCAAACCATTGGCTAGACCCGCTTTTAAACTGCTACGTTCAAAGCTAGGTATTATTAGCCTCACTAACGTTAAACCTCAACTGTAAGGAGGAGGCGTATTGAACTAGCTAGCTTGACTAGCATCCATTCCTTCCACTCCAGGTTCAACCACTAATTCAGTTCGTCCGATTATTAGGTATTACTTACATACGAATATACTAATCGTTTATTAGTATTGCCATTCGATTACGTTCCTTAAACGTATATTCAGGAATCAGATTGGTAAATCGTTCCCACTACTAAGTAAGTACGGGGTAAATCACATAGTGGGGTGAAAATCAGGAATATAGCTAGGGAACCCATTCCCTCTGTTTTTATGGAATCACTCTCCTGTATCTAGTCAAAACTAGTCATTCTACAGATTGTCAATCTCCAATATATCGATTTTCCACCGATAAATCGATCCCAGTTCAATAGGCTTGCCAGCAATTTCGAAACTGGCAAGCCTGATGAAAGTCGACAGGGCAGTCCAAGTAGCCTTCAAACGATCCACCACATCCCCTTCTGTAGTAATGGAGGTAAAAATTGTTTTCGGGGCTCCATTCTACTTCACAGAGGGGCGTGACGAGATCCGTATATTCTAAGATTTGGAGACGGAGTTCTTGCGGCAAGTCCAAGAACCGGAAGGCGGACTGAGTCTGACTATGACTCGAGCGGTGCTGGTATCCCATGGCTTGAGTTGCGACCTCCTGAGCCAAATCTCGTAGAAGAGGGTCAGGCTGTCCGCTCAGGCGGATGCTACAGTCTGCAAGTGTTGGAATGCTGCGGAAGGGCTCTACTAGATACTTTGCTGTTTCAAGCCCGTCCACGTCGCAGACAAAATATATGCGAAGACGGAAAGGTTCGATCCGAGCTAAGATATAACGGGCCGTGTTAACCCACTCGGAAATAATTGCTGGTGACGAGGTTCCCAGGGGTTTGTCATGTTTAAGACAGAGGCCTGATTTTCCTGGGTGTGCCTTGCAACAAATCTGACCCTTCTTGTTGGAACTGAGTGTACGCTGGTACACTGTAGTTTATATACCGGATGTATATATAGAGTGCTTACCCCGCGTGAGCTGAAAAATCAAGTCGTCAACCTCCAAAACATTGCAACACTTCTCACATGATGCTACATTGAGATGGACCGTAAGTTGAGTTAATAGTGCAATAGAATCCGCCGTTAAGTTCCTGAGCATTTCGAAGCTGCGAGCATCATTGTATTGAATAAAGAATGTGTTTGTGGAGTATAGAATGCACGAGGCCTCAGTGTTGACAGTACGACAAATTAGGAGTAAGTTGTAAGAGTTCTGGTAGTCAGCCGAAGGGGTCGCCGAAGGGGGCCATGAACCGGCATTGAGTCGCCCATTGAAATCGATATCGGAGTCGCAGATGAGCCCAGCGTCGCGGTAGATTTGACATCGAATGACGGGAGGAAGGGAGAGGAGAGATGGAGGCCCATTCTTGGAGTGAATGGTCTTTGTTGCGTGTATGCGATCATGCATAATGACTAACACGCACAAGCGTCGTAATGCGGTGCGAAGCCGCGTAGGTGGCGGTGCCCGATTGTGGACAAAGAGAAGGGGGGAGGTGAGAATAGATGAGGGAAAGAGGAGAGAATAAATAGATCGCACTATATCTGTAGGAAACCAACAAGACTTAGCTTGCCTTCGGCTATAGTTGGGGCCGCACCAGCCTAAAATAGAGGTGAAATGTAAAACGACACCCGGGTGCCGATTGTGGTATTAATTAGGGGCCACTAACCCAAAGTAGAGGCGCTCGGACAGGAATACCAAAAACTAGCTTTCTCATTAAATTTATTTTATTTTATAAGGAATTAATAGAATTTTTTTGGTTTTTCTAATAGTACTAATTAGGAACTATTCAAATATAAACGTTTTATAAAATATGAATTAGTAATAGTACTTGAATTTAAAGAAGTAAAGAAGTAAATATTTTATATTTTAAAGATAAGCTTAAGAAAGCCTAGAAATTTGGCAAACAAGTCCCTAAAACTTGGTATAAGAGCTATATAAGCTTTTAATTTGTAAAGCTTTATAAGACTTAAAAACTATAACTTAATTAATTAGTATATAAATTCTTTTCTATATAATATTAAGTTATAATCTATAGAAAACAATCCCTGTCACGTGGTGGCCTGTACGGAACACCAAACACGCTTCCACGCTTCACCTCCTTATCCTTCCTTCTCGCTCCTTACGCTTTACTTTAGTTCGTAATAGCTTAATTAAATCAACCTGAATTGAATTAATTATACTGCCCTGGATGTCACTACCCTCGGTCAATCTTCCAGTTCCCCCTAAAGGATGGCTGGCGAATCGCAACGTGTGCTTCGTGCCTTGAGCAGCAAGCCTTGCGCTATGTAGTGATTTAGGGGCGAGAGAGAGAGGAAGAGGAGGAGGGAAAGGGGGAGGAGGAGGAAGAGGGAGAAGGAGAGGAAGAGCAGGCTATAGGTAAGTTAATAGACCTGTTTACGGACAGATACGGGCAAACTAACCCTCCTAGGGCCGCAAACCCGTTACTCGAGCTGTTTACAGGTCCGCGATCTCGGCCGCTTTCTTACCTGTAAGCCCTATTATTACCGGAATTTAAAGGCAAAGCGTCATCGAGCTTTAACTAGGACTTACGCTTAGAATCCAAACCCTCCCCTAACCCATATCTAGCTTGCGAATCATATCCAGCTCCGGTAGCAGGCTACTGGTAAGAAGGAGAGGGGATGGGTCAGATACCGGGTAATTACGGTCGATAATTATATGCGAGAGCCGACCCAAGAGGAGGAGCAGGAACTCCAGGACCGGCAGTAGCGGCGTGAGGATAGGAAGGCAAAGAGGAGGGTTTAGGAGGGAGAGAGAAAGGGGTTATCGCGAGAGAATTATTTAAAAAGGGGGTAGCCTAAAGGAGAGTTTGAGGCGTGGTGGGAGGAGAGGTTAAAGGAGAGCAGAGCGCAGATGAGTTTTTAAAAGTAAGGGATAAGGCAAGGAGGAAGATGAAGAGGGATAGAGAGAAGCGAGTAGAGTGGGTAGAGAGGGAGGAGAGAGAGGGGCAGGCTAAAGAAGAAGCTTACGGACTAGTGGAGAGGTAGGCTTGCGAGCTGAGAGAGAGGCAAGCGGAGTTATATATAGACGAATACGAATATTGTGATAATTATTAGCTTTAATTCCAGGGCAAGTGAGGCTTGGGAGGGCTTAACGGACGAGGAAGGAAGCTTTACGGGCTTGCAGGATAACTAGGGAATTTACGGGCAAAAGAGAGAGCTTTGCGGGCCCGTAAAAGGGAAGAAAGAGCCCTGTAAGTAGGAGTGAGGTTTGGGAGGGCCCGCGAGAGGGAGGGAGCTTTACAGGCGCGAGTAAGGCTTGGGAGGGAGTTGCGGGCGAGAGTACGGATAGTAAGGGGCTTGCGGGGGCAAGTAAGGCTTGGGAGGGCCCGCGAGTACGAAGACAACGGCATAAAGTATCGGGAATACAGGGCATTGGGAGACTTTCAGGCTCTCCAGCGTACAGATCAAGGTAGCAAACTCGCTACAAGGCCCTATATTTCCAGGCCCTTCCCCTAAAAGCACATTTACGCCTCGACAAGGGCTACCACACCTTTTCAGGGCTTCTTCCCTGTACTTACAAGGGAGCCTTCGCTAAAGGGGCCTATAATAGTTGCTTATTTAGCGTCCAAGCGCTGTGGTTGCTCTACCAACAGCGCTATAACCTTAGAAGATCTACTTACCCCATGTGAATGTCTTATAGCGCCTCTTTACGTAGATTTAGGGAGCACTACCTAGAGTCATAGGGGCTTGTAGCGAGCTTCTGCCCTAAATTCACACCCTGTAGAGCGCTGAGAGTCAAAATGCCCTGTATTCCCAATACTTTATGCCGTTGTCTTCGTACGGTATATAAAGCAAAAAGCTAAATATTTAAATAAAAGTACTTAAAAAAAACTAATTTCCCGTACGCTTATATGTTACATTAGTGCGAGCTTGCGAGTGTAATGTGGCTATACTTAAGGAGAAGGTTTTATAAATAAGAGAGAGAACTTAAAAGGGCTTATAAAAGGAAAGAGAAAGCTTTACAGGTATAATTAGGAGATATTATAGTTCATAAAAAGAAAGAGAGAGCTTTACAAGTAAGTATAAGGCTTAGAAGGCCTATAAGTAATAATAGAGCTCTATTATAAGGAAATCACGTGACTCTCTTAATCTCGAATCGAGATCAGGGCAAAATTAAAGACTAGTCCCGGAGCTTGTATAGGGCCGCCAGGCTTGAATTTTAGCAGAGCGGCCCTAATCTTGTAAAATAAAATTCTATTTTAAAAAATCCCCTTATTATAAGTTAAGTAATAAGTAATTATATAATAAGTCTTATACTATAATAGCTTATACTATAGTAGTGAATTAAGGGGCAGTCACGTGGCTAGTCACGTATCCTCGGCTATACATCTCTCCATATATATATATAGCTCTCTCGTTCTCCTCTTCTCTCACATATATCATGTCCTGAGTCTTCGAGTTTATATTTTTATATATTGTATTTCCACGTGCGCCCCTTCAATACTTATATTAAAAAAACTAACTCAACGTTCTGAACACCCTGGCCCCTAATTAATACCAGGGGGGAGGGGCGGGGTCGTTTTACATTCTCTCAAAATAGGTGCCGGGGCGTCTTAATAAGCGCAGCAACACAGGATTCAAGACGCTAGGCTATATTTAGAATATCGTGCTTAAATTCCATTCCTCTTTTGACCTCAGGGGATCTACCACACCTTGGATCCAATAACATTAACTTGAGGTAGCTGAGATTTGAGCTACCAATTTTGTTCCAAACATAAAAGCAGGACCAAGAGAATATTGAACCTTGGCTACAAATTGGCTAATTAACAAGGCAACACGTTTTCCTACGACTCTCCTGAAGGGAACTTGGAGGATGATGAGTCAGATAGATGGCAATTTAGCTACAAGTAGGCCGCCCTTCGCGGTCGAGCTATATCGAGCCTCGGTGTACTATGGTTAGCACACTCCGATCTATAGTTAGGAACGTTGCTAGCATTGTGTGACTTTGTCAGCGGTTATCCAGAATGTATTGATAGCAACACTATTGCTGTTCAAATATGGCTTCCATTCTATGTAAACAGTCTTACCATTCTTCATTGCCTATCAAATATCCATCTTCTCATACACAAGATATATTTCTTTCACCGAATTGCTATTCATACGAGCATCACAAAGACATTTCCTCAACTTTCCTTCTAACTTCGTGTCCTTTCACCGGGCATTACCCAATAATTCTCTACATTTGCTACAATGCTTCTTTACAAGATTCATCTTATCTTATTTCTATTTACTTGTCGTGCTTTTTGTGTCGTAACAACCGAGCAGCTGCCGATGACCCTATGGCTACCAGCCGATGCCGGGACCGGTTGGACCAAGTACCCAACGTGGCACTCAGAGAACTTGGATGAGAGTCAAAATCTAGATTACCCCGGAGTTCTTGATGTTACTCACATGCACTACAACTGGCTCATAACACAGTCAAATCACTTGGCAACATTGGGTTCATGCCTGGTGGCGGTCATGTGGGATCCAATTTCTCAGCAAACATTTGCCTCGTCGATCCCACAAGGCCCACGAAAGAGCTTCATGACCCTTTAGGTTCAGCCCCCAAAAAACCTTGCTCCTCTCTGGTTCGCGCAAGCAAATACTATATTCACTACAGGTGCCCAACCTGGGTTCCCTGCCCCAATCCATGCCGAGGACGGCGTATTTTTCAATTGGGAAACCTCAAATGACGCTATCACTACTAACAACATTGCCGTCTGGGGGAAATTCCCCAAAGATTCGGAGGATCATGAAGTCGCCCTTTGCAAAACTGTCTTGACACAGCTCAACACCGACAAATATATAGGAAGAACGCCACCGTATCAAACGGTTGCACGTAATCTCGGTGTTGGATATGCTGGGAACCTACCGCCAGAATCACAACCGGCACCGGCTCCTCCACCCCCAGTTGTGGATGACGAGTCGGATTACAGCGATGGGAACGGCTTGACGCAGGAGGACTTCGACGAAGCAATGGCAGCTTGTGGCGCCCCAGTGCCCCAAGGCGACACCATTAAGCGCCGGGGTGCAGTGATTCCTAAGAACATTCGAAGAGATGCGACGGGCACTGAGGCCATTGCAACGATTACCAACGCTGCCTGTGCCTTCGTCCTACCAGCCTGTAACTGCAGGGACAATAACCTCTCTTCCCGCGACTGACTACAACTTGCCAAGTTCGGTGGCGGTAGGCCCTGGTTGCGGTACGGATCTCGGCCAGGCTCCTTGCCCAACACCCGATTGCGGTGGCAATCTCGGTGAGAGACCTTGCTCATCGGCATTACCACCAACGACAACAACATCGATAAACTGGGATACAACAGTAACTGCCCCACTACAGGCAACGACCACGGGCTGCAACGATGTTGAGGAGTGCGATGAGAATGAGAACAATGATAGACCATCGTAAGCACAACGCCTTCCCCTACTGTAGTTGTTTTACTGCTAATCCATCACCTTTTATAGCTGTACGACTGCCGAAGACTGCAACGCGCCTTGCCGTGCTCAATTTGCCAATAACTCGGCAGCTCTCCAGTACGGTTACGCGGCTACGTGCGTAGATCAAGCCTTTTGTACCTGTAGCGTCGAGGCTGCCGGGCGAGATCCTCATCGAAATTGGCGAAGTCGTCTGTGCCGTTTGGAACTCGGCCATCCCCGCTGCCTTAGGATTACTTCAATTTGTGGTCCCTTATATAGGCGAGACAGCGGAGGGAGCAGAGGTGGGCGAATTCTTTGAGGCTGCTGACCAGGTGCTCAAGAAAGGCTCTAAGGATTGCTTTGCTGCATGTAGCGAGAATGCGGATGGACAGAAGTTTACGGCGGTCGATGCTTTGGATGATACGACTTGGGCAGGGATATTGCTTGCGATGACGAGTCGGTACCGCCGGTGACGACTGCGTCGTCTTGATATTAGCCAGTTAGATATTGTGAGAATGTTCTTAGATAGAGTAGTAGCATGTTGCAGATGGGAAAAAGATTGTGTACCTCTTCTGTTCTCAGGCATCATGTATTGTACCAGCAATCAATATTAATTTCCCTCTTTGTCGTCCAACAAACTGTTTCACACCTCTCCTCGCGGCTCGATCGGCCATCGAATTGCTTCAATGCCTGCATGTCCAAGAACCCACCGTAACTCGACTCCAACCTTGAGCAAGCTTAATTCTTCCGCGGCAAGTATGCCTGGTCCAACCAACTGATCCCCATTAGGGAATCCTCTCGGCCCAGTTAAGGTCTTTTTAGAGCTAGTAAAGTATTCCAACGCGTAAACACAATCAGAGTAAATTCAAATGCTAGCCAGCCTCTGTGTCGCATCCTTATTACGGCAAGGTTCGCAAGCGATCTGGAGTGCTTTTGCAATAGCAAAAAGCTGCAGTGGGTCGGTTGTCCAAGACCTCTTAACACTCCAAGAGCGTTCATTCCACACACCCATGGACAAGCAATAAGCAATACCTGTTCCACAAGAAGGATTATCGTGGAGACGGGAACCGTCAGTCCGGTACGCTTCTCGACATTGTTGAGCCCCAAGATCACTTTCTTTGATAGCTTCAGCCAGTGCGATATCTCCGGGATTGATGACAATGTTGTGTTCAAAGGCTGTATTGTTCCTGATGGCTTGGCGCATTTTGCGGCATAGGGACTGCATGCGCTCTTGTGGGGGATTTCTTTTTGCCCGCTCGACCTCCCAGACTTCGGTAGCTGAGCAAAGACCGCAGCCTTCACAAAGTGGTAGGTTTTTCTTCCAGAAACTTTTTGCTCTTTAATCTGCGGGCTATCCGAACAAGATGAGATGGTCGAACCATACCTAGCTGTGAGCACTGAAGGATAAGCGAGCTACACTTGTTTGATTTCTGTGAGTTTGTAAACATGTAAGCGGGAGTAAAGAGAGTTTTGGACTGGCGTTAGTGGTAGTCTGTAATCCGTGGTGGGAAGTTCGTCATCCAGTCCAAAGGGGAATTGAGGTGTTGTCACGCGTTAGCTTATCATGTGGTACTCTACCAGCTCTGCACACCGTACCTGATAGTCGTTCAGTGGCTCTCACCTGATGATCTCGCCTAAGGAGCCTTAGGTGAGGGATAGCGATACGCAAGCCCCCCCCCCCCCCCCCCCCCCCCCCCCCCCCCCCCCCCCCCCCCCCCAAGATTCACGTATCACCCACCAAAATGCCTACATGAGAATGGACGATACCCCTTATCTTAAAGTGACGAAAGCTGCGCAGCAGTTTGGGGCCCCGTACAATTGTCTAATGGCTCGTCGACGCGGTCATTCACCTAGATGATGGCATCATGTCCAAAGAACGTGAAGCACTAAGTTTACATGATGTGATGGGGTTTGAGCGAATAATGGTATATCTGCGGAAAACATGTTCGTATCGCTACCCCTCACCTAATATGCTCCTTAGGCGAGATTATTAGGTGAAACCCACCGACCGACTGCAGTATGCCGGCTCGGGGGGTCGTCTTACATTTTCCCTTGGAATCTCGACTTCTCAGTAGCCTTGCATCCTCGGCCAAATGTGTGCTCCAAGGGTGCTTTCTGCTTTTCCTTCAATTGCCTCAGCGTGAGTAAAGGCATTAGTTCACTGTCGCTAACATAATGCCATTCTCTCGCTTTTTAATTGATTTTAATGCAGCATCCTCAATCATCTGACATCGCCCCCTTTATCTTGCGGTGAGCTGTGGACTGCGGCGAGTCGTGGGAAGCTGAGCTCCCAGCACACTGATTGGCCAGCTCGAATCTTGATCGGCTGCCTGCAGCTGCACTCCGCATGCTCTGAATCGTGATGGCTGCATCCCCAATGCCGCCTTGAGGTCACCCACTTCTGTATCATGTGGCCAGGGCAAGATAAGAGCGCGCCCGCCCTCCCCTTTGGGCCATTTATGAGGGTATTCCCATTCCCACCCGGTGCGGCGGTGAGGAGGGGCGACAGGATCGACACGCCGCCCGAAGATGAGCCATAATAATAATTTGCGGTAAACAAATCCTCCGACTCCCTCACTCACATATCGCTCGCCTTGTTTCTCTTGCTCTGCCTCCATGTCTCAACCTGATCCATTTATCTGCAGCGATCCCGGCAATTGATTTCTGCGGCGGTCTGAAGGCACCGCTCCTCCCCTGCAGCAATGTTGTCGTCCTTGCTTCGCCCCAAGAAGGCGCGTCGACGCGTCGAAGAACACTCGCCCTTCTCTTCGCCCTACGTCGAACGCAGACATGCCACTGCAGACTTCACCGAAGACGATGGCGAGGACGAGAATACCGAGGACGAAGAGGACCAAGACGAAGAAGAAAGGGACGACGAGGAGGTGATCGAGGAGGAAGATGGAGATGAAGATACGCCTCTGCTGCCGATCTTCTCTGCAGCCCATCTGGGTTGGTTCTTCCATCTTGCAGTGTGCCCCTACTAATACGGAGCAGATTCTCTACCTGTGTACAACCTCACACATGCAATTCGACTGATCGTCCTTCCACGAACCGAAACCACCTTGACGTGGGACCAGCTTCGATCGCCCCAGGTCTCCCAATTCCTCGTCAAGCCGATGCAGCAGCAGATTCGAACCTCCCATTTCTCTCGCGCCACCTTGTATGCTTTGATGGCAAATTGTCTACAATTCGAGAAGGAAAGTCATGCAAACCCAGGAAACGCTGGCAACAGCCGTACAAGGGCTCTGGTCTGCGAACTGCTGGCAATCAAGCTACTGAAGGAATACAATACTCGGGAGTTGATTGATGCTCTCTCCTACGACTTCTTCCCTCTTCAAGGAATCGCTCCACCCGAATCAACGGTAGCAGGGCAGAATTGGGATCAGCGGAGTCGTCCTCGACCGGCTGCCGCTCGAATATCGACTCTTGAGGTGGCAATCAGAGCTTCTGCGAAACGATTCCTGGCACACCCCCTTGTTGTCCAGCAACTCGAGGCCATATGGGCGGGAACTATTGTTTTCCACTCGGCTGCAGACAATCTTCACAGACAGCCACCCCCAACGCCACTAAGTCGAGAGTCCACAAAACCAGTCGAGACCTCGCAACGTTTGCTGATCCCCGGCCAAAATGTTGGATATGGCACAGCTTCACCACGACCAGTTGGATCGCCAAACAAGCAGCCACGCCCACAACCCGCTCACTCCCGGAGGACTGTAACTCTGTATGATCCTAGAGATGCTTCCTTGTTCAAGCTTTCGAGGTTGAGAGTGCCACGGTACCGACAATTCTTTTCGACTTGCTCCTTGGCTATTCTACTCGTGTTGTTTGTTGCCGTGCTTGCTCAAAGGTCCATGGACATTACACCTCTTGAAGTCATCTTTTGGCTTTGGAGTGCCGGATTCATGCTCGACGAGATCGTCGGTTTCAATGAGCAAGGCTTCAGCTTGTATATTATGAGCTTCTGGAATATTTTCGACCTAGGAATCCTCCTTTTACTGGTCATTTACTACTGTATGCGTTTATATGGGATCTTCCTGGTCGATGTTAACAGATATGGATGGAATAGTATGGCATACGACGTTCTGGCTACCAACGCAATTCTCCTCTTCCCACGACTCTTCAGTGTGCTGGATCACTATCGATACTTCTCGCAATTGTTAATTGCTTTCCGACTAATGGCTATTGACCTTGTTGCAATCTCTCTGTTGGTGCTCATCGCATGCAGTGGCTTCTTCGTTGCTTTCACGTTATCTTTCGGGGAGAATGAATATGATGCAGCTGGAGTCGCATACAAAATCTTCCAGATATTGATGGGTTTCACACCTGCCGCCTGGGAAGCTTGGCCCACATACAATATTCTCGGCAAGGCCATCTTGGTTCTTTTTCTATTCATCTGTCACTTCTTGGTTGTGACGATTCTGATCACGGTACTGACGAACTCCTTCCTGGCGATTGCTTCCAACGCTGAGCAGGAGCATCAATTCGTCTTTGCTGTGAACACAATCAGTATGGTCAAGAATGATGCCCTCTTCTCATATGTGGCACCCAGTAATATCTTCGCATGGGTCTTGACGCCCCTGAGATTTGTTATACCGTTTCGACTGTTCATCAAAGTAAATCGAACTGTTATCAAGGTCACTCACTTCCCACTTCTCTTCGGCATCTATGCCTACGAGAGGGTGTTTCTCGCCCGGTCCGTATTTGCACCAACGGACTTGGTGGAGAATACTGGGCGCGGCCGGTCGAGAGTTGTATCATTCCATGATATGAAATTCAGTTTGTTCAGTCCTAGCATCCGCATGAGACAGGAATCGGTCAGTGGCTTTCAGAAAGACAGGGCTCTGGATGAGGTCTTCAGACTTGCTCCAAGGCCAGATACCATCAGAACCACACGGAAGAATCTGGATCGCAGGCAAACTCACAACGTTGTGAACAATTGGATGGACCACCAAAGCGGGGTTGCAAGTTCTCCTCAGGAACAGGACCACTCTGTCGTGGATCGACTCGAGACAAGACGCCAAGCTAGGAAAGCTTCAATGAGACAGCGGGGCATATCTGGTACTAGGTCTGCAGCAAGTGACCCGGCCGAATTCATGACCAAGGGTTGTTTTGATGATACACTTGAGCCAGATCAGGACGATGTAATAGGCCATACAGATGCCGATGGAGATGATGAGCTGGCTACTTACGACGATCATGATGACGATGAGGGTGTCACTCTAGATAAAGGTACAGGGACAAGCCGAAGTCGAGCCAGCAACTCGGGGAGCGACAATGAAGAGAGCTACTTCCGCACCCCAACAGGAGTCAAAGTAAACGCCCCCAAACTCTCCTCATCCTCCTCATCCCGAAAACACCATGCTTCAGGATCTGCCCCAACCACGAAATCCCCCCCTCGCCGCCGGGCGCACCATCGAAATCAGTCCACAAATACCATCCTCTACAAGCCCGTGACAGAACGACAATCCTCTACCTCGCCACCCAAGTCTCGTCCCCTATCAATGAAACATCACTCTACTGCTAATACAGGCACGCACACCCCCGAAAAGGCGGGAAAACTCTCCATCCCCGGCCACAGGACCCCTAAACCCTCCATTTACACGAAGACTCAAACCAAACCTCGCCCCATAATGCCAAATACGCAACACTTCCAATCCGTGCCCAACTTCGACCTCGACTCCCAACTCAAAGGGGCCCGAACCCGGCCAACTCGCCGCCGAAGATCAAGTCTCGACATGGGCATATCCGAACTAGGCCTCGATGCTAACCCAACTGGCATGCTAGGCGCGGTACCAAGCTCCTTCGCAACGCAGATGGCGCTCGCCACTGGTGGTCTAAAGGGCTTTGGGGGTAGGGATGGAGTAGGGAAAGGAGGGGATGCTGAAGATAGCGGGATGATGGGACGACTGATGCTGGCCAGGATGAAGACTCTTGAAGAAGGCTTTGCGGAGGTGGTTAAAGAGTTTCGGGGGATGGGGCTCAGGACGGCGGGCAACTCGAGCACGGAGTTGGATGAAGGGTTGAAGGGGAAGGGGAGGGAGAGAGATAGAGTAGCGAGGAAGAGGAGGGGATTACCAAGGACGAAGAGCGAAGTTAATGTTGCCAAGGTGGGACTCGGTTTGGAAGATGAAGGCACAGGGAAGGGGAAGGGGAACGTGGACCTGCATGGTGGAGGGAGCAAAGATACCCCAGAGAATGAGAACATTGTGCGGTACAATATGCGGCAGGGGAGTTCGCTGTAGATTGGTTCGGCCCATCTCTCGCATTTCTGGAGTTAGCTGGCGTTTGAGTGTTGTGTCTTTTGCATTATGTAGCTGGATAATTTTGCGAGCATTCATTTCTTCAATGCCGCCGTTCCTGATTTTTGGTCATGCGAGATGACAGATATACCAAGTCACTATTTCCACCTCACCCACCATAACTAGGACGTCTGTCCTCATGCCTAACTTGTCCGATTTCTTTAAATCCCTCCTCGACTCACTCCGTATGAAGCGAGCCTCTGAAATAAGCGAGGATGGCATTTTAGGCCAGTTTATTAGCAACGCGCTAATACTGGTATTTAGTCCAGCTTTTAATACTAGCTTTTATATATATACTTTTATAATCCTATTTATATATTTGCCTTTTTAACTATAATATATATTTATTACTGTACCTCAAGTCAATCCACACGGTACTACCAGTGATAAAGTTAGATAGTCCACCAGTGGTCAAAATTCGAATGAAAGAAAACCTCTAAAAGGAGTGCTACACCACCGCAATTTCCACACTTCCCAGCGCGCTGTTCACAGTTCACGTGACCATTACAGCATTTGCTCAGGCCGGGTTCGGCTACGGCTCAAATTCGACTCAGATCGATCTGCTCAAGATGTGAGCTAGTTATAACTTGTCTAGTTATGCAAGACGAGCACCAATAGGGGGGTAAGAAGGAAAGTTTAGTACGATATGAGACAGGCAGAGGGTACGATCCTAGTTATGCGCCTAAAACCACGTGATCCTACATAAGTAGACCTGTGTTGCAATGTTTTGGAGGTTGACGACTTGATTTTCCAGCTCACGCGGGGTAGGTACTCCCTATATATATCCAGTATATAAACTACGGTGTACCAGCGTACACTCAGTTCCAACAACCTGCTACCTTACAAAAAGCCCATGATACCTCTAGGACCAGTACTATTCATATTGTTGCTCGCACTACATAGTCCCGATAGTCCCCAGCACTCAGGTTCTATTCCAGCACCGCTGCATTGGACTTTTGTTCGGACAATGTTCCGGCGGCAGATGCGCCGCACCCCTGTCAAACAAATCCATAATGTGGCGCTCCTGCATTGCACTTTTGATCAGGCAGCATTGAACCTTTGTCCAGCCAATCGCGCCTTCTTTGAGGTCGAGGTGCGGGTGACCACTTTCGCTATATTTACATTCTATCTCTCCGTGCACATTTGTGACTGTCCGTCGCAGGAGAACTCCATTTTCCGAATCGTCAAGTAGGGATCATCTTTTCATCTATCCAAGGAGATAAAATGCCATTTCAGAACACCGCTCCCACAGCCTCGTCCCTCACGTGCGACATTCAGTATGAGGCAGCCATGCTTTCCCTCCCCTCAAGAACAATAATGCCAGCGAAAAAGGACTGGGATGATCTCAAACCAACTATTCGAGAACTATACCTGGGTCAAGGACAAACACTGCAACAACTCGCCAAATACCTGGAGGAACGCCATGGCTTCAAACCAACGTGAGCATCCGTTTTGAATAAGTGGAGGAGAGACCTGACATGTAGAGATAGGAAGAAACAACTCACGTACCACATTTCTGGGTGGGGATTTGAGAAGAATGTCAAGAAGGGTGAACGGCGAGCACTTATCGAACGTCTTGGTGCTCAAATCGGAACGTCAGATATTGCTTCGGAAGTGCATCGGGGCCGAAAGCTTGACAGGACGAAGCTGAAGCGATGGATAAGGCTAGAAAATAGTGTGTCAAACGGTTCTCTAGTGAGAGGTAAACAGGTTACGGATCCTCCAGGCGAGCCGGCCCCCCGAACCGAACTTGTAGTAGCTTGCTAATGTGAGCCTCACCATTTAGCTACTCCTAGAGACATACGAATGCCCACTCTGGAGCAAACTCCACCGCACGACGAAAAATGCGAGGCTTTTCCACATGCCAAGGAATCTGAAAATGAATCATTTTGTTCTATGGACAATGCATCTTACTGGAACTCTGTGGATATCGTCGGATCCCCTCGGCTGACTAAATTGATCGGGGCGTTAACAATTGAAGAGTGCAATATCCCTGCTTTGAACTTGGATATCGACATGCCAAAAGTGGAGGACATCTTGAAGAAGGATTTACTTGACCTTTGCAAGAGAGTTGACTCTGCTAAAGAAGAGAGTAATGCACCCACAACCAAACCATGGTCCACAACGTTCTCAGTTCTGCAGAAACCTTCTCACATGTTCGAGAAACGCACACAGCACATCTGGCAGTACGAGCTATACCCATTCCCCAACCAATCTTCGCCAAGCCACGCCAGTAAAGCCCTATGCTCTTGCATCTCTGTTCAGCCTAGGATGTCGGAGATAGAGTGCAAAAGGAAACTCGGGAATCTAAACAATATGACAGACGCCGAAGTAATCCATCTTGTACACCTCATGCAAGCCGAATCATACCGCCTGTTATATTCTCATAATATAGGTGGTGCAGAGACTTGGCTCCGCCGTGTTATTACAGCGAAACAGAAAGTAAAATGGTACAAACCACAACAAACTTTACAAGACTGTTTGCTAGTAATTCAATACGTGCTACAGCAAGATCGATATAAAGAAGCTCAACAACTTCACAAGGACTTTCATATCAAGGTGGAACGACTGTTGGGTGCTGACCACGATATATGTATCAATTCAAGAGACCTAATGTCTGGGATACTTCGAGGCCTCGGTTTTCCGGCGGAATCGGGGAGCATTCAGAGAGAAGTGCTCCAATCACGACTTGTTACTCATGGCACACGGCATCCAGACACAATTCGTGCTATGCATAATTTAGCATTTTATTTAAAACCGTCCGAGAAACATCAAAAGGCGGCTCAACACCTTATGGAGACCGTAGTACGCTTCAAGCTCGAGACCATAGATCTTACATGCGATAATGGAATCAGTAGTCTGAATACTATCCAAAGCATTGCTCTACTTGCTGGGTTTTTTAATGATGGTGGGCGTCATGACGAAAGCGAGAATCTATGGAACTACACCCAGAAATCGCTAGGAAATACAACAAAAATTGCGGCTGTGCAAACCTTCGACTATCACATGAGAAGAGCTCACGGCTATAGGCTCCAGAAGCGATTCGACGAGAGCGAAAAAATACTTCGCGATCTCTTGGAACAACATGAGAAAGCCATGCCTCTTAGCTTGGTGCTAGAGGTGATCGGCGAACTTACAGAAGTGTTAATGGAAACAAGTCGCCAACGTGAAGCAGAAGATTGGCTCAAAAGAGAATATTTACTCTGCGTGAAGATATATGGGCCAGCACATCCATTCACTGTGTCATACTGCTCGATGGTTGGAAAATGCTTGTGGGAGCAGCGGCGACACCATGAGGCGAGACGATTCTTCGGGAATGTGATTGAAATTCTAGCGTCAAGTGATGATTACAATGAATCTCACGCTGCTTGCATCCGATGGGTCGACAGTTGTAAATTGAAAGCAGAAGAGATGGTAAAGATGGAGGATTCGATGGAAATATGTTCGGGATCAGATGCTTCTGAGGAAGAGTGGCGGGACACTGATGAGGATGATGAGGATGATGAGGATGATGAGGATGATGAGGATGATGAGGATGATGAGGATGATGAGGATGATGAGGATGATGAGGATGATGAGGATGATGAGGATGATGAGGATGATGAGGATGATGAGGATGATGAGGATGATGAGGATGATGAGGATATTAACTTTGACCAGTTTTGTGACTTATGAACTTTGATGATGCTACGATAACATTGTTGGAAAGAGCGGGGTAATGAGTTGGGAGAAGTTGAGAGGGAAGGCTGCGAAGGCAGGATGGGGTTAGACGAAGGACTGAGCAAGGAAGCGAAGATTGGGGAGGGTATGGGTTTGATTGGGGCTGGAGCAAGATTGGTTAAGGTAGAGAAGGGATGCTTCCTAGAGTGAATTTTGAGGTTATTTCTTATCCACTCTCCTCTGTACTGCTTACCAGTGTATCACCTCTGTCAACGCTACTGTTTATCTAGGGGGTGATAGTATGGCTCTTTGACAAGTTGACGGAAACTTTGTTGGAACGAGACAGTATAACATTTTAGTTCAATAAACTAATTCGTAGGCTTCGAATTTGATGATGTACTTTCCACGGCTTGTCCAAAACTAAGTCTGTAACGAGACCGCTCCCACGTCAGGCCTGTTTTCAGGCCACACTTCACCCCGCATCCACCATAATTTTTTGAGTTAATCTTTGCTTCACAATCTTTGGCCTCCGCTGTAGAAATGCGTCGTGTGCATCGTTTCTCCTCTCTTGATGGGAAAATCGACTGACAGTTTCAGCCTTGGTTTTCATCTGGCGCTCTCTCTTGTTTCCCTCCGATATCTAATAATCATCTAACAAATCAATCTCGGACAAAAGTGAGACGAACCACTTTCTAATATCGCTAAGTATTTGTGACGTCGGAACCCGATCGAGCTTCGCGATGTGCAACAGACTCACACCTCGATTATGAAGCGCTTGGCTCCATTAGAGGAGACGAGTTGAGACTTGGCACTCATAACGACTTCTAGGGAGAATGAAAATCGTGTAAGACCGAACCGGAATCCGAGTAGAAACGGGGTTGGCTTCAAGGCTCTCTTATGTAACAAAGTAATATTGAATTTAACAGAACAGTACTGGAACTCCGACAGCGCGAAACTTAGACACGGCGAACATAATCCGGCGCGGTAGTGACTTGCGCTTGACGGATCTTCAGCCCGGAATGCGAAGCCGACAGACGTTTCCCTTCGGAGATCTTTTTACGACCAATATCGAATAGAACGAAAACAAAGCAGAAAGGAAAAACGGAATGCCCTGGTTTCAGCCCACGGCTCTATGACCTACTAGACTTGACGGTGCCGCGGTTTAGAATCCGAGGTTCGGATCCAACTACCCTCCCGTTTCAGTATCTCCTGTTTACAACAACCCTCGGATGCAACAAAAAGTCGCACGGCTAAATAACGAACTTCTCGTACCCGCTAAATGAGCAAGGACGACCTTCTGGGATCCGAATCCAGAGTCCGGAGTGTAAACAAGTGTTTTTGATGAAACCCGGACGAATGCCCGTTGTCCTCGTTGCGTGTAAGACAAACCTGGTGTCCAAATTTTTGCTCAGTAATAGGAAACGGGAAGGCGAACTGCTTTGAATTAAAATCGTGACTGACCAACCCGTTTCAGGCGCTCTTATGGGACAATGAGCTTCTGTTCCATGCCAAGCCGCGGCGATGTGTAACAAAAGGAGGAGATGGTTGGTTGGTGGCTTACAACACAATGCATATTATTGACAGTCTAACACACGCCTCAGCTAATACCAAAATATAGAGCCAAGAATATAATCATTAGTCAACAGGCTCAACTCAATCCTTCATGCTCAACTCAATTCTTCATGCTCAACCCCTCCATCCCCTTCTCCACGGTTTCAACAGAGTCCCTGTTCGGCCTCACAGTACTGGCAACACTGGGCGCCCCACTACTCGTCCTCTTCTCCCTAATCTTTTTCAATGCCCTCGTCGCTTCGCCCTCCAAGATTTCCCCTCCTTTCCCCTTTCCAAACCCGTCTTCACCAACCACCTTCCCAAGTCTAATGACTTCAATGTCATCGGAAATAAATCTCGGCTCACCTGGTATGCCCGCCAGAGGAGTCTTCTCTATCAGGCCCGGCAGCATCCCCCCACCACCGTACCCGCTGTCTCGGAACAGCAGCCCTTCTTCGCCATTGACCGGTGTCCGCATGGCTCCAAAATCAGCGCCTTCGTTATCGTCTTCCTCGCTGTGATACGATTTCTCGGGGGCTGTTTTTGGCCTGGGTGAACTGAGATCTCCAAGCCCGGCGACGATATAAATAGGTTGCGTTTGGCCGGTTGCCGTTTCGAACATAGGCGGGTGGCGCCAGACGTACTCGGTTTTGGGATGCCCTTCTTTGGTGATGTATTCTTTCTTGCTGGAAAGAGTGGGCTCGAGGGTATTCTTCGTCGTTGAGAACTTGGGCGTGTGTGTTGATGTGCGAGAATTTACTCTTGAGGGATTTGTTCCCGACTCACCGCGAGTATACCCGATGATTGGTCCATCTGCACTGTCCTCGACATCGAAATGTGCAAGGGAAGCTTGATAGTTGCTTGAGGTGAGAGATTGGGAGCGATTGCGTGAGCGGGTAGTTGAAGCCTTTCTATGGAGCGCAGACCCATGATCCCCCATTCCCATTCTCGTTTGGACAATTTCCCAATTCCGGCTTGGGCTTCCATTCGAGGTTCGTCCAGGTACCATGTGTTCGGGAATCTCGATGAGACCCTTTCCGTCCGCGCTCGGTACGTAATGCTTTGGAGGTAGGATTTCGGTTTCTATCACGGGGAGTATGCGGTGGAAGACGTCGTGAGTGTGGATTTCTCTTGTAATTCTTTCTTCGCGGATCTCGTGGCGGGTAGGTAGAATTTTCTCGTGGATGACGGCTATTGAACCATATTAGCAGCCGACTTGCTAATACTTTGATTCGCAGAAAGGAAAACTGTGAACGTTGGAGATGGGAGAGGCCGGTCCTCAGGTGGAAATGAGGGAGGCTCTTGTCACCCTGGAGGATGAACATTAAGTGGCGATGGGAGATTTGACGGGCGCCATGAAGAGCGCGACGGTAGAGACAAGGGGCGTGATACATTGGACTGGGGACGCATATTGGAGAAAGCTGGAATTGGGGGAGCATCTGTACCAGGCAAGGCTTTGATTGTTACGTCTCTGTCCACCGTGTTAGATAAATCGACCACGCCTTCCAGACTAGGTGGTTCCCGGGCCCCTTCGACAATCATTCCTTGTTTCTTGGTTGCTGTACCAGGAGGCTGTCCTCGTGTGGCAGATTGATTGTCAGCTTGGAAGTCCTGGCGGCTTTGGCTGGGCAAAGCAGAGTAGGTTGCCGATCCGCTCCTCGAGTGTGTGCCTCCGATTGTAACGGAAGTCTGGCTTGCTTCTGACATTGTACGCCTCCGATCCTTCAGAGAAGAGGGATTCGCCGAGGACCTTTGTTGACTTGGGATTGGAACAGTAAGTCGGGAGATTGACATTGGAGGGGTTTTTTGGTTGTCCTTTGTCAGTGTTCGTGCCCGTCCTCGAGTAGGGATGGGAGGTGTTGATGTTATTGGAACAAACAGTTGGTGGCCAGTGTCCTCAGGTTCTTCGTCTATGGAAGCTGAGGTGGAAAATGGTGACAAGTTCCTGACTCTGTGGTCATGTACGCTATTGGGGGGAGGAAGCCAATCGTCGTTCTGACATCTGTTAGCGGAATATGTCACCGCAGAAGTCGAGTCGATCCGGGGCTGGTAGACCGACACAGGTCTAGACGCGGACGAATTGATCTGAGATGAACGGGTGGAATTTGCCTTCGTCTGATTTCGAGGAGAATGGATGTCGTCACTTGCAGTGTGCTCGTGGGCTAGAACATCGCTCCTCGCAGAAGCGGCTTGGGAAGCAGGCACTCCTTCTTTATTATGCCCCTTCTGTGATACGTAAACAGATTTCCGGTAGCTGAACTCGGGGGAGTTCAAATCAAATGCTGCAAGGTTGCGATCCGCCACATCTTCTCCGTAGTTTCGAACGCCGGATGCTTTCGCCCGGTCTCTTGACACATCCCGAGACGGTCTTATGTTGGAATGCGCATCCAGCAGATCGACATAGGATTTGTGTGATATATGTGACGCGTTGCGTAGATGCAGGGCGGATGGAGGTGTGAAGGTATTGGGGGCACCTGCCTCTGCAGGCTTGGAAGCTTTCGTCGGCTGGTATGCTCTGATCTCTCGTGGGTTTGGCGCAGAAGATTTGGAAATTGGGGCAGGTACAAGAGGAGGAGGAGGTTCGACAGTTGATCGAATGGAATTTCGTTGGCTCGAGTTGAAGAAGTTGGGAGGTGATTTCATCGAAAACCCGGACCGTGTCCTCCCATGCGTGTTATTATTGCTCCCAAAAGTGTAACCTCCTCCTGGCTTGCCATTATGGGGAGCAGTTCGCGGTCTTTCAAGTATATCTTCTCGAAATCGAGGGACACTTGGTGCTGCTGCTCTCGTGCTTGCAGCTGACTGTCGCCTCGAGGCATCTCTCTTCGAACGCGATCGCTGAAGCTCTTCCAGGACGTTGGGCCCATTGCCAGCAATGGGGTACGATCCCTTGACTGGCGGATCTAACGCAACAGCAGAATCATAGGATCTGCCCTTGACGTTCGGATTGCTGGATGATGTGGATGAGGATTTCCCAAAGAGAAGTCTGTTGAGTCGTGACCCCATCGCGGCTTTCTTCAGGGGTGAGACACCCTGCAGTCAGGCCAGCCAGGGTCTGCCGCAGCCGAGAGCGGGGGATCTAAATTTCATGATGGCATGACGATGGTTTCTTTGTTTTGATTCCCAACAGTGGTTTCCACGGACGTCAGACCGCATCCGAGGGTCTACGATGTATCCCCCTTTTCGCCTTGGTTGCGCGATTAGGGCAATTTCCCCGGGAGGCTGAATCCCAAACCTTTTCCGGGAGCGTGCTGGGGTTAGTGTTTGCTGGCCGTGTCTATCACGGCAAGTCAAGATTTTCGAGCGGCTTGCTGGGTGGGGAGCCCAGCACACTTCACTTGTTCTGGCTTGGTACTTAGCCATGACGGGCTACTGAAAAGTGGAGATGGTAGTTGAAAGAACGACTGGGAACATCCAATGAGAGTCGCGTTGATGTCGGCGAGATGTCATCTCCACACGCGTGCGCATCCTCTCTGGTCCTCAACTGACGTCTCCCGGCTCTAGAGCTCACACTGAACGTGTCCATCTGCCCTGATCGTTTCCATATCCTCATGGCATCGTTGAGAAGCCGAATTAAACCGAATTCTTTATTGGGCGCGGCTCCGTACTCACATCAAATCTTGTGTCCGGTTGTGGCGTCGACTGTGGCTATTTGGTGGAAAGTGGCCACGAAGAGCTTTACAGCCCGCTTCACATTCGGGTTTTTGAGCAAGTTAGTACAGATCTGCATCTGCTTGTAAAGCTCAAGTGCTTGAGCATCAAGGGAGCTCTTGGGTCTTGACTCTGGACGGTCCAGGCCGTGTCCTCCTGTTCCCCTGATTCGGAAGGGAGCCAGTGAAGAAACTATGATGCAATCACTTCCCCTCACATCATGCAAATTCAGATGGCCGAAGTGGCAAATTTCAGAATACCATCCCACAGGATCGATATCTACAGCGGTAACTTCGATTTGTGAGTTGAGGTGTGGAAAATCCTTGCTGGACTAATCGATTTGGTTCTGATCTCAATGATTTGTTGCCACCATGGAGGACGCACATCGCCAGAATCCTCGAGTCGATCGTCTCCCGCTCTCAGCTTCCTTGAGCGCGAAGATGAAGTGGCTCTGCAAGAAGATTGACTTTCATATCCAGCGACCCTTGCTGAAGATCGATGCTCGTGCAGCGCTTGTCATGCAAAACATTAGAGATCGCTCTGCTGGAACCAGCCGTTTGGGAGTCGTCGGTGCAACCCTCGGTCTAGACCTGCTATGCGCCCTCGCTCCAGGCGAGGAAGAAAGTTTTTCGCCTTCTGTACGAGCGGGCGCGCCGAGTAATGAGCCCAATTCAGACTCGTCGAAAGAGTCCTTACCTACTGTACGGAGTTGCCTCCGTGTATGAACTTCGTCCTGCTCGGAACCGAGCCAGACATTATCAACATTTTCACGTGAGGAAGTTCTGTCCCACATTTCAACCTTTTGATTCAACTTTGCACAGCCCCTTTGATATCACCGTTTCCTAAACCCAAGGGTCTTCTCCCACGCTTTCGTTATACGGATCTCCTGCAACTCCACGGAAACTAATGGCCGAGGTCAGGACATTTCTCTTGTTTACAGGATGCGCCAACTCAAGTTAGTGCTCGGCAACTCCTATCAACCAGCCGTCATTGATGATGTAGTCTGCTGCAGCCCACCGTTAGTGAGGGGCTATAGACTCATACATAACTTCGCATCTATATTTCTGAACCCTCTACATTATATCATTCAGTCCTTCATCCTCCATTTGCACTCTTCATACTCAATCCTCAACATCCCCAGGCCTTACTTTCAGAAATATAACACATTGATCAAAATGGAAAAGGCAAAGGCAGCAGTTGGTAACTTCCTTTCGAAGGACGGAAAGCACGACACTACTGTCCATGAAGTAATTTCACACACCTCCTGTCTCCACCACATTTCTAATTATGCTCCCAGACGGTCAACCCTGCAGTTCAGCACGAGAAAATCACCCCCACTCGACAAGAGAATGTGACCACTGCCGTCGACCGCGAGGTTCACCAAGACCACTACCACACCTCCGTCCAACCCATTCAAGACCGCGAGGTCCTCCCAGAACAACATAGCCACCAAATGGCCGGCGTGGAGCACCGCAACGTCAAGCACGGTAACGACCAACACGTGAAAGACCGTCTGGCAGCCGAGCAGGCGCAATTCAAGAACACCCGCGAAGTCGGTTCCACCCAACACTCAGCAGCAACAAATGCAAGTGTGGCAGGAGAGCACGTGCACCACCACGTGCACGAAAACATCCAGCCTGTTGTGCAGAAGGAGACTATCCAACCCTCCGTCGTCCACACAACCGTCCCTATTCACGAAGTGCACCAGAACGAGGCCAAGCACCACACTGCCACGTCCCTCCCTGCTGTTACTATGGATGAGTTCAAGCGACAAGGCGGACACCTCTCTGGTCGCGAGGAGCGCACTGATGCTTTCGGTGGCGAGCCACGCTCAGTTGGAGGTACTCTCGGCGGCGCAGGTGCCAAGGGAACTACCTCGTTGACTGAGGACGACTCGACCAGAAATGGACACCACCACAATGAGCACCTCGGAAGCATTGGCGCTACAGGTGCCCGCGCAGGAACTGGTGGCATTTCTTCCAACTCTCACGATACGGCCGGCAAGAAGCCAAGCCTGATGGATAAATTGAACCCGAAGAAGGATGCTGACCGTGATGGGAAGGCTGGCATCATGGACTAGAAGAATCATTGAACGTTGGATCTTGTTTACATACCTGTACAAAAAGACGTATTGCATGGCGCCACGGCAGAATAAACATGGCCGTAAAGGGTTCCGTCAGCCATCTTTCGTGTTCTACGATGACCTGTGAGCTGCGTTGTTCGAGTGCTAAGTCGGCTTGCTCATCAATATTTACTTAATATTGAGAACCTATGTAGAGTGCCAAACAACTTTGTTGGGTCTCATCAGTCCCACCACGTTTTGTACGCTTTCTTAAATTCTTATCCGTCGTGTTATTTTGATGACTGTTGAGCTGAAGTGTCTCATGTAATTTGCGATATTGCGATTTCAAGTCATGAAGTCATTGACAAACAACGTCGTCATACGTCTCCGACAGTTCCACTTAACCATCGTCAACGGAAACATGCGACGCAGCTCAGTGATGCATTGGTAGATTCGTGAAGTGTGTTCTAGACTTCTTCCGACAAAAAACTCAGGCCCTGTCGAACTTTCGTCAGGGGTCAGGCATAGAAAAGGGGCTCGTTTGTGTCACGTGAAACCCCGGATTTGAGTTAAGGGGACACGATATCATGAATCTTATATGCAACAATATGAAAGCTCCTCGAGGTGATTTCATCTCACAGTCCGCAGGGGCGTATTTGAAAGGCTAAATCGCATATACATGGGGACACAATAAGCTTCTTTCCTGCCAGGGGGTGCCGCACATGCCCATGCTCCTTCCCCGCATAACGTTAAACAACCCCGACAGATATAGGAGAGACATCCTCGGATTCCAGCCGGCAGTTATTATTGAATTAGTGTTATCAGCAGGTAAAGCAAATCTCACTCGGTAGTGCATTTGGTCCATATCTGTTGGCCCGCGTTTCGGCCAGCAAAATACCACAGCCAGTGTAATCATACGATGGAGAGATGCCCCCACTTCATTTACTCGGATCGGACTGGTCAAGATTGGTTCGAAGGAAGACAAGATTTGCGACTGTCCCAACCAAAACAAGATTCGTGGCAAATATCCCAACTCGTTTGTTGATCTCGTTATGGCACGTCGCGATGCATTGGCCACTTGACGTTGTGGATGATGAAAATGCGAATTCATCCCAATAAACTATTACCTAAGGTGAGATATAATGAGTGGCTAAGAACATAACTTTCTTCTTTCCTCCTTCTAGATCAAGACCCATCAAAGCAGTATCTTCAAGATGGGACTTCTACTCTCCTTCCCCTTTCTCGTACTCGGTAGTACTATCCTGCCACCATGGACACCAGCTCTCACCAAAATCGGTTTCTGATGGAACAAGATTTCGGGTATGAAAAGACTCACGGGCTCACGTGTATTAATTGAAATTATAGTTTGACGGCCTCATCCTAACGGACATCTACCAAACACCGCGCGTGCCCAACAGCAGGGCGTTTCTAGGTTGGTACAGGTGGTAAGTGTGGGTTGACGAGACAGCATTGAGGTCAGAATGCAACTATACTGGTCCAATTCCAGTATGTCTGCCCTCCCATTATCTGATGTCTCCACCACTAAATACTAGACCATACTGGGACTGGAGCAAATACGCTGCGTCTCCCCATACTTCCCCTTTATTCAACAGAGATGAATACTCCATGATTGTAACGGCAAGATGGTTGCTAATAATTATGGAGCGATGGGTGGCTTCATCCCTCCTGGACTCGGAGGCGGATGTGTCAAAACTGGGCCGTTCAAAAACAAAACTGCGAATCTTGGTCCAATCGGTATCAACCTGCAGGCCCCTCTGATGGCCTCGGATATAACCCCAGGCGCTCAAAGAGAGATGTTGGGCCTGCTTTTGCGACGCAGAAAACGAATTATACTTCCGTCATGGGTAAGTTGGATTGGTATGTAATTATATGAAGGGAGGAGAACACTAATTATGGAAATAGCGGCCATAAATATGACGAATATCGCGAACTTCCAGTTTCTTGTTCAGAGTGGAGGTGCGGCACCGAATGGGCCGATGGATGTCCACGGAGGCGGACGTTACACCATCTCGTTTGTTCCCTCCCCCTTCCTTGCGACTTTGCTAACCCTACGTAGCGGTGATCCGGGAGGAGGCTTTTATGTGCCCCCTGGCGATCCTGCTTTCTATCTTTATCACGGACAAATTGATCGTCTATGGACTATTTGGCAAATGCAAAACTCAACACGACAGTATGCTATTGCTGGCACCAACACGATGAACAATTAGCAAATACGCAGCTGACGGATGAGATGCATGCGGGGTGCGCAGGTGGGCCAAATGTGATTGTGCATGATACCATGAGCACTATCAGAGAATCGTTCTGTTTCGTTTATGCGAGGTCTCCGCTCTCTTAGCCAGCTCTAGGGTTGTGAATGCAATCTCATGTACTAGTAAAGTAAGTCACATGTCCAATTGCACTGCTATTGCACAACATGGTGGCATCGGGGTTTGCCTTGTGGTTAGATAATACGCACCCTGAACAGGGCGACTTAATCGCTGGTAGTCAAAGCCTCGTCGAATCCATCTACGTCCTTTAAAACCCAGCAAACCGGGATCTCGATCCGACCAAATTTACAACTTGTCTCCATGTTCCTGCTTCTGCTTTTAGTTTTCGGTAAGTTGGTTCGATTTTGGGTTGCACAACGCAATTTCATGAGATCATTTTGTGTGAACTGAAGAACATGTCTTATAGTAACTGAAACTTCCAACTCAATCCGGCGGTAACACCCTACGGTTACTATGCACAATGAACGAAGGCTGGATTAGCCTGATTTTGCGCTGTTCGATGTCTCAGATCCACCACCATGTCGCGTTACCTCTAATGGAATAAGACGTGGAAAACTTAGAGTCTTGGCCGGGGAAAGCAGAAAAGTCAATCACCAGCATACACAGTCTCAAGTATTGTCAGCTCCAATTACTGTCAACCCAGTGCTGTTGATATTAAGGGACCTAGAATTTGCGGAGCTGAAAAATCGAATACAGGCTTGCCCAGGGTTATATGCCCAGAACTCAAAGACAGCCAATTCGTCTCATTCTCCGATTCCTCCCCAGAGTGAGAACCGCCGAACGGTTGGCAGACCTGCCTCCGAGCTACTTACCCAAGGATGAATTCACTCCACTCTTTCTCGCCGCCACAAGAGTGCGAGAATGCCTCCTTAAACACCTTTCCCAGTCCCGCCCGCTGAGCAATCCCCTCGTCATCCTCGACAATGAGGTAAACGTAGAACAAATCCCAAGCAGAAAGCTCTCTTTCCTTCGGGAGATAGAAGTTCCACGTGCCATACTCATCAGGCGAGAAGTTCATGGCATCGGAGATGGCGATAAACTTGTGAGCTGGTTCCTTCTTGATCCTGGCATTCCAATCATATCTCAGCACTATGGAGCCGCACCAGTCGCCTTTATTGTCTAGAATATCAAAACGGCAGAGGCCATGGCCTAGCTTTGCTTTATTGTTGTCGTCGTGTGAGAGGTAGAAATGCGCAGACCACGTCCAGAATTGAAGGAACTTTAGATCGTAATGCAACGGATCGTGCTTGCCTTCAGAGTCTGCTTTCTCAATTGTGTAAGGAAAGTCAGGAAGCGTCTTCTGAAATTCTGTACCGTCTTTATGAGGATATCGCTTGACTCGACCATACATATCGCGTGAGCCAGTCCCAACACTCGTCTCGGCAGTATTCGAAGCGGAGGGTGGCTTCCTAACGAGCCGCAATCGACCTCGACTGTCTCGAATATACCAGATAATCCACGTGCGGCGGAGAAACCACTCATTCATCTCATAGTGGTACAATGGGCAAACTGTGTGTGGGTAGTGCATAGTTCCAAGCCAGCCACTCCAGGACCAGCTCGGAAACGAAGATCCACTCCATGTCCAGCTCGGAGACAAAGATTCTTGTTTCATTTTTTCCGCTTTGGAATCCCTCTTCCTGTGTTTTTTATGTGGTAACCTTCTTGCCGGATGCTGGCGTGGATCCCATAACAATGCCCAGTCAAAATACACGTCCGGCATTCCATATACAAAGTGTGCGTCCATGCCCTTGCTAAGAACGTTACATATTCCGCTGAATGCTGCGAGTATGTCGTTTGTATGCAGCGAATCTAGCTTGCACGCTGTGTATTTCTCGACAACTTTAGCGTATGTTTGTAGAGGGCGCTCGTCTAGAGAAGATAACATTTGTTGGGGGCTTTTCGAAAGTTCAATCGACCAGCCTGCAGCAGGGGAGTCCGACCAAATGCCCTCTGACATGGCCGTACTACGACATTGGAAGAACACCTGCCCTTGAGCGAAGATCAAGCAGCGTGTGGATAAAACGCGCTCTTGAAAAGTCCATCCCCGTGTGCTCCATCTCGTTTTCTGCACATAAATCTCTGTGAGCTGGGACACCATCAATCGAACACCCGGAGCGTACTCCTCTATTCGCTGTTTCAGGCGTTGTGGAACTTGAATCTTCTCTTCGGCGTTTCTCATCGAGCGATGCAATGCTACCAAACCAGCAGTTGCATCCGGGTTATCAGCTGCACAGAGCGTAAAGTGCGAATTCCCGTATATCTGATCCATCATATTCAAGTTCAGCCATAGCGAGTCCCTGCTGTCTTGTACAATGCAAAGCGAGTCGACCCAGATATATCTCAAACCCAGATATCGAACAAGCTCGATTGCTTCTTTCACCGCTCTCGGAATGTGATCCATGTATTTCAGAACACCATTAGGTTCTTGGAGGCTCTTTATATGAGCCTTCGTAGTAGCAAATACTGCTGCTTTTCCCCACGTGTAGCTCAACGCTACATATATTGAATCCCGAGGTAGTGACGTGAGCTTCATGTCTTGGACATCCACGACGCCGAAATAAGGTCGCAGTCGCATATCTTCGACGCTAGCATCACCATAATTACCACAATTGTGATTATGATGCGAATGGCACACATCTATCCAGCCTTTCACCAAAGGTAGAACGTCAATCGGAGAACCATCACTCTCAAACTTAAGTTCTCTTCCTAGGAACAAATTCCTTTTATAGCCGGCTTCCGGCCCAGCAACCAGAACAATATAAGAGTCTTGAATGTCAGTATTTGACCAACGAAGACGAATACGCCTTGTTCGCGCCATTGTCTCGCTGTTATTATTATCGATCTCATGCCCATCTAGCTGCCAACTTGCAAAGCAAGCGAGATTTGGATGTGAACGTCCATCGCTCAAGTCGAATTCAGCTTGCTCCTGCGCCGCGTACAGGACAAGTTTACAGAATGGGCATTTATAGCTTCGTTTCTGAATCTCTGTCAGCATTCCAAGTTTAAGTTTTCCGCGTATAGACTGCGGTCCCAAATTTTGATAGCCCTCTACATATCGGGCCTTGCTTAATGGCGAGGTATCTGCAACTTTGAGGATTGGGTCCTGGTTTACAACAAATTTGTCGGCCGTCAAGTTCATTGAGGCACAGATCCCGCACAAGACTCTACTTGCTCCCCAAGCAATTTCGGACAGGTACTTCGCTATGTTCTTGATCTAGTAGCGGTAAGACAATTTTGATTGTTAGTGGGGAAGGGTATGACAATCTATACCTGATTATCTTTCTTTATGATTTCTGCCACTCGGAACCAATTTGCCCTAGCCTATCATGAATTTAGCATGTTGCTGCTTACGAGGTGGTTGGAAGACGCACCCGCAATTTCTTGACTATTTGGGAATCGGGTCCAGCCTGAGTCTTGGGAGGGGAAGTAGCCTCTATTTCTAAAGGTAGATTCGAATTTCGCAGAGGGCTTCCAGGATTGGCGGGAGAAAGGTGTTGAATTGGTAATGTCGCGTTTTCTGGATGAGATATGTTGCGCGTGCTATTTGGCTCTGGAAATTCAGTGGTACTCGAACTCTTTCCTTTTTCAACAAGCTGAGAGAAGGGCCGAATTCGCCGATCGTCTTCCGCCCCTCCAGTCAAAGTCCTGGTTCTCTTCACCGAGGCGCCAGGTGGAATCTGGATCTGTGAAGCAGCGTCCGTTGGCCGACTGATGTTCTCCGCCGGGGGCTGGTAGTCAACAGCTGGTAAGATGTCACCTTTAGCAACCAGTTCTACCTGTCGGCGTTCGACATCTGCTTTGGAAGGGCGGCCACGCTTTTTGGCAGGAGGTAAGTCACTGCTAATAGAGGGTGATCCCAAAGGAGGAGGCGGTAGAATGATTTGAAAGGGTTGATTTTGGCCCGTTACTGCTTTAGTTGTGTGCGTCTCCAAAGTCCTGGATGGCGAGAAGCGGCTCTTGGGACTGGGCTTGGAACATGAAAGACCTTTTTGCAAACACCGATGGCACTTTACTTGAAGCGTATCATTCCATTCACGCTCGGCAGGAGTACACTATAAATGTTAGCTACAAAGCATTATCCTCTCATCAGAAATCATCTAACGGACCGCTTGCTTAGACTGTCTGCAAGAGTCACATTTATAGCGATTCAAAACCCTGGGCTTTGAAGACTTGTTCGGTGGCACTCGCTCTGAGGCGCAAATTTGCCCAAGATTCTTGCACCGAACACAATCACCTTCGCCTTCCTTAGTACACTACCGACAGTCAGTGGAATCCAGGATCTTTTAGTACTATCGATGATATACTTCAAGTCCATCTGCAGTACACCTTGCGCAGCCCTTTTGGGCTGAACGGCCGTCGTCCATGCGATCCTCCGATTCTTCCACAGACGGCATTTCTCGGTCCCCAGGTGACTGCTTGGAGCGTGCACCACCATCGCCATCGCCGCCGCGATCAAGCTCCATGATTGACGTTGAAATTCGAGGTATGTAAGACTGCAAAACTGGAATCGAAGACGCAGTTTCTTGTCGCAACTGTAGAGGATGCATACAAACCGGGCGTGAGATGGCTGTCTCGCAAGGCTCCCGCACCTGGCAGATTTTTATTACGCAGCAGTTTCCACAACAAACATGCTTTTTCATGCGTGTTGGCGCGGACCAAGGCTTCTCACTGGTCAAGTGGCCTGCAGGCGAAACTCATCTTAGAAGCGGACCATTCAGGAAGAATTAAGACAATTAGCCCAGCCGAATAAAGGAGTATCACAGTCTTCTCCTCCTTATTGGTTCTTTACGTCGCACCACATGTCTTAGATCCAAGTCAGGTGACTCAGGCTTTCCAAGAGGGGGAAAACGAACTTGGAATGTCGCTGGTGCGCAATTGAGAGTGCGGTAATAAATCTGCGCACTTGCAGGAAAAAGAAAGGGACAACAGGACATTATCGTCATGTGACTCGTCGTCCTTTGGGGCTTCCACTGCAAGAGATTTTGTGCAACCCCCCAGCAAACACTCGAACTGCTGACGGACGCGACGAATTGAATTCTGCGTCAAGTGCGGCGCTCTCCGTGGGGGATCAAAAAGGCCAATATCAACAAAAGGTTGGCCATCCGCTTGCAGCGACTCGCAAAAATAGAAGCGGCAGTACGCAACCTGTCAATCCACGAACCTGATATCACGACCTCGGAAGAGCGGGCAGCACTGTGTTGGTTCGATTTCCTACGGGCACATGTCACTATTTTACGTCCTTCTGGCCGAGCAAGCATCCAAGTTGCCTGTTGTTGAAACCAAATTGTATTCTCGCAGTGCGCAAGCGGACGGCAGGGCGGAGTTGGGCCAGCGCACTTGATAAAGACGAAATGGCCCATTTAGGCAGGTGGTCGGTCGCGACCTTTGTGGGACCGAATCGTGGCCAACCAAGTCACGATAGTACGGGAAAGCAAGCCCCGCCGCCATTTCTTTTGTTCTTTTGCATAAGATGCTGTGTCGCAATGTGCGGTGAATAATCTCATCACATTTCCCTGAATTCTGCATTTAACCCGCGCAAGAGGGACCCAATGGCCTGAAGTGCGAGCGCGTAGGGACACGGGGATGGTTCTTACTGGTTCATCTGTAACGAGTACTTGCAGGATCGCACTGCTTCTTCAAGGATCTTTGAAGACACGGTACCCTCCTGAAATCCGAAGCAAGTGCGAACTTGCAACGCTGGCATGAGCTCACTGGCTACATGGAAGCGCACTTCCGCACACCAATAGCCCGCCGCCGCCTTGCACCTTTGAGGCTTTTCCTATCCAGCTGCCCTTTTCTTTGCGGTCGGGTCCTCCGAGAGTCCGAGGAGGCGGCTCTGCTCGCAAGATCAGCAGCAACAGGAGTAATGTACCGCATCCGAATTTATCCAATTTCTCCTTGCTTCGTTTCAAAATTTGCAAGGTTCGGCGTTTTCTCGAATCACATTTCAAGTGCGCACCATTCTCCCATTGAATGTTTGGATACTGACTAATTGTGTACTCCAGGACCAAGATTGAAGATCGAGACTCGAGGGCTATAACCTGAATGAGAGCGAGTGGGTTGCTTTCATTTCTCGAACCACGAGATTTATTACAAGTGCGCGCTCTTGACAGTAGGAGACTTTAGTGGAAGCAAGCGTCAAAGTTGGCTAGTCGGATGTTCTCCCGCCCACCTCGACGCCTCTTTCTGGAAGTCCGCTATTCGGCCTCCGCCCCATTCTAAAACTCGAAGAAAGCACATTCAAATCATCTGATCACCCCACTAAGAGAGCTGCACCCGTTTCTTTAATTTCAAGATCAGGCACAGTAGAGGATGAAATGCAGAAATCAACGCAAATTGATAAGTGTGAACCCCCTCCACATGAAGGGGAAGAATTTTTTTGTTTGGGAATTTTGAGCCGCAAGAGCAGTTTTTGGAAGATCTGTACCTGTCACAAGGGCATTATTTAAGAAGTCGATCAAAAATTGCATATTATCGGCTGATAATGAAACATGCCAGCGCAAGAAGTGTAAAATTACAATGGCAGGGTTACATGCAAGTTCTCTAATTCTGATTCCTCAAGATGTCTCTGTCACAAGCGTGCTCGAGGCCATGATAATGGGGGGGGTTAACATTATAGGTTGTGGGAATGGTTTGCAGCTCTGCAGCACGCGGAGATTCCTCCAGTGAAGTACTTCAGCTGTCCCATCCACATGCAAACATGCCTACACGCACCGATCCGAGGTCCCGAGGAAGAGTCCTCGCATGTCAATCGTCTGGATCGCATGCATTGCATTTCCCGGCTTTCAGTGAAGCTTTGTACTACCGACTGAGGGTTCGAAACGCAATGTCTCAATGGTCGGAGCAGGGATCGCACTGGGCCACAGGGGGCTTTGGATTTTTGACACGAGTCAAGGAAAGTTGGGCTGAAAAATGGGGCTGTTATTGGTGTATGAGGCAACCTCCAGTTCCTCGCACTGCATTGGTGATTATTACACTTGGAAGTGCGTCGCACTTCCAATTTTTATTTATCCTCTCTCCCCACATTTCTCTTCCCTTCCGCGCACGAACCAGTCTTACTTTGCTAAACCATTTTTGAGCTTTGGTGTATTACTGTCAAGCAGTATAAAAAGATGTCGTCTCAAGCAGATGTTTCAACAATGAATCGTTCCATTCACGAAGTCACCCCAGTCGCACTCTCGCCAGCCAGCTCAGGGAGACTCCTGATCATTCCCTGCGATGGTACAGTGCACCTTTCCAAAAACACACTTCCTGGGCATATTTCTAATGTGTTCATAGGCACTTGGGCCGATCGATGCTCTTCCTCCAAAGGCACTGTCGTCCAAGAGCTAATGTATTTAATTGCCGACCAAGAGGGCCAGAGGAAAGTCATCTTTTACCTTGATGGACTCGGCACCAGATCCAGTTGGCTCGGCAAGATGCTTAGAGGCAAGTCCCCCCAACGAAACTCACACTCTCGCATTTCATTAACGCCTCCAAGGTGCAACAGGACTCGGGCTTGCGCGCAATGTGATATCCGCTTACAGTAAGTTCATATTTCTTGCATCCCACATTACTGCTAATCTCTTCACATAGACAATCTCGTCGATAATTATCGTGTGGGAGACAAGATTGTTCTTATCGGGTATTCTCGAGGTTTGTTCCCGCCTTTTCCTCTCCAAACACAGGCGTACTAATTTTTCCAGGTTCCTACACAGCCAGAGCTCTCGCCGGCCTCCTCGCACGAATCGGGATCCCACGTAATGTGAATCAGAAAAGCCTCAAGAAGCTTTACAAGATGTATTTCAAGCAAGAATTGAAGCAACCCGGAGTTGCAGAGCGAGTGATGAACGAGTATAATTGTAACTATCATTGACGAAAGTGTGAACAATTTTGTAAACATAGCTAACATGATGCAAGGCCACCGAAATGTTCAGATAGAAGCCCTATGCTGCTTCGATACGGTGGGGGCTTTGGGGGTTCCCCTGTTCGGCCCCGCCCGCATCTTGCAGATCTTCCGTAGCAAACATCAATTTCATGACACGGATGTCACTCCAGGTAACTCCTTCCCATACATTTCGAACCAAACGCGAATGTGTAACAACGTTTGCTAACGTAATCCGAAACCCCAGAGGTCAAAGTCAATCTGCACGCATGTGCGACAAACGAAATCCGCGAACCGTTTGAACTAACACCCATGCATCTCCCCAACGGCAGCAATAACAAACTCCACCAGGTCTGGTTTCCAGGAACCCACGGAGACATCGGATGGGAAACCAAGACGGGACTCTCTGAGGCGCCTCTGGCATGGATGATCCAACAACTGCACACACTGGTCGGGATCCAATTCGACGCGTGCGCACTCCAGGCCCGCTTCCCAGCCTATGGCGCACAAGCCGGCAAAATCGCCGCCCCAGCCTGGCTGAAGAGTCAAACACACAAGCCTTCCCGCGCAGTCCTCCCATTTACGGGTCGCAAGGCTCGTGTTCCTGGTGCATATGATCGGCCGGGAATGGCGACGAATGAGCGCATTCATATTTCCGCTCGCCTGCGCAGTGGCAGCCTCCCGCTCGAGAAAGCCGTCCCTGGATACCGAGTACACCTCGACTCGGATGGCACTTATTATTGGATAAGGAAGCCAACGTCGGGGTTTTGGAAGTTGGGGTCGACGCCTGCGTTGCCGTCTGCAACCCAGACGAGGATTTACGAGGCAACACTTGGTGACCTTGAGGCAGCTCTTCTTGGGCTTACTTGCAGATGAGGACCAAGATGGGCAAGAAGAAAGAATGATGACTTTCCTTTGGTATACTATGTACTTAGCTAGGTGTTATCGGGCTGGGATATGATACCACAATGCGTTGACGAACTTATGAAGATCTAGTAAATTTATATTGTGATGAATCCATTTCAATCTGAATCAATCACCATTCCTAATTCTCAGAGTGCAGTCTAGCTTCAACTTACTATCAGACCGCAGCTGATGGGAGACCACTTAAATAACGATCAATGAGGGGAGAGTCCAAGAGAATTACATGAAGCCGAGTAGTGGCTTCGAGGGGACGCGGCACGTGACGCAACCATCATGCCACAGGACGATTACCCTCTGTCACTTCTGCAAAAGTAGTTGCACTGATTCCGGTAAACCCTAATAAAATATGCAGGTAGATGTACCAGGGGCCGCATTAGCAAGTGCAAATGCAAATAGTAAAAGCCAGATTTTCTCTCTTTAAGAGAGTATATTGCAATCTTGGGGGGTCCCGGCCCCCCCGAACCCCCCCAGATACAGAAGCGCGCAAGAGAGCGCATTCTTTTAATACCCTCAGAAGTAAGATAATAGTCTTTAATCTTAGGGGAAGACCCCCTAACCCTCCTTCCCTCCTAAGATGAGAAGAAAGTACGATAAGATAGGAATAGGCATTTAATCTTGGGGAGAGACCCCTCAAACCCCTTCCCCCTCCCCCTTAGTTTTCTTTATGTTTTTAATTTATAAATTACGTAATTGCGCCTTTTCGTAGTCACGTGAGTTTTTTGCCACACCAGCCCACTGCGTGTAACTAAAACTTTGCTTTGACAAGTCAAAATCTTACTTTTAATAAAGAAATAACCTAGAACAGTTTCCCCAAAGTATTGACGAGAAGTGCTGGGGCGACGAGTGCTAGTAGAGTGTGAAGCCGAGGAGTTCAGTTAAGCCATTTAAAGGATACTGTTAATCTTCATGAGTTGCTAATTTATTGAGCCATCAATTTTCACTTTTTGATAAGAGGTATAGCGGGAGGTTTTCGCGAGATTCTTGTGTAAAATTTATGCCTTAGTGACTGTTGACGGCGATGACTTATAAGCCACACTGACCAGTCTGTGACTAGCTAGACATTCTTGGGCGACTTCTTCGTCCATCTTATCGTAGTAAAGGCAAATGAGAGCTTTTTAGAGGTCACACCGTATCACTGCATTTCTCTATACCTGTTATCCCTTACCCGGTGCGCTATTATTTGGTGTAATACAATGTTGGTTGGTGGTCACTATAATAAATGGGGATTATGAGGCAACGAGGCGTGGACAAGACAGTGTAAAACACTTGATCAACCTCAAAGTCATACAACCTCACCCCAACCTTCAAACCCGCGTCCTCGAGCTCTCTTTATATTTATTATTTTGAAGATGGCAACGCAAGTAACTTCAACTATCCCCCTGTCCTGACTACAACTAGCCTCACTCTGCCAACCACTATCTTTACACCCCTAATTCTATGCCTATCTCAGCTCACAGCGACCATCGCGATATTAAATAATCAACCTACGCCCGATAACTACGACACGTATTTCTCGGCGGTATCCGCGGATCCGCCTTCGCCGTAAGCTCTTGCTACCCTCCATCCTGGGTTTCTGCACCTAAAGTCTTCTCCCTATATCCTATAATACGTCGGGAATTCATGTGAATGCTTTTGGCTCATTTCGTTGGCCGCAAACAGATTTCGTTTCGACACCAGCGAGCAGCAAGAATCCTTCCATATCTGGATCCACCAGTACTTCCATTTCCACCTCTTCAACACCGGCATCCACCCCACCGACGCCAAATCAAGTGACGGCGACTCCACCGCCGAAGGAGGGATCTCTTGCCACAGGAGGAAAAGTGGCAATCGTAGTTGCTGTCGCGGCTGCGAGTATGATCTTAGCTGCCCTCGCATCTTACGTCTTCCGCCGGTGACGTAAAGCAAGATAAAGGGCAAGACTTAAATGGAAGGCACGACTTCGAGATTTCCATAGCCAGAACTGAAGGATTCCCCTACGACATTGAGGCAATGGCATACAGTAGATGGATATGACCCCGAGAACGGAATTGCAAGGTAATGACCGTTTTGTGCATGGGGTCAAAGGGCGAATAGCTCGGAAATGCATTGCTAGGCAGTGTCCCGGAACATAGCATAATCGTTTACTCTGTTGACCCACCTAGGGCATGAATAATCTTCCTCCTCCTGTTCGTCCTCCGTCCCCCGTCCCCCGTCCCCTTATTTGTATACCCGCCCAACCAAACCTCCTCAGCATCCTCTCCCTCAAAGTGGCCCTCCATTATTTGCATACTCTTGGCCACTTTCGGGTCACTTCCTTGGTAGATGCGATCCATCCGTGAGGTCCATATTTCCTTGGATGGAATTCCAACAAGATAAGTCGAAGGAGGAAGACGGCGGTAGAACACCACTTTCTCCGGAATAGATCCAAGACCTCCGTCGATATTAGATATCCAGGCATGGATATCGCAAGTGTGTAACTTCTCCAGGCTGTAGAAAATAGCGAAGGATAATTCGAAAATCGGATCGAATTCATCGTCCTCGTCAACGAATAGACCAGGACCGTTAATCTCGAGGTAAAGCTCTTGTAGCGATTGTGGTAGCACTGTGATGAAGCCTAATATTTCCTGTTTTTGGCACAGTCAGAAAATGGGCATAGAAGAGAGATACATATACTTACAGGCTGGTAAGAAGGAAAATCGAGTTTCCCATGATTAGCATAAGGACCTGTCGACATATCCGCATCTCCAAGCCTCAAGAAATTGAGGCTCTTCCACGAAGCAAACAATTTCCCAATATCGGGAGAATAGTGTTCCTTGATATTTGTGATGGAGAGTCTCTCGATCTCACGAGTGGGACTAGCAAGTGGAGATGTAAGTTCCATTAGAAACTCGAGCCCGGTTATCCCCTGTTCTCCTTCGCTAGTACAATTCGTTTCCACCAAACTCAGTTCTGTCAAGTATGGCAGCGCTGCGCAGACTTCAAGAACGAATGTTGCTGTCTCTCGAATCATTGTACCATCCTTCATGGGGAGGAAAACTTATTCCAGGGTCGCACTATACTGAGCAACAAGATTGAGAATTACGAAGTAAAGCCTCAAGCTCACCTTGCTCATCGTCGTAGGCGTCCTTATATGTGAGGCCAAGATGTCGAAGTTTTGCGAGCGCTGGGGATTTAGGAGTTTCAATGTTCTCGTACTGCACCGTGCTACTTGCTGTGCGTTCTGAGATGGACCAAGCTGCGTGCCCCAATGATATGTCGAGTGATTCGAGGTCTGGACAAGTGCTTTGCACGACCTTGATGAGGAACTCAGCGGTTTGAGTGTGGCTCCTCTGATCGCCGTGTAGGTTGGGTGAGGCCCAATGTAGCCTCTTCAATGCCGTGAGAGCGGAACTCCAGATGTGTTCTTCTGGATTAATTCCTGTGATGGAGAGTTCTGTGAGCCAGGAATAGGACGGAAGGTTGGTGACAACTTCTATAGCGAGTGGGTTCTCTATGAACGAAGCTTTGATGAGGCATTTCATGTTTTGGGCGGCTTTGATGAGCATATCGGGCTTTGCTGGTCCTCTCTCCCTCGTTGCATCTAGCACGTACCCAATACCCCATGGGTGGAAATTTTTGAATGTGCGGACATGAGCGCCAATATCCGCTTTGCTACCCATAATTAGCTAGATAATCTTATTTTTGGGGCTGATAGATACAAAGCAATAGATGTCAACAGCTGAGCCTGCCTCCGTTCTGTTTTCTCATTTGCATCTTCATCCCCGCGCTCATCGAATGTAAGATCGATGTCCTTCCACAGTGCTGCGCGGGCAACTTCGCCAAAATCGCGACACACCAGACTGTAATTTCGAAGGTTTTCCAGACCGGGCGCTTGACACGATATGGTATGCTGAAAGATCTCTCTTGGGAGTGTATTGAAAGCCATTGGGCTGTGGGAACGAAGACGTATGAGTTGGATGAACTAGAAGACGTCTGGAATTTTCAATGCCCCCCCGCCCCCTTTTTTTGCAGATGTGCTATATTGGGGTTAGGGGAATTTCCCTATCGTCGTCGCTATGACCCCTATCCCTGCTGCACTAAATCCTGTTTTCAGGCATCTGACCCCTGATTCATGGGCTAGATGGTAGGCGAGCCTTCACTCATCATCGTTCCTCCTTGCCTAGAGAAACCGTCAACAAAGATGGCAGGTACCAATCGCAAAGTAAGTGAGTGCACAGGAAATCCGTCCTGGACTTGTATTATAGCCTTGTAATACTAAAGTAGAATCGCCGAAGGCTCAGGTAATTGTGAGCATCACGTGATGGTCTGACCCTGCTTGTCCTGTTGCAATGTTTTGGAGGTTGACGACTTGATTTCTCAGCTCACGCGGGGTAAGCACTCTATATATACATCCAGTATATAAACTACCGTGTACCAGCGTACACCTAGTTCCAACATGTCCGTATCCCTCAAATGAGTAGCAGGACGGCAAGTTGTATGTTTCTTCTCTCTCTTGTCGTATTCTCGAGATTGCATCACAGTCATATTTGAAATAAGAATGGCTTCTTTTACTCAAAACTCACATCAAACCGTGTTTCTAGCTTAGTTCGGACGGCCACTTCGTCTTGAATCTGTTGTGCTTTCAGGACTTCTCTGAAATATTATCTGCCGTATTGGTATCTGATCCAGCGCTTTCGGCATCTACCGTATAAATAACATGCTAGACATTGACGCTCCTGCCTTTACACCATTTGTGTGCATCGACTGTGCAATAAACGACAGCGAAAAGCATCGTTCCGCCATAAATTAGACAGGCTAGAAATGTCAGCAATAACTTAATCACTCAAGAGGATCACGTACTGTAATTCATAGTCAGATTATTGAGATTTGCCCCTTTTACTGCTATGACTATTTTTCGTCTGCTGGACTATTGTCAGTAGGCTCGGAGGATAATCGAATGACCTACAGCACATAGCAGGAGTAATAAAGAGCAGCCAAGCAACAGCCGTAGCAGTGGGGGTGGATGAAAAGAGAGACTATAAAGAAGGGTTGTGCTATAGAGAAAGGACTACTGTCAAAGGATTGGTTGTGGAACTGGGAAGACTTTGGTGGAGGGGGAATCAGGGCTTGGGTTGATAGAATACAGTGTCATATTCAGGAGATAATTAAGTGAAAAGGAGATAATGAATATATAGAAGGAAAGGGTAGTACAAAGTGGACAGCAAAGTGGGAGAATATGACAGATTTTGATGTGAATAATAATGTAGTCGAGGACTAAGTATGGAGGAAGACATCGAGTTTGTATAGGATCACTACTCAAAATGGATGCCAAGGAACATGGGGGGCCCTACAAGGCGTATGGGGGCCTGTCTAAAAGGGACTTTTGAGGTAAACCTTCGTATGAAGTATTGAGAAGCAAAGGAAGCGGCCGCATCTTCTGTCCAATCATGTAGAATTCTTCCACGGGTGCGATTTGTGTACGCAATTACGAGGATAATAGCGAACCCGAGATACAGTCCCAGTTGCCCAGTCAAAATGATCGCTCGAGGGCCAGCAATATGAGCATTTGAGCACTCCTCGCTTATTTGAAAGGGAGTGTCGTCTCCGCCCATGGTCTCTTTTTGGAGCAATTAGAGATGTAATGTGATCACACTTCACAACTCAATTGTTCAGAGGGTAGGCAGCATAAGAACGCTAATAACACGACGCAAGGCTTACAGAACAAGGAGGATCATGGCAATCTCTCACCTATCTTATAATACAGATTTCTTACAGTCGGTCTGATATAAGTAGTTTTTATATAAGTTTTCTAGTTATTCTTGAGTCGGATCAACTATATCACATAGGCTGGCCAAGTGTTTTGGCTCGGCCTGGTATAAATAATGGTATCCTATATATCTATTGAATGCGGTAGCATATTCACCCCACGTATCACCGGTTAGTTGTGTCTAGCCGCGGTCCATCCCGCACAACTTGGCGAACCTGTACCTTACTTAGCTGCACTAAATCCGAAAATACTCCACCAATTATTACAGAACAAGGAAACTCTAGTCGCATTAGGAAAATAGTGTGCACTTGAACCTGGACTATAAATGAAACAGTCAAGTAACTCTTCTTCAAGATATTCGATAAAGTCACAACTCATCTTTCTTTTGACCCTTTTTTTGCCCCATATCTCAATATCCTGACGTAAGTATTGAATCCGTCTTCAGCTAACTTGACTCCCCTCTCCCCCAACACTTCCCTACTTCAGTCCTCCACTCCTCTTCACAGCCAAAAACGTCAAGCTCCAAAGCTGCACAATATCACTCTCCGTTGGACTACTCCCCGGCGGCGGCGGCAACACCCCTAGATCAATGTAATTGAACTTCCCGCCTCCATAAGTCCAGCTCCAAACCTCGGTATTCAGGTGCGCAGAATTAGCTTCGATATTATCCCAAAGCATATTATATGCTGTCTTCACATTTCCATAAACAGCAGAGTCGGTGCAGAATGTTGGAGCGGGGGAGGAGCTGCAACGCGAGAGTTGCAGCTCCAGACCGCGGGCCATCATTGCTAGGGGCCAAGACCTAGATGTCGTTAGTGTGGATGACTGAGGGGAACGGGGGAGGCACACCAGACTACGGTGCCATGATATGCAGACGTTGTCCAATTGGCAGCGTAAATGGGATCGGCTCCATAAGCCGGATTCGCAACCAACATCCCGACATCTGTCATCAATCCCGCTGGGAATGTGAGTCGAATACTGTTTGCTGTAGCGTTCAAGAATGATGTTAACTGCGAGTCATTCGTACTGTTGAGCAGGAAAAGTCGGAAGCAGGTATCGGTGTTCATGACTTCGACTTTTGATAGATTGTTATTTCCGTCCAGAGCGAGCGAATAGAAAGTGACGTTTGAATCCAATGTGTCGGCTTGAGACTGGAGACCTGAATATCCGGAGCTGGTGGTGTAGGTTTGAAGGAGGGTTTTCGCGTCTGAAAGAGAGACGGAAACTTCGAAGAGTGAGAGCGTGGAGTCTTCCCAGACTTGGGCATATTCGTCCACCAGGGTTGAGTTGAAGTCGAGAATGCCGTTCGAGGACAGTGTAGCAATTGAGCGGAGTGCTGCTGGGACGAGAGCGGTGTTCACGTCAAATGGGATACGACCTCCGCCGATGCCGTAGGTGCTGTCTCGCCATTCTCCGACAATTTGATTGTCCTTCAGATGCATCAAGTTGTCGATTGTCTGATTGCCAGGTGCTACAAACGGGGCAGCTAGGGTGATGAGTTTGTTCGCATTGATTTGTGCCAGTTGCTTGTAGGTCAAGTTGGAATTGGCCGGGAAAACGCTCGCCATTGTTCTAGACTTGGTAAGCAATGTTTGATATTCCGATCGAGAAAGATATACCCCAAGAAATCAGACGCCCGCGTGGATCCATTTGCATTCTGAACGAGGTACCGTTCCATGATCACAGGAAGGTAATAATCAGAATCGATCTGCTTGTGTTAAACCCGGCCATATCTAGTTTGATGGCTCTCTTACCATCTTGTAGTCACATAGCAGAGCTGTATCAGTGATGTTATTTTGCAAATTTGTCCAAGTTGCGTAGTCGCTGTCACGTATTAGTGAAAATACACAGCACTGACTGATGTGACACTCACCCAATGGTCTCCTCGTGGCAAACGGATCCATCCGTTCTGTTGATTCGCTCCAGGACTCCGGCAATAACAGCCTCAATTGCACCTCCTTTCCCTTCACTCAGGACCGGCTCCAATAGTAAAGCAGCAATCATTGAGTCTCGACCAAAGTAAGTCAAGAATCTCCAGGCACCAGCTGTGAGCTTTGTGGTGTATGACAAAAACGAGAGCGCAGTCGTTTGCATCGGTGATTGAGTGATCAGATCAGCGGAAGCTGTACTCAGCACTTCTTCCGAGGTCAACTGCGTCAATTGCGGATAGTTGAATGATGCGTTAAAAGTGTAATTGCCAGCTGGGAACGTGACCGAAGTGTTGTCGAGCTTGACAGAACCCCTCGTTTGATTGATGCTCGTGAGGGACAGGGTCGTCGTCGTGATGTTATCGAACCAAAGTCGACTGATCTCAACACCGCCCGGAATGACTGAGTATTTCAATCCATCCTGAACATCGGTTCTGAGGAGACTGGGCCCTTCAGTGAAATCTCGAATCGTCCGTATGCTGCCCAGAATCGCAACTGCCAAGACGGCTGTGCTGTTGAATTCGAGGTGGGCACTAACTCCTACAGTTGCGTTTCCACCTTTGCTGTCATCATAGTAAGATCCTAGAGGCGAGCCAATCGAGGAATTGGCCATCTGAATACCCAATGTTCCATTGATGCCACTTTCAGGCTGGAAGTAAGTAACGATTCCGCTGTTGCCCGCAGGCCAAGCGACAACAACTCTTGGTGAAATGATGCTCAAGTTGCTATCTGGTCGAGGAGAAGTCACTACAACTTGTGATGCAGCGTGACAGTCTGAGTAGAAGTAGTTCTCATATGGTGGAGAGCTCAGATGCTGCGTCGTCGCTTCGGCTGTGCAAGTAGCTCCTGGCGGAGAGCTCGAAGTTGACGAGCTGGGGGCAGGAGGGTAGACTAAGTGCCCATTGTCACATCTGGATGCTTCAGAAAATGCACTGCTAAATTTTGATGGTACTCACGAGTACATGCTAGGGAGGTAACAGTCGGGACCGCATCTCAAGGTAGGTCCCTCGCTCAAGACTGGACACAGAAAATCCGTGTCATAGCAAGTATACTTGGAATCGTGAGTATAAATTCAGACAATTTCGAGAATGGCGTACCTTTGATGGATAGTAATAGGCCTTACCGCAAGGCTTCAAAGCCTTGTCCGCGGGGGTATTTGCCAAAACGGCACCGCACGGAAGAAGTGCAAGCACAAGCTGTCCGATTCTTCTTGCCATAGCGTGGAACTGTACGTATCTACCGAGCTCGGCAATTACTCGTGTCCCATATACATCCCCCAGGGGCCCATAGCCTTGATATAGCCTTCGGATGATGGCTACTGGCTGACAGGCCGCGATTTCTGAGTCCCACGTCATTGAAGCGGAAGAGCGGGCGATTCCTGATCTTCACCCGCCATTGCCAAGCCGAGCCATCACTCGACATCTCTGACTTGCTCGCAGGTTCCAAGAGAAGAGTGCGCTCTCGGTGCCATTGTGGGGAATGCGGGGAAATCTGCGAGGGGAGACAAGTCCAAGAACCTGGAACCGTTGCGTGGGATGCTGCTTCCAGAAGGTGGAACCGAAGCCACTGCTGATCTTCGGTGCACGTGATTTGAGTTGCCGGTTTGGTTGGTAATGGGAGCGAATATTCCTGCTGCTGCTGCTGCTCAAGGGTGGGCTGATGTTTGAAGGATCCTTTTTTCGTGCTCCTTTGCACTCAACACCAGGTGCCCCAAGAACGTGGGTGGGGATTCCCCATTCCTGGGTCGCAGCCATTTCAGGGCACTATTCCCAGTACTAGTAAGCGTCCCCCTCACACGGTCACCAATCAAAGAGATCCCAAGCCGCCGGAGGCCATTGGCAGGTGCAATTGCTTGCTGTTCTTTTCTCCTTTCCCACGCCTACGGACTCAACCGCTCAATCTTCCACCCCCCGTCCTCCAGCCTCGTGTACTGGAACCGATCATGCAACCTACTCTCCCTTCCCTGCCAAAACTCCACCATCTCCGGCTTGATCCTCAGTCCTCCCCAGAACTCAGGAATAGGAATCTTCTCCTGCCCCTCAAACCTCTCCTCCACATCCTTAACCCATCCCTCCAGCTGCTCCCTGCCCTCAAGCACTTGACTCTGCTTACTTGCCCAAGCACCGATCCTCGACCCCCTAATCCGCGTATCATAATACACCTGACTCTCCTCACTACCCATCCTCTCCACAAGGCCCTCAACCCTAACCTGTCTCTCCATCTCCCGCCACCAGAATGTCAGACTCGCCCACTTGTTGTTCTCAATATCCTTCGCCTTCTTACTCGTGCCGAAATTCGAGTATACGATGAAGCCCCTCGAGTCGAGCTCTTTTAGGTAGACCATGCGCGCGCTGACGCGGCCGGAGGGCAGGGAAGCCGTCGACAGACAGACGGTCTCCGGTTGGTGCACGCCGTTTTGTTGCGCGGCTGTGAACCAGGTGTGGAATTGGGTGAAGGGCGATTTGGGGTCGAGTTCGTCGAGGGAGAGGGCGCCTTTGGCGTATTGGTCTGCTTGTGAATTTGTCTTGTCATTCGCTGGTGCAACTGTGAGAATGTCAGTGTCTGCTGGTAACGTGAGAGGGGGTGTTTCTGGAGGAGGTTGGATGGTGGGGTTGATGGAGTTCAATGAAGCTTACAGATCAGCTTGCCAGCGTCTTGAACTGGATGGAGAGCCATTTTGAGAAGGCTTGATTGGAATAGTAGATTTGGGGCGACTCTCATGTGGTCGAAGATGTGATGTTGCAACTGAGGTAGGAAAAGTCTCTCAATGGTCAGTTCACTTTTGGGCTGTTGACATACACTAATTTAGCGTGCGATCAGCCTTGTGTGGCGTCCAGCCTCGTCACTCATATCCACCGTGTTTCGGCCTACGTAAGAGGGATGGGAAGAATACTTGCTCTAAGGCCAGGATGAGCATAACAACGATTTGTGGTGTTCTGAACATGCTTTTGTGCTTCGATTGCTCGTTTCGTGTACCTCTAGGTAGCATCTTCCCCTATGCTGAATATCGCCGTGCTCCAAATGCCCCACATGCAACAGGAAAAGACCGCCCAGCGCCATATGCCGCAATATAATTCATCAAAGTCTCGTCTAGTCAAAGTCAAGGTTCGGTGCCAATGTGATCAAACTGAATCTCAACTCCCCACCGCCAGCTTCCTCCTCTCTCTTCAGGAACTTCCTAACTCCCAGCTCCAGCGCCTTCCCAGACAGGACATCATCATCTGGACCAAGAGGCCCACGATTCAATGGGCCCTTTCGTCTGCCGTCCATTTCCCACAGGTTATTCTTCTCATCCTTCACGAAGCAGACGTAGTGCAAGTCGATGTTATCTTCTGCGTTCGGAGCAGTACTCTGTCCTTCGACAGCAGCGCTCTGATGTGCGCGCTCCAGTGCCTGTGAGTTGTAGAGGAGATCAGCACGTTCGATAGGTCCAAGGGGCGTAGCATCAGTGACCAGCTTTTCGAGGTCTGATCCTTGCTCTGCTTTGCTGTCAGCATTCGCCCCGTGAACTCTCCTAGCACATCCATACCAATAAAACCCCTCGAATTTCCATTGCTAACAGCATGCAAGAGCCCAATCAGTCCGCAAGCATTTCTGATGGTCTGCTTATACCATAATACAGGCTCCTCAGCACCCTTGCCTTGATATTCTGGTTTCTTCTCATCTTCCTGCATTCGAAACATTTCGTAGGCACGGCTGACTGGGAAGACGAGGAGGAGGGCACTGGCAGGTCGGGGAACGAAGGCGAGGAGATCAGGGTCGTCGATGCTGAAGACGTCGTGGAAGGAGAGAGCTTTCGAGAGGCCAAGATTGTGGACGAGGGAGGACATTACTTCGGGGTTGTTCTCTGTGGAGACAGTCAGCGAGAGGTGACAGGAACCTGAATAGGCACATACCGAGAGGCACAAATGACTTGGCTGTTTTGGGGACATCAGGATCGTCTATGGCGATAGGCGTTTCTTTCGAGGGCTGAGCCTCTGGCAGCGTTGTCATTTTGGAGAAAGAGAGCGTTTAGACTGATCGTGATAAAGGTTATGCAAGTGATTGGGGTTTAGCAGTGGTCAAATCGAGCTCGTTGAACAGAGTCTCCGACTGATCATGCAAAAGATGGGTTGCCTGCCTGGTTGCAAGGTGGCAGGCATACAGGACTGGGATCGGCCAGAGAAACCCTCCCCCCAATTTCGCGGCGAGACAATTCTCCGTTCCGCCAGGCACAAACTCTCGCCAACCTTCAACTCCATCTCCATCTTCAACTCCATCTCCATCTTCAACTCCATCTCCATCTTCAACTCCATCTCCATCTTCTTCAACTCCATCTCCATCTTCAACTCCATCTCCATCTTCAACTCCATCTCCATCTTCCTTCCCCCACGTCAAGTTTGTCACGATAGGCGTCGCCGAGGGCTTGAAGGTACCCCGATGCAGGCAGTCTTCCCCTGATTGCGACAGCCAGAAGTCACGCCGCCTACAATCCATTGAGGCACATACAATCAGTGGCTTCAGCCGAATGACGACGAGGCTCGATGGAAGTGCCCTCCCGATCCTCCCCCGTTTTCCCAATGTCCTTTTCTGTATGGGAAGTCCATTTGCTTAGCATGAATCCCATTTACTCGACTGTTGCAAACGCGCTCTCGCCAACCAGGCCTCACTCAATAAACATTCCGAGGGCGTGGACGCGATAGGACCGCTTGTCGTTTCTGAGAGGGGGCCAATATCCAGTCAGGAACAGGAATAATCAAGCCATCCGAACCTTGAAATGCGACAGGATTGCCACGCTCGTCACAGGAGCCGGATCGTCCAATGTCGTTTGTGACCCTCATTCGCCCCATCTCGTCGATCATTCTCTAGAAATGCCCCAGCGCCTGTATAAAACCAACCGTAAGAATTCTGTACTGTCCCTGGCAATTTGTTTTGATTGTTCTTAAAACCTTGGATTGCAGAGACACCCCAACCCAGATTCGAGGCTAGGTACCTCCGTACTTCTTTCTTTTATTTTTGGGTTCAATTAAGGTTGTTCGTCAACGGACAACGCTGCCTATATTACTTGGGACCTGGCTGGCGTCATCTATCTCTAGCCTATACATTTCATCTATGAAGCTCGCGTCGATCCCGAACTGTGCTTCACTTGACTGAATGCCACAACCTCCTTTTACTCGAACTCTCTAAAGTAACTCAGCGACTTTCGCACCTGCGGACTCCGATACACAGTTTGTCGGTAGGGAGACAGACAGACGTTTTCGGCCCAGACCCCTCGTTGAAATTCTTGGACATTTTTGATTCCGGCCTGCCTTGGCTTCCTCTAGGAGAGGCATTACAAGCTCACTTGCTCGAATGCAGCAATAGCAGCAATATCAACAGCTGTTCTTCGTAAATCCTGTCCTCGTTTGCGCTGTATGCTATGGAATGTTTCCCTTACACCTCAGTGGCGTTCATATGATATATTAATAACCTTCGAAAGGGAATATCTTGGCACTATCAGCTTGATTCCGTGTCGCATACTGCTCGGTCAGCGAATCCCTTTCCAGTCTTTGTGTTGTCAAGTCGGTGGTAACGACGTCTGAATATCGGATCACCGTGCCTGCGCAGGAAAATCCCAGATAGATACAGAGTAGCCAGATGGAGCTTGAATTGAGCCCGGTCGTTCCCTATAAAATTAAAGGCCCCGCCGTTTAGTTGTTGTGTTCCTAGCTTATCGTCTGAACTCTTCACAAGTCTCACTACAAATGTTTTAATTTGAAACATACCCAGCCTGTACCGTCATAATGCTGTTCTCTAGTCTCTACGGCCATCAGTTCCGTGCTTGCTCTTGCAGGGATCATTGGGTCTGTAAGTCTCAGCGTCCACATGCTACACAAAAGATGCTGACGCTCTGTAAAGCAAGTCGTTGTCACCGTAACGGCTAAATACCAGATTTTGTCTTGCTGCCTCCTGCACCTCTGCCAAGTGTCGAGGTTCTTCAAGCTCGATTTCTGCAACCAAAGCGAAGCATCTTTATTGACTTGAATCCATTCAACCCCTCACAACTTCCACATATACCACGTATGTGACTGTCGGCGGAAACCCGCCGCCATCGAGCACGCGATTGACCACGGTCTACATTACCGCAACCGCAGCCTCGACTTTGACAAGTGCCGATTCCGTTATCATCACGTGTCCAATTCCTCTATACTATCAATGCGGTGGACGAATTGGCCAGGTTGTACTTATTGTGCATCTGGGGCTACCTGCCGTAGCCAGAATGGTAAGTTTTCCGTGTCTGCCCAGGCCAATGCCTGCACTAATGCCTATTTCTTCCCAGCATTCTACCATGAACGCGTCACCACCGACAATAAAGTTTATAAGAAGACTTAAAACAGCGTGATTCTGACCATTCCAGAAGGATTAGACTATCTTGATCGGTTCCACGTCTTCACTTTTTCGAAATATCTATTGGGGGAGAGGGAAGATAGAAGACAACGGATTTGCGACGTTGAATTTAATGGCTGGAGTACGAAGAACCTTATCCGCCTCGTATAGTACAAAATTTGATTCGTTGGGGTTGTCCTAGCCATTGTCCAAATTCATTTGAAACATGCGATGATCTGGCCAAGTGTTAATGTTTCGTCCCAAACTCTCCTTAGGTCTCCTCGATGCGGTCATACGCAGGGACCAAAACCTTATTTTATGCCTCTTGACCCCCGGGTTGGATATCCGAGAAGACTGCGGTTGCAGGTAACCCTTGCTCGCATACGTCTAAAACTCCCAGGTACGACCCTTGGCGTGTTTGATCGCAACCTTATCTGCGCTGCCTAAAGCGAAGCAGATCAATTCTTCTCACACAGCGTGTTTTCATTTAAACTTTCCCCAGGAATCCTCAGACGGTCCTGCAATAGCGCCCGCCTCTATAGTGTACAAAAACGTGCCCCCCCCCCCGCTGTCAATCAACCGGAGATCCCAAGCTCGTTCAGAAACGACAACACTCATTAGATTTCCTTCTTAACCTAACCCCCATTCACTCATTCATTTAATAAAATGCAGTTTCTATCTTTTCTTTCGCTGTTGGCGCTGGCTACCGCCACATCGGCCCAAAAATGTCAACTCCAGTTCGACGGGCGAGTTCCTGTTGGATCCACGCCTGCCTCCTTTGACGTCAACACCAGTCCCTTCGGCACCAAGAACGTGTTTGGCCAAAGTATGTCCTCCACCTCCGCCCCCACCGCCACGTCTCTAAATATCCCATCTTATCTTTCCCATGCACTTCCATGTTAACCAGAACTCCCTCTTAGACCTCACATGGAGCAAAATCATCGTGTTACCAAACATCACTCGATCTCTCGTCCGTCTTTCCACCTCTTAGCACGCGTTCAGGTGACACTGACACTTTATTTTACAGTTTGACGGTACCGCCAACATCCCCCTCGAAGTCACGCTCTCCGATGCCTCGATCTTCGCGCCTTCAGCGACGAACATACAGACCGGATTCCGCCGCGCAGAGCTCAACCCGGCGTCGAATAATGGAACCGACCCGTCCACGTTGGGCGTTAAGACGCTGCACTTCTCCGTCCGCAAAGATAATGCTAGGCCTTTAAACATCAGCCATGAATATCAACTTGTGTTCTTGGAAGATGCGAAGTTCACCACGAATCAGTTTGTGTTGAAGACTGGCACTATTGCGGGACAGCCGGCGGGGCAGAATCCGGATCTGTTGGTGCTGCAGGGGAATGTGAATGCGCCTGTTATCGAAAATCTGTTTAATGTTTCGTTCACTGCGAATGTGTGGCACAATTTCGCATTAACTTTGAACTTCACTGCTAAGTAAGTCCTCGTCCAATTATTGAGAAAGTTGTTGCTAATCAGATTCAGCACGGTCCAAACGTTTTACTCGCAGAATGCCGCGGCGTTGGCAAGTGTTACTGGCGTGGTTAGCAATGATCTGTCGGGCCAAGGGCAATTTCATTTTGGAGCTCTAAAGAAAGGGACGGGCGTGAACTTGACGGATGTCACGAAGCAGGGATTCCAGGAAAGTGGGATTAACGAGGGGGTTATTTATGGAGGCATCTTTGAGGAGATTAGCACTTGTGGGTGTGTGAGTTTGTGCCCATGAAGTGCGAATATGGCCCGTGGTATGTTGGGTGTAAAACAGCGTTTGAATTTTTTGCATTCCCAATCGCATTCAGCTAGTTGCTGAAATTTGAGTGAGGGGGAGAACAAAGTATGAATTGTTCCTTCTTCCTTGCAATCCAGGCTCATCACTGTTGCTAGCATTCAAAGTAGATTTATGTTCATGGTTAAATGTTTCGTCAGGTTTCAAAGCCCCAACCCATTATACCATCTATCAGGAGCCAAGCATTTCCCCACAAGTCTTTAAACCTTCCCCCCGTCATATTCTGTTGGCAATAACGCCAAACCATGAACGTCTCTTGCACCCAGATTATATTCCTACACAGAACACAACATAGCCCAGAAGCGCCGGACTATCCCTAAAGTCCAAAACAAAGCCCGTGAAGGCGTGGGCCACTAGTCCGCCTTTCACCAATCTGACCTTTTAGTTTGAAAGTCTGGTAACACAACTTTCAGGTGAATTTGTTGGCTCATACGAAATACCCACTGGAACCAGGGGTGCAGTCAAACTGAGCTTCCCAAGTAAGCTGAATCCCACCGAAGCAGTTCGGACTCGCGAGATGGAGTTCCGCCGACAAGTTCGTACATGCAACTCCGACATCGCTTAGTTCCAACCCGGTCACCATTACATAGAACTCCCTGTCAGTTCCGTAGAGTGAAGGTCGTTCAACCGTGCAAATGCTGATCACAACGGTTGGCGGCAAGCAGGCCGCGCCAAGATCAGCGCTGTGCGAGACAATGTTGAGATATTCGATATTCCGAAGTTCACGAAGGACTTCAAGAGGATATATACCCGCAGCCGGACTTAGTCAAGGCACATCTTCCGAAGATTGAAGTCTTTGCCAAAGCATTGCATTCCAACGTTATCCTTCCACTACTCCATCTCGTTTGCCATCGTCCTGCAGCTTCCGGATGAGGAATATCTCGTCAAGCAGCACACTTACGAGAAGAAAAGCGAAGATCATTTCCGTTACCTGATCTACCGTAAACGGATTCCTGAAGAGCACGGGGCGAGTGGCTTTGGCTAGAATACCTGACACACCGATCTCGGGACTGTGACCTTGCTTTTCCGCCAACCTATTGCTGGGTTGCAGATTCTTGGCGAAGACGGAAACTGGACGTACGTATCAGCCCGGCCGGGAACAATTACAATTAACCTCGCAGACACCACCTCTCATCTGACTGGTGGCTGGCTCAAGATCTAAGTTCCTCGCGTTGTGTCGCCACTTGAGGATCAGTGGCAGTACGACCGTGCCGGTTTATTGTACTTTGCGAAGCCGAACAACGATCCGGTATTAATTCCCATTGGTAATTCGCTGGTGCTGAAGGCAGCAGGTGTGAAGACGAGGTTTGAGCAGCCGCTGACGATGGAACAGTGGGTGAGGCGAAGTAGACACTACAGTTGACTCCTGAGATTGCGGCTAAGAATTATGAAGAAGCAGTCGATGGAACTGTAGAAGTTTTTGGAGGGTTCAGCGATTGACGATAAAAGTGAGAAGTGGAAATGGCTGGGTTCTTAGTGAAAGAAATCTGCACGTTTCTTCCAGCACGACATTCAACAATGCCTTGCAGTGTATAGACTTCTATAACAAAGGAAGCCGGCGAATATAAAAGAGGGGAAGTAAGCTCCTGATTGAGTTTCCTTGTTTTTGTAAACCCGCGTCTAATTCCTCCACACTGCTTGAATTCCAATCCGGTCCAAACTACGGGTGACACCCTGCACTTCTAATAAACATATCTAAATCCAACGCCTCTAGCATCGCCCTCACGAATGGTGTTATCATTCTCCAACGCCTCCAGCTTCTTGTTCTCTTTGATATGGATACTACATTATGTGAGTATCCCAGAAGTACTGACTACCGAAGAATCACTTACAGTCTCAATAAGAATGCCAACCCAGCAACCGCAAGACAAAGTCCTGCAACCGCAGCACCGCCAGCCAAGTATCTCGGGCCTTCAGACGCCGGATATAGGTACGGCCCATAGATATTTGAAGCGTTGCCAATCATGTTGCAAATTGCAATAGCAGCAGACCGCTTGACCAACGGTCTTGGAAAGCTATTCGCAACCCAAGTAATGATAATCTGATATGCGCTCACGGCACCCAAGGGCATCAAAAACATCGCAAAGAATCTCGCCCCTGTATTTAACGTGCTCACCACAATGATGTTCCCCACACAACTCACCATCAACAAACAAATGATGTGGATGCTTCTATCTCCAGTTTTGCCACTCGTATACGTGACACCCAGACTAACCAAGAAAGTCAAGAACCACACAGGAGCAGTGAGCAGCAGCGTGGCGATCTTGGAGCAGCCGAGAGTTTTGACGATGGTAGGGAAGAAGTACTGGAAGGTTTGAGTGAGGAGAGAGATGTGTTGGAAGAGGATGAAGATGTACAGGCGGTAGTCTTTGAGAGCGAGCATGAGACCGTCTTTGATGGATACCGACGAGGCAGTGTCGGTCTCTTTGGCATCATCAACGAGGCGCCATTGTGCGAAGTTGCGCTCTTCTTCACTCAGCCATTTGGATGTCGCGGGGAAGTTGGGGAGAAAGACACTAATGAACGTTAGAAAGTTCCAATTGGGAGGGTACATTGGGGAACTTTACGCTGCGATGAGGGCAATGCCCACAGTGATGGTTCCTTCAATGATAAATAGCCATCTCCATCCCGCAATGCCATGTGCACCCTCCAAATTTCCCAGCACGCCAGCAGCGAGCAGACCGCCGAACATATTGGCAACGGAGCTGCCTGCATAGAACCAAGCAATTCTATGCGCCAATTCAGCTCTTGTATACCAACACGACATCAACATGATTGCCCCTGGAAAGAATGGCGCCTCCACAACCCCAAGCAACGTCCTGCAAGCTAGCAGTCCTCCAAATGTCTTCGTCGCTGCTTGGGCAGCAGAAATTGCTCCTCAAGCCGCCATCGCAAGACCAAGGTAGATGGAAGGTTTGACTCTGGTGAGTAGCAGGTTAGATGGGAGTTGCATTGTAATGTATCCCTAACCCTTACCATTAGCATCTGCGCACCCCACCATGGATCGAAAAGAAAGGAATGGGAAACACATACCACAAACAATATACTAGTAGCCAGATTAAAGTCCGTCCCTTTCATCCCCAAATCCTTCTCCAGAGTCCCCAATCTCGCCTGAGCTAGATTCGACCGGTCCAGGAAGTTCAGCAAATATATCACGATGAGCAGAGGCAGAAGACGGAGATCCACTTTCCGGAGCAAACGAGAAGTGTGGTGGGCTTTCCATTGTGGTGTTTGAGAGGCGTACTCGAGGTAAATTGCAAGCATGGGATCAGCCGGCATCTTGGTGGCTTCATCTTCGTGGAGAGACTTCTCATCGATGGCTTTGGCTGGGGTTGAGGTTGCCATGTTGAGGGTAAAGTGGGATGAGAAGGAAAGGAGGCGGAGAGGGAGATGGTGAGAAGTACGGGAATGTTAGACTTAAAGGAACCCTTTATTCCCCAGAAACTTCTGAGGTCGGGGCAATGGGGTAGTGGGGCTCTGGGGGGGATTTTTCACAGCGGGGAACTTAGTGCCTTCATTCGGGGGAAAATACAGCGAGTGACCGAGCCGAAGCAGGCGAAAACCGATCACCAATCGAGCCACTGGGCCTCGAAAGTGGGATGCAATTGTTGGGATTCGAATTATATCTGTACATATCTCAGTTTCATATACCGTCAAAGGCCGCTGAGACCTCGGGTTTTCTCCCACTCAATCCTGTAAACCCCGCGGCTCCATTTGGCTTCACGTCAAGGCCCATTACCCCATCCAAATCTATCTCCTTTGTATCTTTTTACCGCCCGATGGTCTATGTCTATAGCCTCTACGACCAAGAAATACTGGAATATGTCAGCAAAGTCTCAACGCAGCTTCAAACCAAGACTCACTAAAGCATAATTCCAGCGCCAGCAGCCATCGCAATGAACTGCTGTGCCGTCTTCCTTAGCTCCAAACTCCTGTCTTTCCCAGTCTCCAAAAGCTCTGGAATAACAGCTACAGTGCCAACATACAAGAACGTCCCCGCAGTAAATGGCAGCAGCATGTCGCCCCAGGAAAGGCTTGTGCCCATCAGCCCATCAAATCTGCCACCTTCTCCATTCCCCCCACTTCCTCCATATTCCTGAACAACTATTCCAATCACCGTGCCAAGTAGCGCCCCCAATGCTGTAACAAATTGCGCGCCCATAGCGGCCCGCTTCGAGAACCCCGACTGAATCAGCAATGCAAAGTCTCCAACCTCGTGCGGGATTTCGTGAAAGAAGACAGCAACTGTGGTAGTTGCGCCGATCGTAGGAGAAGCGTAGAAAGAAGAGGACATGGCAAGCCCATCCGTGATGTTATGCGTGAAGTCGGCGCTGTAAATCATCAGCTGAAAACCTCCAAGCCAAAGACACAACTCACATCAGGTTCAAATAGCCCGCCAGCTTAACACTTGCATTGATCTCCTTCTCTTCCTTCACGGCAACCAAATCCGTCTGCTCGTTCGCAGCCACCCTCTTCCTCGACTTTGCACTCTTCCCCGACGATCCCTCAACAGCACTCGAGCGCCCAACCGGCTTCACAACCTCCACACTCCCATTTCCATGATCATGTCCATGTCCCTCTCCCCCAGTCGCAATCCTCAACCCCTTATCCATCGCCACAAACGTCACAAAGCCCACCATAATAGCAACGCCCAACAACAAATTCCGATTCGGCTCTACCATCACGAACCTTACGTGCTGCGGACTATCCTCTCCAAGGAAGATCTCAGGCAACAAGTGGAACAGCGTATCACCCAGTAACCCTCCCACCGCGAACGCGACCATGACAGACAAGCTCGAAGGATCGATATTCGGCGGACATAATGCCAAGAGGAAATTCGGAGGCCCAGAGATGTAGAGGGTTGCTAGGAGGGCGTTCACGGCTGGGGAGCCCGGGAAGAGGATTGCGAAGATCCGCGACGTTAAAGTAGACGTCTTCGGAGAAGTCGCGAGTTTGTGGATATTTAGGTCCTGCACGAGGGGGCATTCCTATTTAAGGTGTTAGAACGGGGCTGTCTAGGGAAAGGGATAGATAAATAGGGGATCGCGTGAGGTCGCGACTTGCCTGCAACTTCTCCTCGATCTCGGGCATTGACATCGAGGCTACTGAGGATGATACTTTTTCTGCATAGACACAGGCGATTGTGACGCAGAAGAGTAGTAGCGCATTGCGGGGCCGGAGGAGGGGCATTTTTGGTGATGGGGGCGTTTCAAAGTGGAATGGAAGAGAACTTTTGATGTCGGCGATCCCAATGCTGCTCACGCTAGAACTAGTATGTGGGGTGCTGAGTAAACACCCCTATTTTCGAGCCCCCTTTCCGACAAAGAAAATTGGGATTGAAGATTTTCTTGTCGGAAGCTGGGTTAAGAAAGAGAGATTTTAATCCAAGTTTTGTCCTTTTTTTGTTACATTTCTCCGTATATACTGCTAAATGCTTCTTCTCTTTTTCTCAGCGAGCAGCAAGTTGCTCGGAAAATAACCCAGAGCAGTCAATGGCTTCTGTTCCAATCATATGTAAAATTCTGTATCCAATTGATACTACATCAAGGAGAAAAACGCCAACGAAGAGCGCACGAGTACTAGCATGCTTTATAGCACAATTTGACCTGGTGGGAAGCTGCTGGACAGCTCGCTAAATCCCATTTTGTTGCCATGGCTAGGCAAAACACTCTCGCCTCCCACTGCCTTCTCAATCAACTTCTCTATGACTTCTACAATCTCATCACTATTCGTCTCCAAAAACTGGAAATGTCCATTCCCACCAATTTCCCAAATCTGCCAATTTCATATGGCCCACCCTCTCGCACCCAGCCTGCTTCAAGAAGTCAAAAGTGCAATGATCAAACACAGCATGATAGCTGGCCTCCCCGGCCTCAATTAAAATTGGGATCCTCTTTGATTTGTGAATTGCCTAGCAGCCTCCTCATGTACCATGCAGTCGAAGTAATCCTCTGAAGCTGGCGGTATGATTTTCGTTGACAACGGTTTCTCCATATCTGCGGGAGGAGAAATATGTGAAGGCCTTGGAATCTTTACTGATAGAGATGATGCAGTAACTCCAAATAGGGGGCAATTTGGCTCAATTTGCATCAATGCTTTGACAAGCTCCAGACGCGCATCAGCCCAGGATCAACCAAAAATTCCAGCCTGTGAGTGTGAGGTCAGCGTGGCCGGCTCTAATTTGCTAAGGAGAGGTGCGCCAGCTGCTTTCATACACCTTTCCTTCTCTGGAAGCTGCTGAGCATTGGCATTGTACAGGCGTAGTGGGAATTGAAGATGGGATCACCTATTTTACCTGTCTGGATTTTGTCAGAATCGTGGCAGCTGCTGAGAGGGGGCCTTACACGGGGCCATTGGGTAAAAAGATATGCTTGAGGTCAGAGTTTGTGGTCCGCAGCAGCTGTCATCTGCTTCTCGATGAATTCTGCTGCAAGCCTGGGGTTGAGCTCACCGGGAAGCTGCTATTCGGGTCCCATGCCGATCATCCAGCTTGGGGCTGGTCGACATAGAAGACTTCATATCCGCAATCCAGGAACCGAGATATCCTTTCCTTTCCGCCATCAGGCTTGTTCAACCAGTTATAGATGTCAGTGTTGGACTAGGAAGAGGAGGAAGATGCACACCGTTCCTGTTTGTGCGGCACCGTGAAGGTAAACAATGGGGCATGGCTTCAAGCATCCCCCATTGGGTGAGAATCGCTCCATATACATTTGGTCTTGCAAGATATCGCCAGCGGGTGTATTGACATAATCCAGTCCGAGATGGAAGAAGGATCACTAGCCTGGTGATTCCTAGTTCCTAATCAGCAGGGGCATAACGGGGCAATGAGCAAACAGGAGCAAACAAGAACTACAAAAGAGAACATAACTCTGCTCAAAGACAGGTTTTATCTATAAAATGTTCTCCGATGCTCGGATAACCAGCCAAGATTTGGCGAAGCTTTCTCTTACCTGGGTGTTGTCCATAGCCACGAACTCTTCCAACGATCTGCTTTCCACATCAGGCTTGTCCAAAAAGCGCTAGACCTCATATGGTACAACTGGCTACTTGTGCAATGGTCGAAAATAGGGGGGATGGAAAGAAGAGAAGAAGAAGAAGCCAAGACAATACCCCCATATCCACTTGGTGACTTAGCGTCAAATTGTAACGCTAAATTCGGGAGTCTGTGCGTTAGCGTATTCTCGAATGAAAGGAGCTTCGAGCTCTGTTAGTAAATAACAAAACTATTATAGCGCACAACGAGAAGCTGCAAGTGCGCATTTCTATTGATATTTTAAAGGAGTTTGAAGTTGCACTCCGCCGCATGGGGTTAGGCCAGCCTCAGGCTCCTGCGAAGCTGGATTTGGTTTAGATCCGTCTGCAGGTGGCGCAGTGCAGCGCAGCCCTGCAGAATGCAAGGGAGCCACCCCACGTCACCTGGGAGCGTGCATCTCGATCACTTTCTGCAAACCGCAACCCCATCTCTCCTTCATACTGCCTCTGCTTCTTGACCTTCCCTTCTTCGAGATCTCGTATATTCCACTTCGCCTATGCCTTGAGGGCGCTTAGAGCTCCGGCAATTTTGTATCTCCTTCGCGGGCGCGTTCAGCTTTTCCTGCTGGCCTTGACAGCTGCCTAAAGCTGTCAGCCTTGCCCAAAAAGCAAACTTTGTACACCCTTTTTACATCTCCGCTCTCCGTCTCCCTCGACACCCACATAGCAATCATCGCCAACGTTGGAGATATTGTCCTGTCAGCTTTCTCCAGCTCGTCTGACTCAATTGTCGCGTCAGTCGCCCACAACAGGTAAGGCCCCAAGTCTTCTCACCTTTCCAATTGCTACATTGCCTGACTTGAAGTCAAGGACAAGATGAACATCTCTCAACGAGACCAGAACGCGATTGCATACTCGAAACACTCCGCCCTGCTGGAAGGCGATGTTCTTGTACTCATCAGATACCCCAACAACCAACCCGTCTTCGATCCTAGTGGCTTCCAACTGAGTACAACACATCGAGTCCATTCCGCTAATCTCCTCGCGACTGGTTCCGCAATCTTCAAGCACAAGCTCGAGGACGAGTGGCAGAATCATAGGGCCATAAAGAGAGCTGGTCTTCTGAATAACCTCCCCAGTGGTATCAAGTATGTCATTGATCTGACGCCACCAGAGGAGGGCGACGACGCTCTGGCACTTACTGCAGATTTGTCGTGCTCTGCAGGCGTTCGTTATTGGTTTACTGCCCAGTCACGTCTTGGTGTCGCGCAGAGCCTCGTTGCTGGCAAGGATGAGACTAATGTGCGTAACGGCCCCGTCAGTCCACCGACCTCTCCTACCAAATCGAATCCAATCCTCCTCCATGGCGACGCCCAAGTGTCCGAGTTATCGACTGGGGCTACATCCATTATCAACAGCGAGACGACGGGCAGTCAATATCGGGGAATCATACCTGACAATGGACGGATTGCGTTCAGTGCCATGTTTGATCTCCCTGCCAACCCGGAGCACGGCGACGAGGGACCCACAATCAAGAAGGAGGTTTCCTTCAACAAAGAGGTCACGGAGGTCACCGAACTACTTGACGAAAAGATGGCTATTCAACAACTTGGCGAGGAGATCTTGGATTACTGTCCCATACGCCACCGGGCGGGGATTGAGCGCCTTCTTCAAGTGATTGAGGGCAAGGACCCGCGTTTGGACTCAGCTCCGAAGGTCTGGACCTTGGCGGTGTTGGGGAAGTACTTTGATTGTGCATCAACTGTGGTAAGTACTTGCGCCTTCAAACTGCTAGCGCAAACAGCTAAACATCACCAGACGGACTACGTCGTTAGATGGACTGTCGCCGAGCCCAATTGTCGATTCATGGAAGTGCTTCCTGAGGCCGCCCTCAAGCTTGGCATGATGTTGCAAAACCATACCTTGACGCGCGCTGGCTTTGCCGTTTTGGTCTCTGAGGAAGCACTTCGCGTTGGTGCTGAGAAGTACGTTGAGGACATCTCCATCAAGCACAAGAGACACAAAGTAAACAACAAGGGTCTCACTCGTTTTGGTCGAGCTTGTGAGGACTTAGATGAAGACGTCTCTAACTTGATCCAACACGCTGGGCGCAGTTTTAGCGCGCGGATTGAGTTGAAATTGAGCAAACTTCTCGAGAAGCAGATGGAGTGGCTTGGAGAGTTGCCGGAATTCGCCAAGCTGCTCACGTTCCAGCAACACGTCGACACCTTGGTTGGCTCTACTAAGAGCGCCTCTCCGGGTTTCATTCTCATTGATCAGAAGCGAAGCGTCGATGCACTAGTCAGTTCTCTACGTGATTATGTTCGGGGCAGAATTGTGTACCGTCTTCTCGACAACCTCTCGTATCAACAATCCAAGGACGGCACAGACCATCGCATTGCCGAACGTTGGCAACACCCTGATCAACTGGGAGGACAATGCTTTGTTCACGACTATATTTACAACACGCTTTCGGATCATGAACGCATGGTCACCCGAGGATTCTGGGAGATGATGCGAGCCATGGCGTGGGACACCAACCAGCCTACCAACGAGCTTCTAGACCAGTTACAGAGCAACAACGCTTACTATTCGCGGAATCTCGAGATTGCCAAGAAGTATGGCGTTGAATACGTCCGCATGCGCCACCTGGAGGATCGTACGAGAGAGGTCAACACGGCTATGAGGGACACAACTCTGCACTCCAGCTTCCACCTTGGCCAAAATACTGCTCCTGCCACGTCCAAGTCAGCCTTTATGGCTCCCCCAACCGTCAGCGAGATGGCGGAACGAATGTCCCAGCCTAGACAAGAACCCGATATCCCCAACCCCACGTTAGACGATTGGTATGAGGCTGAAGACCGTGTCAATAGTGGAGGTTCGCACTGGACTGCCTCGTACTGGGAACATGAAGTCATGGCGAAGGATACCACTTTCGGCGTCCCGCGGTTCTCTCTCTACGAGTTTCTGAAGGAGGTCAAGGGGCATATCACATCAATCTGTAGCACTATGTTAGGCCGAGGTGAACATGATTGGTCGGTTCTTTGCGATACTCTTCTTTGCCTTTCCGACGAGGAGTACAAGTACCTTCCTCTGTGGGCTGGAGGTATGAACGATGGTTCTGGAGGTGTTTTCGAACAGGAGATTCCGCCCGCTGAGAAGGGCCCGATTGGACCTGGTCCTGCATTTCATACCGGCTCGACCGCGAACTCTATGGCGAGTGAGTTTGAGTTCGACGGCGGTGGCTCTGCTCTGGACAGCAATACCATGGAAGGAATCGAGACCAGTTTGGGCGTCGAAGATGGCTTCAGTGACCATTTGGATCGACGCGTAGTGTATTCTGAAGCTGACTTCCCCATGGATCATGGTGCGCTCGCGCTTCAAACTCGGGATGATGGAGGACAAGCTTCTGCCGGTGCAATGGCTGCTGCCCAACCTGCCGCTACGGTTCAAGAACCACCTGGACAGCTGGTCGAAGCTCCATCCGTTACCTCAGCCAGTCAGATCGACCGTGACGACTTTTTCAACGTCCAGGATGATGAAGAGGGTGATTTCGAGATGGAATCAGATTCGGAAGGAACGGTCACCGAGGACTAAAAAGTCTTTGCATTTTCGGCGTTCTCTGGCGCCTTCGGATAATGGGAACCAGTAAATTGGGCTTGATTAGAGATGATATTACACGACTGACGAATAAATGACTAAAATGTGTCATTTGCGCTTTCGTGACTTGCCAGACTTGGTGATTCCCCTGCCTGTGCTTGACTTCGATGTTCTTCTTAATCCAGAACAATGAACCTTTTCTTCTCCTGAATCTCTCAAGCTAAATTGTATATTTAATCGAGCAAGAAACACATTCTTCCAGCCGGGTAAGGAATATTTTCATGGCTTTCTGGATGGGCACTTCTGTTTGCTGCTGACTCAGCCGCCTCGCAATCGCGGCTGCCTTGTCTTGCCCCGCCATTGCTACCCCACCATCAGCCTTGTCTTCACCTCCAAACTACCATCCACCTGTTCCATCTTCGAATCACCCCCCGAACCTCCATCGAACTCCCCCTCAAGCATCAAAATGCCTCCTCAAGCAGAAATAATAAACGGCAAAAAGACTTTCACAATCCTTGGTACCTTGCCTTCCTTTCCGGCCTCCTCACCACTAACCCACCCCAGAAAACAATCCCGAAGTCTTCAACGCTCTCTCTCTTAAACTCGGGCTCTCCCCAGACTGGCAATGGCACGACGTCTACTCCTTCACCGAGACCTCCCTGCTCTCCATGGTCCCCCGCCCGGTCCTCGCCCTCCTGGTTATCATCCCCTTGACCCCCGCCTCAGCCTGGAAACTAGACCGCGACGCTGAAGACAAAGATAAACCAGCAATCTACCAAGGCAAAGGACCAGATGAGCCAGTATTGTGGTTCACGCAAACGATTGGCAACGCATGCGGCAGCATTGGGATGATTCACTGCCTTCTCAACGGTCCAGCCAGCGAGCATCTCGTGCCTGGCTCATTCTTGGCGAGATTGAAAAGTGAGGCAGTTGATCTGGGCATGAATGAGAGGGCAAAACTGTTGTATGACAGTTTGGAATTGGAAGAGGCCCATCAGAGTGTGGCAGAGATAGGCGATTCGAAGATGCCGAGTTTGGATGCGGAGGGCCATACCGGGCAGCATTTCGTGGCATTTGTGAAGGGTGGAGGGAAGTTGTGGGAGTTGGAGGGGGGCAGGAAGGGACCGCTTGAGAGGGGGAGTTTAGGTGACGATGAAGATGTACTGGGCGCGAAGGCTATTGAACTGGGAATTGGGAGGGTCATTGAGTTGGAGAGGGCCAGTGGAGGAGGAGATTTGAGGTTCAGTTGCATTGCTTTGGCGAAGAAGGTTGAGTAGTAAGCTCGAGGGAGAGGAAGATCGCCCAAGATTTTCGGTTAGGGCGACCGGAAACGTGAAATTAAAACATGGCATCGGGAAATCGGGGCGTTGAACTCTGCAAAGCCTTTCATTACACTGTCGTTATTAGTAGATTTGGGCCATGTTGTCGTAGAAATTTCAGGCTCTAATCCCGTTCATATGTGTCATGAGATTATCCCATTCGGCCTGGCCACATTAGCATCGGTTGGATTTTAAGTCTCTTTAAAGGATCCTACTTACCCAAGCTATATTTGAAGGACCAAGCCATTGCTGGGGTTCCAGCCTCTCGGTAAACAGTCTCAACTGGTCAGTCTCCAACCAGTCCTCTCTCCCACTACTATTCTCTTCTCTCCTGGATTGCGCACCAGAGTTCAAGCTCTGATTCGGTGATGGAGCAGGTCTGCTAATCATTAGATTGCACAACAGGAGTTTAAGAATCTGAATACTTGCAGCAAAAATCTCAAGATCCTCGACGCCTTCTCACAAATCTTACTCCTCCCAGCCATCTTCTCAAATCTACCTAAGGTCTCCTCAAGCACGCCCCTGAATTTCCGATACTGCGGCCTGTAAATCGGCATCAACAACGCAACAGCGAGGACAGCAGCAGCATGGAAAGCATGAAAACTTCCAAGTCCATTTGTATACCACATATATGGCCGGAATTCCGGAGTCGTGGATAAGATCCGATGGATGTCGAGAAGTGCTTCTGCTGATGCAATGCACCGGATTTGTGACTCGTTCGGGATTTCGAGACCGATGATGCTGCGGGCGAAGAATGGCCTGTGCAGGAGTAGGAAGAGTTGGTGTGCGTAGGCTTGGAGGATGTGGAGATGTACTGCGTGGTGCGTGGGCAGTGTTTCAAACGTGGAGTCTGCGATGTATCGGCTATCCCAGGATTCTTGAGCGAGACAGATCTGCTGGTCAAGATTCTGGATCGCGGAACGACTTGGCTCTGATGAGGCGAACGTTTCTCGGCAGATTTGGCTTGTGAGATCGTAAAGTGAGAATTTGAAGAGAAGATACGACATTTGCGTTGGTCCTGGGAGGGCTTCTTCAATGGCGGTTAGACTGATGTCTTGGTCATTGACGTTGGCAGGTAGTTTTACGGAGGACGAGGTGCGGAAGGTAGGGTCAGGGTTGCCCATTATTGTCGATTGGATTGTGTACAGCATCATTAGACCTGCCCAACACCTACGACGCTCCTCACATTGGATCAGATCGAGGTTGAAGGTGGATGGATCGATGTGACATGCAAGTGCAATGGCGACGTTGTAGGTCATTCCTGGAAACTGTGAGCGAACTGGCCGCTTTTGAAGGTTCCGGCTTACCAAGTAGAACCCAAGTATGGTCTTGGCTGTGCCCCATCGCATAGATCAGAATAATCAAAGCTTGCAGTGACTGGACATTGTGCTTGCCCCAGAAAACACCCTGCTTGGCAAGACACTTCATAGCAGCCTCCCGGTATCGACGGCTCAGTACTCGGATGTTTGAACAAGGATCAGCCCCACGTGCGAGGTCCCGGAGGACTGGATCGTCATCTTCTAGACCAGTCACGGCCAGGGACAGGAGAACGAAAAGAATGGCGAGCCAGGAGGCTGGCGCCGAACGGGGATTCTCAACAAATTGTGCATATTGGGAATGAAAAGTCGGATCATGGAGAATGTGAAACAACTGCCGAAGTCAGCTCTAAGCTCTAATATGATAGTCTGCACTGACTGGGGAGAAGACAGCAAAGTATTGGTTCTTCAGATAATCACATTGCTGCGTCGGAGGAAGCAAGGAGAGAAGCTCGTCCGTCAAAGGGGCTGAGTTATGGGTAAATGGGAACCCAGAAGTAATGTTGGAATCTTCTTGGCTTTCCAGAGAGGGTGTCTCAATAGATAAGTTTGTGTTTGCGAGTACAGAGGTCCATTGCGACGATCTTGGCTCATAGCGAACATTGCCGCTGGACGTCGAGGTAAGAACACCACCACTGAGAGGCGTCTGATAATCAGATGCATAAGTCTGATGCGAGTTCTCGGAAATGAACGATTCGGGAGATAGTTGTGAGATCTGACCTATTTCCACCGGTGGAGAAGGTATCACGGATGCCATGGAATATTCCCCAGCTCGACCTGGAACCTTGGCTCCTGTGTGCTTTCTGAGAAGTTGTTCCAGATTGCTGATCCTACTTAACAGTTCGTCGTTGGATGACGTCGTGGTGTTCGTCATTTCGTAATCCCGAACGTTCCTGTACACACATCGGTCTGCGCATCTTCGTCGTTGACAGGTGTCGCACACGGGCTTCGTCCTCGAGCATTTGATTTTGCGATGCCTGCAAGGCTCACAGCTCACAGGTTGTCTGGCACTTATATTGTGCCGAGAGCTGCTCGGCCGAAGTGAACTTGAGGATTCAAGGTAGTCGTGGTCCATTCTGCGAGGAGTGTGTTGTTGAGATAATGTTGAACTTTCGGGAATTGTCCGCCTTTCATATACGCGGGGAAATGGAGCTAACTCATCACGTGGGAGGCAAACTTCGGGGTTAATTTCGTGGATTACAGTACAGAGTGGGGTTGCTGCCGGAGAAAGCTTTCAAGAGGGTTCTTTCATGTTACTTTCCCGCGTTTAGTTTGGTTGAAGTGGCTGCAAAGCACTGGGAACCTTCAAATCTACATCACTAGTAATGAAATTCGTGCAGACCAAATACGAGAATGCCGTTTTTGATCTAATGTTATGAAACTTGAATATGTTGAAAAGGCCGATTCTATGTTGGCTCGGAACCTATGTCTATCGCGATAGGAAATTGGATTATCATTGAAGAAAAGACGCAACAGCATCCGAAACTCCTTTTACATCCTCAAAGATATGCCAATGACCAACTTGAGGTAGTACATGGACCTTAGCTCCCTTGATTTCCGTTGAGTACTTTTCACAGAGTTGGGGAGGCGAGACCTTATCTTCATCTCCAGTCACAATCAATACCCTGGCTTTAATTTGTGCCACATGGAGAGGTTCTGATGCCCCTGCAAGTGCTGTGCACCCTTTTGCGTATCCTTCAGGATCTTGCGACAAGAGCGACATCCGCACGGCGGCAATTCCGATTGGGTTGTCAGTCTTCGACTTTGCTGAAGTCCCTGCCGTGACGACTGCATCTACCACAGCAGCAATTCCCGAGGACCTGACAATTGTTGCTCGCGCAATGGACCCAGCTCGACCAGCTTCTGGCAAGGGGGTAGGCGGTGGGCCAAGCAAGACTAACTTGGAAACAAGTTCCGGGGCCTTTAATGCTAAAGTGAGAGCAACAAGGCAACCCATGCTGTGTGCGACGACTGTGGCCCCCGAGATCCTGGCTTTTCGTGCCAGAGCATGGAAGTCAGAGGCGTAACTGGAAATCGAGACGGACGATGCTGCGGAGGTTGGGGATAGGCCATGGCCTTCGAGATCGAGCAAATGAAGAGAATGATTTCTCTCGAGTCCGAGAGATGAAATCAAAGGTGTGTACAACTCCGAACTGCCGCCAAGACCATGGATGAAGATAATAGGATCACCAGTTGGAATCCCAGCATGTCGATAGTAGAGCTGTTTTGAATTGATTGATGTAAGCCCAACACCGCCACACGACTTGTTCAAATTGCTGATCGGAATATGGGAGTAATTAGTGATCCGGGAGACTGTTTGGTTCCTTGCCGATGGCTCAGCGATGATGTTCTTCAATGTGCCGAGACCGGTTACGGAAACTTCAACGACGTCACCAGGCTTTAAGAAGACGGGAGGCTTTTGCCCGAACCCTACACCAGCTGGCGTGCCAGTCGCAATGACATCTCCTGGTTGAATAGTTTGTCCAGCGGAGAGCGTCTTGACCAGGAAAGGGATGGAAAATATGAGATCGTCGGTAGTAGAGTCTTGACGCTTTTCACCATTTACTTTTGTTTGTACTCGAAGTGTTTTGGGGAGTTTCGAAGCTGGGACAGCGATGGGGCCCTACATTTTGTTAAAAGGTGGGTCCAACAAGAATTCCCATACTCACCATAGGGCAAAAGGTGTCTGGAGATTTCCCAATGTAGAACTGCTTGTGGTCCCTTTGTCGTTCTCGTGCAGTCATATCATTGACGATAGTATAGCCCCAAACGTGGCTCATGGCCTCGGCTTCCCCGATCTTGAACCCACTTTTGCCAATGATCACTCCGATCTCCCCTTCATAGTCCACAGTGTCTGTAAATCCAGGATGCGGGTAGATTGGTTCTCCGTGAGCAATAATGCTTGTGGCACGTTTGGTGAAAATAACGGGGTGCGTTGGCTGATCCGTTTTGTCGCTGGAGTCGTAACCCGAAGAGTTAAATTCGATGGCATGCTCGAAATAGTTTTTACCAACCGCGAGGATGTCTCTGCCGCTAATGGGAGCTTGGAGTTCCACTGAAGACAGCTGAATTGATTCACCTGCTGGCTTGATCTGGGACTCGCCAATTTCAATGACCTGATATAGGTCGGTGAGTGGTGTACCGGATGCGAAGCTCAGGGGCTGAATGGAGGATGTTTCGAGGTTGAGATGTCCAATTCGAGGCTGGTTCAACGCCTTTGGGTCGAGATACGCGACATAATTCGTGGGGTCGGTGCTGGCACCGTTTGTGTGACCGTTTGGTGCCATTTGTGGGAGCTCGAGGACAGTTCGAAGGTCGTTCTGCTAACGGCTTGGGACAACGATTGGTGGGCTGACTAGGAACGTGGGTTCTGTTGAATATTCCTGGGAGAAATAATACAATATCTAGATCGAAATTGAATGCCGATGCATTGAATAGTATATGTGGTTGAAGATGGACGAAGCATTTTTGAGATCTGAGGTTTCATCCACCACAGACAGCTCGGAAGAGCCCCGCTGTTGACCACCTACCAAATCTACCAGTGACGTGGGAGAGTTCCGCTGCCGAAGCTTGGTGTGCAGGCGATCCCCCACCTTCTCCGCGATCTCCGCGATCTCCGAATCATCCCCGGCCTGCCCGCCCCTCCTTTTTTTCCTTCTCACGTCAAGCTATCACCGCCAAGGAGACTTGCAAGAAAGTGGAAATGACAGGAGGATGTGGGCTCAATCATATGCAGGCAGTCCTTGGCTTAGCATGTTTCTCCGCAATGAGCTACAGTCTCGGCCCCGACTTGCGGAGATGGATGTTTTCCACTTTCCAAATGGCTAGCAATTACCCCAGGCTTGTGACCATATACCATATGTGAATTCGAAATGTCTGACTAGCATGAATATGCTCTTATTAAAAGTCTGGTCATACCCTCAACAATCGCAGATTACTCAACCATCCAACGACATCTAACGAGACCTCTCAGTATTACCCACTATCCCAAACAATTTTCGAAATGTCTTCGGAAGGCCATGATTCCTACGACCATGCCAACAAGATGGAGGCAGCGAATGGTGCAAGCGCCGCCCAGCTGGAGAGACTTAAGACCGCCGGCGGCCACGTCAACGACAGGACTCAGCCGTCTCTTCCTGTAGTCCATCGAAGCTTCGCAAACCCGGCTCCTCTGGGATTGTTATCCTTTGCGACTGGTATGAACTTTTCTTGATTCTACCTTGGAATTTGCTAAGAAGTGATCAGGAATCTTCCTCATCTCCATCTTCGGTGTAAAAGTTCGAGGTGTAGCAACCCCGAATGTCTTGATTGGTGTGTTAATCTTCTTTGGAGGGGTTTGCCAATTTATTTCTGGAATAATGGAATTCATCAGCGGAAATACGGTGAGTTGCTCTTCCCTATAGTTTATTCAGTGCTAATGTTTGTCTTCAGTTCGGCGCAACTGTCTTCCCCTCCTATGGAGCGTTCAACCTGTCCTATGCTTTAATCTATCTTCCCGGTTCCGGGATCCTGGCAGCATACACCGACGCAACTACTGGTGAACTCAATGCCCAATTTCCGAATGCCCTCGCCATGTACCTTTGGGCTTGGTTCATTCTTACCGTCATCTTCACCGTAGCTGCTATGCGCTCTTCTTGGGTGTTGTTCCTGGATTTGTTCTTCCTCGACATTGTGCTTCTTCTTCTGGCCTGCGGATACATGCTCAACGACTCGCGATTAGAAACTGCTGGAAGTGCGTTGGGATTTGTGGTGGCATTTTTGAGCTGTAAGTTGTCGCCTGCCTGCATTGGAAAATCTGCTGATCAACGAGCAGATTGGGCTGGGACTGCGGGACTGTTTGCGAATGGCATTACTCCTATCAACCTTCCTGTCTTCCCAATGTACAGAGAAGAATAATTACGAAAAGCCTTGAGCTGTGGGGTCCGGAGGCTCACAAGTGAGGACGTGGGTTTAAAGTATGAGATCGGAGTCCTTGATAGCTAGCTTGAAGCTTTTGTAATGTCCAAATTTATTCGAATGAAGACCATTACACACTTTAATTTCTTCGGCATAATTGATTTGTGCGTTAGGTGATCTCGAATGGTATCGAATTCTACTCTACCCAAATCTCCCTGATACCAGATACCGGATAACGGAAAATATTCTATCTTTCTTTTCTACCACTATCGGAGAAGCTGAACCTTGATTTCAATCCCAATCGCCGTCCCCCAGCTTTCTCAATCCCACATACTTCTGTGGTTCTTTGAACTTATTTATCATCCCATCCGTCCTCCCAACTCTTAACGGCTTGCCAAATTCCTCCATCTCCTTCTTGCCATGAAATCTCCAAAACTGCCAACTACATTCCGCCCCACTGAAAGACCTGATAATCTGTTCACCGCCAGGGTGCTCTTTCAAGAATTTTGAACAATCATAAACGATATTATCGACCACAATGACTTCCCCGTATTAGCGTAAAATATGAACCAGGAATCACAATTGAACTTACACAAACCCCCATTTTCCACAGAATTCCTCTTCTTCACTTTCTCGGCTGGTATGAAGGTGTCACGTGCTGCGCACAGGCGTATATATAGCTTCTTCACCGCCCTTAGGGCACCATCATTCATACATATATTTACACAAACACACCACATTCCACTTCCACAGCTTGTCCAGGCCGTGACAGAAGGGAAGCCTTTCATCTGGGATGTCGCGGCTGATGATTGGGAATAATTCGGAGACTGTTGAAGTTGCGGGACCTATAGATACAGTCTCAATGTGCTGGGTCGTGTACTTTAGATCCTCCTCAAAAGCTGGGGGAGCTGTTGTGGCGGAACGTGCACCGAGCTTAAGCCACCCCATGGCTCGCGGAGTCGAAGGTATGGGAGAAGATGGCGTGTAAGAAACTGAACGAAAAAACTTGAACGGGTCAAAGAGTCGGTCTGAGCAGGGTTCTCGGGGTGTGTGTTGGTAACGTGGCAATATGCGTATGTCATGTTGAGCTTTAACGTCGACGTTTTCCACTGAGGTCGCTCACGGATCCACAGCAAGGGTTAGAGGCGGAGATGGCGGGGCTCAAATATCGTACTGGCAAAGTGGCTAGTGCTCATCATTCTAAATTCCCTTTCCGCAGTGACGGAAATTAATCAGAAACCATTCTCACTGGAGGTGTTTCACATATCGGGAAAGCTGGTATTGGTGACTACTCGAGCACTTTTAAACCTTGCTACCTCGGTTCCCTTTTCATAAAGCCTGTTTCGGCAATCTTCCGTGAACCACAAATCTGGAACTCTGGACAGTATCATACCTTTTTTAAAGGTTCAGAGAACTCACATTTGGTATCAGGCAAATCTTTCCTCACACCTGCAAGTCAGTCATTATCTCTTCAGTTGCCCAATCCAATGCCCTCAAGACCTTTAAGCTAATCCCTCTAAACCGTTGCTAAGGTCTTGCTGAAAGAACGCGCCGATTGACTTTCGTACTTTCCCTTCGCCCAAGGGCTGGTTGGCCAGAAAAATCGCTTTTCTAACACGTCCTCGAAGCCAATTTCCTCCAGCCACTGCTTGTAATGCTGGGTATTGGCCCTCGGCCGCCCTGCTTTTGTTGCGCCGTCATTCAAGAGCAGAGCCCACGTGTACAGGTTCGAGTTGATTTGTGGCTCGCCAATGTATCCAAGTGGGGAAAGCGCGATAAGACCCTTTTCTGCTTTGCTTGACAATATTAGATATCCTACCAACAACGCATTCGGGCCCTAGGCGGACGATTTTTATGCTCAAAAATATTGGCCTAAATGTCCTCCACCTTTTATAAGTAAAGGAACCGTTGCAGAAGTGAGCAATACACAGGAAGAAACTCAGCAGCGAAATGTTACCATCTTGGAACTCTTGGAACTCTACAAAAAATCTAAATAATTGTTTCATTTATTATCACAAGCCGCGAAATGGCTACAAGCAAATGCTTCTATATCTATTATTTTGCTAGAGGCAGATAAATGTTGTGCAATACAAGCTATTGAACTTTTGAACTGTTGAGAGTGAAAATAACCGGGCGGTTCTCATACTTGAGTGCGATAATAGGGCAGGACCACACCTGTTCTCCAAGCAGAAAACCACATTCTGGTTTCTTTGTCATCACAATGTCCAATATATTCAGGATCAGTGGCTCTAGACACATTTTAGCCCACTAATCTATGCTCAATACCATTGTGCCAAGCGTTCCAAGGTCCTCCGGGACAGATATGCGTCGACGTGAATCCACGGACAGCCATCAATTCGCCTCCCTTCAGAATTTTGAGACGAGAAACCTTGTATTCTGAAATCTTGAGCAAAGAGCTCGACTTCCGAACTGACAGCCCGGAGTTCTAGATCGACAACGGGGATGGCGGAGTGCAAGCGGAGAAGGCGGAGAAGGCGGGAACGACTTTGAGCCTATTTCTGCACTAAGCAGTTCGTGCTGCACCCCCGCATTTTGCAACAACCTCCGCTATCCAACCACCAAGTGGAGTGGCCCGACACTTGGAAAGCACCAACCTCGGTCTGGGTCTCCATTGGGTGCAATAGACTGGGTCACCTTACCTGACGGTGTTAAACCTCCTCCGTCTCTCCGAACAGCCCCAACTGAATGCGGGGAAGTTATGCGAATGAAAGACTAGACGCGAGACCTAAGTTTCGAAAGCCAACAACAACTTATAAGCATTCAACGACTTCCCATAGCACTGAGTTCCCCCCATTGCTTCTACAGCTCTATTTCCCTCCTCGATACGTCCATAATGGCCCCTTCAAGGACCGGCGATCCACTCCCAAGCTTCAGTCAAACCAGCACGATAAGTGAGCCATACAATGGACCTCCTCGGAATCTGGCAAATATCAACGCTATCAACTTCGACAAGGCCCTTCAGCCAAAGAAATACGAGATTCTTGGCACGCATCCAGAATCAAAGATCCTGTTCACCGATGTCAATATTCTTGACTCAACTGGAAAGGATCTGTACCGAGGGGATGTTCTCATCGAAGGAGAGAGGATTGCCAAGGTTGGCGTCGTTCCAGATGCCGATGAATTGAAGAAAGACCCGAAGGTTAGAGTGTTCCAGGGCAGAGGCCGGACGCTGATGAGTGGGTTGGGCGATGCTCATACTCATTTTACGTGGAACGGGGGAGATTTGAACCGACTGGGTGAACTCCCTGTTGAGGAGCACGTACTGTTGACAGCCAGGAGCGCACAATGCTACATCGACTCGGGTTACACAATATATGTGTGATCGTGTGGAAGGGCCAAAATAAGCTAATAATTCCAAGGTGTTTCGGTGCAGCGTCTGCTAAAGACAGGCTAGATGTTGTCATTCGTGATGCAATCAACGCAGGAGATATTCCAGGACCCCGCTACCTAGCAAACGGAAAGGAGATGGCTCGGAGGGTATGCCAACTTGACTCCTTTACAATATCTAGATAGTCGTGGAACATTCTTGGCCTCTTCCTCAAAGATCTCAAGAGTGCCCGCGAGTCGGAACAGTTTATGAATATTGCTGACTCCGAGATTACTAGGACGGAGAACTTGTTGCTGGCATTACTGCTTATGCTGATGGTCCGGATGAGATGAGAGAAGTTATCCGGCATCACGTCGACATTGGAGTTGATCAGATCAAACTCAGCATGAGCGGAGAAGAAGTAAGTTAAGCCATCAGAGGTTGTTTTCCCCGTTAATAGGTCAAAGATCACAGAAATTCGGTCGGCACAGGATTGCTACTTCTCCGACGAGGAAACAGCTGCGTGTGTCGATGAAGCACATGCATTAGGGAAAAGGCTTTGTGCACACGCTCGAGCTCGTGACTCGGTGAAGATGTGCGTAAGGCATGGGGTGGATGTAATTTATCACGCTTCATTTATTGACCACGAGGGCATGGATATGCTCGAAGCCAAGAAGACAAAGCATATTGTGGCACCTGGTATTAATTGGTTGATAGCTACTCGTAAGTGATGTGCAAAACTCAAGCCTGCATTTATCGGCTGATTTATTCCTAGTCCATGATGCCGCCGCCTTCGGGTATCCTAACGAGAAGGCCCAAGAAGTTGGGTATCAGAAAGAGCTCGACGCTGCCATCCGCGGACTACGAGAGATGCACAGAAGAGGGATCACAGTCCTTCCTGGTGGTGACTATGGCTTCGCTTGGACCCCTCACGGCACCTACGCCAGGGATCTGGAGCATTTCGTGAAGCTACTCGGCTTCACCACTATGGAATCCATCATTGCTGCCACAGCTGGCGTCGCGAAGCTTTTCATGCGAGAGAATGAGCTAGGCAAAATTCAGGAGGGTTTCTATGCAGATTGTATTTTGGTTGATGGAAATCCCCTGGAAGATATCGCTGTACTTCAAGATCATGACAAGTTGAACGTTATTGTGATCAATGGAAGGGTGCACAAGGCAGGAAGAAAGGAGTATGTGGCGCCACCAGTTGCCGGGCAGGATCACAATGTACATCCGATTGTGCCTGACTTCCCTGAAGTCAAGAAGGAGATGCAGAAAAATTATTAATGTGATTGTTTGCTGGCGTTAGGGAATGGAAGGGGTCAACCGTGAAAGGCCACAAATCAAAGTGTGGTAAAAGTTTCGTGTAATTCCTTCTTATATTTGAAGCTATTTGTTTCCGCAAAATAAAATGTTTGTGAGGTATTCCCCTGACTGCACCATGTAGCCGTTTTTCTGTCCTGGCATAGGGGATTTCAAGAGGTTATTATATCTGTTTCTTATATAGAGAGGTGAGATGTCACATTGCAATTAAAAATACCCACATTTCTGAGGATCCAGACATAAGATGTGCCTAGAACATAGTAATTCATTAACTACCAAATAACTCAATTATCTGCTCCTCTTTTACCTTGACTTCATAAAACCTTGGATCTACTAGCCCGGAGTAGTACTGTCGAGCTATCATGTGCAGAAGTTCGACAATTACGGATAGCCATAATAACTTCTAAATATAGCAATTGTTATTATCCCTCATCCTTGGTAGTCACCACCTCAAACCGAAGAGCAGCAAAGTATCGTGCATTGCAATGACTTATTTTGTTCCTGTACAAACCTTTCTTCCAATCTTTTGAAGTGTTCGGTTGAGGATATGGGCTTAATCCAAACCTTTCCACAATATTCACTTCCTGAGTTTTTAGGTAAAGTGGTATAGAAATAGTGTTTGTTTCATAGAACACAATTTTTAGACACATTCAGCTTGTGCTGTCGTGTGTAATGCATGGCCAGATTATGGACTTCACAGAGGCCAGCAAATTGTCATATCTATGTGTTGACCAGGCATATAACAAAACCACCCAGCTAAAGTGCAATTTCATGAAAATAAACATAATAGGAAAGAGACCATCAACTCGATGAGCCCTTGAATTTGCTTCAGTCCTTCCACTTATATGTTTCCTATCAATGAAACTAAAAAAGAAACGATAGGCTCCATTTACGGCAAGGCCAGGAAAACCTTCAGCCATTGGTCATACTTCGGCGTTCCAAGACAAGTACTGGATCCCACCCATAAAAAGGCCAGTAAGCTATTTGCTGAATTTACTATAGGCGAAACTTACAGGCACGCAAGAAAATCCATTGGTGCTACATCGGCCCAGGCTTTGATCCCCAACAGTGATGTCGTGGAACATTTGGGGAATGGCATAGAGGAGTGAGGTTTGCGAAATCGGTGGGTCCTTTGCCAATGGAAATGCGCTCGTCGTTGATTCGAGTGAAGATTGCTGCAACAAGAGGTGCTGACATTGAAGTTCCACCTTCCGATATGTTAAATACTTCAACTACGAGAGCAACATCTCTACCGTTGAGGAATCCTGCACCAAGGGTACCATTAAGTGATGAGTACGAAGGGTAGGGTGGGTTGTGGTTCGCGAAGTACAGTACTAGTCAACTTATATTTGCCGAACAACCCTTTTACACCCAAACTCGGTTGTAACACTTTCACAACTGGCCACATTACGGGCATTTTACAGTAAAAACGTGCCGATGCAATCGTTAATTGGATACTTCCCTTCGATTTCGCCTATTACGATAGTCCTAGGATTGCGTTATTATTAAGTTGTGTATATATAAATTCCTGCGTAATTGCCCGAGGCAACTTTTACACCAAAATTCGCTTAATTCCTAACGAAAATCGGGTCGTCGCAATTCACGATTTAATTATACTAGAACTACTTATTTCTAGATAATTTGGAATCGTAAGAAAGATTAACCGTATACTTTTCAATAGAAGAATAAGTTTCTATAGGGTTTCGCGCGTTGTGGGTGTTGCGATATATAGAGGGAAAGTAAGTAAAATCGCCATTTTGGTGGGGTTTCGGAAAGTTGGCGAATATCAGTTGACGGTGACTGTACCTGGGGTTACTCGTCGGCTAATCCTCACCCTGTTTGGGCCGCCTCGCTACGCTCGTCGGTTGCAGTAACTCCGACATACCACTAACTCCGATATTTTATATAATTAATTAAATATTAATATAATTATATAAGATATCGTAATAAAAAATTTATATTATTATAGAGCTTAATTAGCCTGTCAAAATAATATAATATAGGCCTTATATAACCTGTTTTAGCCTTTGTAATACGGAGATAAGTATTAATTTTTAGGCTAAAATTATTATATTATATTTACTTTTGCTATATATTAAGAGTCAAGTATAGGAATTACTCTTATTTCATATAGTATTAGTTTCTTTAGCCTCCTATTAATATTATATACTAGCCTGTATACTAGTTTCCGTACTTTGGGTATTAATAGTATTAATCTTGCGCTTTTTCCCCCTAGGCTTCTTTCCCTGAGCAAGTAACTCCTGTCTTCTAGCCTCCTTTACTTCTTCTTCTATTCTCTTTCTCTTATTTCTTTTAGCTCTCTCTTATTCTCTTCTTATGGCCTTTTCAAGCTTCTCCTGCTCCTTGCGAGTAATATCCTCTTCTCTTTTCCTCTCTTTTTTAACCTTATTAAGTTTAGCTTAATGGCGGCGTTTGGCCCTCTTAAGCTTCTTCCGAGCTTTAGTTAAAGTATTCTCCTCCTCCTGCTTCTTACGAGCCTTAATTTGATATAAACCATTTCCAGATAAGATAACTCGACCCCCCCCTAGTGGCTTCACGTGCTTTTGAAGGTTCTCTTTATCTATAAAAGAAGAAGGCTTAGCCCATATACTTTTTTTATCTTTTTTAGTAAGGTTCTCGCATATAATTATACCCAAATTAGCCTTAATCTGGGCTTCTTTCCTGAACTTATAATTAGATAATTACCTAGAAGGCAAGGATATCTTATCTTTATACTTTTCCAAAAAGGTAGTATATTTATATATATCTTTTGCTCTATAGAATATCTGGAAAAAGGGAGTTCTAGTATACTACTAATTATCTAGTCCGCGAATTCCTGAGTTCTCCTTACTATAATTAGTAAGCCTAGCTTCAGAAAAGGGTTCTACTAGATTATCTATAATATTTCTAATCTCGTTTTCGATTTCCAAAGCCCTAGGAAATAATAGAAGCTCTAAATCGTCTTTATTATTCTTATTAAGCTTGCTTAGGAATTCAGGGATATTATATAATTCGGGCTATTACTTTTATATTATTAATTCCCTAGGCTTTATTCGGAGTTATGGTTTATTAGATAAAGGTATATAAATTCTAAGTAATAGATTAGTCTTGCTATAATTATAAATACGTCCTCTAGTACTCTTATTACTTAGTTTCTTGGCTATTTATTTCTTAAGAGCCTTTAAAACCATATTAGGATTAAATAGGTAAATACTAGTTTTTGCGAAAGCCAAATATATATTCTTTTTAGTAAAAGCTAGAGCTCTGATTTACTCATAGTACTATAGGAAAGTTATTTTCGTAAAATTGTTTTTATTTTTATAAATCTTGTCTTTAATTACTCTTAAATACTAGTACTTTTCCTGCTAGAAATACGTAATATCTAATAGTTAATACAGGTATATAAAGTATATAATTAGATAGAAATAGATAATATCTAAAGACTCTATAGCTTAAATAAATTCGTATATTATATAGCTTCTATATCTATTAAATATTAGAAAACGATATCTGCCCTTAACTTATAATTTAGTCTATTAGTAGAAATGCCATAGCTACTTATAGGCTAGCTTATTATTCATATATTCATTTTCAGAGGTTATAATTTTAATGTTTAGGGCTAGATTATTATTAAAATGCTTCTATATAAATATACTATCTAGTATAATAATAAATAGATTAAGCTCCCAGAAACTAGTAAATATATATTTTATAGCTATAACTAGCTTTCTTTATATAAGATTCTTTATAAATACCTAAACTTAGTTAATATAATTATATTTTTAGGGGCATTTTTAATAGGGTAGTTTTTTACTTATATACTTTATATTCTTATAAGTAATTATAATAGTACTTTATATATATCTTACCCGGAATCTAATCTTGTCTATATTATATTAATTACTCTCGTAAATATTATACTTTTCCTTTATGGCCTTTAGATTATTAAAGTACTTTATAATAATTTCGGGGATAAGAGTATTCTTTCTTTTATAGTTTATAGGCTTAGTATAAACTATATGATACTGGCCTAATTTCCTCTGTTTTTCTACCTAATAAAGGGCCTATATATCTCTAATTCGGTCTATAGGAGAGAGTATTTAACCCGTAGCCTTCAAAATTAATATAGCTATTATAATAACTATATTATATTATAAAGGGTAATTCCTCTTAATATATATATTTATATACTATATTAAGCTTGCTTTCTGGGCCTTATTTAAATACGTATTATATCCTCTATTTTCCGAAAGAGGCTTAGATCCTTTATATTAATTGAAACATATTAAGTAAGGCATATTAAATATAGAGGCAGAGATTTATAGGTTTGTAATTTCGGTTTCTGCAGGATCCTTTCAAGTACATATGGCCTTCTTTATTCGCTCCTCCTATACTATATACTAAACCGTCTTATACTATAGGAGTTTTTTGAGCCTCTAAACCACTTCCTCGTTCTTTTCTCTCGCTATACGGCATATGGCTTTAGGCATGGTGGCGTATTCGATGATTTAGATAGGAATAGAGTAGTATTAAGAAGTAAATTAGATATGATTTTTATATATAAGATTATACCGAGGCCGCTTAGTAAGCTCCGATAATTTACTTAATTAATTATTACTATAACCGGATATGCTTTAATTAAAAAATACTTTATTAGGTAATTACTAGTCTAAGTAAGGGCTATAATTATATAAAAAAATTATTTTAATTGGATATATGGTTATTTTTTAATATAATAAAAACGACTAAAAATCGATGTCGGAGTTGCTGCAATGTCGGACTTGCTGCAACCAGCGAGCTTAGCGAGCTGGCCCGAACTGGGTGCGGAATTGCCTGCGAGTAGTCAGGAAAAGAAAGATTTAACTGATTTAATTCGCGAACTTACGAATTGATGGCGTCTTGCTGGTAGCTGGGTTGAGCATATATGTTACTGAAACCACCCCCAGAGAAGAAACTGGTAACCGCCGTCTCACAGTTAATTAGTCAGTCTGAATATATTCTATATCAGAGAGTTTCCCGACTCCAATTCTTTCAAAACAATTATTGCTCTCAGGCCTTCAATTCGGATTGCCTCTTTACATCTTTAGAGCCTTAAACTTTTCCGCAGCATCTACCAGTGCCTCCTCAATCTTGTTCTCATGTGCACTATGCCCACAATCCGCTATAACCGAATACTCTACATTCGAATTCTCCTTCCCTCCAAGTGCCTGATACAAGTCCCAACTCGTCTTTGCCGGACAAACAACATCATACCTGCCCTGCACAATAATTATTGGTAAATGCTTAATTTTATACGCCTCTTCAATTAATTGCCCATCGCGCATCCACCCAGCATTGACAAAGAAGTGGCACTCAATGCGAGCACACGCAAGGGCCCATTTTGGATTCTCTGCTTTTTTAATATATTCCCGGTTCACGATCAACTCGACTGCAGAACTCTCCCAGGTGCTCCATGCACCGGCACATTTCAGCTTCTCCTCCTCATCATCGCCTGTGAGTCTCTTATAGTATGCTTTTATCATATCACCCCTTTCTGCCTCAGGGATGCAAGCTTTATACGGCTCAAAATAATCAGGGAACAGCCTGTCTGCCCCCTTCTGGTAAAACCACTCCAACTCTTCGCGGCGAAGGGTAAAGATCCCCCGGAGGATCAGGCCTATACAGCGCTCAGTGTGCCTCTGGGAATACGCCAGTGATAAAGTAGAGCCCCACGAGCCGCCAAATACTATCCACTTTTCGATTTCCAGGTGTTTTCGGAGTGCTTCAATGTCGGCGACAAGGGTCCAGGTTGTGTTGTCATCGAGGGAGGCGGAAGGGAGGGATTTGCCAGAGCCACGCTGGTCGAAGAGGATGCTGCGGTAGTGGGTTGGGTCGAAGTACTGTCTATCCGAGTCCACGGTTCCTTGGTCACAGGCTTAGTACAACTAAACGAGGATATAGTTAGCCGTGATACCTTACCTTCTCCTGGACCCCCATGCAGGTGTACGATAGGAACACCAGTTGCGATGCCACAATCTTCGTAGTAAATTGAGTGAATAGAGGAGACTTGAAGGTGGCCAGACTCCCGTACTGGAAAGGGGGAATGGATTGGCGCCATTGTGGAAGGACGTTCTCCTTGTGGTTAATACACAGAAATTGTTTCGTGCCAAAATGGACGTCTCTTACTGTAAAATCAAACAATGGCTGTTTGCTGCTTGTCAGCTGAAATTAGCTGTAAATTATTACTCGTGCTCGCGGCAGGCAAAGGCTGGTGGGTACAGGGGCGGAGGAAGTCTTCATGTGATGAGGCGGCCCAGCAGCCTGGATTGAGCCGGCCCCCGAACCCCCCTGTCTGATTAATTAAACAGGTTCTATTCAGACGCGTGGAAGGCCGGGTGGCATTCCGATTTAAACCTCGGGCTGCAACGAGTGCGGCAGTGCGCCGCAGTGCTTGGAGCCGAATATTTTAAAATAGAATGACGGTGGATTTAACGATACCCCTGAGCCTGGCCCGGTACAGACTTCTAGGCCGCACGAATAAAGCTTGTTTTTTATCGGACCTACTATGACTTATCCAGTAACTGCTCCGGTGCTACTTCCCTTTTGAAATCGCAAGCAGGGTTTTGGACCAGCATAAACTAGATAACTCAAGCCGCAAATAGTATTTGTATCCGATGTGCGACCCACTATTTACATGCAGTAGCAAAGCTTATTGAATTTCGCCGGATCGTGTCCGGATCGGGAGCTTTTCAGCCTGTGCACTGTGTCCAGAGGGGAATTCCATGTCACTATTTCTAATCGCTTAAGCAATACCACCGCACCTTACCTTGCCCTTCAGGTTGCTTCTTTGTATTAGGAGAAGTTCTTACGAGCCCAGCCTCATAGATCTGTGCACTACAGGGCATTTCACATACAAATGAAAATCCAAATTCTTCTAAACTTTAGCAGTTTTGATTTTGCGAAGTGTAATTTAGCCATTTCCATACCCTCTCCCACGATCATAGACTATTGCAACTAATAAAGGTTGTGAGATTTTGAAGTGACAGTCGTGACTTCTGGGTTTTAATGCCTGAAGGCGTTTTCGCGAAGCCTGAAAACTCCGAGAAAAAGCCCTGTGCGCACAGACCCATGAGGCTGGGCTCGTTAGGTGCGGGGTAACTACAGGACAGGATTGGCAGCCTGGAAAGTTCCCTGTCCGGAGGGACAACCCCGTACTTCCGCGAGCTCAGGAGAAATAACCAAAAAGGGACGAGTGCCGAAGCGTTGGAATATCTGTACCCCAGGACTCGCCAATGAAGCCCTGTATTGGTTTTTAGGTTCGATATATTTCGGAGAAATGGTCATTCAAACTTTACTTAACCACGCTCTAATCCGCACGAACAAGCAAGCTCTTCAATCTTGTTTATCCCTTCTAGTATTTTCTCAGATCTTAGTCATCCTTAACATTTTCAAATTCCTCGTGTAGTACTGAATAGAACTATGCAGCCCAAATATTTGCTCGTCGCTATTATTAGCACAGTTTCTGCGCTGCCTTCTGAAAATCTTCACATTTGGCAACCTCCCAACCCAACAGATCGTCAGTCCCCCCCCCATCTCGCGCATTCCAGAAGGATTCGAGATCTGACTCCGACTTAGGCCGAAGCCCTTGTCCCATGTTAAATACGCTGGCAAACCACGGGTTCCTCCCACGTAATGGTGTCAATGTTTCTCTGGATGATCTAATCACCGGGCTCAGCGAATCTATCAACCTCGCAGCAGCTGCCACAGAAACTCCTGGAGAAATCGCCCTGACAACCTCCACGACTGGCAATGCATCGACTTTCAACCTCGATGATTTGGATAAGCACCACAGTAAGCCTGAATCATGGTCTTTTAATTAACGTAGAGAATCGGAGTTAATATTCTGCACAGTCCTTGAGCATGACGCTAGTCTAAGCCGCAATGATTTCTACTTCGGCGACGACCACACCTTTAACAGGACGATCTGGGGCCAAACCCTCACCCACTTTCCCAACCGCACCATCTCCTTTGCTAACGCTGCGGCTGCACGGTCAGCCAGAATTGCTGCAGCTGCAGCTGTGAACCCGCAGTTCAACATGACAGCTACGGAACACACAAACAGCTATTTCGAGTCTGCGCTATATATGGGGGTTTTTGGGAATCTCACGACCGGAAATGCGGTCACGAAGTTTGTCGAGATCCTTTTTAGTAAGTCTGCCTACTAGCTTGCCCACATTATGTGTACACGAAGGAACAACATTGCGACTCGTGCTCACAGTCTTGTAGCGCAAGAGAGACTTCCATATATAGAAGGCTGGAGGAAATCTGCCCAGGAAATTACATTTGATAACCTCTTGTACTTGGTCGGCCAATTGACTGCTGCGACGTAAGATTTGCCTAATCTGGATAGAAGGAAGGGGCGCTATAATATCAGAAGAGGAATGCGGATGGGATGCGAAGATACAATCGGTGTGTGTGTCTGTCGGCGTGTTTGAGCTATTAGGACATGGCTTAGTTTTAATGGCTTGAATGCGTATTCACGTGATCCGCAGCCAAGTCCTTTCCGCGCTACTTTGAACAGTGATTCTGTTTTCGAATTTCAGTTCATTCCAAATGCGCCGTGCTTAAAGAATACCAAATGGCTATACCCTAATCAGCCATCGTCCCCAGACTCTTTATCCGAGCTGGACTCTGCCTTCTCCTGCTGATCTTGAAATCTTTGAATCACCGCGTCATTGACCATGAGTCCAGCGTATCGGCTGCAGTTCTGTACTGAGATACGCGTTGTTCTCAGGCTTTGGCTTTCTTTCTTTGACTTCCGCCGAGTATGCTATAGGTTCCGATTGCCCTCTCTAATATGCACGTTGGTTGCCGCAAGTCTTTCCAAGACGCGTCTCTCTCCGGGTTGGCAGATGGAAGAGGGGGGATGGGGAGCCTGGGAAAGTCTTCCACGAGGTATGTCCATCGAATAGTAGCAGCAAGAACCAAATCCAGACCACCAATCTCCGCATGGCACCTGGAAAACCTGGCTAGCCATAGCCACGCAAGGTCCAACTTGGAGCCCCATCTTCCGCTAGCACACTAAGATCTATCTTCACTGCATTCTATGCTCCACTTACTAACCACGAATGTAGGATAATTCCGTTCTACTAGCACTAGATTCAAGCTTTCAACTATACCAGTTAGTACTAGTACCAATCAGGAACGACGCCTCCTACATCTAAAGCCACAAGCACGAGATGGGCTACAGTCGATCCGATCCAAAAGCGACAAAAAAAGAAAAGTCTACCAAAATACTAATTGATATAAATCATATTAATCGGAACTATCGTATATCTTATAGTAATTATTTCCTTAGTCTCCGATTTTTAATACCTTTAATATTACAGAAGTTACAAAGCACGTGACCATTTTTATACGAGCTCGCATAGAAATTTTGGCGTTTTGTAAGAGTAAAAAATCACATCTCGTATAGGATACGAGGCTGCACGTGATTAAAATTATGAACTTTTTATACTTTATATTCTCTTTAGTAGTAACTCTTAAAATTTAGGCTCTTACTAGACATACTAAGCTTATAGAAGCTTAAGGAGCCTTATAAGACCTTATAAGTCTAAGTTTAATTTATTATTTACTTAGGTACACGTGACTTTCGTGAAATATTTTGGCGTTTTGTATGGTCAGAAATCAAAAAAGTAAGAAACGTCCGTGCACTTCAAAACTCGATTACTAATTAACCACAAATCGCATTAAAAATCTGATTAATAGGTTTTATTCGCTTGCTTCTTCTCTATAATTACATTACTTAGTATTAAGTACTCGGGGTTGTGATTAAAAAGTTATTATGGATGGGGGGCGACCGTTTTGTCGCTTTTGGATCGGACCGACTGTACCCAAAGTTTAAGAATCCTCTAAAAAGTAAAGTATACATCTGAGGTCAAGTTAACAACTCGTCGCAGTAATTCAATCAGGCTATTGGGGTGGCGGAATTACTAGCCAGGGGAGTGCCGGGTCCAGCAACATATTGCAGTTGGGACATTTCGAAAGGCCAAGAAGAACCACGACACTTGGAGTAGCAGGGACAATTGTTGGCCCAATCGCAGAGATATAATGGCAAGAAGCAGTGATCTCGTCTTCCGGAACTCGCAGCAGCCAGGCGAGTTAGGACAAGCTGAATACGGGGGCAGAAGCGAGGTTTTGCGGGAAGGGATAGACAGGGGAAGGATATCTTCGTGCCAGTATCGTAATACCAGTAGGTTGGACCCTTCTCAGTAGACCCGGAGGTGGGGGTTGGAAGACAGAAAACGGTGAGGTGTGTCTTCCGTAAAAGTAATGCACCAGTGCTGACATTGTCTCCCCTGTAGCAACGAGACACACCAAGGTCTTTTCGAGAACCCAAAATGCAAACAATATACGAAAGCAGGGAGAAAGCCGTGTTGTGGAGGGGGAATACATTACAGCGAGACAATTCATCCTGGTGTGGCTAGAATTCAAAGCGGCGGCTGCTTTACTTTGCTCAACAAACGCCTTCTACCAGATATCCTCAATTTCGACGAGTTCAATTGTATTCTTGATGGAAAGGAGGCAATAAAGAATCATTTTGTAAGGTTCCCATGGCCTAGGAAGCATGTTTTGCGGACTTCTAATTCGCTGCGTGCTGCAGGACGAGAGCCACATTGCTCGACTGGACTCTGAAGTCTGCAACACAAACAGCCCCTTCTCCATACAAGCCCTCGAAAACGAAACAAAGTAAACAAGATCTGGAAGAATATGGGAGAGGCCCTATATAGTTGGATCGTGTCTTGAATACAGCAATTGGTCTATTCTTTTGGATTAGCAGCGCAATAGCACCTCTAGCAGACGGCAATCTTGGGCGGAGCACATTTAACGAGGAGCATCGGCATCCTCGGACAGACTTGCTCTGCGGTGCATACTGTGTCAAGAGCAATGTCCACGTACCGATCTCAAGACATTCGTGTCAAGCAGCAGATTCAACATACTTGGTCCATGAGGCTTCGTCGTCGCTTACACAACGTCGTGAGAACGACAAATTGAGAAACTTCAAAATTTTATCTTCCCCCATCAGCGCAATCTCTTCTTCAAGTTTTTAATCCACCATCTTTTCCAGAAAGTATATCCCCAATCTCACCGGTCGTAGTCCCCGCTAAGCCACCCTTCTTTCCAACAAATCTTAAAACCGCAAGTATTTCAAGCCCCTTACCACCTGCAGACTGCGTTGTCAACTTCCGACCCGTGTCTCCTACTGGTTCCGATATCTGCCAGCAAGGCCGAGTCGTTGCCCGGCTCTTCTACCTTACCAGAGGAGGAGATAAATCACGTGTTTACCCCTGAATCCACGTGATTTGTCTGCTCTGATACTGCCTTACCCCTCACATTGCATCCTTCGAATACGAAATAATGTTCACCAGTCATTGAGTTTCAAGTATCGACGAATCAAGCCATGGCAGAAGTGCTCAGTGAAATATTGGCAGGCGTAGTTGTCTCTACAATATTCTAGTCGATGTTTCCAAGACTATGATAAATACAGATAGATCAGTTCTCCGAATTTGCACAAGCAAACAGTCATCATTTTATGGCCTGCTCCCATCACCGTCATTATCAATGTTGTCAAATTCAAACCGAAAATCGATCTCTTCAGAACAGGGAACAGCTCTTTGATTCGAAACTCTCCCTTGGTACATATGTCCCTCTTGTTACATTGGTACCTCTATTGCAAAAAGCACAAGGGCTCATGTTACAGCTTGGCTTTACTCATATTTTCACTATCACGGAAGCATACACCTTCTAAAGCATTCCAAGGCTGCTCCTGGATGCTCTCATTTTGCCATCTCTCCATTGGTGTGCCTCCACGCTCCGTCCCGCCAGTGTTGGAGTTGAATGCGCCTTGTGCCAGTGGTCGAGAGACATACTGGAAGGTTGCATGGCCCGCGGCGTTAGCATCTGTACTTTTAGAAGTATTCAGATAAGGGAATTTTCCAGTATAGGGTTGAGAAGGTTGCTGAGAAGCAGGCCCGTCGCAAGAGGCAACCTGGGCATGGCTGTGTGTGTAGTCGACTCGTTTGTTATGATCGTTCTGGAACCGCTTAGTTTTCTTACTGAGTATTGTTGCTTTCTTTTGGGTAACCTTACCATTGGGGAAATAAGAGGTAGCAGAGACTTGTATGGACGGGATAGGTGGTGTGCACTTTAGTCTTGATAGAAGAATTGCAAGTATATTTCTAGAGGTAAGGTATATGTTTCGTGCGCAGCACAAAGAAAAGTCAAGAAGTAATGATGATTGATATTTTGAAGAGACGGAAAAGTACAGATTGAGCGAGAGGTATGAGAAGAGCCTTTTTATATCTGCCAAGTGCTCTGTATGTCCTCTTCAAAGCCTCGTAAGTTTTACATTCCATATTTTTCTCACCCAAAACTGGCTCGATGACGGTTTTGCAACGATCAAATGAGACTAATAATTGAACTTGAGACCTGAAGGTTTTGAAATGAGCTAGTTAGGGCGTAGAGGCGAAATTGACCCTGAGGCTCGACGGTTTTATCCCCTGCGAATCAACACTGCATGTACAAAGCAAGGCGTCCATGCAAGTAATAATTGTTGTGTGGTGGATGTGATCTATCGCAAGACAGCTACCGTCTCGTTTGAGGCTTGAAGGTTTTGTTCTGATCCAATATGAAGTGCAGGAAACAGCCACAATCTGGAACTTTTCGGACCTGGCGGTTTTTTCATCGACCAATCATTAAACGACACCCACACCACACTGTTTTCTTGGGTAGGCGACTATTTGCACGTCAGTGAAATTTCCCTCTGCTTCGCCTGGTTAAGTATACAGACTTCAAGGACACCACATTCTTCCCTCTCACCTCCCAGAAATATTGCAGCTCCTCGAAGCTCTTGAACAATAGCCTCATATCCAGCCTTCTCTTTTGTACCCTCGCCTTAAATATTTCCCCATTCGAGTTTTGGTCTGCATCAGGCTGCCATGGCGTTGGATTGGGAGACTCACAAACATACGATTGAGCACCTTTTCAGCGATGAGAAAAGGACCTTGACAGATGTGATGTGCATCATGGAGGGGAAGTTCAAATTCGTTGCTAGGTAGGAGGCCAGTTATTCATCTCGCGAGGAACAATGTGTGCTGGCATAGACTAACATATCTTTAGTAAATCTGGCTATGAGAGACAGCTGAGGAAATGGGGCATCCGAAAGAACACATCCAGATCACATATAGCGTTCCTAAAGGTCAAGCTCTCACAGCGGCAGAAACAAAACAAAGACAGCTATGTCCACGTAAAGGGTGTCCAGCTTCCAAAACTCGAGATAGAGAAAAGGATCGCTCAATGTTATGTTCCTCTAACAGAGCAGTACGCACGTGAGTTGCTTTGTTCTCTTTTAAGAGTATGTGTTGCCTAACGATAAATAGTCGAGCGATGTAATACTCCACCTGGAGGGATGATTGTCATGACGCCAACATCGGACTGTTATATGCGCTGTGTGAAAGCGAAAGACCTTCCGTGGATATATTTTCGGAAACAGCTTTCGTCGATCAGTGGTAAAAACACCTGTTTATATCCTTGGTCAAGCTACTGACGAGATTAAGGAACCCTTAACATGCTGATCGACATGCCACCTGAAACCCTCAGAGCTATTATACCCGCCGTTGGTGCCGGAGTCGGTCTTTCAATTGAAGGTCAGGTAGAAAAAGTCATTCACCGTCTTTTTGCCACCTTACCGATGAAACAAGAAGATGATGCTTACTCTGTTTTTGGTCGAATTGTGGGAACCGACTACTCTCGTGCTTTGATAGAGATCTTGAAACTTACAGCTTTCCTATTATCGAACAAGCTCCTGTATGGAGAGACGTATGACTTGGTCTGCGATGAATTACTTAAGTGGTTCCAGATAGGAGACAACTACCTCTTGGTCAGGGCTATACTATCGCACAGGCTGCCAACGATTGAGGCCTTTGCCGAAGGGATATTTGCCAGTGCGCTAGAAGCTGAGGATCGACAAATGGTGGGAATTTTCCTTGACTTAGGCATGAACCCAAATATCATGATTGAAGGAAGAGAAGAGGGTGAGAGACAGACGGCACTGCAGTGTGCGACTCGAAGATCCAGTCTTGGTCTTGTTGAGCTTCTCTTAAAGTTTGGAGTAGATGTGGATTTAACACCGACATCAGGAGGATATATGCGTCCCTGGGATCCACTAACGGCACTTCAAACCGCTGTGGAAAATGGGAGTGTGGGGATTGCAAGACTGCTTATTTCGAGAGGCGCCACTGTGGAACGCCCGACAAGGAGAGTTTAACCTTATCACCCCTTCAACTTGCTGCAAGGGAGGGACATACAGAACTGGTGGAAATACTGCTCGAACATGAAGCGGATATCAACGTACAGTCTGGTGACCTCGGATGCCCCTTGGAGTGTGCAATCCGCGCTGGGGCGAACGATTTAGTTGAGATTCTTTTGAAGCATAGTGCAGACATCAACCCTGAGCCCAAGCATGGGGACAAATATTGGACCAACAACACGCCCTTGCAAACGGCTGTTATGTTAGACGATTCTGAAATGGCCCTAAGCTTTCTGAAACTGGGCGCCAATGCAAATGTACCTGCATCCACAACTGAAGGTGAAGGTACTAGAACTGCACTCCAATGGGCTGCTGAGAATGGGAATCTTCAACTTTGCCAGGTCCTGATGGAGGCTGGTGCTGACCTCAACGCCACTCCAGCGGTTTTCGGCGGAATAACAACACTTGCTGGTGCTGTTTCTTCGATGAACTACGAGCTTGTCCAGCTTCTACTGAAGCACGGCGCTGCAGTCAACGCACGATATAACGATGAATATGGGAAACTGGGGAAACAACCGGGCACGGCGCTTGAAACAGCCGTAAAGCTCAACGACACTGCAATGACACGACTCCTGCTGTCTGTAGGGGTAGACCCAAAAATAGGTTAGCCTCTCATCCGCGCCGTTGGAAAACAAAATCTTGAGCTCGTTTCAATGCTGCTGGAAGCCGGTGCAGACATCAACAAACTGGAAAAACTTACTGGTCAAAGTGCACTGAGCAAGGCAGTGAGAAGAAACAACTCTCATCTTGTTCACTTTCTGCTAGATGCAGGAGCGAATGCCATCCCGAAGCTAGATGACGCCTTAGATGAATGTCTTGCTGTCCCAATAGCTGAAGCGGTTCGCCTCGGCCACGTTGAGATGATCGAAATTCTGCTTCGCGCAGGCGCGGATTGCAATCAGCAGAGTAGAAGAGTTTTTAATCCGTACATGGATCTGAATGCTTTGCAGGAGGCTGCAAGCAGTGGAAATATTGGCATTGTGCCGCGCCTCCTTGCAGGTGCGGACGTGAATTATCCGGCAGCACCACGAGATGGGCGGACAGCTCTGCAAGCCGCCGTACAATCCCAAAACCGCGAGCTCATTCAGCTATTAGTGGATCAAGGTGCCGACCTGAATAGCCAAGCAGCAGAACGCTGGGGACTTACAGCGCTACAAGCAGCAGTTGATACTACGGATGAGGCGCTCGTGCGATTCTTATTAGCCAACTCTGCCAACGCGAAAGACGCGCCTGCAGTTGTGGAAGGTCGCACGGCTCTGCAAAGGGCAGCAGCGAACGGAGATGGCGAACTGGTCCGTCTGCTGCTGGACTATGGGGCAAATGTAAACGCGCGGGCAGCCTATCATCACGGATGGACTGCCCTCCAAGTCGCCGCCGAAAGAGGACACTACGAAATAGTGATACTTCTGCTGACAGAAGGAGCGAATGCCAACGCGCCAGCTTGTCCCGAACGCGGTATCACTGCGCTCCAGGCAGCTGCTAGTGGAGGCTATCTACACATAGCAGAAGTTCTTCTGGAGGCAGGGGCTAGTGTGAATGCACGAATATCAAATCCACATGGCAAGTTCACTGGCAACACGGCCCTGGAGGCTGCGGCAGCTTCTGGACGCATAGATATGTTGAAATTGCTTTTGAATGCAGGGGCAGATATTACCTCTGGCTCTGGCTGTTTTCAATTGAACGTAGCATTAGATCTTGCGACCAGGCTTGGCGATATTCCGGATCAATCGGTTTCTGCCGATTCGTTCCAGGGGTCTGGAACGGGCGGTAATGGAACGTTCCAATCGTTCCTAAGCGAGCTAATCCCTGTAGATTCTCGTTATTTTGTAAAGAACTTCCATTAATTATGCTATTGAGAGGCTAAAAACCATCGTACAACCTCAGAAAGGCCTTTATTAAGCCGTAGCACTACTGCGAGTAACTCTACCGCTACGAGGAGTCTTTCTTACTGCACTACGTTATGTAATTCGTCCTTGCTTCGTACGGCCACCCCCACTACTTCCACTACATTTACTACATCTACTATATCCTCTACGACCTCCTGTACTAATCTCTCCATTACTATTATTACTACTATTATTCCCTCCCCAGTAATAGCTTGCAGTATAATCTGGCTACTTGTAATTGCTATAGCAACCACCCTATATACCTATAATCCGGATATACTCAGGAAAAATGGTATTATTAAGTCCCGTACAAGTATATATAGTATAAGGAGTAGCCGTTATATTAACCCCTTCTTATTAAATAAGAAGAGCATTAATATAGAACTATTACTATATAAGAACTTGACTAATTATAATGCAATTTGGATTAATAATTATATTCTGGCTAGAAAAAGCAAGGGCTTATTATTATTAATTATTATAATACTATATTCTAGTTAGCTTTATTATATAGTAAAGGATAAGGTATTATATAAAGAGAGCAAGTTATTGGCCTATAATACCTATTATCTATTAGCCTTAAGGAAGAGGCTGGTTTGTATTAAGATTAGAAGTATTACTAGTACTAAAAGTAATAAAAGAAATAAGCCTTTAAAAATATTAGCTATTATATAATAAATAGAATCAAGAATTAAAAGCTTACTACTAGTTTGGGTTTATAGGGCCAAGACTAGAAACAGGAGGCTATATAGAGGAGTTATTACTAGGAGCTGAATTATTTAATATATTACTATTATATAATTAATATAATTACGAGAAGTAGAGAGAAGTAAGAGGTTCTTATATAAGTAGTAGTAATATTAATAAAGGAAGAAGGAAGTTAAAGCAAGAAAGATAGCCTTTAAATAAGAGTTATAGCTTAGAAATTTAGAAAATTTAGATAATATCTAGAAGATTCTCTAATTATATAAGAGTCTTAAAAATATATATCTCTTTTAAACTAGCTAGTCTTAAAGAAGATTTATAAGATTCTAGTTCTTTTCTAATACTTTAAGTACTTTCTAATCTCTATTATTTCTACTTTTATTTGCCTTCTATTCTAGCTTACTATATAGTATATCCCTAAAAAAACTCTCTCTAGCTTATTACTTATTAGAGAAATTAAGAGAATATTATTAGCTATAAGTAAAAGCCTTAGCTAGTATTCTTTTTATATATTCTAGCTTTACTAAACTAAGGCCTCTTATTTACTAATATTATATAATTCCTAAAAGTTATAATCCTTATACTTGTTTTTACTTGCGGGTTATATAACTAAGTAAAGAGATCGAATAATTTAATTAAAGAAATTAAGTACTAATAGCTCTTAAAATAGCTCTTTACTATATAAGAAAGAAGTAATATTATTTAATAATAAAGAAATAATTTAATCTCTATAATACTTCCAAAATTTCTTTATACTTATAAGAGCTAGAGTTATATATTTCTTTAGCTAATTAGCTTTAATATATCTTATATAGAAGCCTGAATTAAGAATTAAAGCTATAGTATAAAAGAGAGAGAAATTAATTCTAGTATAATATAATAAGATTTTTTCTCTTTTATTCCGTAACTATTATTATATATTCTGCTTCCTAGATATATTAGTACTAGTTTAAGGAATTATATAAAACCTTTATTTATATATATAATTAGCCTTTCTAATATATTATACTTTAAAGTCCCTTATTTTTAATCTTTACTTTACTTTTTATTACTATTAAAAGTATTACTTTTAAGTATTTAGTTTATTACTTTTCCTTTATTTTCTCTCATATATCTAAATACCTATATATAATCCGAAAATTATATAATAATTAAATCTCTATTATATTAGTAATTTAGGGAAGATTCAAATTATAATAGCTAGTATCTTTAGATTATATAAACATTTTCTAGACCTTAAAAATATAATTACTCTTAGTTATATTTATGCGTTTTAGCTTTAATTATATAAGTTTTCTAAAGTTAAAATACTAGCTAGTTAGCTATTAATTCTATCTATTTATAATTATAGAAATATGTTTTTTTATATTAATCTTATAAATAGAGTAGCTTATAAAACTATTTTCTTTATTATATCTTTAAATTACTAATTTTCTTATTATACTTATCTATAATATATATATATATAATTATTAGAAGATATAGAGATTTCTCTATATTAGCTCGTTCTATAAAGAAATTAGTAGCTTATTTTAAAGAAGTTAATATAGAGTTAGTATATATTAAGGTTATAGCTTTAGAAATCTATAGTAGAAAACCTTATATTTAGTAATTCTTTATATAAATAGCCAGGTAATCTATATTTTATATATTTTATATAGAAAGCTCCTTTATTAAGGCTTTAGAACCGGTTCTTAGAATTAAGGTAATTACTTATATATTATAATCTTTTTAGAAAATTAAGTAATTATTATAAAATTAGAACTTATTATTTCCCTTTATAATATTATTAACTTTAATTATTTAAGCTATCGAGATTACCTTATTTCTAATTATAGAACTATATTTATTACTATTATTACTTACTTTCTTTATTATATAAATTCTTATTTATAGTCTAAACTTTACTATAACTAATTTCTTTAGCTTTATTTCTAATATTAAAATAAATATTATTATTTGCCTCCGGAATAATAATAATCTAGCCTTACCTATAATACTAGTAAATCTCTTTATTAATAAAACTCAAATTATATATCTTATATAAGTAATACTATTTACTACTACTTCTAGAATACCCTATTTTTAAGAGTTTAATATTACTGAGTTTCTAAACTAATATAAAAGCTAGTACCAAAACTACTATATTATTAGTTTAGCTATAATTTCTCGCCTTTTCTAGTATTATTATATAACTATTATATAGTATATTTATATAATACTAGAGTAGGTTTTAAATAATTAGATAGCTCTTAGAATTATTTTATATTAGAAGTATTAAAAAGAGGATATTTACTAAATAATAAGAATTTAAGGCTTTATAGAGGCCTTAAAGAAAAAGAGCTATACTAATAGAATTAATCTATATAAGTTCTATTAATAATATACTTCTTTCTTTTAGTATCTAGTAAATAATTAATTACTAGAAAGCTATACTTAAATACTCTAGTTCCTTAAAGAAATTCTATTATTACTTTATAAAAAGATTATCTAAAAGTATAATATAGAACTTAATATTTCTTATATAATAAACTTTAAAGCCTTTACCTTAATAGCTATAAAGTATTATAAATCGGATTAAGCTAATAAGGAAATAATATATTATTAAAATTATTCTTATTTTTATAGTATTTTTATTAATAGCCTTTAGGCTTAAATAATTACGAAAAAAGACTTTACTAGCTTTATTTCTATTTATATGAACCTAAATTAGTATTAATTTCCTATTAATATAAAACCTACTATTTCCAAAGCTCTTATATTAGATATAATTAGATTTATTTAAGCTATATAAGCTTTAGTATTATCTTTTAATAGTATATAAGGCTTTTCTTTTATTAATAACTTTTTTAATTCTAGTATATAACCTCTATTTACTAGTTTGGCTTTTTAGAATACTACTTAACTCTTTTAGACTTATTTATTTCTTACTTAATAAGGCGTTTCTAGGCCTATAAAATCTAGTATAAGATATTATTATTTGTATCTTTTTTCTTTTTATTAGATATTCTAATATCCGGAGGCTTTAGTACTTCTTATAACTAGAATTATATACTTTAATTAAGCTAATTAGATTTATACTAGTCTTACTAGTTCGGGAGAATTTATATTCTAATTTACTTCCGGTTATAATAAAGTAAGCTAGCTTTTAATATACTTTTAGTATATAATTTTTAAGACCTAATTTCTTTTAGAAACTAAGATTTCTTTTCTTTTTTTAGAAATAGAAAAGTATAACCTATATATAAATTCTAATAATAAAATTAGAGACTTTATTTAGACTAATAATAAGAATAGCTAGGTTATTATTAGTGCCTCTAGAATAGAGAAGAAAAGTAAGGATAAAATATATAGGGAATTAAAGAATAATTATAACTAGTACCGAGTCTTAAAGAATTATTAAATAAAAGAAACTAGTATTATTATAATTTAATATTTTAGAAATAGAAAATAAATATCTATTATAGTAATAAATAAGAAAAAGAAAACGAATTAATAAAATAGTCTTATATTAGACTAATTATAGCCTATATTTATATATTTAGTATTTCTAAAAGATTTTATTATAAAGCTAGCTACTTTGCCTATAGTCTTTACTTGATTTCTATCTAATACTTACTTAAGAATTTACTAGCTAGTAAATAAACTTAGAAGTAATACTAGACTAGAGCTTCTATTAAATAAGATTTTGGACTAGAAAGTAAAAGAAGTTACTATATAGAAGCTTTTATTAAATTTCTTTATTCTTTTAAAACTTATTTTCTAGAGCTCTTATTATAATTTATTAGAGTTAGGCTTTAGTATTACTATTATTTCCTATAATCTAAAAAAAAGTAAAAAGAACTCGTATTATATAATATCTATATCTAAGCTTAGTATATGCCTTAATAGAACTATTTAAGTTAAGGCTATAATTAATACTAATATTAAGATTAATATTATAACTTAAGGTTTTACTAATACTTATAGCCTTATAATTATAGGAAACCCTTATTTAACCTTAGTTTCTTATAACGGGAAATACTACTCTTTTAAAGAACTTTATAAGAATATTTAAGTTAAAGTTAGAAATATATTATTATATACTCAGATTTTTATTATTAAAGAAGCTAATTATTAATTTATTCTAAAATATATTTAGTCTAGAGTAGCCTATTACTTCTTTATATTATCGTACGTTTAGACTACCTTTAAGCGGTTGGCTTTCGGGGCTCCTTAGAAAAAACTTTTATATAATAAATACCAGAATCTCT